AATAGATATGTATCAAATTAAGAAAATATATGATATTACAGCATATAAATTTTATTTTTTCCTTAAATAGAGAAATTAAATAGATTCTCAGAGATGAAATTAAATATAATGTATAGAAAGGGTAAAATAGTTGTTTAAATTTGGATCGAGAAATTACTCAGTTAAAAAGAGTACCTATTGAACATATTTTAAAAAATGAAAGAATTAACAGTTAAATCAAAACAATATTATTTAAATGATTTTGCTAGAAAAACTTTTTAGTTTGAATATTTTTCTCTTTTTGTTAAATCAAATAACTATGAATACTAATTAATAGGTTATTAAAGCAACCATGATTTAGATAATAATTAAGATCTATTTATGAAGCAATATGACATAGGAGATTTGATTTAAATAATTTTAATATATGTAAAGTAGTTCAAGCTTATTAGAATTTCAAGCTAAAGTTAATTGAGCTCTATTCTGTTAGAACAAAATTTTATCATTGCGATTAAAATAATATAATTTTTATAATTTTCTTTTAACTTTTTTTTAGTTCACTATATAATAACTTTATCATCTAATCAGTGTGTAATCTTGGAAAAAACATATAAAAATCTTTAGGGTTTTATGTTATAATCACTCTTAATAGATTTAATTTTCACAAAAACTTAAGTTCTATGAATTTATTCTTTATTAAAAAGCGTAAATAAAATAAATTGTTCAGAGCATAAAAGAAGAACAGTTTTATAATTAAATAATAATTTTATATCCAATTAAAAATATTTACTATTGAAATCGAAACTAATCCTCTAGTATTTAATTATATTGCTCATTATTGAAACATTAAATGATTTTATTTTAATTATAAAAGAGTATTTAAATACTGTATTTCAAGTAGATTTTGCAAGTACTATATTTGAGTTTGTTTATAAATGATTTAAAATATAAATTTTTTTATAGTTAAAAGATTTGAAGCTCGTAATCTAATATTTATAAAAGTCAACATTTTTAGTAGTAGTTTTTATAAAATAGATATGAGTGATTATTTAGGAAATGTATTATTTAAGTTTTTCTATTTGTAAAGAAATGATTGAGTCATGATTAATTTAGATAGTGATGAATGAACAGGGAAATATTAATAAGAAATTAAGGACCTATGTGTTTAGATATTTATGATTAAAAGTCAATAGATAAAAGATGAACATACTTTACTACCCGTTTTTGAGAATAAATATTTTGAGAAGCATCTATGATTAATAATAATATAAATAAATGAAAGCCACTTTAGCAATCTTGTTGTTAGTGAGCATAGCTTCTGCAACATCAACACATGATCAAATAATGGCCTTTCTTTAAACAGGAACAAAGGCTATGGATGCCATAGATACAGTTTTTGGTCTATTGAATGATCTTGTACAATCAAATAAAGACGCTTAATTTGCAGCAGATTAAAAGAATGAAACTGATGAATGGATTGGTGCATAGTATTATTAATTAATAAATATAGAACAATTGAATAATTCACAAAAATCAAGTTACTCAACTAAAAGCTTTTCTAGTAATCAGTTGAAAATAGAGCTTAATTTGAATAAGAATTATCAGATACAAAGAATTATCTTGCTTGGAATGAATAAAGATAAGATGAAATAAATAGAAAGATTGGAGTTCTTCTTGATGAATAATGTCTTAGCAATTAATTGTTTGTGAGATCAATAAAGCAAAATCGAGAAGCTCTTGAAGTTGTTAGAGTATTAAAACAAGATGTTGCTGGTTATATAATAAATGGTGATTCATTTGAATTAGTATAAGAAAAAACTTAAAGTGTCGCAGAGAAACTTAAAGCTTATAGCAATCTATTTAACGAACATGAAGTTAAAACATTCTTGAATTTAGCTTAAAATAAATAAGAGGAAGGAGTAAGCAGAGGTGCTACATTAGCTGAAAGAGTTCTTTCAGTTCTTGAATCACTTGAATCAAACTTATAAGCATCTCTTGAAGCCTTGGAAGTAAATGAAATTAATGCTTCATGGGAATTGGCTGGATGGGTTTCATTAAGTGAAGCTGAAGTTTCAAACTTAAAGGTTGAATATGAAAGAAAACAAGTTTATGCTGATAGATTAGCTACTGTAAATATTATATATATATTAATTATTAGTAAATCTAAGCAGCCTTAGCCTAATAAGCCAAATCTAAAATCATTTTATAAGAATCATAAGATGCTCTTGATTAAGCCCAAACTGACTTAGAAAATAAGAGAGCTGATTATGCTGAAGCCAAAGCTAAAAGAGATGAAGAAAATGCCATTTTAGAATAAGTTATTATCATGTTCAAGAAATAAGTCGCCTCTTGGTCTGGAAGATGATTAATATACCTTAATCAAGTTATTACAAATTAAAAATAACATTAGAATCTTTAAATAATCTTATTATTATTTATCAATCTATTCAATAAATAAAAAGAAAGAATAAATTTGTAAGAGAACAATTTACTCATTAATAATATTTTAACATTTGTTAATTCACCATTCTTTAAATGGGTCATCTTATGGCTTTACTGCATCAGGTAATTCAGTACTATCTGGATAAGTAGCGAAATTGGAAGTATCATAATCAGATCTAAATATTCTATCACAATTTATTACTGAATAACAGGAATATATTATGCCTTTATTTTTTTATTGATAATATCTTTCCAATTTAATGTCTCATACCATTTGTGTTATTTTATGTCATCTACTCCATTCTTTAAATTCCCAAATCGTTTTGTGACATCCTATTCTAATAAATGTTTAACTAAGCTTTTTGCTTCACTAATTAAGTTTAGTTATGCATTTACTTATCAAAATTGCGTGGAAATTTTATTTTTCCCTTCAATATTTTCTAATAAATAGCCATTGGATCTTCATCGTTAAATGGATCGATTCCTTTGTGGGTTGAACTATAATACAAATACCTGCAAGCATCTCATATATAAAGATTCCTAAACACCACCAATCTACTGGTTTACTATGTCCTTTCATTAAACATTCCTTTACCCTTATTTAATAAGATTTCCGGGGCTAAGTATTCTGGTGTTCCACATAATGTGTAAGTTCTGTCTTCTACCACTTTTGCAAAACCAAAATCTGTCAGCTTCAAATACCCATCTTATTAGACTAACAAATTCTCTGGTTTCAAGTCTCTATACACAATGTTCTTTGTGTGAAGATACTCAAACATTAGAACAACTTAAGCAGAGTAGAACCTATTCCTTTAAATAAACGTTTACTATGCTTCTTCATTCTAAACCGTTCCAGCATTTCTTAAGTATGTAAATAGCTCACCTCCTTATATATATTCTAAAACAAAATATAAGTATCGTTCGTCCTAAGTGTATCCACTCATTTCAATCTAGTATATTCAATCCCAAAACATACCAAAAAAGGATGCTTTATTTATTTCAATATATTGAACTCACTAATTATATGATCAACCTATTTCAGTCGTAATATTTCTATTTTCTTCAACATCTTCAAAGCCACATATTTGTTATTAGATTTTTGCTTAGCCAATCTCACTCGACCAAATGAACCTGTTCCCAAAGTATTCATTATGTCATATTCCCCTAATTTTACTTTTTTAGTTTCCATATAATTAATATTTTATATTTCCACGATCAATTTCAATCCAAAACTCCTAAAATTAGACTTAGAAACAACTCTACTTACATTACCTTTGTTGCATATCAATCTCAAAATGATTAAACATATATTATGTATACAAAAAAATATTAATATTTTAACAATGCTCCCTTCAACTCATTTTTTTGTTATTTTTTAATAAGATTTAAGTACTCTCCCAAATCTTCTCAAAGCAATAGGAGTAATTAGATTGAACTTCTCTAATTTATCATGTTAAGTTAAATATTTATAATCGTAGTACAATTTTGTTAATAATATATTTTTTACAGTCCTTGTGTGGAGTTATTTTTTTACTTTATTTTCAATTTAAATCATCAAATGAATCGAAAAATTGAGCATCATTAATATATTATCAACTCTTATTGAATTTATACTATTAACATTATGTATTAATATAATTAACTTTCTGAATTTGATAATTCTGAAAAATATATTTATACAATTTTTTATAATTCTTTTTTTGTAATTAATCAAAAGATTATGAAAAGAAAATAAACCCAAAAGATTGAATTTGATTAATCTATTGTTCAGAATCAAAATTCCGAGATTTCAATTAGGCCAAACTCTAGCAATTTAGCCCAAATTAATAAATCACCTTTAATCCCTAGGAAAGCAACTCTATCATAACATCAAAATCAAAGGAAATATCAATAAGAACCTCTTTTATCTAAAGATAACAAAGTTATTTAAATTAGAAGTATAACACCAAATCAACAAAAAATATTTCAATATAATGTATAAATCATTATTTTATGAATAAAGAATGGCAGTCCTGTTAAATTAATTTAAAAATAATTAGCAGTCCAACAAGAAAAGAAAATTATAGTTATTCCAAAAAGACCAGAAAAATAATAATTTAGAATTACAAATAAAATTAATTCATCACCTGAAAAAAAGAGTTTACAAATCAAAGGAAGCAATAATTAAGCTTAAGAATTTAATTCGATAAATAAAGAATCAGCTAAAAGCACAGATTTTTAAAAGTTGAAAAAAAATATAAGAGAATAACATTATAAATAGCAAAAGTAAGAATTTAAAATAATTACCCCAAAATGTGCTTAGGATTTCTCAATGACTTCTCATAAAAATGATTTGCCTTAATTACTAAAAAATTACTAATAAGAATTCATAGAAGTTCGTAAATAATATATGAATGATAACTCTCCTCCTTTAAATATGAGTGGTATGAAATTCTATAATAATAGAAATTATGGAAATTAATGAAGATGGTCTTTCCTCCTTAGCACAAAGCATCTATCATCATTAAATTCACTGAAAGAAAATTTCTTATACTTTGTTGTTTTATAATAAATTTTTTTCATTATGGATCTTCTTCTTCTTAATCAAATTGTAAATTTAAAGTTTTTCTAGGCTTACTATTATCTTCATCATCAACAATATGTTTATTATTTTCTAATTTGGCTTTTTCATATAATTCTTTTTGCTATTCTTCTAGCTACCTCAAATGATCTTCGTCTTGAAATCTTGCTTTATTTTAATTTTTCACCTTTACATAGCATCAAAATTTTACATTAACCTCCTCTTTAATTTCTTCTTCAATTTCTTTTAGAAACTGAATTTAGCCCTCTAACCTTAGTTTTTAAATGGCTTTATAAAAAAACTCTCCTGATATTGTTTTTTTCCCATTTTCCAAACAAATAGTATTCGCTTAATCAGAAACTTATTGAATATATTCCTTAGCCATTGACATTACTTATGTTACAAATTCATTTGAGCATTTCATATCTCCATTTGTTATAGATTTAATGAATTACTATACAGTGGCTTTAAGTATTAGGATATAATACCTTTTGGAAGTTATTCCATTATATTTTTTCTTTTTCATTTTAATTAAACAATATTTTCTTTGAAATAGGATAGTTGCAGTGCTTTTTTTATAATTAATGATTGGTCATAAAATTACTGAGAAGGATACTTTTAAAAAATCAATTTAACTAATCAATTCTAAACTCATTTATGTAATATATCCATTTAAAATTAACAGTGTTAAATAAGTATAATTTTCAAAAAATTAAATCTACTTAGAAACTTCAAATCTGCTTTTATCTCCAAATTTAAAGATAATAATGATCTTACTTACGTTTTAATAAAATATTCTGTTAATTTTTTACATAATTATATTTATTTTGTAAATAAATTTTATGAGCATCAACTAAAAGAAAAAAATTTTTGAGGATACTACTTAAAATCCATATTTAAATTAAATTGAATCTGTCTAAGTTCCAAGAATATTTGAGTAATCAACTATTTAAAAAAATCTTCAATTAAATAGTTAATTAAGAAATTCAAATTAATTAGATAAGTCTAAATAAGTATTAAATGAACTTCAGATTTTTACCCCAAATGATTTAGACTAATTTCTAATATTATTTAGATAACCATAATAAATCAACTTGAAATTAGAAAATAGTTAATTAAATTAATCTGTTTAATAATAATAATTTTATGAATAATTAGAGATTGAAGGAGAGAAATTAAGACTAAAGTTAAAGTTAGATGCTCGTATTGTCTAATCAATTATTGAGAAACACGCAAAGATGAAATCTAATAAACAAAGATGTATTGAATAAATGAATCATTTAATAAATGAAATTAAGTAATCTAATAATGTATCAAAATATTCTGAATTAAGTAGATCAATAAAGTATAATTTCAATTAACTTGAATCAATTTAATTGGAATTAAGAGACATTTTGATGGAAGTATCAACATTTGGAAGAGTAATGTCAGTTTCTGTTTAATAATAATAGTAAAATCATTAATCTAATTATGAAAATTCAGTTGAAAAATCTATTATAAATTCATCTAAAGATACTTCTGAAGCAGAATTTACATCATTATCATTATAGATATATTCATCTATTGAAATGCATGCAAAAGAATTTGAATAAATTATTTCAGAAAAAAAAAGATTAATGCACATAAGCTAGAATTATCATTAATATAAATAAGTTTGCTAAGGTTTGATTTAACTTATCTAAAAATATCCTTAATTCGAATAATAAAAATCTTAGCAAATGCTCATATTAGAAAGTAGAGCATCAATTTATTTTTTTCATTTTTAAAAAGAAACAAGTTAATAGATTGTGAATTATGCTTAAATTATTGAATAAATTCGATTATCTTTATCTATTATCGATAAAATGAAATATTTATTGGATTAAGCAAAGAGTTTGGATTGTGTCACTGAATTTTATTTATATGTCGAAAGTTAATTAACAGGTTAGTAATTTATTATTAAAGTTGGAAATAATTTAAAATTAGTTAAAGCTTACTACATATAATTTAAGTCTCTTAACATCAATAATTATGAATTTTTTCACGTCATAAGACATAAGGTTTATAATAAATGTTTGCTAGAGTTTGAAAAAATATAATTTGATATTAAAACAGCCTAGACTTTATAATCCATCTTATTAAACCATGTTAAGAAATTTTAAAAATATATTACAATGAACTATATTAAATTACTCAATAATATATTAACTAAGTTAAAATAAGATTTATAACAAGAATCTTGGCTTTATTTAATAAACTTATATAAAGAACTTAACCAATAGTAGAAAAGTTTATTAAATATTATGCATTTTACATAGAATATTAAGCACGTAAACCAATCTTTAAATAGATTTAAGTAAGTATTTCACAATCTTATAGAATAAGAATTGGAATAAATTAAAAATTTGTAACCATAATTATCCTATATTTAGAGATAAGAGATTTTAAAGCTTAAAAAGAATTTGAAAATTTTTATTCTCTATTTAAAAAATGTTATAATGAAATTTATCCAAAATAATAGTGTATACTAAATGATGTTAACTCATTCTTGGAAAATTCGATGAATATAGAATATAAAGAAGAATAAAATTAAAGTTTACGAGCATTAAAATCTCTTAAACCTAACATAAGATAATTAAACAATTTGTAAGGATTTTATTTAAGTGAAAAATTAATATGAAGAATTACTTTAATTTGAATTAGATATTTTCCAACTTTAGTTGTCAATGAAATCCATAACTAAAACAAATTTTAATCTAATTTTAGATGATTTTTTAGATATTACAAAAATTAACCATAATAGTGTTTTATCTTAAATTATGGAGTTTGTTTAAAAAAATATTAAAATCACTTTTGAAATAAAAAGTCCTTCACTTAGTAACATTAAAGAATAATAGTTACGTTAATTGTAATGGGTTTGGATTTTTATTGAATAATTTGAAAAATTTAGATCTGCATTATCATAAATATTTAATAAAAATACTACCATTAATTATTCTTAATATTTATAGTTCTAAGCTAAAAATAAATTTAGCTCTATTTTATTAGCTTTCAAAATGTAATGAAAAAAATTGTAAAAAATGGTATGAGTTATAATTGGATTTAAGCCATCTTTGTCTTAAATCATACTAATGTTGTATTACATAATTATTTGATAAAATAATTGTTCTATAAATAGACATTCCATTAACTCAAATACAATTTAATGAAGAAAATTGTTATCTAATTTTTGAATTTTTGGAATCGTCAAATACAAATTAATTATAAAGATTTATTTGCAAACACTAGATTTATAGAAAGATGAAATAAATGTAATTAAACATAGTAAAATTTAAAGAGATAAAATAATATTTTGAAGAATTGCACTTAGAATAAAGTGATGAAGATTCTATGGATATAAAATTTATTTGTACAGAATGTTCAGATGTTCAGATTAATAACAAAAAGATGTTGGTATATATTCAAACTTACAAGAGGAATGGGTTTTAGATCATTTAGAATAAGAGGATACAAGTTTTTTACAAGATATAAAAATTAGGAAGGAATCTTTAGTTCAAATTTAATGAAATATACTATGAAACTACAAAGACTAACAAAATTATCATTTGAGTATAATGTTAATTGGAAAAATATAAAAAAAATATTAAAATAAGAAATATGAGTTTAGATTCTTTTTTACTAATTAATTATTTTAAAATAATAATTAAAATCAATGAATTTCTTAAAGTAATTCTTCAAGTAAGTGATCAAAAATCAAATCAGATAAATCGATAGCAACTACTGTATATTCTTCATCATAACTTATCCATCTATCTTCATTTTCTTCAACCTAAAGAATTTAATTAATAAAAATACTTCTGCAGAGAGCATTCTAATCATTCTATCTTCTTTTATTTATGCTAAACATTCTTAATCAAACATCAACATTTTAGGATATGGACAATCTTCTTTATCAATTAAAAAGCCAACTAAATAATGACACCATTCTAGAACTTTATCTAAGCTAGATTTAATAATATTTGGCATTTCATTTAAAGTTTTTTCTCGAAATTATAATCTAGCAGCATCACATTTCCAAGCGTAGGGTTATCCTGCCATTCCATAAGGTCTATAATAATCTAAAGCTTCATTCAAAGCATCGAAAATTGCTTTATTATGAATATGTTCTAATTCAAGTAATTAAGAAGTTTAACTTTTTAGAATTGATTCATTTAATAAAAATCTTTCAAAAGTTCCAAATAACTCTGCTGTCATAATGATATTTTATAAATAGTTTTCATTTTAATTACTTTCCTCATCTGAAACAATTGTTGAATCAGAAACAGGATGCAAAAATCTTAACATATCTTTTGAAGATGGTCCTAATGGAACATTTATTTTAGCCAAAACTTCATCTTTATAATTACAAAGCATGAATTCTGTAAGATGAGTTAAATAAGTCTTTACTTATGGGATTCCTGTTTTAAAACCTTTAGGCTGATTTGTTCCATAAGAGGTTTATAATTATGATTAAGGTCTATTAATTTAGGCTTTAGTAACTTATTCAAATATATCAATATTGTTTCTACCAAGTTCTTGGCATAATAATTAAATTTCTTAAACTATAAGCATATTAGAAATTAAAATAGAGTATGATTCTGCTTACTTTTCAGACATTTTAGATTAATCTCTAACTATATCTGATACTCTTAATACTTGAGATTAGGCTAATTATTATAGATTGAATGATGGTTCTGGTTCATAATCTGCATATTAATGACTAGATGGACTTGAATTATTTTTAAACATCACTTCATCATCAAAATTTTATGATTTACTTAGATCTTCTTCACTTAATAAGGATGATCTTTATGGTAGTTATTATTATAATTAAAGTAAATTCTAATTTTGTATTTCTATAATACTATTTCTTAATGATTATTCTGAATACAAAACAGATTCTTAACTAAAACTATCAATAATTTTTATGTAAGATTGTGAATTAGTTTAAGAAATTTATTTCATAAATAAAAGATCTCTTTAAGTCTTCATCACAGTCTCATAAGTACTTTGTTGACCTTTAATAATTTCATTTTTCTTCTTTTCTAAATCCTTTCTTTGTTTAGTCACCCATTTTTCTAGTTTTCTATTCTATTAATCATAAGTCTTAGGAGAAATCTATTTATTTTCATAAGCTTCATTTATTGTTTTAATTTATTATTTATGTCTTTCTTCCAAAACCTTTTCTCTCATTGCTATCAATTCATCCATTTTATCTCTGGACATCAATTCTTTAAATTTAAGTTATACAAAATCCTAGAAAGAAGATTATTCAAAAATACTCTTTTCTTAATTAAATGTTTAATCTTCTTAAGATAAACTCTTAATTAAAGATTCAGAACCAATAGCACATCTTATTTCTCCTATATCAACCTATTATTATTAATTCTAATATTCTTTTTCAATTTCATCAACATCAATCGATAATCTCTTTTTCTTTTTAAAAGTTATTTATTAATTCATAATTAATGAATTCTTTTCTGTACTTTCTCTACAGTTTTCCATTTCTTATTATTCTGAAATAGCTGATAAAAATTATTTTTTTTCTGTTGATTTCTTTCCTTCACTATCTTTTGAATCACTAAAACCTTCAATATAATCTTGATAAGCATTAGCATCATAAATTTATTTTTAAGCTTAAGGTAAATCTACTATATAATTTTTAGATTTCTTTTTCTTATTTTATAATGAAGAATCAGATGATTTTTCACTTTTATCCTGCTCAATAAGTTAAATTTGTCCTTTTGAATCTACCTTTATATAACCCATTTTTATCAACTCTTGAATTTAACTTTAATGTAAATCATTTAAATTAAATTCAGCTTATTCTTCTTCTTTTTTAAAATAATCTTAATAATAACTTAAAATCTATCTTGTTTTATATTTTCTCCAAACTTTTTAAATTTTTATTGCTGCTTATTCATCTGTTTAAGATTTTTATCTTTTCTCACTATATTTACTTGCTGCTTATTCAATTGATCTTATCTCTTCAATTTCTTTAATATCTTATTCATCCCAATCTCTTTGTGAACTCATTATTTCATCTTTATCTTCTCCTAAAGTAATTATCTTCTAACTATAAAAACTATTATCAAAATTAGCAAAATCTTGCTCTGGATCACTTTCATTTGGAATATTTGCACTACTTGAATTGCTCATATATTGATATATTGATGAACAAGGCTGTCTCATTGATTCATGATTTGATGATTATACTAATTTAGATTTATCAGATTAATTTTTAAATTACAATAAAACTTTTCTCTTTTTATTTTCTTGATATCTATCCGATATAATATTTTCTTTTTAATCTTCATAAATAATTCCATAAGTTGATGCAGTTCTATTTTTTCTTCTTTATTTTGTATCTCCAACTGAAAGACTTCTATTTCTTGATCTTATATAATCATTGAGATTTTATAAATTTTGATGAATTTTAAATTGTCTCTCATATTCCTTTTTTTTCAATTCTTATTTTGCTATCATTATCATTTTCTATTTGAATTCCTTATATTTTCTAATTTCTTCTTAGTTGATCTGAAATTTCGGTTTTTTAGTATCCTTCTTTGTTGGAGTTAATGATTTGTTTAATTCTATGAGATATAAAAAATAATTTATTACTTTTCTTTTTAATAAATTTATCTAATGAGATATTATTTAAAAAAGAAACTCCTAATTGATCTCTTCTTTATTTAATATCTAAATCAGTTTTGTTAATTCTTTTTAACATAGTTTCTTAAACATTTCTTTATTTCAATTATTCATTTAAGAAATAATTTTTTAGTCTTTCCTAATTAACTCCCCAATTAAATAAAGGAGTTGTATGAACAGTGAATACTTTTTTTTATTTTTAAAGTTTATTCATACTAGTATTGAGAGCCTTTTTAGGTTTAGAAGGTTTTTCTAGTTTTTCTTATGATGCTTTAGTCACAGGAGCACTAAGTTTAGTATTCAATGCTTTCTTCTTTTTTTTCTTTTTTGTTTTGACTTTAGTTGGCCGATTGATTAAATTGCCTAACAGTATATCATTTTCTTCTTGTTTGGCTATATTTCCATATTAAGGATGTTCTCGAGAGTTTATTACTAAAGGAGTATTAGTAAAAGAGTCTAATTTACGTCCTTTAATAAAACTATTCTCTTTGATTTGAACACTTATATTTAATTTTGAATTGTCTTAACTTCTCATTTGAAAATTTTATTTAGTTAAATATGTAAAATAATGATGAATAAAAATAAAGAAAAGACATAGTTGTTGTATAAAATATAAATAAACAATTTAATTGATTATTTTAGTGATTTAAGTATAGTTCTAATTTTAATAACCCATAAAATAATTTATTTATAAGCTTCAACTTAATTTATGAATTAGAAATTAATTATATTGGAACCCTTCGGGGTCATCCGTTAAATTGGAACGTAACAGAGAAGATTAGCATGGCCCCTGCGTAAGGATGACACGCATTAAGCGAGATGGTAGCTCATTTTTTTATAGTTTTTTATATACTTTTGTATAAAATACTATGTATAATACTTTGTATTTATATTTCATATTATAAATCTGTCAGTCTTCCGTTAGAGTTTGGACTGCGGTTTTGGTTGATCCATCCTTGAATAAATATGTCTTAGTTATTTTTGTAATTTTTTTTCCATTTTTAACAGCACCTGAAGATGAAGAACTAACTGAGACACATCCAGGAGGAAGTTTTTCTAGAAAAGATAAATTAAATTAATTGATACCTTCTTCTTAATTTTAAGGTGGTGGTACATTTGCAGCTTTGGCTCCTACCATCATATTTTTCATTTATTCTTTCATATTTTATGGTTATTATTATTATTATAATACTTTAGGTTTTTAACCTTAAGCTCCTTTTGGAGTAAATTCTCCAGCAAAATCAAAAACACATTAAGTTTAAAATTATTTATGATCTCCTGCTGCAATTCCAACTAATTAGAAATCAGAACTAAAACAATTTTTTCTATGACCTCTACTACCTACACCATCATCAATTAATAATTGTATTATAACATCTTCTCCATTCTTTTATCCATAACTGATATTTTCTCCAATTTTACCATTCCATTCTCCATATCTTTCAATTCTATCAGATAGAGATGATCCATCAGTTCCAGTATGACCTGTAACACCTTTAGGACCTGTATCATTAACATGATCAATACAAGCTTACTCTAATCCTTTTTCATAAGTTAAGGGATGAAGTGGTTATTATTTTTATAAAAATGCAATTAATTCTAAATAATTATTCGTTATTTATTTATACCTTAAATAACTTTAGTACCTTCATTTGTTTATAATGGAGTCTCTCCAGGTTTATAAAGTACACTACCTTTGAATAACTTCATCAGTTCCTCTAGCTTTGATATTGGAAGAGTAGGATTTTGTCTTACTTGATTCAAATAATCAAATGCATTTTTAACAATTTTATCATCAGGATCTTTAGATGATTAAGCCTTAGCAGGTGCTCCTTATTATTGTTTTTATTGCATAGGAGCACTTTGATTAGATTCTTTTTTTGGAGCGTCTTCTTATTATTAATTTCCACCTGCATCTAAACCAGCTTTATCTTCAAAAGATCCTGCAAAATCAAAAACACATTATGTCTTAAATTATTTATGATCTCCATCATAAATTCCAACTGCTCCAAATTCTGCTTTAAAACAATTTTTTCTATGTCCTCTTGATGATACTCCATCATCAATTATCAATTATATTATTACTATGTATATAAATATGATATTTATACCATCTTCTCCTGTTGTCTAACCATAACTGATATTTTCTCCTATAGTCACATCCCATTCACCATATCTTTCTATTCTATCACTCATTGATGATCCATCTGTACCAGTATGACCTGTAACACCTTTTGGTCCTGTATCTTTTACATGATCTCTAGCTGCACATTCCAAACCTTTACTCCAACTCATTACACCTACAGGCTTCTAATTCTATAAGAATTAAATGCATTCTGGTATATTTATAGCATAAATTAAAACCATTGACAACTTTTGGACCTTCATTTGTTTATAAAGGAGTTTCCCCTGGTTTATGAACAACATTCCCTTTAAATAATTTTAGACGTTCCTATAATTTTGGTATGGCTATCTATGGATTTTGTCTCATTTTATTAAGATATTCGAATGCCTCTTTTGAAATTTTGCTCATTAAAATTAATATTTACAACGTGCTATAATATATGAGTAAAATTAAATCACATTCTATAATATACTACTTAAAAAGATTATACAAAAACAAATCAATTCTGTTTAACTTTCTTCTTTTTTTATTATTCTTCTGAAACACTCAATTTCTTTATAATCCACATTATACCTGCTCCTATAAACACAAAAACAAGTATTAAAAATAGAATATCTGAAAAATTGGCTTTTTGTAATTTTGGTTGATAATCATGCAATGTTCTATGTTTTCCTTTTGTCTATTAAGCAGCAATCTTCAAATATTCTAAATCTAAATCATCATAATCATCTTCTCTCTCCTTTTCTTATTATTTTTTTTTGTTTGAATCTTCAGCTAATGCAGATTCAAAATCCTATCATTTATATATAATTTCTATTACTTCAATATATTTCCATACTGTTTTTTCTAAATCAGTAATTTCTCTTTCCCAAGAACCGTTTCTGAATTAATTGAAATCAATTTCGGAAAACAAAGCTGGCATTCTTGAATGATCAAATTCCTCTGATCTTACTTATAATAACACTTAAACACTTTCATCATAAGTAAGTTATTTAGAACATGATATTGCATGAGTTGTATATAATTTGATCCAAACATTTTATTATTCTTCCTTAGAAGCTTAACTATAATATTATTAATTAATACTCACTTATCAACAATTTCTACTAATTCTTTTCCATAATTTCCTAAGTGCATTCTAGCTAAAATAATACAAGTATAATAAATTGTATCTCTTTCCTTCTTTAGTTTTTATTCCTACAATTACTTAAGTTGTTCTTCTGGAGAGATTTCTTGAAGTGTTTCAATTCCCTCTTAATGAACAATATCATCTTGACATTTTCCTAATGCTAAGAGTAGAATAATAAATGGAATCAACATTAATTAATTAAACGTGTAAAATTAATATCAAGACTCAATTAAAGTTTAATGAATTTATGTATTTAACACCGCTGCTTTTTATTATTCCAAAAATTTAGTATAATCATCATCCTTTATAGGTATTTCATCAATCTATATAAAGAAATAGTCTTCATTCACATCTGGTTTCCAATTAGTCAAAATACGTACTACTTCATCTAAATTACTCATCTAAATCAATATATGATAATTCTTACTTTAAGTTCTATTTAAAAATATTTCATATAACAAATTCCAACTTTGAATAAGTAGATTTCTCCTTCTAAAAGAAAATTATCCCATAATCTTGAAAGCATTGTGAATTTGAATTAAGATAAATAGATTTTTAAGAACCATTTCATTAAGTAAAGTTTAGTTTCTAATTTTATTGCCTTAAGATGATTATATACAAAAGGTAGAATTCTCTATAAATTCTCCTCAAAAAATCTTATTCTCCATTCAATTTATCTTGTATCATTTTAAAAAACACTAAGAAAATGATATTAATGTAATAGATTGACCAATGCTTAAAAACAATCATATTCTTATAGATGTTTAATAAGAACAACTGCAATATCAATTAAATCTGGTATATATCCAAAATCTGGTCTATAATTACTAAAGGCATGTAAAATATTTGATAATTCTTTAGCTTTAACTTCAGTAATGAAAGGATATTATTATTTTGCTCTCTGAATATCTTTTTTAATAGCTAGAAAATAATGAAAAAATAAATACCTTCTTAAACTATAGTAGTTTTTCTAACAAAGATTTCATAAAGTTCTTCTCTAATTTTAAGATTATTACCAATAATAATTGGCCATAAAGTTTTTCTTGCAAAATCAGGTATTCCAAGTTTCCATAAGATCATAAGTAATACAGATTTATTTTTCTTACCTTAAACAATCATTTCTTATTAGATATTACTGCCATTATTAATTTCAGATTAATTACTATAATGTTAATTTTATATTTGTTATCTATTTTGTATAGGATTCAATGATATAGTTTTTTTAAGACAACGACATAGACTTTCTAAAACACTAGCAGAATTAGCTTAATTTTAAGCTTTTTAGACAGCTTCTTCTTTTTTGACACTAATATATTTCTTATAATTCAATGGTTTATTTGGTTCATAATCCCAATGAGAACGCCAAAAAGGAAGAATATCGTTTCTCCATATTTCAGATCTCTTTTCTTCATTTTCTTATCTTCTTTATTTTTCTTCAGCCCTTTTTGCTTCCATTTCTCTACGATTAATAATAACTGCTCTTAAATAATTAATCCATTTAGATTTAATTTCTAAATCATTTACTTTAATATCAACTGATCTATGAATTGAAATAATAGAAAAACAAAACATGTCAAATTCTTTAGGAATATTATTCTTAATCATAATTTCAGTTGTATTATGTCCTAATGCAATATCATGTACATCACACATATTAATATATCTAGCTGGTTCATTATCATTATCTATAGATCTCCAACATATACGCCTAATTAATAATTTGTTCAGATCAATTACTTTTCATCACTACTTAAAAAGAACTTTCTTGGTTAACCACCATTATATCTTCCATATTTCACTAAATTGCATCCTTTCATTAGATCAAATGCAACTTACAACCATTTAGTAATTTACTCTCCTTGTAGTTTTTCATTACATAATATCATACGATTGTACATCTATTCTAAATAATCTAATGTTGTTTAAAAAGGTTCTCTTGTTATTGAATCATAAACATCTTCAAAATATTTAGGTTATAAATCTGGAAATACTGGTATATTATTTTTTAGAAATTGTTCCTTTGTCATCTTATTCTTTGCTAATATTTTTGTTGATGCCGCATCTGTTGATAACATTATAAATGAATATGCTAACACATATGGAGTATCATCTGATTTAAATTCATTTGGATTTTATTAACGATATACTTTTGCAAATATTTTTACTACTCTATCAACCATCTAAGCTTCTCCTGCTAAACGAAATCTTTACAATAATAATCTCATTGCTTCTAAAAAACTTTTACCTTTCAAATTTAATAATTGACAATAAGCTTCAAATACATCTTAATTCCTTTGATCTGGCTTACAAAAAAATTTATTTATTGCATCCTTATTCAATCCCTTTGTATTCATTAAAACACCTGCTATTTCTTCATTCGTATTTTCAATCACTTAATTTTCAACTAAATATTATATTGCCTAAAATTTAAATTTTCATTCTTCTTACACTATTTTAATCCTTAGAAAATCTTGTTATAAATTAATCAATATGAACTCTTTATTAAACTGCTTATTCGCATATTGTAATTTATTAAATCAATGGATTATTGGCATTTAAAATTCTATCCACATTATCTTATTTCTTCTCATACTATTTCTTTGTATTTTATATAACATTCTTTGGAGATTCCTCAACTATTATCACCTAATCTTCATCATCATCTAACATTTTTTACAATTATATATTAAATTATATTAAATGCAAATATTGTAGCAAGTTTATACATAATCTAATTTACTATCAAATTAACTACTAACTTTTCAATTAAATCCCTCAAAAGATAATATACCAAAATAAAATATATTAATTATTAAAATTACAATCATTATATCACCTGAAACTAATAAAGGTTCACAGAAGAATTACCTATTAAAATGAGTAAATTTTCATAGATTCAAAATTCAAACTTTCATTCACTCATTTTTTCTATCTCTTTTAAATTAAATTTTACAACACCCTTATGCATTATCTGTCTAATATTAATTTTTATTCTGAAGCTTAATAATAAAATGTATATCGATTTTTCTAAACATTTTTAGCTAAATTAAAAATGTAAATTGTTTTTAAGAATTGATTAGAATTGTATATTCTAAATATTAAATAAAGATAATTTAAAAAAAATATGAAAAATTATATTATAATATGTAGATGATGATATTTGAATTAATAAATAAATGGATAGATTAAGTAATTTACAATAAAATTATAAGATTGATAAATTAATTTAATCTGTATATATTGATAGAAGAAGTATATAAATTGTTTATTAATAATAAAAGATTTATACAAAAACTTTGTGAAGATTAGAAGAAGTGTAAGATTATTAAATATAAGATTTAAAATTAGAGAGAATAATAGCAATAATTGGATAAATATGATATTAAAATTTTTAAATTATATTTAAAATGGTGAAGAATGTTGCTTAAGAGAGTGTGAATTAAAAATTATAATTGGTGGTTAGATCAGGAAAGATCACCATGGGTTACAAATAAACCTTAAAGGCTATTAGAAATGGAACAGCCAAGCTAGTATTCATATCAAATAATTGTCCAACTATCAGAAAGACACAAATTGAATACTATGCTATGTTAGCTTAGATCACAATTGTTTTATATCAAGGAAACAACGTAGATTTAGGTATGGGGGTTTAAATGGGAGGCTTAGCTCTTCCTCATTGAATTTATGGGCATTTGTGATTTTATCTTATTTTAGGTACCGCCTGTGGTAAATTACATAGATGCTCAAGTTTAGCCATCATTGATGCTGGAGATTCTGACATCTTAACATAATAATGATACATTTTTATTAGTACAATATTATAAATCATTAATTTTTGGGATCCAATTAATTTTAATACATTATTTTTCTTTTATGATCTCCTTTTTATTTTTTATTGTCATTTATATAATACTTTCTTACTTTTCATTAATTGTCAATTTAATTTAGGCACTATCAATTACTAATATGATTAAATTATATAACAAATTTTAAAATTCCAATCGGAATAGTATTAAGAAACTAAACAAATTAATAAATTAGTTAGTATGATAATATTTTGGCAAAATATATTATGAATATGTGTTTATTTAATTTTATAAAAATAAAATAAAAAAGGTTGAAATGAATCATACTTGGATACAATGTGGATCCAATTCACACATCAATTTTATATGGATGTTCAGATTTAGGATATGATTATGTTAATATTTATGTTGGCAATCCTCCTTAAAAGTAATCAGGTATAATAGATACTGGAAGTTCAATAACAGGTTTCCCTTGTGATGCTTATAAATAAAAAACCAAATGTGGAATTCATTTGGATGATTATTTTAATAGAGAGAAATCATCAACTTATGAAGAATTAAATTGCAAAAGTTAATTTGGAAAGAATTCACTTGTAAAGAATGTTATTAATAATTTAGTTAAATTTATATAATTTATTTAGATAGTGAATGAGAAGTTTTATATAAATAAATTTTAATATTTAAATTAATGAAGTTTTAAGAAAATAATCGAAAATAAATAGAGAATATTATAATGTAATTTTTGGTGATTTATTAATGGATATTTAGAATTCTTAAAATGATTCTATTTCAAAAAAAGATGTTAGTATGAGAAGTGTTTTTGGATGTACTATTAGAGAAACAAATCTATTTAAAACATATTTAAGAAAATTTATATTTTAGTTTCTGAAATTATTAAAACACTTATTGTTGCTATTATACCTATCCTCAATATCATATTTATTTTATATATCAGAAGAAGAAAAGTCACTAAATAGATGAAAAGCATAAAAATTAACAGAAATTGAAGATGAATCATAAAGAATTGTTAAATAAAATGTTTTTATTTTTTTAATATATAATATAAAATAAAAATATTTTATGTTAAATCAAAATAATTAGCATTTTAGAATTACAATTTCGATTTACTGTAATTATTAGTAAAATCTTAATTAAATGGCTATTATTTAACTTATAAATAAATAACCAAAATCTATTTATTTTTTTGTTTATTAAAATATGTTCGTTAATAACTATTGCTTGTCAATGAATTGTATTGTTACTCCACTTAATGGTTGTGGAGGAATATACTTAGGAAATATAGATGCAGCTCAAGACTCTTAATTACTAAATTAATTCAAAATTGGAGCTGTATTGTAAATATTAGATTAATCAGTTCCTGTTTAAGGAGCTTACAAATTAGTAATAAATATATATTATATATTTAGTGGATAATGGCTGAAGATTCAGAAGACTTTCCTCTACATAAATACTTTGATTAATGTATAAGATTTATAGAGAATTAAAGTAAAAAAACAAATGTATTGATCCATTGTTATGCTGGAATATCTAGGTCTGCTGCAATAGTTGCTGCATATATAATGTAGAAATATAATTGGAGTGTAAATTAGAGTATACTTCATATTCAAAATAAAAGAAGGATTGTTAGTCCAAATTCTGGATTTATGAAATAATTAAGAGAGTTTGAAAAGAAATTATCAAATAAAGAATAATAATAATCATTAAACTCATTTAAATTAGATAAATTAAATTATAGACCTGGTTCAGCTCTATCAAATTATAATAAAGTCAATAGTCCAAATACTTATAATATTAAATCATCTAATAGATTGGATGATTTTAGTAGTAAATTAGATTAATTTAGAAATTTATTAAGAGTAAAATAGAAAGGTTATTGATTTGTTGATTTTTACTTAAAATAAACTTAATTATTAATATAAATATGTTTAAAGACTTAGGATATTAATTGTTAATTAAATGGAAACTTTGGAAAGTATTAGTTGTAATATTTCCATTCACATTTATTTATGGGATATACTTACTATTTGTTATATCTGATAATGCAGATCGTAATTCATTTGATGGAAGTCAATTAATTCATGCAGAGGTCAATAATTAATTAGCTTAAACTTTAAGTTTAGCAGCTGAATAATATATGAAAGATTTTAGTAAAACGAATGATATACATTCATTAATGATTGAAAAAATGAATAATTTGGGATTAGAAACATTTTAATAAGATAAATACAAAAATGTAATTGCAAAATTGAAAGCACCAAGAAGTCCAGATTATGAATGCAATTTAATATCATTTGAATATAATGATGAATCTCCTCATACTAAAATTAGAAATATTGCATACGTGTTAGCACTTATAAAACTTTATTAATCAAATTGTATTAAAATATATTAATATTGTTTAGAAATATATTATTTATCAAGAGATCTAATTATTGTTGGATATCATTCAAAATACAAAAAATATGGTTAGGGTATTACAGCATTTTTAGAAGAATATATAAATCCTAATGGAATTTCATTTATGCCCAGATCTGGAACAATTAGATCATCATTCAATGTAAATCTTGATGATAAATTTGATTCAGTAGCATTGAAAGTATATGGATTGAATGGTAAAGTTTCAGATAGAGATTATTACAATAGTATAAATATGATTATGGACAAACAAAATTTTTAATATTAATTTACAGAAAATAATTATTCTTGGATGCAGTAGATTGAAAAATATTTAGAAAAATAAATAAAAATATATTGGAAATTATTATAATTGGATTCAATTTATTAATTACCTTCTAAAAGATTATTATATATTGATCCATATTTTTCAAATTAAATTGAAATGCTTTAAGGTGATCTACATGATGCTCATTCATATATTATGAAATATGGAATTTATTCATTAACATTTAGAGGATATAATACTTAAAATAAAGATGATTCAACTTTGTTAACAAATAAATTATTATTAGTAGGTGAAGCAAGTTTAAAAGCATTAATGGCTAATGATGAATTTATTCATTCAGGATCAACTCTATATACACCATTAACTAGAAGTCATACACTTACAATTTAGAATTATTGTTTACCATATGTACTTGTAATATTAAGTTGTGCTATTTTTGCAATTAAATCTGTTTATAGTAGATGGCATTTTAATTTATATAATGATGATAAAAAAGAATTAGGTAGATGCAATTCAATGATTGCTCATAAAACTATACTAGAAATTTTTATGGGTTTTACCTTATGTTTTATACCTAATATTATAAATTATTTAGATAATCAATAATATGAATATTTTGATTAATTTTTTGCAATAATGTTTGTTATTATTGTAAGTTATATGGCAATTATATATACATCTAGAAAATGGATATTTGGATAATTTATATTACCTAGAAAAGAAAGTGTAATTGAATGGTTATGGGTAGAGTTAGTAATATAAATCTGTTTCGTTATGATGTATGCAGGTATAGTCTAAATACCAATTGCCAGTTTTATTGCAATATTCTTAGGACCTTGGTTTTTCTTTATTTAACCTTTGAGATTTAAACGTATTTTTATTCATTATTATAGCTAATTTCAAATTGTGGGATATTTTTTCATACCTCATGAATATATTATTCTTATATGGATATTATTAAATATTGTCATATTTTGGATTTGATTCCATTTTGGCATTTTATAAATAGGTGGTCATCAATTACAATCATGTTGGAGTTTATTTATTTTATTATTTGACTGGTGCATTTATTCCATCATTAATAAGATTTGCTGAGTTATTATTATTTTGATTGTTGATTTCACATAAATCTATAATGTTAATAAAATATACAAATCATTAATATTGTATTTTAATTTTAGAACTTCAAAAATCTATAAATTATGTATTATTCAATGTTTTTAAGTACTAAAATTTAAGTTTAATTCAATTTTATAATTAATTGATCATTCTAGTTTAATTTGCTATAAAATAAAATACTTGTGATGTTGGTATATTGAATATTGTAATTCTAAGTAATTTAATATAATAATAATAACATTAATAATTAAATTTATAAGTAATCATGGGGATTATAATTATTATTTTGATTTATTCTAAAATTTATCTATTTGAGAGTGTAAAGTTTGATTAATAACTTTCATTCCTAAATAATCAGAATTCAAAATTGCCAACTTCTAAGTCATTTAATGAATTTCTTCTGTATATTTCCTTTCTTATTCTTAAAGTTTTTATTCTAAAAGATCTACTGATTCTATTCTAATCTTCATTTCTTTTAGATTTTACTAACACTATAATAACTCTTAACTTTAAGCAATTAAAATTTACTCTTTTATATGTAATTCTTCTTGAATAATTTTTAAGTTTTTTTAATTCTCAACCAATTCTTTCTTTAATTCAGATATTTTAATTAACAATTTCTAATTTTCTTCTTGTTTTAGAATTAATTCATCAATTTTTTGAGGATTAAGATAATTAACTTAAGCATAATTCTTAATTTTTTAATTATATCCTCTTTTCTTAAAACTTTTTTGAGAATCTTTTGGTGATGTGACAGTTTCTGCACTACTTACACTTGGATCTTTTGATTATAATTCATACTTCAATTAATCTATTTCTTCATTTAATTCTTTTATTTTCTTTTCATTTACCTTACTCTCAGATTAAATAAAATAATAATCATTTACCAATTCATCATATTACTTTTTTAAAATATTGAAATCTATTGTTTATTAATTATATTATTTCCTTAACTATTTCTAATTCTCCAATTAACTTTAACATTCTTAAACCATTCTATCCATCTCAACTCTTAACATATCTTCAACTTAAATACTCTAATCCTTCTATTCCACTATAATTTAAGTTTCTTTATTAATATTTTCCTATCTACATAGAACTTATGTCTTTAATCTTCTATACTCTAAATCTTATTCTTTTAGAATTATTTTCTATTACTCTAATTCCTTCTACATTTTATCTCTATTTAATATTTCTATCTCTTCATGTTTTTTTCCTTCTGTTTGAACTAATCGTGATATTTATTATTTGATCTATATTTTTGGTTCCATCTATTTCACTCCAAAGATTAAACCTAAATCAAACTCTGTTTACTATGTTTAAGTACGCTAATTCTTATTTAAATCTGTTTGTATATTTTAAGAGTTCTATAATATCTAACTTTTTCTCTTTAGTTCAGATTTCTCTAATTTCAATAACAATTCCTTTTTCTATTAATTAGATTATAACATCATGTTCTTAAAACTCAAAATCTATTTCTCATATTACTCAATTGATCTATCTTTCTATTTTATTATCTCATTAAATAATTCCTATCTCTTATCTTCACATTGTATCTACTTATCTTCATACACTATTATTTTATTCTTATTCTTTTAATTTATTAATTCATTTGTTAATCTCTCAACTTATTCCCTTAACTACTAATCTTCATTATTATTTGTCTTACGATTCTACATAGAATAACTTTCCAACAAATTTCTCTTTACTGTCTCACCACCAGATTCAAATAGTTTTGCTTGTCTTGTATGCATATTTAAATAATTAATTATTTTAGAAAGAATGATGAATATCTATTGCATTACATAAATTAATATCAAAACTAAAAAACTAAAGCTCTAAAAACATAACTATTTTATTTAGACCTTAAAGGAAAAACTTTTTGGTTTTTACAAATAAACTTATTTTTATTCATCCATTCTTTTTCCTCATTACTATAATTAGGTTGCTTTCATCACAAATTAATTTCTAGTATTTTTTATATAAACAATTTCATTCTCAAAACAACACCCAGCTGATTCAATCATTTTTTATTAGTGATACCAGTAATTTAAATAAGAATGATATGAACTATTGGATAATCTAAATATCATGCTCATTTATAGTATCTAACTATAAACTGAAATTATAAAATAATATATTTATTAAATTATAATTTTTTCTATTATTATAAATATAAACAATAATAGAAAAAATTAATTAAAATATTGATTTCAAATGCAATGATTTCTCTAAGTATTTCTGAGTTTAATAGAGTCAGAAAGTATCAAATTTATTGCAATACAACTTTATGCCATTGATCATATCATATGAACTCTAATCTAATTAATCAATGAATAAAAATATTGGTTAATTTATTTTATAGAGCTTTATTGGATCCCAAGGTCTTTTATCAATTAGTTTAAGTACTTTTTTTTCGAATCATGTACAAATTTAAGTACAGCATTTCTTTATTTTTTATAATAGATTCCCTAAAAATCTAGTTTATTATGTTTATATTTTATAATCAAAATGATAGATTTTATCAAAATTTATTTGAAATTCTCGATATTCATTAATTTAAGCTTTACTAAAATAATTATAAAGGATGCTTATAGAAAGGAAATAGAAAGTGAAAAAGAGATTGAAAATTTTAATATATTAAATAGTTTAATTATATTCTTCAATAATTTAGGATCTGTTCAATTTTTTTGGCTGCCCTTTTTCGAGTTGCATGTCTATACTATGGAGTTGTTTTTTCAATCGTTTTATTTGAAATGTGATAAATAACCAATTTTTTTAATAAGATGAATTTAACATTTTATTAGTTTTTAATTTTAAAATTAGTTTTAGTGAGGATTAGCTTAATGTTTATAATTTATTCACAATTAATTAAAATGATTTGTTTTAAACGGTGTTTAAATTCTATTAATAATTTAATACTAATTTTATAAAAGCCATTATTTCAAGTTCATCATCATTTTCTTACTTCTAAATTCTTAATAATTATAAGAATTATATAATTTTATATATTTTCTCTTTGATTATATTTTGATGGAATAATAATAATAATAATAATAATAATAATAATAATAATAATAATAATAATAATAATAATAGATCAAGAAAATGAAATTTGATTTTAATTTTTAATCTCCACTGAGTCATTTTTTTGATTCTAAAATATAAATAAATAAATATAATTACTTATGGACTAATTTAAGAGTATTACAGAGATTTATTTTTTTCAACAGGTAATCCATTAATTTATTATCTGATTTTACCAATAATTCTATTTTAAGGTTATAAATCAAAAGGTAATTCATTCCTTTCAACCATTGGTGGATTCTTAAATTCAATTTACCTATAAATAAAATTTCCCCAACTTTCTCTAGGATCAACAACAGGATCAAGTAATTATTATTTTTTAGGTTTTTCAAATATATTTGGAATAAGTTCATATTATGTTCTTAAACGAAGGTGAGTTATCATAATTTCATAATTTACATATCGATAATCATTTTCTTAGGCAAATTGATAATAAGACGAGAAATCGAGTACATCTTATATGAATTCAAATAGAAATAAAGCAGGACGATAATTGCCATGTATAATAGCATAATCTAATGCAGAGAAACCTTGATTTGAACGAATGTTAATATCAGCACCAGATTAAATTAATAGAGAAACTGTTTATTAATTATCTCTTTTACAAGCCCACATAAGAGGAGTAATACTTGAAGAACCTCCATTATTTGGATTAGCTTATAACTAAAGATAATAGATTATTTATACATCTAAAAATAATTAAATAAGTGTAATATCATTTCTCCATACAGCTCTTGCTAAAGGAGTTTATTGAATATCTTTGGCAATATCTTCATTTATTAAATTAGGGGATATTTCTAAAAGTTATCTAATTTTTTCTATTCTACCCTAATCTATATATTTTAAAAGTCTCTCCTTCATATTCAAATTACCCATCAAATTATTATAAATATTAAAATTACTTTAATGTCAAATAATACCTTTTTAGAGTAGAATAAAATTTTAGCAGATAAGAAACTATATACAGAAATTCCTATTCTAAAGTAAAATAATCATTTTTAGATTAATTAAATATAAACTAAAAATGACTAATCCAACTCCATTTTAAATGAATATATTTTAAAATCTACTTCATCTTATTAGAAAGAGAATATCTAAGAAGAAATATGTTTTAAAATATTAAAACTATGCAAAATATGTTCACAGTATATATAAGTTGATGAATTTGATGAACATTTATATAAATGTTAAACTTCCTATTTAAAATTGAATGAATCTGAAGTTAATATCTAAGATTAGAGCACACTTATTATCTTAAATTCAGGAGAAATTAATAAAAATTATTAAGATTCCAAAAAGGTTGAAGAGGAAGTTGATAAGGAATTAGTATAAATTGGCTATTCAGTGGGAGGAACTGAAATTTAAACAATTATCAAAAAAGATAGCAAAACAGGATTTACAGTGTATAAAACTACATATACCAAAAATCAAAATAAAAATGCATTGAAAACTGAACAATAAATTAATACTGAACAATTAAATATAAATTTACCAAATACTAATACTTAAAATGAATAGTTTAATTAAAACATTGACTGTTATTAAACACCATAATCAGAAATTTGTCCACTATGCAATAAATAATATGAATTATTCGAGGAAACCAAAAATTTTGAGTGTCACCATTTATTTCACTTAAGTTGCCTTCAAAGTTTAATATGTCCAATTTGTACTTAAAATTAATAGTAACAAAAATGATGTATGCTAATTGAATTTTTATTATTATATATTATTTTTTAATTTTAATTTATCTTTTTAAGCTGAATTTTAATTCAATAAATTACTTTTGATCTATTCAATACTATTTTTTATTCTTTTCAATAAATTATTATTATTTTAGAATATTAATTATTCGAAATTGAGATTGTAATTTAAAGTAATTATTTCTCTTAAAAATTTCTGATAATAATCATTACATAAATTCTTAAAATTAAGGTGATACCTTGAAACAACAAAGTGTTACTTACATAATTGTAAATATTTTTAGATTATAATTTATTTTTGAAATTTTCCAACCTTAAGGTAATTAAAAAATAGAAATCTTTTACAACTTATTAATATTTGATTTTACATTTTATATTAATATTTAGGAAAATCAGATAATTTTGAATTTATAATAAAGATAATATCTAAATTTAATTAATTGTTGATAATTTTGTTGAATTTTATTGTCTTTTATAGAATCTAGAATATAATCTTTATGTATTTATTATAGCTGATATCAAATAATTGATTTCTCTTTGTTTAAATTTATAAGATAATCTTATCCAAACAAAGCTAGGATATAAAAAAAGAAAATTAAAAATAATTGATTTACTAATTAAAAGAGGGATTTTAATTACAAAATTTGTTTAATAATTTTCAAAATTTTCAACTAGCATCTAATTTTCAGCTTCTCCATAATATAATTATAATTTGTGCATACTAGTATGGTATTAATTCTGGCATCATTTTCAATAAACTTTGACATCAAAAAAATGAAATTTTGAATATTTTATAATTTTCCCTTAAATTATATTGAATAAATTTATACTTCATTAACTAACAAAATTACTTTTACTAAAAATCATTATAGAAATTTTGCTTTATTCACAATATTTTTTAATAGTCTAGAATTAGAGACTAAAAAAATGATATTTAAAGTAAGAGATATAATGAATAAAGTTATTTATCCTTAATCTAATTATTAAATAATATGATGAAAAAGTAGAATTCGTAAGTTTATATTCAGATTATAAAGTATTTATAACCATAACAATTAATGTAAGACTATCATAAAAGCTTATGTACAAATGGTAGAAATGTTATAAATAATTAATAGAATTTTAATTAAAATTAGTTATACGTTAAAATAGATTGTTTCAATTTATTTAAATTAATTATTGGAATCAATATTTTAAAAATAAGATTACTATCACATCCAAGATGCTAATTTATATAGAACTTAATTAAAAGAATTGAATTAAATATAATAATTTCAATTAAATAAATAATCCATTTATTCAACCTTAAAAGAACTTTAAAAACAAACATTTATAGTAAAAATAATAGAATCTTTCATAAAAGAAAAATAAAAATTGAAAAGTGAAGTAATAGAAATTTTTAATTTATAACTATTAAATTGAATAAGTTATTCTAATTCATAAAATTTAATTTGTGAATTGTCTTTTGGGATCTAACGAAGCTAATTATGTTATAATTTAACTTCTTAAGAAGTACAGATCTATAATATTTTTTAAGATGATGCTATTTAATGAATATAATCATTATAATAATAACGAAATAAACAACAATAAACAACAATAAAAAATTTAACAAACTTAATTTAATAAATGAAGAATTATTAATAATGATATATAATAGATAGGATAGAATAAAGAGAGAATAATAAATGAGAGTTTATTTTATTTACATTCTTTTTTATTTTCATTAAAAGAATAAAGTACTTTCTAAAAATAGAAAAACTTTTGCAAATATAATTTGAATGATATGATTTCTATAAAATTTAATTGAGTCAATATAATATTGAATGGATATGTTAAAAAAAGGTTTGAGATTATAGGAATTTTTGATTTAAAGATTTTCTTAGTTTATTGATACATAATAATAATAATTAATATATATTTATATGTCAAAAGAAGAAGCAGTAACTGCGACTTTAAAATAGCGTTTATCTGCAATTTAAGACAAGGAAATATACTTTGATGATAGAGAGTCTTTTAGTGAAGATGGGGTATTGATAAAATTTAGTTTAGAAATATTGCGAATATGTATAAAAGTAGAATAGGGAGATTTTAAAAAAAGTTTAGGAACTTCTCCATGATGATTAGTCAAATGTGAATTAATAAGATGATTAAAGCTTTGCTCTAATGAATGAGAATTAGAAATAAGAAATACTAGAAGACTTAGAGGAAGAATATGGTTAAACATATTTGGAAACAAAAGTGAAAGTGAATACTTACATTAGACTTATTCCAAAAAATGATTTATAATTAGCTTATATTTATAGTGACAAGTAATGGAGATGATTATTAATTAGATATCCTCTGTTAGGAATTCGGAAATAAGTTTTGATATTTGTAAAACTGATTTCTCAATATGCATAAAAAATAACAACACATCCTATTTTTGAGTAATTGACATTGATAATGATCATTTTCAATTCAGCCATGCTTGCAATGGATGATCCAACAACTAATGAATAAACAGCTTTCTAAGATTTAACAGATATTATATTTTTAGCTTATTACACGGCAGAAGCAGTATTAAAAATAGTTGCATTAGTATAATTAAATAATAATAATTTAAGGGATTTATATTTCCTAAAAAAGCTTATTTAAAAGACACTTGGAACATATTAGATTTTTCTGTAATTGTAACAGCATATATTCCTTATTTTTTGGCATCTAATTCAGTTAATTTAAATGCTTTAAGATCATTTAGAGTGTTAAGACCCTTGAGAACAGTATCATCAATAAAAGCATTAAGAACAATATTGTTAGCATTGTTTGCATCAATAGCTTAATTGAGAGATGCAGCTGTCGTTCTTATATTTTTTTATTCTATATTTGCAATTGCAGGTGTATCATTATTTTCTGGATATTTAAAAAGAAGATGTATAGGTGAAATAAGTGGAATTACTTGGATTTCTGATGAGATTTTATTTTGTTCAGATGATAATAATTGCCCATCTCCAGAAACCACCACTCTAAATGAAAATTTTATATGTGGAAAATAAATAGCTAATCCATAAAATGATTTAATTAATTTTGATACATTTGGATATTCATTTTTGTAAGTTTTTATTATTACTACATTGGAAGGATGGACAACTATATAAACAGCAGTAATGATAACATTTTCTCCAATTGTCGTTCTCTATTTTATTATTGTTGTTATTGTTGGAGCCTTCTTTTTAGTAAATCTTACTTTAGCTATTATTAAATTAAATTTTAAACCTGAAAAAATTTAAGAAGAATTGGCTCAAATAAAAGAAGAAATTGAAGAATATGATTATAGATAATTAAGATTATTAAAGTTATATGATCCATAAAGACCAAAAGTAGAAACTGAAGGTTATGGTATCACTTGGGAGAAACATCATGAATTTGATTAAAATGTATTTATGAATAGAAGAAAGAATTCAAAAAGAGGAGGTTCATAAATAAATATGATAAAAACAGGAAATATGAAAAAATTAAGAAATAAAAATAAGGTAAGTTTTCAACCAATAAAATCAGCAGTTTATTATAGTAATCCAATAACTTTAAAAAATAAATAATTAAAAATTGAAGGTATTTATGGAATGGGTAATTAAAGCAAATTAAATTAATAAACTTTAGGAGTTAGTGGTCAAAATAATAATAATAGATCAAGTGTAGTTAGAAGAAGTAGTTAAAGTAGTAATAATGATGACAGAACTTCTTCAAAAAAAGATGATAAAAATATTATTAATAATAATAATTTAGAAAATGAAAGTTAAAGTAGACCTACTAGATTGATACCTAGAAAAAGTATGTAATTTGGAGATCAATAATTAAGTTCAGAATTTTTAAATTCACCTATGATGGATTTATAAAATGAAAACATTAGACCGTTGAATGGAGGTACAATGTTAATCCATCATAGAGGATCTATGGATAGTAGTAAAAGTGGAGAATCAAGATAAGATAAAACACCAGTTAATAATCATTTAGAAATACCAAAATTAGGAGAAAGTATTTATATTTTATAAATATTATATAGTTAAATAATAATCTCAAAATGTTAAATCAAATTAAAAATTCAGTTTAGTAGCAGGTATGAAATATTAAAAACCTCCTAGAAATTCACCTAAACCTGATTCTTAGAAATCACTTGATTAAAATGAATTTGATAGTGTAAATCTAAGTGAATTAAATACTATTTCTGATGATGATCTTGATTAAAGATTAGAAGAAATGGATATTTTTGTTTAAGATAAAAATGATGATTCGGAAAGTGAAAAGAAAAAAAAACTTAATTAAAAAGAAATGATTAGATAAAAAAGAGCTGAAGTTAGAAGATTGAGAGATTTAAATAAAAATTAACAATAACATTTAGATGATGCTTCATTAAAATTGAAATCTAAATTATTTAATACAAAACTATCTCCTATTATAGTTATTGATTAAGAATTTCATAGTGTTAATGATGTTTTAGTTTCTAGAATGTTATTAAAATTAGAAAAAGAAAAATTAGAATAAGATTAAAAAATTAAAGAAATAGATATCAAAATTACTTATTGTTTTAAAAATTCTAAATAATCTTTAGAATTAAAAAAATCTAGTTCTACTAAAATTAAAAGTATGACAAAATCTGGTTATTTGAAATCAGGAATGAAATCCAAGAAAAATAATCTAAGTTTAAGAAGAGTTTAACCTATTATGGATGAATTACATCCAATTGAAGATTTATAATTTCCAACTGATAAGAATTTTGAAGCTTAAGATGATTAAAATTAAGAAAATGTTAATGATAATTCTGATTCAGATGATGAACCAGATGATGTTAATAATGAAAAAAATAACTTTAATGGTAGTGCTAGTTAAAAAGTTAAAATTAAAAAGAAAAAAAAAGAATAAGAACAAAATGAAAAATTAGATTTTGAATAAATGGGCGAAAAATTTTTAGAAAGTTCTGATTGCATTGTTGATTTAAATAGAATTCATTCTGTTGAAATTGATAAATAGTTTAATTAATAAGAATTGGCACTTATACCTGCATGGGAATTAGAATAACAAAGAGGAGTTTTTTACTAAGAATATCAAGAAATAAAATAAAAAGATATAGGAGAAAATGAAGGAGCTATCACTGCATAAGCTTCTATTGAAGATGTATTATTGATTGCTGATTACACATTTTATGATTAAAAATTTGCAAAATAAATGAATTCAGTGATGAAAGCATTAAATTATTCTAGAAGAGAAACTTTTATTTATTTAGAAGGATTTGTTGGATTTTTAAAAGTATGTTAGAATCATTTATTATATTTTGTATAATCTGGATATTTTGAAGCAGCAATGAATTTAGCAGTGGCAATAAATACAGTATTATTAGCTCTTGATGGTTTATTACCAGATAGTAGTGCTGACACTTTAAGTTAATTTAATTTAGGATTTACTATATTATTTACAATAGAATTAGGATTAAAAGTGATTGGAATGGGACCAAAAACATACATATCTGATACAATGAACATTTTTGATGCAGTAATAGTGGCATTAAGTTTAGTTGAACTCTTTTTCTTAGGTGGAGGAACTAATGGAAAATCTTCATTATCAGCATTTAGATCTGTAAGAATATTCAGAGCATTTAGAGTATTAAGAGTCACTAAATTAATGAGAAGTTTATAATTTATGGGATTTCTGATAAAAGTATTAGGAAATGCATTTTAATCTTTTATGTACATTATGGTTTTATTACTCTTATTTATTTTTATATTTACATTATTAGGAATGGCATTTTTTGGAGGAGAATTATCAAAAACACCTAGTAGATAGAGTTATGATGATATTTAGAGTGCATTTTTGGTTGTTTTTTAAGTTCTTACATTAGAAAATTGGAATAGTATATTATGGGACTTATTGATTTAAGATGTTTCAGCATTTATTACAGTACCATATCTAGTATTTTGGATTATGATTGGTAATTATGTATTTTTGAATCTCTTTTTGGCAATTTTACTTGAAAATTTTGAAGAGGAATATAAAAACGATAAGGCAGGATTGGATACTAATATTGAAATAGGAAGGGATTCTATTATGGATAATACAACATAAGCAGTCAATTCTACAAGTACTTTTAAATCAACAATGAAAACAAAAAAACATACGGTTGCTTAATAATTGGAGAATAATGGAGATTCTGAATCAAAAAAACATAAATTACTACAATAAGTATTTTAATATTATGTTGAACCTGGAATTTGTTAATACTCATTGTACTTATTCAGTCAGGATAACATAATTAGAAGAATTTGTTATAGAATAGTAAAGGATGATAAATTTGAAACATTAATTTTCTTTATGATATTTTTAACATCAGCCAAATTAGTATTTGATACATACATTCCAGATAGTGGTGAATTAAAAGAAATTTCATTATAGATAGATATATTTTTTGCAGTGTTTTTTGGAATTGAAATGTTAATGAAAATAATCGCTTTTGGTTTTGTGTAATAAGAAAGTTCATATTTAAGGGAATCTTGGAATACATTAGATTTCTTTATAGTAATAGCATCATTTATTGATGTTAGTGTTTCAACGATAAATTTGAGTTTTGTAAAAATTTTACGATTGTTAAGAACATTAAGGCCATTAAGATTTATAACTCATAATAGATCAATGAAGATATTAGTATCAGCTTTATTATAATCAATAAATGGTATATTCAATGTAGCAATAGTGGTAATATTGGTTTGGATGATGTTTGCAATTTTAGGGATTAATTTATAAAAGAATAAAATGAATTATTGTGACACAGGAGATGATGAAGTACATTACGATTATGGACCGGAAGAATGTAAAACAAATGGAGGTGTTTGGGAGAATAGAAAAGTGAATTTTGATAATATTTTAAATGGTATGTTAACTTTATTCATATTATCAACATTGGAAGGATGGCCAGATATAATGTATTGGTTTATTGATGCAGATGAAGCAGGTCCAATAAAAGGAGCTTAATTATAATTTTCTTGGTATTTTATTATCTTTATTTTGATTGGTTCAATATTATTGATGAATTTGTTCATTGGTGTTATTTTGGTAAATTATCATTTAGCAGAGGAAGCATCAAGAGATAAGATTCTCACTCAACCTTAAGTTGATTGGATTGAATTATAAAAACTAATAATTCATGCTAATCCAAATTTAGCTATGTTTTTTAGTCCTGAGAATCCTTTTAGAGCAAAAGTGTTTATTGTTATCAAACATAGATATTTTGATCCTACTATATTATTTATTATAGTATGTAATATTGTTACAATGGGTTTGTCTTAGGATGACTCTCCATTAGAATACGATAGTTTATTATAAACTCTTAATACAGCATTTACTTTTATATTTATTACTGAAGCTCTACTCAAAATCATTGCATTAGGACCTGTAGGTTATATGAGAAATTAGTGGAATCAATTTGACTTTTTTGTTGTTTGTGCATCTATTTTGGATTTAATATTGTAATTCACTGGAAACTCATTCATATCATTCTTAAGTGCTGGACCATAATTAGCAAGAGTATTTAGAGTATTAAGAGTAACAAGATTATTTAGATTAATTAAATCATTTGAAGGATTATAAAAATTAATAGAAACAGCAATATATTCATTACCTGCAATGTTGAATGTTACAGCTTTATTATTTCTCGTTTTCTTTATCTTCTCTATTTTAGGAGTATTTCTATTTGGTTCAATAAAAACTGGTTGGGCTATAGATGATGTAAACAATTTTTCAGACTTTCATCATTCCTTTGAGTTACTATTTAGATGTTCGACTGGTGAAGATTGGTATAAAGTTATGTTTGATACCATGTCAGATGGGTAAGGTTATTATTGTATCTTCTTTATCATATTTATTGTGATTTAATAATACATTATGTTGAATTTATTCATTTTGATTATTTTAGATCAATATGAAATCAATTACTTTAATAGCGATAATCCTCTTAATAAATTTTAAGAATATGAAAATATGTTTATAGAATCATGGTCCAAATTCGCCAAAGAAGATAAAGGAATGAAAATGAATCAATAATTATTAGTTCCTTTATTATTGGATATGGAAAAACCTATAGGTTATGATTTGAAGTTGAAAATAAATGAAGAAATAGGTGAATGGAGAAGAATCAATCCTCTATTAGATACAAAGGAAAATGTTTAAAAATAAACATAAATTCTTAAAGCTTAAGCAAAAAGAGATGTTTCTACTTAAATAATGAAAATGAATATTTATTCAGATATAACTGGATAAGTGAAATATCATTAGATATTGTTTTCTGTAATGAAATCTTATATGTGGAAGAAAGTGTAAATAAATTTAAGTCCTGAAGGAGCTGAGAAAATATTATAAAAGGAAGATGAAACTTAAAAAAGATTGAAAAAGAAATAAGTAGGAGTGTAATCTAAAGAAGTTACATTAGTTAATCCAATAGTACAATTTTTATTTGTACATATGGCTTTTAAGACTTTAAGAAGATATGGAGAAAAGAAGAAACAATAAAAAGAATTGCAAGCCTAATTATTACTTGAATAAGAATAGGAACATTATAGTGAAGGATTTAGTTCTGATTCATCTTTTGATAATAAAATAGAGATTTTATCAAGAAATTCGAAAGATACTGAACATCCAAAGAGACCAGATTACGGAAGAACCAAATATTTAACGCTTCCAAATACGGAGATATATAAAGAAGAAGTTTATATAAATTAAGAGACACCTGCAATAAATGATTCAGAAAGAAGTTCAAAAGAAGAAGAAGAAGAACCAGACGAAGATGGTATTTATATAATTATATAAAATTTAAGTAATGCAATAATACACTAAAGATTTTAAAAAACATCTTATAAATCCAAATGGTTCAAATGGAAATATTTAAGATGATAAAAGTGCTAGTAATATGGGTGGTGTAGGTAATGGTGGTGGTGCTACTAGAAGTAGTCAATCTCGAACTAGCTAAATAACTAAATAACCAAAAAGATTGACTCTCAAACCTAGTGACTTGATATAAGGATTAGGTGCAAGTAAAAAATCTATTCAATCCAATTAACCAGTTATTAATTAAAATCCTAATGTTTCATAAGATAATCCCTCTATTATGAATTAAAGTAGTGGTAACAGTAATAGTAATAAATGATTAATATATAAATTTGCCAACTTAAATATCCAATTATTTATTAAATTTAATATCTTGAACATGTTCAGAAGGGTATTTGGAATATCTAATAGATACAATCCTACTCGTCTACGATATTTAAGAGAGTATGTATGTTTAAGAGAGGCTACTAATCCATCAGCTTAACAAACTTAAAATGCTTAATTACAATAAGTGGCTAATAAATATGGATTATCACTTCCTCAATTAACAACTTTATCTGGAATATTTTAATTAAGTCAATTACTTAGACCTTAAAATTTCCCAAATCCTAATGATTATAAAGTAAAATCTATTTTCTATATTTATTAGATTCATGCTGAAAAATTAGATTTGATGTTCAGACAAACTTAATAAAGTTAAGAATCTCTTGCTCAATTTGCAACATCCCTTGAATATAAAATTCCAGAAATTTCTAAACTCACTAATGAAGCAAGAAAATAAGCAGCCTAAGAATTGTTTAACATTTATTTAGAAGGAATACATTATGATAATTTAGTCTCACCGTAGAGATTATATAATATTTTAGAGGCTACGTTTAATAATTGGAATCTATTTACAGACAAAGAACAACAACAGCCATCAAAAAAATTTAGGCGGAAGTTAAAGATCCATAATTAGCAGCCTAATTATCTTAATCCCTTGAATCCATCTTTGAAAATTACTAATTTAATCAAGGAAGGTATTAATATTTTCTATTCTATTTTAAGATATGTTGGTTTGATTAAATCATTTGTAGATTCTCTTCAAGGAACTGATGTTGAAGTAGCCCAAAAATTAGATTAACAAACACAAGAAAAATAATTATTTATTTAAACTGTTGATAGAGCAACAAAATAATTCTCTGCTGAAGATTAAGAATATGCAAGAAATGTTGATGGACATGATTACAAATTATTCTTATAAGAATTATATGAGAAAGAATATCAATCTGGATTTGCATAAAATAGATTTAATGAAAAAGGATAAAAATTGGTTTATGAATCTCAAGCATAAGAACATCATGTTTTAAGATACTAATTATTAGCAGGAGTGTTTGCTGGTTATTTCCTCTATTTATTCTACAGAGGTGATGCTTATTATTCAACTATTTTAACTGTTCCAGTAGTTGCAGCAGCATTCTTCTATTTAGCTAAATAAGGATAAGTATAAATATTCTTGATTGATTCTAGGCTAAAAGAGGAATTCCATTTATTAGATAAGTGCTCAAAAATACAGACAACTCATTTGAAGTTGTTTTTGAATAGAATCGTATCATTAGCAGAATAGAAAATGTTCAACCAAGTTAAATAAAGTAATTAACTAATTGTTATTATTTAAGACTTGCTCAAGATACTTAATTTGCAAATACCTTAATCTATGGCAATCCAACAGATTTTGGATATCATATCAAAGTTGCTGATAATTCATTTATTGCACCATACTTATACAGTGGAAATGGTTTAGATTTCAGAGCATTTATAAATGTTTGATTCAATAATATAAATCACAATAAAAACAAAACTTTCATCCATGTTAAGATTCTACTTAATTATCAATTCCATATAAATCCATTTTATCTTGATTTTCTAATTCATCTCTATCCAAACAATTGAAAGCAAACCCCGTATGTTTTTAATTAGTAACTTATCCAGATGGTTTATATGATTAAGGTTAAATAGTGGGTTATTAATAAGGCAATCTTAAAGACATATTTTTATTAACTTTAGATAACACTCTATTTAATTTAATATTCAATGCAATATCAATACTACAAATTGATGCAATTACTAAAATATTTCCAAAGTGAAAATATGGAGTTAAAAACAGGCTAATTTAATAATAAAATAATTTACGATTCAAATACTACATAGGCTTCTGCTGATGGTAAATTATCTAATATTATCCATGAGAGTAGATATGATATCATACTAAAAGCAATACTACCCTAAATAATATTAGATATAAAAATACTAATAATGCAGGAGTATATGTATTCGAGAATATTAATATTTTTAAATTACATACAACAATAACCATTCCAAAAATCATAGTACCTTAAGCCCAAAGATGATGAGTAAATCCATTATCATCAATAAAATTTTATGATATTGAATAAGTTGGAAAGAAACATACAATAGCTGTTTACCAAAATCCACAAAATATCCAAAATAGTACAATTTAAATATTAAATAACAATCCTTTAGGACCTTATTGATAATAATTTTAAATTCTATTATCTGTTAATTAATCAGCATCATATTCTTCATCAAATATACCATATATCATAATTGGTAGAGCACCATACAAAATATTAAATAATTGATAAATAAAAGTATCATAAAGAGATTAAGCAGAATACATAGAGAGAATTCCATACCAAAATTAAGGCAAAACAACTAAAATATTTTTATAAAATGTATAACAAACCAAAACACTATTTCTTCGATAACATTCTCTACCATGATAAAATAAAAGTCTTCTTAATTCTCTAAATTCTTATACACTATAATCAGCTGCTCTAGCTGCTTATTATCCTTCAACACCTCTTATTCCAACTCCAACATGAGCAGCTGTTATCATATTAACATCATTCGCACCATCTCCAATAGCTAAAGTTGAACATTATTGATTTTAATTTCTAATTAATGTTACAACATCTTATTTTTATTTTGGACTTACACGACAACATAAAACTACCTCACAACATTTTCCAATTTCTGATACTTTTTTTTGAATATCTGGTTTTAATGCATGTAATAAAGCATCTCCTGATATAATAAGAGCATATCTTTAATTCAAATCTTAAGAACCAATCTTATTCAGAATATCATCTAATCTTTCTTTAATTAAAGCTTCTTCTTTTTCATCTACAATATGTTATACTAATTAATTTGTTAATAAAGAACAAGAATAACCTATATTAATGGCAGTTTCAATTTTATCTCCTGTTAATACCCAAACTTTAATACCAGCAGCTTTTATTGCAGCTATTGTATCAGCTACATCTTATTACAATTTATCTTCTATTGCAGTTGCTCCTAAAATCTCATAATTTTTTTCTAATTCATCTTATAAAATCTACATTCTCTCCTCTCTATTTTCTATTAATTATGTTGCTTATTGATAACGCTTATGCCATTCCTGATATTCCTCTTTCCCTAATTTCCTTTTAGATAATACTAAAGTTCTCAAACCTATTTTACCATACTCCTCAAGTCTCTAAACTAACTAATGATATTCATTCTTATTTAATTCTTCATTAGACAATCTTACATAATCTAATAATACTGAATCTGCGCCCTTAGAAAATAAATAAATTTCTTTTGTCTTTATTACTTATACCAATATAGATTGTCTCTTTCTTTAAGATGTAAATTCAAATGTTTCCAATAATTAATATTCAATCATCTAATCTTAAAAACTAACTCTTTTTATATTATTCTCATCTGTCCCCAAAAATTCAAACCCAACAAATCGAGCAAAGTTTAATAATGCTAATTCATCTGGAGATGTAGCGTTATACACTAATTTTCCATCTCTCTATTCAGAAATAACTGTATGACATATTGATATCATCATTAAACATTCCACTACTTTTTCATTCATTACATGATTTTTATCTTAAATAGCCTCTATAAGTGTTTTATCTCTAAAATCTACATTACTAACGAAAGGATAATTTTATATTTCTTCATCTGTTATATACTTTTCTGAACTTTTTAAAATATCTCCATAATTTTAATTTCCTCTAAATTTAATTTATATTATTTACATAATTATTTATTTGAATTCCATTATATTACATGTCAAGGTTCCTGTTTTATCACTAAAAATATGCTCAATCTATCCAAGTTCTTCATTTAAATTTGATGTTTAAACTCTTGGTTAATTTAACTTTTCATCTAGACTCATTATCTTACCTTAAATAAATTTAACCATTTCTAATGTAACTAACAAAGAAATTGGAACAAAATTATTAAAAATAAGCATCCAATTACCAAATCTTACAAAAAAATTATATGGAATTGTATATTCAGATGTGTTAACATCAATATATAAGTAATTTAATGTCTTTCTATTATTGTAATATTAAATTGAATAAACTAGAGATGCAATTATACACATTATAAATTGGATTATGAAAATCATAAGTATGAATTTTTGCATTAATACTTCTAATTTACTTCGTTTTGTTCTTGCTTTGAAAGAATTCATCATTATTTTAGTATCATGTCCAGTATATGCTACTAATCCAAAAATATATTTCACATTTCTTAAATTGCATCCTCTTAATAAAAAATTATTAAAATTTATTGAAGAAACCTACAGATTAAATGTTGTAGTTTCACCAATAAATTTATACAAATAAGGAGTAGGAGCTTAATATTTTAAGATTATTCTTTTATCTTATTAACCAAAACAATCATCAGATTTGAATGTTTGTAATAAATCAGAGTGTACATTCTTTTATTTTAAATTTGTTTCCCCATCTAAAGATTTTGTTTCAACATAACATATTCCTTTCTTTTCACTGGATCTTAACAATAACATATCTGCTGGTATTATCTCATCCTAATGAACCTTTACTATCTGACCTACTCTTAGATTAAATGATGGAATTTCAATAAAATTAGTTCCATCAAATGCAGTCACTTATAGTTTATTTTCTTCTATGTCTGACTTCCTACGTTTATAATCTTCATAGAAATCTTTTGCTCCACTGACTAATATTATAAAACCTAATGGTAAGTATATTGTTGGTATCCCAGAACTTATTGAAACCTCTGGAACCATTTAAAGTGCCCCCATTAACTAAAAAATAACTTTAATAACATACCACAAAATAAACATTAGCTAGTTTTGAGAATTACTCAAATAATTATTTTGGAAAAAAATTTAACAAAGTATATTTAGATGTTTGAATACCATTATCAGGTAGTTAATAATCTGGTCTGTTAGAAGTTATTTTTCTATTTTTTGATTGATATTTCTAGGCATAATTTCCTTTTGTTTCAACATTATCATACTAATATTCTATTCTTATTTATTTTTATTACCAAATAAATTTTATATTTCTCTTTGATCTTAACTACTTAGAATATGAGGTGTCTATAATTCTAATTAAATCATTTTAGGATCTGTCATCTACAAAATTAAATGTTTCAAATTAATATTATTATTCTAAATTATATATATTAAACTCAATTCTCAAATATCTTGACTAAAATTAATCAATTTATTTTTAATACTCAAATTTCATAGGTTTAACTGAATTTATTTTTATTCATGTATTTAAATAATTACTAAGTATTCTTTATTTTATTATCATTCTAAAAATATTATCTTAAACCCATTCAATCAATTCTCAATCTAAGTTAATTATGATCTCTGAAATAAAATGAATTTTAATTTCTATCAGTTTTTTTCTCTTAAAAAAGAATCTTGAGTTTTTAAAAACACTAGCAACCTTAAAAATTATTTTATTACAACTTTATTAACTTATTTCACACATAATATTTATTAAATTAACTTAATTTTACATTTTATTATTATTCAATAATAAAAAACTATAAATAATTTAATACGCAGTGATTCATTGATTATGAAAGATATTATTAGAGTAAGATTTTTCTTTTGACTTAAATTCTATGGCAATCAAGGTTATGCTTTAGTTTAAATAAAAATTGTTATCAACTTTTTTTTATTTTTTAAATCATTATTAGTATCAAATTTAATCAGTAACATAAAATTTTATTAAGAGTTGTTTTTGAAAGCTGTTCATTATTTTTTAACTAAATACTCATAAATGATTTGCTTCCTTAAATATAATATACTAATCTTTAGAGTGAAAAGAAAATTTTCTAATTGATTTGTAAATGTAAACTTTAAATTTTTATTTTTAAGAAAACTTGAATATTATTTCCTCAAATCATTCAAATACCTTTAAATTATTCTAGATAAATCTAAATCAAAAGCTAACATCTCAGTAATCACATCTAACAATATTCAAGAAAAATAATTATTAATATCAATAAGATTTTAATTACTAGTTGAGATATCTAAATCAAAAAAAGTATTTTATTTGCTTATTTGGTTTTTCAAACTTTTTTTATTATATAAATATACAACATTATTATAAAATGCAAGATTACAAATATTTTAGCGATGATAATCCATACTGTGATCCTCCTGATGTATTTGAGCTATTTTAGTTTTATAATCAGTATTTCTTTGAGGGGATTTTAGTTACTTGCACTATAAAATGGAGTAATAGAATGACTTTATGTGCAGGTAATTATATCTATAAAAGATAGGTACTTGTAAATATGAGGGTTAAAAATCATGTACTATTACACTTTCTGAACCACTTTTAAAATTTCGTTCTAATGATGAATTAAAATCTACACTTTTGCATGAGATGATTCATGCCTACTTATTTATCACCAAACCTTCTGAGGCGTTTATAAATGAAGGTCATGGGCCTGCATTCCTAGAAAAAATGAACACAATCAATTAAATAACTGGATTATAATTAAGTGTTTATCATCAATTTCATGACGAAGTTGATAGATGTAGAAATCATATATGGCGATGTAATGGTATATGCTAATAAAAACCTCCTTTTTTTGGTTATGTTAAAAGGGCTATCAATAGACCACCTGGTAAAACTGATTATTGGTTTTAAAAGCACTAATAAGAATGTGGAGGGATTTTTGAAAAAATTAGTTAACCAGAAAAAAAATAAGTCCCAAAAAAAATTTAGAAAAAGAAAAAATCTAATGAAATAATAAAAGAAGAAAAAATGATCAAATTATCCAATTTCTTTTAAAATGAACAAATTTATGCTAAATTTTAAATTAATTAAAAAGAAATATTTGTAGAATTCATAATGATTCTCAATTCATTGTTGAATTATGATATATTCAATCAAAAATTAGAATAAATTATTTAATGTTTAAGGCAAACATATAAGTAAAATATTGAAAGCTTCAATATTAAAAAATTAATTAATATTAAACAAAGCCTTGAAAAATGTAAAAATGTAACAATTATAAAATCCACGAAAGAAATTGGTGAGTAAATGAAAATTCTATCAATCACCGTACACACAAACCAATCTCCACCTCAAATGAGTATATTAGTATAATTAAATAAATTATTGAAATGAATATTTTATAATTAAAATATGATGGGTATTCATAATTAGGTTCTGAATTTTTACACCAAAAATAAAAGAAAAATTGATCCTCATCTTACAATCTTAGGGCTATATTTAACAACTAAATACATAGTAAAAAAGGCTAAGCATATATTATAAACTTTAATGCTTACTTAAGTTGATATTGCTAATAAATATGGCAAAGGATCATATGCTTTAATTACAGGAGGAGCAGGTGGAATTGGCAAAGAATTTGCATTAGATTTGGCAAAAAAGGGATTTAATTTAATTATAGTTGATTTCAATCAAGTCAATTTGGAATCTATTTAATAGGAAATCTTAAAAATTAATAGTGATCTTATGGTTAAGACAATTTTATTGGATTTTGGCTAAGGAAATAATCCTGAATTCTTTAAAAGATTGTAATAAGAAGTATCAATAATATTTTAGATTAGATCTCAGATTTAGATATTTCCATATTGATTAATAATGTAGGAACAGCCAAAGGAGCTACTGGTATTTTTGAAAGGATCCCGCTTTAAAATATCATAGAAGGATTTAATATTAACTTTGTCACAGCTATTATGCTTACTCACATTGTTATAAATTAAATGAATTTGAGAGATAAATATTAATCTTTAATAATAAATTTGGGTTCTGCTTCATAGAACTTTTTTTTACCCTATTATTTTGGGTATGGAGCATCAAAAGTAACTTTTAATTAAATTTTAGATTGGTATGGCTAGCTTTTTTGATGCCTTAGCTTTAGAAAATCAAATTAATAAAAAAATAGATATTTTGACATTGAAACCATACTATGTGAGCACTGCTTTGATTAATTATAGAAAGGGATTATTCGTTATTTCTCCTGAAGAATTGGTTCAATAAACATGGAAATATGTTGGTAGAGTTTCAGAAATCACCCCAAATATAAGTCATTAATTATAATCCTACTTTGATTCATCTTTACCATATTATTTATTGAATTATGTGAATCAACTATAAAGAAGACCATAAAAAAAATGAATAATATGTTTAAAAATTTATTAAGCATAAAAAAAGATTTATTATAAACAAATAATTAATAAAGAATTAGAAAAACATTCTGTACTAATCTCCTAAATACATCAAATCAAAAGATTAGTAATATTTTTGAGAAGAAAACATATTTTTAAGTATTAAAGATATAGTATTCTAAGATCTAAAAATAAAAACAAATTTTTCATTACAATTAAGAGTAATGGGTAAATCAAATAATCAAATTTTAAAAATTTACTAAGAGAAGAGATAAATAATATTTAATACAATTGAAAAATCTAAAATGAATTATTGTTTTTCTGAGATATTAAATTTGAAAGCCTCACTAATTATTTTTGAGAAAATCATTAATTTTGATATTTATGATAAACAATATATTTTAATGTTATGGCAGTGCTTGCTTGACATCTATTCAAAAGAATTCTATTTTTAGACTCAAGAAGATATAAAAGTATAATTCAGAAAAATTTGATTGATTTGAATTTCTTAGCATAATGATATTCTTAATGATACAATTTGATTATTAAAGCACTGCTTTAATCTCTATGTAAGACGTGACGACATTAATAATTATTTATTATGTTTTTTATTTTGTTATCATTTTTGACCAGCCTAACAAAAGGGGATTGGATTCAAATTGACTAAAGTTTTTACGATACATCTATTTAAAGTAATAATTGGAAAACAAGAAAACATTGTGATTGCAATGATTGTAATGAAAATTTTGAAGATGGATAATGTTCTTCTAATTCATTGGATTATTTGAGATTAAAAAAAGATAGAGAAAGAGTTGAAAAATAATTTGACTAACAAGGTTTTTAAGTTTATGTAATCTTTGATGCTTACTATAACTGGGCAGATTCATCAAAGGACAGCCAATTAAAATTAACATATTACGAAGACTATTCATCCCAAACAACTTTATACTCTAGATCATATAAAAATTCTGACCTTACTTAAGATTCAAATCGAATATGTAATTATTGGGATGACTATGATTTTGATCTAATTACAGTTGTAAGTACAACAAAAACAAAAACTAATAACGTTAATAAATTTACAATAGCACTTTGTTTAGAACCAGAAAAAGGTTATGTTTCTGTTAATATTAGAAACTTGTTAATATATGTGAACCTTTGTTATCCAACTTGTAAAACTTGTTCTAGTTCTACTTTATGTTCATCATGTTATTATCAATCACCAACCTCAGGTTCATGTTAATGTGATCCTTCTCATTAATTTGCTGAATCTGCTGTTGGATGTAGATAAGAGTGTGAACGAGATTTTTTTATAGCAAGATCAGATAAAATTTGTGTTCCAGATAGGAGAATAAAATCTAATTAAAAATATTTTGATTCAAGCGACATATCAAATTCTAATTTTCCCAGATATAAACCTTTTTAATTTATACCAGATATTTTTAATTATTAAAATACTGATTTAGTTTATGATAATTGTGATAATAATGATTTTGTTGGAGAACTATATTTTAATGAAGGCATGTAATTATCTTTGGGTAAAATAGACGCCATTAAATTTTTTAGACTGAGAGTTACATTTTATTGTTTTAATTTTCAAACAGATAGCAAGATTTAAATTTTTGTTGATAATATATAGCAAGGAGAGTTATTAAAAACTTCATCATCTTATTCTTACAATAAAATTATTAAAATTTTTACTGATTCAAATTCATGCGATTCTAAATCGTATACATTAATTAGAATTGAATCAGTTTTAAGAACATATTCAGATAATCCTTAATTGCTTATTTAAGGAAAGTTATAAATTTCTAGTGAATCATGGGGATTTAGAAATGTGACAATAGATACTGGATTATGTTAAGAAAATTGTAAAACTTGTTCAGACTTTTCAACATGTTCTTTGTGTGAGACAAGCTATATTCTTTATTAAGGTGGTTGTATAAAAACTTGTCCTGTGCATTCTGCTAATTGTATTGATTATGCAGATATGAAATTATGTAATTATATCATTTTAAAAATAGATTCTCGATATTTGGCAAAAGGATTTTTTGATCTAAATATGACTTCATAGTAAGTTGAAACATTTTACACATCTGTTTCAGCTCCTGGTGGTAGCAGTAATTGGAAAACAGGATAAAAGTTCTCTTTTTTTCCGAATAAATTTGTCTTAGGCGGTATTATGGTATGGAACAATGCTAAATTTATAAAATCATGGGTAATCACAGAACCCCATTATGCAGTTACTATTAGATTTAATGTCACTTTTGGAGATGAATATTCAGGAAACTTTTATTATACAATTGGAACCTCACAAAGCATTGCACATCAAAAACCAGGTAGTGGGTAAAATATCATTGGTAAAAATAAACAAGAAAGAATTAAATACTTTGAAATTTATTTAGATCCTTTTAAGTCATCTCCTTTAGATCTTGAATTAGAATGCACAGGAGGTGATTCTGATATTAGGGAAGAATTCTGTGCCATATCTGAGTATTTTATTGTAGTTCATTATGTAATATCAAATTTAAAATTAGTGCCCACCGTTTTGTTCAGATTGTTCTAGTGCAACAGTTTGTAATACTTGGATTTCAGGACGCACTAGTTCCTCTTGTTTATCGACTGAGTTTTTATCTTTTGATGAGATTACAAAGACTTACAGTTGTGTTACATGTAACTAACCTGGTTGTTTAACATGTAAAAGTTAAGAAGATTGTACATCTTGTACTTACACATCTACTAATAAATTCTATTTAGTAAATGGTATATGTTAATGTTTTCCATTCAGTTATTTATCTGGTAATTTATGTTTGTCGTGTAATAAATATTGTGAAAATTGTAATGGAGGAGGATACAGCGATTGTATAACTTGCGTTTCCGATTTTCACAGATCAATTTCATTTAATAAATGTTTATGTTAACCTGGATATTATGATGATGGAGTAAATTTACCTTGCTTACCAAAATGTGGAGACTAAATAGTAGTTGATGGAGAAGATTGTGACGATGGAAATTTTAATCCATTCGATGGATGTCATAATTGTGTTTATAGTTGTGATTCTGGATGTAATATATGTGTAAGAGGTATTTGTGAAGATTGCAATGATGGATTTTAATTGATTGAAAATAAATGTGTGAGTATTTGTTAGGATAATAAGATAGTATCTAATGAATAATGTGAAGATAACAATTTGATACCATATGATGGTTGTTTCAATTGTCAATATTAATGTATAAAATATTGTTTGACTTGTGTATTTGGTGTTTGTTTAAAATGTTAAGAATCAAATGGATGGTATTTAGAAGATAATATTTGTTAATCAAGATGTGGTGATGGAATAGTTACATAATTAGTAGAATAATGTGATGACCAAAATGAGAATCCTATTGATGGTTGTGATAAATGTGAATACTCATGTATACCAAATTGTTCATTATGCGAAAAGGGTAAGTGTTTACTATGTAATTCTGGTTATTCTTTGAAATAAATGATTAATGCTTGTGTACCTCTATGTGGTGATGGACTTTTAGTGGATTCTGAGATATGTGATGATGGAAATATAATTTAATATGATGGTTGTTTTAAATGTAAATTAAGTTGTCAAGATTCATGCACTAATTGTTCAAATACAGGTTGTTTAGAATGTAATATAAAGGGATGGGAATACAATCCTTTAGAAATGAAATGTGAAACAATTTGTGGTGATGGAATACGAATATAAGATTATGAAGAATGTGATGATTTAAAAGATTTAGGATGTTATAAGTGTAAATATTAATGTTAAGAATCTTGTAAAATATGTTATCATGGTTATTGTCTAAAATGTAAAAAAGGATGGAGATTGGATTCGTTTGAAAAATATTGTTACCCATAAAGTGGAGATTCATTGATTGTTGATAATGAGTAATGCGATGATTTTAATTAATATCCTTATGACGGTTGCTATTTATCTCAATATTAATGTTAGCAATCATGTTTAAAATGTTAATGGGGAATGTGCTAAATTTGTAGTAATGGCTATTATTTATCTTCTAATAAATGTTACGAAATTAATGATGATGGCTTAATAGTAGGATAGGAGATATGTGATGATATGAATCGAGTAGGTTAAGATAGTTGTTTTTAAAATAGATATGATTGTCCAAGATTTTGCTCATTTTGTGTAGGAGGGCTGTGTTAAAAATGTTTGAAATCCTCTGGATATGGAAAATTGGATTAATTTAATAATAAATGTATATCCTTTTGTGGAGATGGGATAAAGTCGATGGATGAAGTATGTGATGATGGCAATTAATAACCATATGATGGTTGTTTTAATTGCTAATATTCTTGTGATTTCTATTGTGGAATTTGTAATGAAGGAAAATGTGATGAGTGTATAAATGGTTATTATCTAAATACAAAAACAAATACTTGTTTTAGTATATGTGGTGATGAGATAGTTGCTCTAAATGAATCATGTGATGATGGCAATAAGATTAGCGATGATGGATGCTCTGATTGTAATTATTAATGTCATAAATAATGTACCACTTGTATAGAAGGTCTTTGTTATCAATGCACTGGAATCGGATGGGAAATAAATACAATGACTAGAGATTGTTAACCAGTTTGTGGTGATGGAATTGTAATAGGTAAAGAATAATGTGATGATGCCAATGAAATAGGAGAAGATGGATGTTTTGAATGCTATTTTGAATGTTAAAAATAATGCACTAAATGTATAAAAGGTTTTTGTGAAGAATGTAATACTAAAGGTTGGTAATTGGATTGGAATTATTGTATTCCCATTTGTGGGGATAATCTAGTAGTTGGAAATGAAGAATGTGATGATGGTAATACTATACCTTATGATGGATGTTTCTAGTGTTTATATTAATGCTAGCCTGAATGTACAGATTGTAAATAAGGAGTTTGTTAGGCCTGTTAGGTTTAAGGATGGGATATAAAAAATAATGTTTGTTTTCCAGTGTGTGGTGATGGATATGTTGTTAAAGGATAAGAATAATGTGATGATGGTAATTCAATAGAATTTGATGGTTGTTTTATGTGTTAATATCAATGTGAAGAAATGTGCACTCTTTGTGAATTAGGTATATGTTATGAATGTGATGTTCTTGGTTGGGTAGTTGAAACTCATAGATGTACTCCTTATTGTGGAGATGGAATAATCATTGGCTATGAATAATGTGATGATATGAATGATGATTTTAATGATGGTTGTTATAAATGTTTATTAGCTTGTGATTAATATTGTATAGAATGTACTGAAGGAGTGTGTTAAAAATGTGAATTAGGAAGATTTGTAGAATCAAATATTTGTCTTGCAAAATGTGGAGATGGATATTTTGTAAAGTCATCAGAAGAATGTGATGATGGTAACTTAGATGATGGTGATGGTTGTAATTCTAAATGTGTTGTTGAAAATGATTTCACCTGTTTTAATACTGAAGGTAGTTTCTCGAATTGTTTTTATTCTAAGCAACCTTCATTTACAATAAATCTTATCACTAAAGTTCCTGAAGATTTTGAGGATGTTTAAGTTAAATTTGATCAAAAAATGAAGTTTGCTAGCAAAGTAAATAATGACATTTCCAATTTCATTAATGTTGATATATTAAATATGGAAAATAGTGAATTCTAAATCACTTAAAGTGTTTTCAAATCTAGTACTACTGATGAAATAACCGAAATTATTTTAAATTTCAGAGTCAACTTTTTTGTTCCTGTTGATAAACCTTTATTCTAAATCACATTTTTTGATGATCCTATTCTCTCAGAATTTAATTTAACCCTCATAGAATAATCTAAGTAATTAGTTTTACTAACACCATCAGTTCTTAGTTAAGCTTAAAAAGATATTGCTGATAGTGCTTCAGCATTCAACTAAGCTGTAATATACTCTTTAGCTGGACTATCTTCTTTATGTTTACTTACAGGATCTTCAGATATATTTTGGAATCTCATGGATTAATTACAATACTTATCTTACATTAAATATATCAATATTCAATTCCCAAATAATCTCAATATCTATTTTGATGTTTTTAAATTGATTACCATTTCTCCTTTAATGTCAACACTTGGAATTGATGAGATATTTAATTCCTTAGATGGAGATGCCACTTATTATATTCCTACCTCTTATAAATTTCATAAAGATGAAATTAATGCTTACTTTTTTACTAATTTTTAGAGCTTTCTATTCTGTTTCCTTTCTGCATATGGAGGTTATTTGGTTACTAAATATGCACATTTGCTATTGTATAGAATGGGACCTTATTACATATCAAAAGTAAATTTAACTATTGGAAAATTGATTTATTCAACAAGAAGAAGTTTGAAAAAAAAATCAAAAGAATTTTATTACAATGGAATTTTAAGAATAATGATGTCAAATTCATATGATGTTTGTTTTGCCATGACTATTTAATTGTCTTATTTTCAAAGCCAAGATTCTGTCCTAATTTTCAACTCTTATTTATCAGTTGGAGCTTTTATATCCTATATTTCTATCTCAATTTATACTTTTAGTGTAATGCAAAGCTTCTCAACAACTACCACTTTAAAACCTAAAAAATAATTTGAGGCTTTATTTGAAGGAATTTTAGAATCAAAATCTATATGGGTTACTTAATATAATGGTGTATTGCTTATTAAAAAATTGGTTTTCATTAGCCTAATAGTATTTATGTAAGAGGAAGGTCAAATCTAAACTTTATGTATTGCCATTAACTAAACAGTATTCTTATGCTATCTTATCTCAAACAAACCTTTAACAAATTCTTATGAATATATGAAAACCATTATTACTGAAACAATGATAATTTTTAACACAGTCACATTCCTCATCTATGCTTACAGAGTAGAACTCTCTTTAACTCTAGAAAACTCGATAAATTTAGGATGGATCCACATATTTACATCTACATCAATTCTAGCTGTCTCATTTATATTTGACTTTATTTAACAATCTAAAATACTTATAGATAAGTTAAAAAAGTTAATTCAAGGCCCATAAGTAGAAGATTAAGGAGCCCCTGTTACATTATTTTATTGATTTTCTAAAATTAGATTTTCATGAATAAATTTTTTTAGATATTTCTTATTATTTCAGTGTCTAATTTTCTCAAAATAATAAATGTTCTAAAGTGACTAAAATAAAATCTAAGCTAATATATATAAAATTAATTCAATAATTCAAGTATGTAAATAATATTAGTTCATCTTTAAATTTTATAATGATTATTAAAATTGATATCATATTTAATTGAATGTTAATGCTAGCCTAAGAATATTTATTTATGATGTATTTTCGATTACCTAATAAAAATTAAAGTGCGTATTATCTACATTTTTAATAATAAATAAAATCTTAAATTTGCAAATGGAAGTCTAAAGAAAAAGATTCATTGGAGGAAATTGGAAGAGCAATAACACATTAGCCAAATCTTTGGAATTAGTTGATAGTGTTGTTAACAAATTAGAGTTTGATAATTTAGATGTAGTGGTTTCCCCTGTATCTCTACATATTGTTCCAGTCTAATAAGCAATAAAGAACAATGTGTAAGTAGCTCTATAAAACATTGGACATAAAGGATATGGTGCATTCACTGGTGAACTTAGTTTTGAACATGTCAAAGATCTTAAAATTAATTGGGTTATCTTGGGCCATAGTGAAAGAAGAAGAACTCCAGAAATTTCAGAGAGTGAAGAATTTATTGCTAATAAGGCTACTTTAGCAATAAACAATGGATTATCTGTAATATTTTGTATTGGAGAAACAATTTAAGAAATGGAAGCTAAAGAAACCTAAGCTGTTTTAGAAAAGCAATTGAATCCTTTAATTGCTTAAGTTAAAGATTGGAGCAAAGTTGTAATCGCTTATGAACCAGTTTGGGCCATCGGAACAGGTAATATATAAATAAATAATTAATTTTAGGTAAGACAGCTACACCAGAATATGCTGAAGAAATCCATGCAAATATAAGAAAATTACTTCCTGATTAATCAATTAGAATTTTATATGGAGGATCTGTTACAAAAGACAATGCAGCAGTTTTGATTGGCTAACCAAATATTGATGGCTTCTTAGTTGGAGGTGCTTCATTAAAAGAAGATTTCATCCATATTGTTAATGCTTGCAAATGAGTTCATATTAAAAAAAATAAAAATTTAATAATATATGTTTTATTCAACTGAACCAGAACCATTTCCAATTGCTGTAATCACTCTAGAATTAGAAGATTAAATTGAATAAATTAAAGTATATGAAGGAGATGACATTGAGGAAATGGTTGAAAATTTTTGTTATGATAAAGGTTTAGAATAAAAGTATGTTAAATACTTGATTGATCAAATTAATCAATAATTAAAAAAAGAACCTTCTCCTAGATTTGGTGATAGTTTTGGATCAAATTTTAAAACTCAATAACCATTATAAACAAATTAAAGTTAATAAAGTGAAGTCTGCTACACTACATAAGCAAGCAGTATAGAAGAAAATTCGGCATAAAAAAGTTATGAAAAATGGTAATAACTATTGAATAAAAAGACAGATCTTAAATAATTATTAAACACTTCTTAGAATACTGTTTAATGGAGTGTTCCAAACACTGCAAGATGTATATATTTCAAATTTATTATTATTTTAGCTTTCAACGAAAATAAAAAACTTACAACAAATGAACGTCTTTATAGAGATGGATTGGATATTCAAAAAAACAAAATCGAAAAGGCTGAAATTTTGAAATTTTAAAAACTATAATAAGAATCTAAATAAGCAACATTCAAACCTTTGATATCACCTAGATCTAAATTAATTACATAATAGAAAAAAAAAGTAAGCAAACCAGAAATCAATATAAATGTAGATGCATCTCATTTTTAGAAAAAAAATTAGGAAATAAATACTAAGAAATTATAAAATAAAACTTAAGTTTAAATATAAAAAAGAAAAGATTCTCCCTTACAAGCATAAAAATAAATCAATGTTAGTAGAAATCGTTCTTAAAATAGATCAGTTACTCCAATTTATGAAAAATTATTCAAATAAGCATAAGAAGATAAAAAAAAAAAAGAAGAATTTGCTAATTAAGAATTTTAAAAAGTCTATACTTTTAGACCTTAAATTAATAATCCAACTACGAATGTTGATCCTGAAAATCAAAAAAATTTAGTTTAAAAATTAGTACAAGAATAAGATGAAAAAAGACAGAGAATAGAAAAAAAAAGGTAAATCTTTTAATTTTAATTTAGGCATTAAATGTTAACATAAAATTAACCAACTTTTCATCCTAAAATTACAAAGGATTCAACATTTATTAAAGTTAGTAAATAAAGGGATTATGAAGACTCATAACTTGCAGTTGATTTATAAAAGATTCAATCTAGATTAGGTAGTAAAAATTCTTTCAGTTCTTCTGAAACCAGAATATAGTCACAATAAAGTGAATAAACTCTTTTTGATTAATAAATAGTGAAATTTTTCAATTAGTTAGATGGAGATAGAGATGGATATATAAGCAAAGATAATATTGATTTACATTAAATGAACATTGATACTTTAGAAATAATTAAAGATGTTTTATATTACATTGATGATAATAACATTATTGCAGACTAGAATTAATTTAAAAAAATATGTTACTCTTATGGATTACATAATAAATTCAATAAATCATGATAATGTTTCATTTTTCGAGATTTTTATAATATCTATAAATATTAGAATTCTGATCTTGTGTATTTTTTATTTTTTTTTAATTTTATGTATAAAATATAATAACCTTCAAAATAAGATTAAGCTAATTTTGGTTTGAAAAAAGCTTAATACCAACAATAAACACATGATGATTCATTATATGATGAAATTACATAAATACAAACTCATTTATAAAGAGAAGAATAAAAATAGATGAATGATTTTAAATCTCATTTTTTAAATTAAGAGTTTTCTAAAAATTAACTTAACAATGATTTATGGCAATCAATTAGATAGATTGAAGTTAGAATTTAAGAGTAAGAACTTCATTTTTAAAGTGTCAATTTAGAACAATAAGAAGAAATCATTAAATTAAAGGATGAATTAAACTAACAGAAATATTTATACGAAACTAAAATTGAAGAAATTAAAAAATCAAGAATATTGAGCTCTTATTAATAAGACCAATCTCCTTATACTTCTGAAAATAATAGAGAATATAATTATCGAAGTAATAACAATTATTTTGACGAACAAAAAGAGAAGCACTATTTATAATAATTGGTTAAAGATTTAAAACAATAAATTTAAATCTTACAAAAAAAGTCATTCTTTGTTTAGAATTAAAATGATATGAATCGTGAATAAAAATATTCATAATAAGAAAATTATAAAGACTAAATTCATACTGAAAGAATACAGAACCTTGAAACTTAAATAATAAATTAAAAGTTATTTTATGAGAAGGAACTTTCTGAATTGAAAAAACAATTTGAAGAAATAAAGTAAGAAGATATAAAGTTGAAAAATGTAAACTAATAATTATTATAAGATGTAAATTCTTATAAAAATAAAGTATTAAATTTAAAAAATTTAGTTTAATTAAGTAACTTAATAATTATCATTGTAAAGTTAATAATATTAATCCTAAATTTACTAAATATAATTGGAATCATAAAAAAATTACTCCTTTGAAAATATGAATTAGAATTAATAATAATTATTAGAATTGACAGAATAATTATAGGCATTAACCATTCTTCTTGAAAAGAAAATTCAGGAATGCGAATTTTATAAATAACAACTTTATCAATAGTAACCATTTCATTAAAACCAATAAATTTATACTAATCGTTTATCTGTAACTCCAACAAAATATAATATTTAAACTTAAAACTAAAACACATTTCGAACTCCAAACAAATTGTAAATCTAAAAACAACAATTTTAGTGAATAATAGAGTATTAAATGTATTAAAAATATAAAAATATAATATGTAAGTCTTAAAAGTTTCTTAGTTGTTTTCATTATTGCAATTTTCAAGAATTTCGAAAATATAAAAAAATATTTCAAGAAATACAATTTGAATAAAATTTTATATTGTGATGTACTTTAAATAAATACAATTCATTTGGCTTATTGTTATTATTATTATTATGTTTATTAGATTCTAATGTTGGCATTATAAACTCTAGCAATATTAACTTCAATTGTGGTGATTTAATCCTTTAAAAAAACTATGTCTTCATCCTAAATGATTAAATAGAAATACAAATTATCTAAGATTTGAACTGGCATTTTCTTTATTGGATGATAAAAGTGATTTAGCTTCATTAAATTCAAATTCAACCATAACATTGGCACCTAGCCATAAAGCAACAGTTTTATTTTCCTTAGGTAAAACAGCTTTGGAATAAATAGTGTCTGTAATAAGAAAGTCAACAACTTCATCTTCTTTTTGATTTTCTAAATGCTCTACAATACTCAAAGCTCTTTCAATTTCTGGTAATTTATTTTGCATTGATTCTCTTTACTTTACTAATTGTGCCTCCATAAATTTATATTTGCTAAACTCATTCTAAATTAATTCTTACTTATATGCTTCTTGTAAACTTTCCATTAATCTTTAAATCGAGTTTTTTGAGATCAATTCATCAATATTTTCAAAGAAAATAGCTTCTGGGATTTTTCTATTGTTTTATGCCTATTTTGTTACAAGGTCCATATATATATTAATTATGATAATTATTTAATATATTTATTAATTAACATGTCTAATAATCTAACATTCAAAGATTTTCCAAATTAAAGTCATATTGAATTGAAATTTAATACCAAAGATCAGCATGGATTAGAAAGAGAAGAAGCCTTACAAAAGTATAGAAGAAATGTAAATATAGAAAATTTTACAATTTAGATTAATTTGCTTACTAAAATATTTGCATATGATGTTGATTAACCAGATTTGGAAAAATAAAATGATATTTTTTAATCAGAAAAACAAAATGGATAATATTAAATAAAAACTCATCTTTTAGAAAATATGAGATCATCTTTAATTCATTTATAAAATAGACACAAAGAAACTATTGAATAATTTAAAAAAAGAAATGAATTATTTAAATAAAGAATTAATGAGGATAGCAAAATAAATACTCAAGAAGAATTTTAACAGTTTATAAATGAATTACAATCTGAAGATTTATTATGTGATTCTCATCCATTTTTAGATAAAAGATCCTCATTTTATATGCAAACAAATCTTTAATAACCTATATAAGTATAAAATGAAAAATACAATTTTAGATAAGTTAAGAATAATGTTTAGAGTTAAAAGAATAATTAAAAGATGATTAATGTATTCTTTTAAGTTGATATATAAATAATTATCTACAAATTTACGATTAAATTCAAGTTTACATAAAATTAATTGGTCATGCAAAAATTTTCAATATTTCTTCATAAATTTCTAAATAAAAATTAATACAATGTTTTCCTATTTCATATTAGTAGAGATTGATGGTAAAAAATATTGTATTTTGCAAAGAATACGATTGATTAGAAAAAATTCTATTTTAATAAAAATTATTTAATGTAATTAAGTGAGTCTAAAGCTATTCTGTTTAATAAGTTGTATGAAAGAGATGTTTGTATCAGATGTATATTGAGAATATTTAAAATTACTGAAATAAGCACATATAGAGATACTCAATAATTCATTCAATTGTTATTTGATGTAGGGAAAATGATTGGAAATGAAAATGTAAAAAATATTAATAAATATAATAGAAATTAGTAGAAGAGTATGATTTTTTATTCTATAAAAGGAAGGCAGCAATTTAAGAATGTGATGTTTAACCTTAAACTTGTCATTCTTCTTTAAAAGATTAATTTATTAAAAATCCATTTCACACCTTTGATAAAATTAATAAATGTGTAATATGTCATGGAATATTACAATGTTTAGATGATTAGAAATTCATAGCTTTATTAGTTGATGAGATTCAGCAAAAATAATATTCATATGAAGCATTTAAATTTTAAGTTAAAACACCAATAGGTTGTTAGATCAGATAATAAATAATAGTAAATTAATGTATTTCAGAAATTGGTTAGAATGATCCAATATATGAATATATTAGTACTCCAAATTTTGCAACAGACATTAAGATTTGTGTAAAGTGGATAATGTGTTGTTTATTAAGTGAATCATTGAAAGTGCCTAGTGATCCAAATGATGATAGATTTTAGATTTGTTTAAATTTTGAGAATATTGGAGATGATGTAAAATAATTTGAATAATTTAAATAAAAAATTTAAGAAATCGATGATGAAACATGGGAGGAGAAAATTACAAAGAAAGTATGATTATATAATAAAAAAGTTAAAAATGAATGATCCTTAATTGAAAGCTGAAACTCATAATAGATTGTTATAGAAGAAAAATTAATAATCTTAACCTTTTTTACCCACATAAAATAATTTGGAAAAGATATGTAAATTAAACAAGACTTAAATTTAATAATTTAAAATAGTTAATGTTAATTATGCAGTGAAATTAGAGGTAACAACTAGTTATTAGAATATATTTATAAAAGGTAATTACATAAAATTAGGAAGATTCATAAGTTAAACTCCATGGATAATAGATGGAAATAGAATTTATGAAGAATCGATTGAAGATTTAGTAAGTAGTGAAGCATGTAAGATTTTTAAACCTTCAAGTGTAAAATTTCATTCTGGAGGTAGAGAAGATATTGATGTAAGAATGTTAGGAAATGGACGACCATTTGCAATAGAATTAGTAGATCCTCATTAAGGATTATAGAATTAGAGTTAAGAAATACTAAATTAAATAGAATCTTAGATTAATTCATAACATATTGTTAAGGTTACTCCATTATCATTTACTGATGCAAGTATTTTTGGAGATTTAAAGAATTCTGAAACTAATAAAGTTAAAGCTTATTGTTGTGTTGTTGAATGCAAGAATGTTGTTAATGTAGATTTGATTTAATAAGCAAATTAAATAAAGGATTTAATCATTAAATAAAAAACCCCAATAAGAGTACTTCATAGAAGAACTCAGATGATTAGAGATAAGATCATCCATTCATTATAAATTAACTAAATTAACGACAAGTGGCTTTTAGTTTATGTATTAAGTAGTGCAGGTACTTATATTAAAGAGTTCATTCATTCCGATTTAGATAGAACCGTTCCTAATCTATGTTCAATATTATAAAATGAATGTGACATTTATTAACTTGATGTTATCAAGCTTTATGAGAAAATTGATGAAAATGTTATTATTAACTTTAAAAGTTTAAATAATGAATGCGGTAGTCATATTTGAGTATTAATATAAATTTTATATTATTAATAAATTTCATATTTTAATATCTTATAATAATCAATATTTATTTAACAAAATACTATCATTTTAATTCAAATGAAGTAAAATAGACACAGTCATTAATTTAAGCATAATGTTCTTTAAAAAGAATCTATTCAAATTAAAACTGAAACCTTATAAAAATATTTTGATATAATAGTTCCACTTAATGAAAATAATGCATTTATTTATTTTGAAGATGGATCTTATGAGGTTTTTGATTTATCATCTAAATAAATTATTGGCAAAGGATAAATTGTTACTGATATAAAAAGCTTCATTCAAATATATCCAGAGTAACATTTATAATAATAAATAGAACTTTATGTTTTCTTGATCCTGAAGATATGAAAGTTAAATTACTTGATCTTAAAAGTCATAAAGAAAATCCTTCATTTGTTTTTGCCTCTAGTAAGGTGATTAATTAAAATAGCGAAAAACAATACAAAGAAACATTTGCAAATTGTAATAATCAACATTAATAATAGAATTTCAAATTATGATCTTAGATAGAGAAAAAGATAAGATTCAGTATTTAATAACATAAGATTTAGAAAAATAATATTCTAATAATAATACCTGTCACTTCGTTATTAGAGCTATACCTCAAAAATATACACCTGATACTTTATTTGATCTAAATCCTATTTTTGAATATGACTATCAAAATAAGACAGAATAAACTAATTTGTGTAATTGGTAGATTGATGAGGAAACAGTTGTTGTTTTTGGACAAGATGATGAATTTGGAAAAGAAATTCTTTTAATTAAACCTCATCTTGTTGAAAAGGCATTCTACATCATTCACATCAAAGACGAATTTTCTCAGACATTAATAAATGTTACTAATTGGATATTTCCTCATCTTATAGCTATTTGGTAAAACAATAATGATGAAAATTCTCGACCAACCCTTTTTACTATTGATATAAGATAGTATTATGATGGCTAAAATTGGTTACCTGAACCAGACTATAATCCTACTAAAGTTTATGATTTATTTATTTTTAGGTCAAAGATGATTTTTTTGTTGGGAATGAACCTGTTACATTTATGGATATTTATCAATTTTATTTGAATTCATCATATATCCTATAATTTAGATTAGTTGGAGTATAACCAAGATTATCTTTAATTAACTATCCCAATTTTGATAATCCTGAATTAAATACTGAAGTAAAGTTAGATGAATTTTTCCATAAACTACCATCTAATAAAAATTATTTTTTGTCATATGATGATTTATAGTAACATTTTTATGATATTTTTAGAATAAACAATGGAATTTTAAAATTTAGTATATTCTACCCAGCAGATCCAAAATGTGAAATATTAAAAATTATTGAAAATACAAAATTAATTGATAAATATGGTATCGATAGTATTAAAGAATTATTTGAATTTTATAAATGAAAATAAATATCAAGATGTAAAATTATAAATTCTGATATATTTTTTTAGATAAATTAATAATTCATAAAAAATATTTTCTTTTTGCAACAGTTTATTAAGTTTAGATTTATTTTATATTTGTTATGTCATTACTTTTGAATATTTCTGCATCAGATGGCCTCATTGTACTTATTTTATTATGATCATTTATCAATGATCCTTAAGAATTTTAAAATTTATCCTATTGGGATCGATTACTTGATAATTTGAAATACTTTTCAATTTATTCAATTGATCCTGATAACTATGAAATTACCACATCAACCTTAAAAGATGGTTTTTCATTTGAAATTTTTGATGTTAAATGAAATAACAATCTATCAAGTTTTTCGTAAATCTTATGTAATTCAACTAGTCTCCTTTCTTCCAAAGCAATATTTGGAGATGTATTTTAAGATAATTCCAACTTTTCATTCATATCTTTTATTGTTCTAGTTATATTATTATATAATTTTACTTTTCATAATATTCTATATCTGCTTAAAATTTGATTTCCAAAGCATGATATTTACCACTTAATTCTTATCTCTCTTGTAATAATAATGATAATTCATTATTATCAAATTTTAATTGTTCAATAGCTTTTTCTGATTCATATTTAAATTACTATAAAACATCAAGTTCTTCTAATATTTATTATCTTTCATTTTATAGTTCATTATTTGTTTATTTTAATTATTAAATTTCTTATAAACAAAATTCAATTTATTAAGAGGCCTCTTAAAATTCTTTGTTTCTTTACTGATACTCCCTCTATAATAATTCATATTTTTATTAAAATTATTAATGTTTTTCATTCAATGCTCCAAATTATTAATGAACCTAAACTAATTAATTAAATTCTTTTGACATTTCTTCATTTTATTTTAATATATTCTCTAATTCATGTTATTACTTTTTAATTAATTACTCTTTTTCATTCATCATTTTATCAGCTTCACAAATTTANTATTTTTAGAATAAACAATGGAATTTTAAAATTTAGTATATTCTACCCAGCAGATCCAAAATGTGAAATATTAAAAATTATTGAAAATACAAAATTAATTGATAAATATGGTATCGATAGTATTAAAGAATTATTTGAATTTTATAAATGAAAATAAATATCAAGATGTAAAATTATAAATTCTGATATATTTTTTTAGATAAATTAATAATTCATAAAAAATATTTTCTTTTTGCAACAGTTTATTAAGTTTAGATTTATTTTATATTTGTTATGTCATTACTTTTGAATATTTCTGCATCAGATGGCCTCATTGTACTTATTTTATTATGATCATTTATCAATGATCCTTAAGAATTTTAAAATTTATCCTATTGGGATCGATTACTTGATAATTTGAAATACTTTTCAATTTATTCAATTGATCCTGATAACTATGAAATTACCACATCAACCTTAAAAGATGGTTTTTCATTTGAAATTTTTGATGTTAAATGAAATAACAATCTATCAAGTTTTTCGTAAATCTTATGTAATTCAACTAGTCTCCTTTCTTCCAAAGCAATATTTGGAGATGTATTTTAAGATAATTCCAACTTTTCATTCATATCTTTTATTGTTCTAGTTATATTATTATATAATTTTACTTTTCATAATATTCTATATCTGCTTAAAATTTGATTTCCAAAGCATGATATTTACCACTTAATTCTTATCTCTCTTGTAATAATAATGATAATTCATTATTATCAAATTTTAATTGTTCAATAGCTTTTTCTGATTCATATTTAAATTACTATAAAACATCAAGTTCTTCTAATATTTATTATCTTTCATTTTATAGTTCATTATTTGTTTATTTTAATTATTAAATTTCTTATAAACAAAATTCAATTTATTAAGAGGCCTCTTAAAATTCTTTGTTTCTTTACTGATACTCCCTCTATAATAATTCATATTTTTATTAAAATTATTAATGTTTTTCATTCAATGCTCCAAATTATTAATGAACCTAAACTAATTAATTAAATTCTTTTGACATTTCTTCATTTTATTTTAATATATTCTCTAATTCATGTTATTACTTTTTAATTAATTACTCTTTTTCATTCATCATTTTATCAGCTTCACAAATTTATCTTCCTGTTTTTGTCATATTACTTTCAATTTCATAATTTAACTATTCTAAATTTTCAATTCTACTTTATTATTCTTCAGTTTATCTAAATTATTTTAATTTTTACTTTTTAAGTTAAGACATTTAATAAACACTTTAATTAAATTATCGACTTAATTCTCTATTTGCTTATTCACATTCTAATAATTTATTATTAGCTTCTGTTAATTATAATTAAAAACTCATAATTTCTTTTTATTTATCTGAAATATTTTTTTATAATTGCTAATATAATCAATTTTATTTTTACTTTTTTTGAATTGTCTGCTGTAATAATTTCATTCTTTTTTAATTAAAGTTCTTCTTCCAATTAACCTAGTTTTTCTTAAATCTGTATCATTTTTTTAATTTATTCATTTGATGTCTCTGATTATTTTTTTCTTTCTTAATTTTCAAATTTCAATTTTTCTACTTATTAAAGTAATTAATCAATTTATTCTTTTTATTATTCTATATGATCAATTAAAGCATCTTTTTCTTATTCTTATTATTAAATTGTCTAATTAGCATGATTAATGTTTTTCATAGCATCCTACATTGATTATGATAATTCTTCATTTTATTATTATAATTCATTTTCATGTTTTTTCATCAATTCATTTATTTAATTAGATTATTTAAGTTAATTTTCTAAATGTTAAATAATTTAATCTCTTTATTTAAATTCATTTTAAATGGTTTACATTTAGACTTTATTGTGTTATAATTCTAAATAGATATCAATAGCATTTTCATTTTTTTTCTTATTTTTAGAATTAGTTATAAACACTCCCTAATTATATAACTTTTTCTCTAATTCCATTTTAATAATGTGATTATAAATTCTTAATTATTCAGAATTTAATCTTTCTTACATGAGTTATTATTCTAATTCTACTACATTACTTGATGATAATTATTAGGATTATTATTATTATAATTATTATTAACGTTATTGTTACTATGAAAGTTAAGACATTTAAGATTATTAAGATTGTTAAACAAATTAAGGTAATTTTGATTCTTATACTGGTGTTTTAATAGGACTTGAAGGTTATAATGATTATTTTTTAGAACTATCTGGCCTTATTATCTATACAACTTTTGGCATATTTTAATTACTAACTTACAATTTTGGTTGGAGAACTTAATTTTATTGTTAATCTTGTTCATTATTAACTAAGATTAGTGGTCCTTTTTAGAAATTGGGAGAACTTACAGATTAAAAGATACGATTTGTATCTTAAGATGCTAAAAAAGATTTGAATTTATTTTTACAAGCACTATAAACAAGTGATTCTTGAGTGAATCTTTGTTATTATTATTGAATTTGTTATTGATTAGGTTTAGTAGGAGTAGGCTAATCTCTTTCTGAATGTTCAGATGGTTGATATTCATAACCTTCATTCTCGAAATTGATTTAAGACATTAAATTAATTTATTAATATTATTAAGGTTTCCCTTAACGATCTTTTTATTTTTAAAAATATATATAGCTTCTTTCATTCATCATATATAATATGTATTTCTCCTGAACCTCCACAATCTTATGATGCCACTACAAAAACCATATTAGTCCAACAATCTATTTACAATTCTGCTTGAACAGGTTGATTAAATGCTTTATTTTTAACCAATTGAATTAAACCAGTTGCAGGATTAACAGTAAGAGTTAATTAATCTCCACGATTAAAAAAAGGAAATTTAGAAGCAAAAAACAATTTATGTGGTTTTATAGGATCCAATTCAACAGATCCTGTTTCACAAACTCCTATTTAAAATGTTTACAATATTTATTATTAGATACTAAATGTTATTGATTTTGGTGGTTTTAGAGGTCCCTCTTATAAACGAGGTCCTATTAAAGCTAATCTTGTTTTATTTGTTTTATTCCCTTAATTTTGTGGTACCAATAATCTTGTAGGACTTATTAATTTAAATTAAGAATGAACTTATTTAAATGTAAATGGATTCAAAAAAGTTTTAGATAATTAACTACTAAATGTTGATATAAATAATTATCTTTAACTTGGACTTAAATTCATTTTTGGTGATGCTAAAATTGATTAAGTTCCTGTAAAAGGGTCAGCATTTGATAATTTACGAGATATTGATGTATTCTACATATTTTAATTAAATTCATCCATTTATTATTATATTTAAGATGTCATATCTTAAAGTATTTCATCTAAAATAACAAGTCTTTTATCCAATTTTTAATTAAACAATTTATATTCCTTTTAATTACATGTTAATAATAATTCATCATTTTACAATAATAAAAGAAGAGAAGATTTCAAATTATCAGATAATTATGTTTATCTCTCCATTAAATTCACATCTTTTATTTTTGTATCAATCTTTGCATCAGAAGTCAAATGTCTTGTTATTCTTTCTATTTCATTCAACTTCTAATAGTAATTCTTCTATAAATTCTAAGTTTTCTAATCTCGTTCATTTATTTAGGTCTCCAATAATTGTAACAGATTATTGAATATTTCAGTAAATTATAATTATTTATCTTTTATTTACTAAGTTTTTTGTTAAGGTTATTTCCAATCAAACTTTATGAAATTCGTTAATAAATCTGAAGCTCTCTTCATTGACATCATTTAAATATGACTATCATTCTCTATACATTATGTACAAATGAATGAATCACGGAAATTACATTTCAATTTTATCATTTTTGCCTTCTCTAATGGATGACGATGGCATCGTTATTATTCAATAAATTATAATACATATTCATTCAACGATTCCATTTTATTTTTATTATTATTATTTCTTAGCAAATACTTTTTTATATATATTGTTAATTATTAATACAAATATTATTTTACATATTATTACAAAAACTATTTTAAATTGATATAAGCATCAAATAAATTATGAAAGCCCCATCTTTTTTGTATTACAATATCTAAAACTTTATAAAATTTTAAGTAGATTCAATATATATTAATATAATTTCTGTATATTCATTGGATCAACTCAAATCAGCATCGAATATTTTCTAAAATTTATTAAAAAATAAATTTATAAATTTGATATCTATATAATTATTGTTTTTTATCCATATGATCTATAAAAAATCAGCTTAAATGAAAAACAAAAAAAGTTTCTTTCTCTTAAGTTTTAATTTTAACAGTTATGAATTTTATTTCAAAATTAAGCTTCAATTTTTTCAATAAATTATTGAAATTATTTGATTTGAATATATGAATAATTAGAATTCTTAATAATGTAGAGTATTAGAGAATAATAAATAAAAAATTAACTTGTATTTTAAAAATTAAATGATACAAAAAGGATATCTTATTTAAAAACATCCTAAATTGAGTATTCATTATCTATTACATACATTCTATTTTAGCAATTAAAATATTATTTTATTTCTAATCCATATAAAAATATTAGTTTATCTTTAGAATTAATTAATCTGCATACTTTAAATCTGCATTCTTCATTTTTACTATTAATATAAATTTTTAAAAAATACCCTATTAATAATATTATTAATGATAATCAATTGCTAATTTATGGCTATTTATTTATTAGTCACTTTTGCAAAAGAAGTCCTACTAACTGAAGATTTTAATTCATTATCATTCAATTCTTTAGGTTGGAAATGCTTGCCCAGTGATTCTAATTCTCTAATTTACAATTGCTAGTATGGAATGAGTTTAGTTTAATTGAGTAAGGAGTGCAATAAGATTGGGAAAACTTTTATTAATATTCCTCCTCATTACATGATCTAACTATATGTTGATTTTATTGCTTACAGGACTATTGACTTAAATGAAAACGCAATTATCAGTGCTGATAATACAATTATATATACATATTATAAACTATAAGCAGGATATCTACATTATGGAAATTAATGTGATTCGTCTGTTCAAAGATTTTGTATGAGTACTTCTATTTCTGAATTTAGTCATGCAAATACTTAATTAACAATTGAATTTTCTACAAATCTTGATGAAATATTTAGTAATGAAGGCTATCCTTTCAGAAATTTATAAATTTATTACAAACCATGTCATTACACATGTAAAACTTGTTCAAATGAAGCCTATAATTCATGTTTAAGTTGCTTCACATAAAATTCAGTACCTTCATCATCATAATGTTAAACTTGTAAGATATAATAAAACTTAAGATTCTTATTACAAACTCAAGGATGTTTATAAGAATGCCCTGATGGATATAATTATGATTAGGAACTTATTTGTTATAGAAATACAAGTATTATTATATTTCTAAATAGAATTGATAAATTTGAAAATTCTAAATTAAATTTAACCAATGATCTCTTAAGAATTTGTCCTAAATACAAATTTAAACATAGCAGTAAGATCTCCTTTGACATGTAGTGTTACTGAGTAATATTTACAATATTACTAAGATGAAGCTTTATAAACAACATTGAATTTACAAAGTTCTTCAGTAGCTATAAGATTAAGAGCTACTATTATATTAATAGGCTCTTGGATAGTAAATAATTAATTATAAATAAAAATAAATGGATAATTAATAGATTCTATAAATTTCAATAATTTTTTGATTACTACATAGAATAGTATAATATTGTATTAAGATTAAACTTATTAAGTATGTTTAGCAAATAATGTATTTAAAATAAGAATCGAAATAAATCATGTGATATAACAATCGAATTTAAATTTATCCTTTAATGGTTATAATTTAGTTGATTAATCATTATCTTGGTCAATAATAGATGTAAATGTAGAATAGGAAATTTGTTCTCAAAACTGCAATATATGCTTAGATAGATAAAATTGTAAAATATGTGCTTCTACATTTGTTTTACATAAAGGTTAATGTTTTGAAAGTTGTCCATATTTTTCAAAAATGATTGATAATCTTTGTATTGATTTAGATGAAGAATTGATTGATTTATAAAATTCCAAAATAAAATATTTAGTTAAAGAGTTTTATGATGTTTCAACAACATAAGAGAGAATATTAGAATTGTTTAATTTTGTTTCTGGAAGTGTAAATAATTTTGGTAAAGGGGATAGAATTTATTTTTCATATGTTCCAGATAAGAAAGTATTTGGTGGTGCACTGGTTTGGATAGATGCAATTTTTAAATTATAATAGGAGATTCCAAAATATTGTTATTAAGTAAGAATAAAATTCCAAGTAATTTTGGGAGATAATTTCGATCCTGGAAATTTTGAATATCAAATTAACAATTAGAATAATGTAATATTAACAAAATCAAGTTAAAATGTAATTTAATAAAAATAGATATGGGGAGATGTATTATAAGATTCTGTTTTATAAGTTGATGATATTATAAATGGAGATGAAATAGCAGATAAATAATTAATTATATTATTAAAATGTAATAATCCAAGTAAATTAATAAATGAATCATTTTGTGCTATTCAAGATTTATTTATTACAGCTGAATTTTATTGTACAAAGGAATATAAACTAGATTTATATAAATATGAGAATGATTTATATCCTTGTATTTCTATTTGTGGAGATGGATATGTTGTAGATGAAGAATAATGTGATGATGGAAATCTATATCCTTTTGATGGTTGTTTTAATTGTCGTTATCAATGTGAAGAATTTTGTTAAAATTGTGTTCAAGGTATTTGCTTATTTAATTTGGAATAAGGAGATGAACTCTAAATATTTTAGGAAAACTTATAAATGATTAATTAAATTGTATATTAGAAAGAGAATATTATTAGAATTGATTATTAAGAATGTTAATTAGAATGTTAAATTTGTAATGATGGGAATTGTTATTTATGTATGGATGGCTATATAATTGATATTATCACATATAGATGTTATTTACTTATTATAGGCTGCAACTATGTTTAATCATATTCTATTCAGATTAAAAATTATGTTAAATCAAGCATTTGTATTAGTGATCTTTCCTATTAATAATAAAGTATGTATTATTCGAATAGTAATAAAGAATGTATAAATTGTTTAATATTTGAATACTAGAGTTGTAATAATGAATGCTCTTTTTGTTATTAAGGTTAATGTTTTAAATGTTAGAATGGATATACTCTTGATAATAATAATGATTGTCTATCCATATGTGGTGATGGTCTTTTAAATAAAGATTATGTTAATAATGAAGTTATTGAGTAATGTGATAACCCATTAATTGATGGATGTGAAAATTGTATAATTCTTTCTGGTTATAAATGTATTTAAGTAGATCATTCTATTTGTTGGACTTGTGATGAAAAATGTTTAAAGTGTACAAATTAAAATAATGACTTATTTTGTAATTAATGTATAGATGGATATTATGCAGTAACCAGCTTTTGTTATAAATGTAATGACAATTGCATAACATGTAAAGATAATTAAGAACTTTGTACATCTTGTTATAGAGATGATTGTTAAAAATGCGAAGATATTCCTGGGTTGTATACAGATTTAGATATTAAAAAATGTATGCCTCTATGTGGTGATGGTATCAGAATCTAATTTTATGAATAATGTGATGATGGAAATGTAATAGATGGAGATGGTTGTGATTCTAATTGTAATTCTGAATTTCAAGAAGAAACTTATTCTTTTGTTATTGAACGTCTTAATGGATAAACTTCTAATGATCTAAGTATTACTCATGATTCTAATATTAATTTAAATTGCAAAAATACTACTATAATTGTTGAAGGTTTTGATTAGACATAATTTAATTACAATTCCACTACTACTGATAAGGGATGTCAAATTATATTTAAGTTTTTCAAATCTATTCGTAAAATCAATTTAATTCATATCTATATCTCATTTTAAGATATTTAAACTAGACTTCTATAATAATATAAAGAAATATAAGTTAGTCCTGTAGAACAAATAATTTTAGATGATAAATAAAAATCTTAAGCAGATGCTATTTCTGATGCATAATCTAGTTTTTCTTTATTAATTTGGATTCTTGCACCACTTTCTATACTTTTAGGTTTATTTGATTATTTATGGGCTGTTCTAGAAATATTAAGTTGGATTAATAATTTCTATTTTTTCAATGTCAATTTTCCATTCAATGTTTAAATATTATTTTTAAATAGTGATTGGTCTTCTATTATAAGTTTTCCTACTTATCAAAATTTCAATTAACCAGGATGTGATTATTATTTTGAATCACCTCCAAGATTCACTGAAAAAGGAGTTGATCCTTTATTCATTAATAATGCTTAAGTACCAATCTTTTTCATTTTTACCTCTATCCTGTTATATTTATTAAGCTTCCTAATTTTATAGATTTTCAAATTTATAGACAAAACTTTATAAAAAAAAATACGTTTACATGGTCATTCAACATTTTCAGTTATAAAATCTATAGATGTTCATTTACATAATCAAACTCAATCCTAATTTTAATATGAGCATAATAAATATTCTTTTTTTATTGTTAAAAAGTTAATAATAATCTCAAATAGTTTTTACAGCAGAATTAAATAAACAATTACATTATGTTTATTAGATTTAACTATGGCAATTACTCTTCAATTAATATTTGGCAAATAATTTCAACATTCTATGATATTAATCAATAATATTCTGGCATTACTATTTTGTCTATTATTAATTTATTAACTTACACAATCATATTTTGTGATAGGTATTCATTAAAGTTTAGCTAAAGTTCCTCATTTCCAATTAAGATATGGATGTTACTATGAAAATATCAATATTCAAAATACATTTGGGCTCAAATATAACTTTTTTGGACTTATTCGAAAAATTACTTATATTTTCTGTATTGTTTATTTTTACTAAAATCCACTTATATAGACTACTTTATGTTTTGTTACTTGTTCTTCAGGTGTTTTATTGCTTCTTTATTCTAATCCATTTGAAAGCAAAGGATAATTTTATAAATAATTGATTTCAGAATCAGGATTGAGTTTGATAACTTTGATTACAATATTGCTTTCTATTGATGATTTATTGAATAAAATGGAAGAGTCATCTAAAATTATATTAGGTTGGATTGTTATTTCTTTAGTTATTTTATGTGTTTCTTGTGAAATAATAACTTTATTATTTGAAATTTGCAAATTACTATATGAAAAAATTCTTGATTTGTTAAAACTATTATTGAATAAAGAATAAATAAATAAAAATATTCAAACAAGAAATGATATCTAAGAAGTAATTGAACCAAAAATATTAAAAGAAAACAAACTATCTTTCATGAAGCATGGTCAACTTCATCAGTTTATAAAATGAATTTGTGTATAGTATTAGTTAATATATTTATCTTAAATTAAGTTTTATTTTAAATAAAAGGAGATTATACTTTGTTAAATAATTCTTCTCCTCTTTTTTAGTATTTGATAAATTTACTTAGTACCTCTATAACTAATTCTATTTTTTTTCAAATCATAAAAAATTCTATTGTCTAAATCTCATCATATCTATTTGTTAGATTAATCATTGTTTTTATTAGTAAAATTTGAATATTTTAATTATTACACTTATTTTTAATATTCTAAACATTTAGACTGAAAGAAATAGTAATATTAAACATTTAGATTTATAATTAATCTTCTATGTCATAAAATATCTATATAAAAGTATATCAAGTTTAGAATTTAGTTTATATTTAAAATCAGCGTCCTTTAAATCAACTAATTCAAAAGATTGCCCATTTAAAAACAATTTATTTTTATTATAAATAGTATAATTAATGTTAAAATTTTAAAGAATCTGTCTAAGATAATTTAGTTAAAAAAAAATATTAACCGATGAATAAGTAAAAGAAGGTTTGAGACCAATTTTAATGAAGGAAGGATACTTTGAAGATGATTAATATTTATATTATATAGATAGAGATAGTAGAGTCAGAAAAGTACCAAGAGAATACTAAAAAAGAGAGTAAATAAAATATATATAAATTTTAATAGTAGAGTGTATAGAATTAAGTTTCTTGAACCAATATATAGATGGTGGATAAGAAGATCACCAGATACTCAATTTGCAATAATTCCTTATTTTTTATCTGCAATTTTCTTCACAATTATATATAATGGAGCAAATTTCATTATTGAAAGAGAAGATTAAATAGCAGAAAAGGCAAAAGTAGATCCTAATTTTAATAAAGAAAACCTTGAGAAATGGAAGTTTGAAAAGCAAAAGTAAAAATGAAATTTATAACCATTATTATTATTTATCAATATGGATAAGGATGTTTTTGATTAAATTAAACAACTCCTTATATTTCTTTCATTACTCTAAGTACCATTTCTTCATGTTTAGGATATGAAATGACTTGAACATTAACTGGTAATCCCTAAGCATTTTTCATATTTTGATTCATCATAATATACACTAAATCAATAGTCCTTTCTTTTCCTTCAATTTTTAAATCATCTCCATCTTAAACTCTTGTAATTGGCATACTTCCAGCTGGAATATCAACAGTATTCCATATCCATGTATATAGTCTATTAAAATATATATTAAATAATACGCTGCTAAAGGTAACACTTTTGATGCACCATGTTTAACTGCTGGACAACCAAACCCAGGTACAATTACTGCATCAATTTCCTATTATTTCAAATATTATAAAAATTTTAAATTCATACTCTTCTATTTACCTGAATTCACTAAAAATTAGTAAACATCTTAACCATGAGTTTACTTGCTCATTTCATATAGAGTATTCTAACCAAATATTTTTAATAATGGAGCTAAAACATAAGTTTATATCAATTAAGGAGTTTTAGTTCCTTTCTCCATTAATTCATATTCCTTAATTATTTCTTCACCTTTTAAATTGTCTTCAAAAGATTTAAATCCTCCTTCTGCTGTCACTAATCTTGGAAATGCAACAGTCAACTCATGCTCTAATTCTTTATCTAAATTAATCTTAACAATTTCATGTCCCTTACTACTAAGAGCTTAACAAGCTTCTTAAACAGCTCTTTTCATACAATTGGGAGGTAATAATTGGTTAAATTATTCAATATAGCCTATCTTTAACTTATGTTTTTTTGCATTTTCAGTAAAATCAATATCTTAAGGTTTCCAATAAGGATCTTAAATTGAATATGGTAATTCTGAATAATTCTTTGAATTAAACAAGACTTTTAACATAACAATTAGATCATCTACACTACGACCTAATGGACCTTTTGATGGTTTAACATTAACCATTCCACCAACTGCTTTTTCTATAATTCCTTCTCCAATTTCTGTTTATCTGTCCATCCCTGGTTTAATACCATAAACTCCACAAAATGCAGCAGGTATTCTTATACTTCCACCAATATCAGATCCTATACCTATTAAACTACATCGAGCAGCTTACAAAGCAGCTTCTCCTCCTGAAGATCCACCAACTGCTCTATCCTTATTCCAAGGATTAAGAGATCTTCCAAATATTCTATTTGTAGATTCAAATGTCATAGCCAATTAAGGTAGGTTGCTTCTTACAAATATTATACCCCTAGCTTTCTTTATCAAAGCAACTTAAATTCCATCATATTAAGCTGGCTTAAATAATCTAGATGCTAATCCATAAGTATTGTCAAATCCTTTTTGTAAATAGGTGTCTTTGACCGAAACAGGTATTCCAAAAAGCTCGTATTTATAGATTATCTAAGGATCCTATAAAATTTCCTAATCTTATTTCCTTGCTAGATTTATCTATAAAATTACTCTGCCTCTTATAATGCTTCTACAAAGTTTATATCTGTTATTAAATTCAAGTTTTCTGAAGTGGCCACAGACAATATTCTATTTATAAATACTAATAACACTTGTTTCACTGTGGCCTTTTTTTCAAACAAAATGCTTTTAATGTCATTTATTGTCATATTTAATATGTCTTTCTCAAACTATGCACTCAAACCTGTATATAAATCATTTGATTATCGAAATTCTTAAATTGATCTTTTAAGTTCATTTCTTTTTTATTCACATAATTTATTATATTTTCTCTGAATTCTGAATCTAGAAGCAAAGTTTGCCAAACCATAAAGTACAAATATTCCTATAGCACTAAGTAGATATTTTTTTTCCTTTTTTGAAAAGCAATTTTTTAAACTGAATATCATTAATATATATTTTAAATTTTCATAAGATTTGCTATTATAGGGTTTTATAAGATTTCAGTAAATTTGAATAACTTACCTTGTTCTAATTATACATAAACATTCTTTAATAATGAGTTGATATTAGTATTTAGAGCAGATTTTATATTATTTAGAAACGATAGTTTATGTCATACACATTTCTTTGATATTTAAATTGATTAGAGCAGATTGATTTTTTTTAATAAATAAAATAATGGATTAGATTGAATATGTTAATCTTGAAAAGAAGCCATAAGCTGATAAAAATAATTAAAGAAGGAAATAAAATATTAGACAAAATAAAAATGACAGAAATAGAAGAATCTAAAGAGATAATAAACCATTTAATCAATAAAGAAAGTAATGGAAAAACAAAGATTAATAAAGATAAAATGTATATAAGATATATTATAATAATTTAGCGTCCATTTTAATCTAAAAATAGAATAGTGGCAACTGGTTAAAAGAGAAGACAAGAATAATAAAGAAAATTTAATTAAAGATCTAAAGCCCCTAGAAATATTTAACCAAATGTCATAATAAAAGGATTGGATCCTAAGATGACAGAAGCAGGTTTATAAGTATTATAATAAATTTACAAATTTAGGAAGCTTGTAAAGATTTTGGTCCAATGAATATGTGCAAATTAGATAGAGATAACTTTGGATAAGTGAAGGTAATTTAAATTATTAACTTTTAAACAGCCAGAAGGAATTGGTTTAGTTAGGTTTACTAGAGTAGAAGATGCTAAAGCATGTGTCGAAAAGTTAGATGGTGTTACTGTGTAAATTATTGGAGAAAATAACAATGTAATTAAACTTTTATATTATTAGGAAAAAGTAATATCGGCTACCTTTGTTGGTGATACAGAACAAAATGACAATAATAGAAATAGAGGTGTATTGAACATTACTAAAGGACCTATTAAAAAAAGGTATTGTTTCAATAAAATTAAAATAGAAACTGGAGAAGATGAATTTGAATAAACACAAATATGTTATTTTAAACAATTCAAAAATCAATCATTTAGATTTATTAAAATAAGTCATAACATTTTGATAATAGATTATGGATAAATCCTGATAAAATGTATAATTTAGGAAATAAATATACTCCAATTATCGGGGAGTTAGACTTATTTCTGTATATTTGATGGCCTATTCATAATCTACTCTCTCACATTGTCCTTGTTTCAAATACTTTTTCTTAATAGTCAATTATTAAATGGCATAATTGAATGAATATTAGATTTTTTCAAATATTTATTTCAATTCATTTTCAATCTTAAATATCTCCTCTTTCTAAAAAAGTTCATACTTTCCAATTAATTGTTTAAAAATGCTCAGAACTATTGATGTATCATTGCTTCTTAAAGCATCATATACAATATAATCTTCATAATTATCTTCTACAAGATATCTTGCAATTAATTTTCTTTGTTCATAACTTTAAATTTTAAATGGCTCTTAAAGCAACATATCAAGCAATTCATGAATCTTTACTGATTTCTCATATTTATTAAAAAGATCCTCCACTTTTTAAATTGATACTTCTCTTCCTAATAATTTAAATCGAATTTCCATTCCAAATTATTAAACTTCATAAAAATTGACCCTAATAATTTTCTTTTCTTTCCTACTACTTGTCTAAGCATATTATTCTTTATCAATTATATTTGAATCAATCATATTAATATCTATTTCTTAAATCTGTTTTTTAGTCAAATCAATCTTCTTTGTATTTTACTTCTAGCTTTGTTAACTTGATTAATCTACTAAACTTTATGATTATTCCTATTAATCTTTCTTATTTAAATTAATATATACTTATATTCAATTTTTATTCTATCTTTTAAATTTCAATCAAAGAATTTGTTTTCTCAGACAAACTTATTTATTTTTATTCCATTTTACACTTCTCTTTTTCAATATTTTTTATCAATTATTTCAAATTGTCTATTTCTTATTGTTTAATAATTAAATTATCTTCAAATTTCTTTTATTGTTCTTTTAATTACTCTTATAAATGTGCATTTTCTACTGATTCTTTGAATATCTATTATCTAGTCATTGGCATATATAAATTATTCTTTAGTTTTTATTCCAATTATTTGACTTAATTTGTTAATTTAAGAATCTCTTTTTCCTTAATACTCAATTCAATTTATGTTGACTCCAATTAAGAAAAGTAATAATTTTTCTCAGTTTTAAATTTTGCATTTTCAGTCTTAAATTCATGATTTTATAACAACAAATTTTGAATCTTTTTTTCTTATAATTAATAAAGATCTTCAATTGATAATTACTATTAATCTCTTATTTACTCTTTTAAGTCTAATATTTCATAATTTTAGAGTAACACCAATTTTTAATAGTTTTATAATTCAACCTAATTAATTTTGTTAATAAAAATACATATAACTCCTAGTATTGAGTTACAAGACTCATTTTCTTATACTAATCAATTTCTTTTACTTTATCTAATAAATCTAACTCAAGTTTTTTTATCTATTCTTTAAGTATTGTTATAAATGTTTTATTGTTATCTGTTGTTCCATTTAATATTAATTATCTCTAGTCTCAAAAAATAAAGTACTTCAAACAATTAATTCTTATTATTCTGAAATTATATTTCATAATCTAATGAATTCCTTGAACCTTTTAATTAATTGTTCTAAAAAATAAACGTTTCACTTTCAAATCTATTGTGTTTCATTAAATTATTATGAGATCTGTAATTCATTGAAGATTACAATCGTATTTTTTTTAGATTCTCTTAATATGATACTCTATTACTAGAACTCTATTGTTTTTGAGACATTTGAATTATTTTATTGGATTATTGATTGCAGATATTAAATATAATCAAAATTAATCATTTAATTTATTCCATTACTTTCAATACATTAACTTAATTGAATGTCTATTTTTGTGATTTCTTACTCTCTCCCAAACAATACTTTATTATTAAATATCTTATAGGATCTACTATAATTTCCAAAATTAATGTAGGCAAATAATATATTATACACAACAAATTATTGATTTCAAACCATATTATTCCAAATATAAAAACAACTAAAATTGAAAACCAAAAAGTGAAATTTAAAATCTTCAAAACTAAAACCCATGAACCTTTACTAATTTTTTTAATTAAGTAATNTAATACTCAATTCAATTTATGTTGACTCCAATTAAGAAAAGTAATAATTTTTCTCAGTTTTAAATTTTGCATTTTCAGTCTTAAATTCATGATTTTATAACAACAAATTTTGAATCTTTTTTTCTTATAATTAATAAAGATCTTCAATTGATAATTACTATTAATCTCTTATTTACTCTTTTAAGTCTAATATTTCATAATTTTAGAGTAACACCAATTTTTAATAGTTTTATAATTCAACCTAATTAATTTTGTTAATAAAAATACATATAACTCCTAGTATTGAGTTACAAGACTCATTTTCTTATACTAATCAATTTCTTTTACTTTATCTAATAAATCTAACTCAAGTTTTTTTATCTATTCTTTAAGTATTGTTATAAATGTTTTATTGTTATCTGTTGTTCCATTTAATATTAATTATCTCTAGTCTCAAAAAATAAAGTACTTCAAACAATTAATTCTTATTATTCTGAAATTATATTTCATAATCTAATGAATTCCTTGAACCTTTTAATTAATTGTTCTAAAAAATAAACGTTTCACTTTCAAATCTATTGTGTTTCATTAAATTATTATGAGATCTGTAATTCATTGAAGATTACAATCGTATTTTTTTTAGATTCTCTTAATATGATACTCTATTACTAGAACTCTATTGTTTTTGAGACATTTGAATTATTTTATTGGATTATTGATTGCAGATATTAAATATAATCAAAATTAATCATTTAATTTATTCCATTACTTTCAATACATTAACTTAATTGAATGTCTATTTTTGTGATTTCTTACTCTCTCCCAAACAATACTTTATTATTAAATATCTTATAGGATCTACTATAATTTCCAAAATTAATGTAGGCAAATAATATATTATACACAACAAATTATTGATTTCAAACCATATTATTCCAAATATAAAAACAACTAAAATTGAAAACCAAAAAGTGAAATTTAAAATCTTCAAAACTAAAACCCATGAACCTTTACTAATTTTTTTAATTAAGTAATAATCCAAAACTTTAAAAATTATATATCCTACACATGTAGCTGCAATTATAATGTAAAATGATAAATTTGATGTGTAAATTAATAATATTCCACAAATTTCAAAACAAATAATTTATCTAAAATAAATTTACAATGTCATAAATATTCTTGAAATTCCATCTTTATGTGTAAAAAATATCTTAAATATTTAATGGCATTTCTAATTTATTAATAATATAATACATAATAATCTTTTAATGGTTTAGGAATCTTATTTATAGAGTCTACAAGTAATTTTCCATTAAATTGAAAATTGGACACCGATGATACTCTAGGAGTACTTATTACCCTTTAACCTGGAGACTAAGCTTATATACTATTTCTTTCATGATTAACTACAGATGGACGTGATCTTACACTTTTTCTATTAGTTGATTAAAGTGTGTCAATTCCATCAAAAGTTCCTATATTTAGTTTCTTTACAATAGTTTGTTATGTTTAAAATTGTTTTAATGATCTTGGAGGAGACTTTTTATCACTGGACTTTCTTTTTGGTAATATATTATCATCTTAATCTCTATAAACTTATCCATTTTCTTAATTAGCTTATTAATTTTCATATCCTTAATAATTCATTAAAATTCTGGCCCCTTCATCACTTTTTCTTATCTCTTAATGTTTTTGATCATTTGGAATCATTTTTGGATTAATTGTAAGGAGACTACATGAAGGACTTATAATTTTAGTTTAGGGGCTTACAGATGATAATTTATAAGATTTATCAAGTAAATATCCTATAAATAAAACCAATAGAAATAGTAGAGTCCAAGCAGAAAAAAAAACTATTATTATTAAGTTATTTATCATTAATATAATTATTTTAATATTAGATTCAAACTGAAGAAATAATCATTTAGTAATCTTATTCTTTCCTAACATTAATTATATTTGTTTAGAGTTCCAATTTGATCCAATATAATAAATAAATTATTGCAATATAAAAGATATTGTGATTGCTAAACTTATAGTTATGCATTCTAAATCTAAATATTGATCATATCCATAATATAATGGAAATGTCATGCCTAATCCATAAAATACTAAGAAAAATCTAAAAATTATTCTAATTTATTAAGATTCTCCAAAAAATTTATATAAAATTTGACCAAATATGTTAAATAATATTATTGCTATTCCAGCACTTATACAGGCTTAATAAATGAATGAAGGAAATTAAATTTTCTATTTCAAATATTTTATAAATATTCTTCCTATTATTGCTTCTATGAATATATTAAATGAACAAAAAAGAAAAATTGTTTAAATTCTCTCAAATTAATTTATACAATTCTCGATCTCTTATTTTTATTATTTATTATTTTATTTTAATTGTTATTAATCAGTATCTATTGATTTTTATTATTTTTCATTTCCTTTTGTTGTTTAAATAATATATTCTTCAGATAAAATTTTATTTGGAGAACTCTCAATCGAAATAACAATATCATTTATATTATTATCCAATTTTTCAGTACTTATAGGAGCAATCTCATCATTTTACCTATTAAATTTTTAATAAGAATCGTTCTTTTTAAAGCCATTATTGAATTCATTATTGGACTCTGGATTTTTAGGCTAAAATGTAAAATTTTAATCCTAATTTTTGTTCTTTTATTATTTTTGATCTAAAGATTGTGTAATAAAGAATTACCATAGTTTTCGTTGGATTATTTATCTTTTTCAGAAAAACATTCTTATTCATTATTAATGTTATTACATGCTTGAAATTCATTTTAAGGTTACTATATACTATTATTTTCAGTATTTAAAGAATTTTGAATCTGTTCAATTAAGGATGTTATTTTTCTTTGATAATATAAGGAGATTAAAACAAAAGGCACACCAATTATACAACTGAAGATAGTAGATGGTAATAGCATTTTCAATAATATTTAATTATAAATAATGATGTTCGAAATAAACATGATTTCACAAAATTTAGAGAAATGATAGATATATTATTTAATTAACAATTTTTTTTGAATTAAATTGAATTATTAATTATGATCTAGCATTAAGAGTAGTAGAGTATTAAAGGGATAAATAAATATTATTTTATTCACAAACATTCAAACTTTAATGAAATTTTTTATATATAATTAAATTATAAAATATTGGCATATAATGCACATGATGAGGACTAGATGCAATAAACACAAACAAAATTTTATTCAATTTATTTGTCTTTAAGAAGATTGCCAAATCAATAAATTAGGATGTATTAGTTGTTTTCCAGATCATGATGGACACACTAAATAAAATATGGAAATATAAAATTTCTTTGAGAAAATATCTCAAAAAGATAGAGATCTTGAATTAAAGTATCTATAACTAATTAATTCAAACTCAGTAAAGAAAAACAAAGAATAATTAATCAGATCTATTTAATAATAATGTAAAGCAATTTAAAGCAGAGCATTTAGTTTTATAGATCGTCATTGTGAAGCTTTAATAAATAGTGTTTAAAATAAGAATCTTAATGATTCAAGTTCATAATTAAAGGTTAAAGCTTATCATGATGAACTCGAACGCATAAAAAATAAGTCAACATATACGTTAGAGAATAAAGTATTTAATTTATTATATAAAATAGGAGATTGAATTCTTAATTAACTTTGTATTAACAAATGATTATTAAGAAATGATAGTTAGTGCTATGCAAATTAAAGAAAAAAATATTTAAGAATTCTCCTATGATATCAATTAAGTAGTTAATTCAATAGATTACTAACTTTCAGAACTTTATAATCAATTAGATTCTTAACTTTAAGGTTAATTTACATCCTCTCCATCCTTTGATTAAAAAAATAAAAGCTTTCAACATAACTATTCATTTACTCTTGGAATCTTACCAAAAAGTCCAAATCGAAATTCTACTTAAGGAAAATCAAAATCTCCTCTAAGATAAACATCCACAAATTAATCAAGAATGAAAACACCTGAATCAAATAAGAAATAAACTATTTCTTATGGATCAACTAATAAAATATAGATATCTAAATTTCTTGTTACTTCTCCATTAAAGGAAGAAGATGATTTTATTACTAAAAATAAAAACTTAGAATCACTTATAACAAATGTATTAATGATTAATTTACCATCTAAATATTTAAATGATCATTTGTAATTCTTAAAAAGCAATTATATTGAATTCTAAGATTACAATAAAATTACTCAATTGGAAAAAAATTAGTTAATTGAAGAATAAAATTCTTAATTATTATACATTTTATGGGATAATTTAATGTTTGAATGGCTTAAACCTACTTTCAATTTAAATATTATATAAATAAAAGTTTATGAAATAGAAAATAATTTTAGTTCATTTTTGGAATTATTTGATAAGCAATTAAAAATGTATGAATTTGTTGCTTATGTCATTAAATAAAAAATTATTAAACCAAAAATTGATTATTAGACATGGTTTATTTTAGCAAATAAAGCAACCAATTCATATAAAATGTATAATATTAAATCAAGCAGTAAGAAGGTCAATAAAGAATTAACAATCGAAGATTAATCTTTTTCTGGTATAGATTAGTTGAAATCTGCAAATGTATATGCATAATTTCCTAAAGTACTCCAAGAGCATCTTAATGGAAACTTCACAATCGATAAAGATCTTAAAATTATCATTAAAGGTATCATGGATCCAAATTTTTAAACTTAACTTTTAGCTGAAAGACTATAGGTATCAAATATTATTAAATTTAGATTTTATTAAATTTAGTGACCAATCCTTAAGTTGCTGCCAATTTAACATTTTAAAATATAGAAAAACACTTTGATCAAGTCTTGATTAATTTCAAGTACTTTATTAACTATCTTAATTTGTCATTAAGAGATACACTTCAAAACTGATTGTATAAATTATTATACTTCATAAATCCTTTATTATCAAAATTATTATTTAAATTATTTAAATATGTTTGTCACTTTGAAAATAATTACAATTTTTAATATTATTTTTATTATTCTTAAGGAATTATCAGCCACCCTATATAAGAATTTAATTTAGACATTAACAGATATATAAAAGAAGTTAAAGTATTTTAGAGAACACAATAATTAATTTATAAATTTATTTAGTGAATTGTTATAAAATAAAAAGATAATTAATAATATTATCTTATTTTGTAATATTACAATTCCTGTTTTTAAAACTATATTTGTTGATTTCTTCATAATTTTATCTTTTAGAATATTAAAATAGTTGAGATACTTTTTAATTCTTAAAATTTAACTAAAAGGAATAACAAATTTCAAAAATTGTTTGGATTAACTAAAATTTGTAAGTCAAAAAAAGTAAATTATAAAAATATTTTAAGAATGTAGATAATTTAGAATTTATAAAACTTTCTTAAAAAGTTTTAGATTTACTTAAATTTTATATAACTTTTTAATAGAAGATTAATTTTTGAAAAGGAAAATAATAAGTCATTTCATAAATTTATATAATTAATCATTGACAAATTATATTTCACCTTCAGTAGGAATATCTAATTCTTATTTATCTGAAGCAAATTTGCTTTTTTAACTTTAAAAACTAATAGTTCTCGCCTTGAATTAAGGTGTTGTTAATAATTCATTGGAACTCCAATCATATATATAATCTTCAATAATATTTAATTTTTATAACATTTATCTTAACTAATTAATTAGAATACTGTGATCTGGTATATTACTATTCTGATTTTATTCAATAAATTGAAAAATAGGATAAATAGGAAGCTAACTTGTTGATTTAGCTTCTAAAAATTCTTGTTTCATTTACATGATTCTGGATTCTCTTCCATCTATATATTTTTACCATGGTAATTAACCTTATTAATCCATTAAAAGTTTACCTTTAAACAATTCAACCAAACAATAACCAGCCATTTCAATATCATCTATGAATCGATATTCTTAACGTCTATGTACAATTCGAGGATCATATAAAATTGTGCCATCAACATATTTATCAGGTAAAGGATCATTTTAAAGTAACGAAATCCCAAAGTCAATTAAATATATAGATGAATCTTAATCATACATTGTGAATACCAGAATATTTAGTCATCAAATTTTATGGTTTTATATCTCTATGACGAATACCATTTTTATGAATTTCACTTAAAGCTTAAATTACTTTTATGGCTATCAAGATGATTGTTTTTATTGAAAAATACTTTGATTTGTTTAAAATAGCTTACATATCTTCATTTAAGAACTCCATTACAATATAATAAGTATTGTTTAACTGACCAAAATAATAAACTTTGGGAATCCCTTGGCACTTTTATAATTAACTTAATATTTTATATTCCTTTTCCATGTTCTCTTATGAGTATTTAATAGCAACTACCCTATTTGTTTTCATTTCTATAGCTTTATAAACACATCCAAATCCCCCAGTAGCCAATTCATTTGATAGTTTAAAGCCATCAACAGGGTATATTACAGGTTGATTTAAGGCTTAAATTGGTTTTTTTTCTCTAGGTTTCAAAGCTGATGCAGATTATTATTTAATTAGTTTCATTTACATTATAAATATTTTAAAGCTTTAGCTAAAAGAAACTATTTAAAGGATTACTTTTATATTTAGTTCAGTTAAAGCTATCATTATATTCTTATAATAATTTTCTTTAATAGATTATTATTGTTAATTTATCAAATTTGTCTCTAAATTATCAAATTAAATGATCATTTATTTTTTTGATGAATATTTTATAATGTTTAGCTTTAATTCAAAAAATATTTTTAATAAATTGTTAGAATAGATTTGATTTAATTACTTCTATTTTTAAAATAAATACTTTTTCTTAAATTTTAAGCTACAATTTAAGTGTAATTAAAAAAAAAATATAAAAATTTTCATTGTTTTTTCAGAAAAAAATTGAATATTAATTTATAAATTAAAGAATAATATATGAACTTCTCTTGAACATGGATAATAATATTCATTTAGATTTTGATAAGCTTTAAAAAAATCTTAATTTTATAGATTATTAAGAAAACAGATGTAATTCTTAATTAAAATTCTAAGCATTTATGATATATTACTAAGAAAATTATGATTACCAGTTATAATAATATGCTCGATTTTAAAAGTATTAGGAGTTAAACAAAATTATTAATATATTAAATTATCCGAACAACTTGGTTATTTTTGTCAAAAATTTAAAGAAAAAATTACTTCTCTAAAATTGGAATACATAAATTTTATTTGCTTTTTCGGCTTTATATTTAATGAAATATTCAAAGAGGAGTTAGGGTTATCCTTTTTTAATTTCAAATTCTTATAAATATTGGAATGAACATAGTTTTAGGAGTTGCTACAAAATTCTAACTATGTATGTTATTTTATAAAATAAAATAAACTTGAGAACAGTTATAAAAGTCCATTATGAGTAGTTTTACATCAATCAAACTCATCCTTTGTGCAAGACTATGGTAATGGATTCACTTGAGCTTATATTGTCTTGTAATGTTAATAAAATTAATGCTTTTAGTAAATCAAATAAATAAGTTCTTCTTCAATAAGATAATTAAAATGGCATTCTTAATCATTTTAGAGTAATTTTTTAAAGGGAGATTCCTCAAATTTTTAGAAAATTAAATACTTAAAGAATTTAGATAATTTTAGAAGTGAACATCTATAGAAAATAAAGTGTATTATTTATTAGAATAAACTCTTTTGAATGGTTTAATAATTTAAGTAAATATTCTATTAGTAATTTATTTTTTTGAATTTTTTAAATAATTTACTTCAAATTTTGGAATGTATTCCGATTTTAACAGTTACACAAATCTTATATTAATTTTAAGTAATTATTATTTAACATATGTAAAAAAAAGAATGCTTGAGTTCTTGAAGGAACTTTAAAGAAAGATAAGTTAAATTATGAATGAGAAATTTATTCAGATATACAAGGTATTTCTATGAAAGAATATTTAGTTTTACGATATACAAGGATTTAAAGGGATTTCTATAGTGTTAGGTTTAACAATTTGGATAATTCCAGTTTAAAATTTAATCAAACTTTTATTAAATGGATATTTAATATTTATTATATAATTCTTGTTTCTCTTCAGATTTCATTTACATCATCAGAACGAATGTCATCTCAAATAACAAAAAAGCCATCTTTAAAACTCTAATTAAACAAGAAGACATTAGAAACTTTGACAAAGGAAAAAACAATTATACCTCCTAGTTCCAAATGCTCTTAGAAGACAGTCTCTTCTATTAATGTAAACATAACCATTATAATTCAAATAGACAACCAGTTGTACATCATCATCATCCAAATAAAACTATCCTTAAAAGTAATCTTAGTCAAATCCTTCCAATAATTCAGACGAACATTCACAATTAATTCAATTTTTGCTATAAGAAAATATTGAATTACAAAAGCAGAATCAAGACAAGGATTAATTGATCAATTTCTTATGTAAAAAACAATCCCCAAAAAGAAGATCAATCTTAAACACTGAGAGAGGTACTACAATCAAATCTTAAAAACTTCCTTAAATTTCATAGGCTAAAAATTCACTAGAGATTGATAAGTATTTATTTCTTTAAATTCATCCTAGTTTAAATGATGGAGTCTGTACACCATTCTGCTTTACATTTTGTTAATAAGATATTCAAAGTTAATAAAGCGTAAGAAATAAAAAATTACCTAAAGAATTTTAAATTGTACCAAACAAAAAAAGATATTTTATATGATTATAGAAAATTCATTAATGATGATATTATATTTCAATATTTGTGTGTATATTCATAAAAATCGATAAAATAATAATCCATTTCTCTTTTTATATTTGAAATTAGAACTTAAAATAAAAATAGCGTTTTTTATCTTCAAATTTTAATCACTGTACATTGTAAAATTTATAATACAAATGAGAAAATGATTAATTAAATTATTCTCATTGTTATTTAAACACAAACTTACTAAAAATATCTAAGCAACTAAACACTTTATAAACAGACCTATTATTTAGAACTTAAATGAGTCAGAGTTTTAATTAACTAGTAAAAAATTTATAATTTTTTAAATAATCAATATTATAAATATTAGCTAACTATACTATGAATGCAACAATAACATGATAGTTTCTATATTCTTTATTTATAAATACTAAATTATATTTATTTTTTTCAGTAAATTCATCTGCATAAACTATTTTGATTAAAAAAAAAAAAAGTTTAGACTTGATAAATGGGGTTTTTCTAAAATTGCATATTTTTTCATAACTTAATATCAAAAATTGCTTTAATTTTTATAATATGTAATTACTAGATTAAAATTATGATCCAATATTTTTGTTTGTTACTCTATTAAAATATAATCTATTATATTCAAATATCAATAATTATGCAGGTAAAATTTCAATTTATATTTATCTTATTGAATGTAAAACCTTAATTTGTAATTGCTTAAAAATTAGATTTCTTATTGAATTTATTAAAATAAATATTAAATGAAAGAATAATAAAGATAAATAAATATAATTATGATTGATTTATTTATAATTTACAATGATTTCAACTTTATATTAAGTTTTTTGGAGTTATTCCAAAATCCATAATTATTTCTCTATGGGTTGTCCAAGTTTAGATTATGGCTTCTGGTGTGCCTATACCAGTACCTCTTGGATCTCCACAAGGTCCAAACCAATGATTTTAAGGAGCACCAGTAGTTCTGGCTTTGATACCTGCATAGGTTACTCCATTTATTGTGTTAGCTAAAATTTTTGAAACAAATCTAATATCATTTGAAACTACCCCTGCAGTTAAATTATGAGGTATATTTTCAAGTATTTCAATTACATGATCTTCATTTTCATACTCTGTAACAACTTAAAAGGGTCCGAAAACTTCTGTTGTCACTAACTCAAAATTATCTTTAATTTATTATAATGGAACAAAAACAGCTGTAGGTAAGTAGGAACCATAGCATTCTGGTATTTTATGCTATTCTTCAATAGGTTTTCCACCAAATAAGATTTTAGCACCTTATATAGCCAATAATTTATCAAGTTGAGATTATATTCTTTAATTGTTCCATGTAAGAACAGGACAAATAGTTAAATCTTTGAGATTTCTCTGTTCAGCTAATAATTTAATTTTATCAAGTATTCCTGCCTGAACCCTTAAATAGTAATTAATTGATACCAATTTTTATGTGCAAATAATATTGATTAAGCACTACATTTTTGACCACTAAATGCATAAGCATCTTAGTCACTTTAATAAGCAACATAATCAATTTCGATAACATCTGGTCCTAATATTTTCCAATCAAATCCAGCATCTTCAATTTTAATTTTACCTTTCATAGTATTACACAATCTTTCAGCAATTCCAGAGGAACCTGTGAATTACAATAATCTATAATTAGTTGATTTTAATAATGATTCCATTTGAGGACCATCACAATGAATTAAATCACAATCTTTAGGTGGTAAACCAGCTAAATGAAGTAATCTAAGAAACATTTCTAAAACAACAGAAACTCTTTGATCTCCTTTAATTGTTAATTTATTTCCTGTAAGTAGAGCTCCCATCATTTAAAGTGCAGGTATTTCAAGTGGGAAATTAAATGGTGCAATAATAGCAACAGATCCATATGGAAAACGATATCCACTAGATTATTAACCTTGTGTATCACCACTAACATTAAAGGATCTAGTTAAGAAACGACATTAATCACCAGAGAAATTCATTAAGAATCTTTAAGTAACTTTGACTTCTCCTCTTGCTTAAATTTCACTTTTAGGAGCAACTCTTTAAATAAGATGAACAAAATAATCTTCAACTTAAGGTAATCCTAAAAGAAATGAAGCTCTATGGAAGACTTCTCCATATAGATTATATCTTTCAGGATTTTTTAGTGGATTATGAAGACCAGATTTTGGACATTAATTGGCAGCATCTCTAAATTCATTGATTTCATCTTCAGTCTTAGATATATAAAATAATGAAATACTAAATTGTTTGGAACAAGAATAAATTTATCACCATTAAGAGGATCTAATATTTCTAGATAATTAGAAGCATATTTCCACATTCCATTAACTAATGATAAAATAACATATTAACCAAAATTCATAGCTCTGTATGGATTATTCTCACTTAAGTCTGTAAGATTAAGTGGAAATGTATTTTGTAGAAAGTTTGGATTGGATATTTTTTCTTGGATTTTGATATTCATTAATAAAATGAGTTAAGAAATTCAATAATTTAGAGCAACATTACCAATAAATGAATTCAAATAAGAGATTTTGAAATAAGCTTTAGAGAATACATTTATAATCATAACAGGTGATACAGGTTCTGGTAAATCGACATAATTGCCATAGTATTTATTGGATGATGAGGAATTTCGATTAAATATATGTGAAAGAAGAAAAAAGTTTATGGAAGAATAAGTAGACGAGAAAGAATAATAAAAAGTTTAAGGATTTTTGTCGAAGAGATAGAAAGCATTTGTTGCAGAGGATAGAAGAAATTCAAGTGATTTAAAGATAGTAGTAACATAACCAAGAAGAATGGCAGCAATATCAATGGCTAAAAGAGTTGCATTTGAAAGAAATGTATAAGAATATATTAATATATAAAAATAGTAAAACTTAGGTATAGAGGTAGGATATTCAATAAGATTTGATAATTCCACTACAAATACTACTTAATTAAGATATGTAACTGATGGTATATTAGTGAGAGAATGTTTATAAGATAAGGATTTGACAGGATATGATGTAGTAATTTTGGACGAAGCTCACGAAAGATCTCTTTATACAGATGTGTTATTTGCATTAGTAAAGACAGCAGCAATAAGAAGGAAAGGAAGTTTAAAAGTAATCATAACATCAGCAACTTTAAATATAAATATATTTAAGAATTATTTTTAAGGTTGTCCATATGTAAAAGTTCATGGTAAATCATTTCCTGTTGAAGTGAAATATTCAGAACATAATATAAATTAATAAAAAAGAAATCATGATGCTGTAAATGCAGCCATAAGAATGCATTTACATGAAGGTCCTGGAGATATATTAGTATTTTTACCTGGAAGTGAAGACTGTGAAATTTGTAGAAAGTTTTGTTATGAGAGATTGGCAGAAGTATTAAATTCAGGAGTTGAAGTTCCTAGTGTTTTGTTATATACTTTGTATGGTAGTTAAACTTCAGAGGATTAAAGTCAAGTATTTTAGAGAGCTGATGAACATACAAGAAAAATAATATTTTGTACAAATATAGCTGAAACTTCATTGACTATCGATAATATAGGATTTGTTGTAGATACTGGATATGTTAAATAAAAAGTTTACAATCCTAGAACTGGTATGGATTCTCTTATCATTTAACCAATATCTAAAACTTAAGCTATTTAAAGAACTGGTAGAGCAGGTAGAACTTAACCTGGAAAATGCTATAGATTATTTTCTAAATAATTTTATGAATCACTTTCCGAACATACTACTGCGGAAATTATGAGGGTTAATTTAGCGTCTGTTATGTTATTATTAAAATCTATGGGAATTGATGATGTAGTTAGATTTGAATTTATGGAATAACCTACTTAAGAAGCTATTCTATAATCACTAAGATAATTATATTTAATATAAGCAATCGATGAAGATGGATATATTACTCCTATGGGTTATGAAATGTCTAGATATCCTTTAGAACCTAGTTATGCTAAAGCATTAATTACTGCTAAAATGATGGAATGTTCTAATGAAATGAGTGCTATTGTTGCTATCTTATCAACAGAAAGTATCTGGTAAAGAATTACTAGAGTTGATGTTGATGGATATTAAAAATTACAAGAAATTCAATCTTAACATGCTGATCAAGCTGGAGATCATTTAAGTTTACTTAAAATATTCTCTGAATGGAAGTAAGCTACATTTAATGAATAATTTGCCAAAGATACTCTATTAAATTTGAGATCTCTAAGATAAGCAGATAATATTCGTTAATAATTATAATAATTAGTAGAAGCAACTAGTAAAAAGAAATGCTTATAATTTTATGAACATGATTCACTTTATAAATTATTTAGAAAATAAAAGGATTCGAAAAAATGGAATATTAATGAAAGTATTAAGTTAGCATTGTGTTCTGGATTTTATTTTAATACTGCACGTAAAATGCATAATGGTGAAGATACATATCTAATGGTATATCCTGAAGGAACTGTTGTAGATACAGATACTTAAAGTGTCTACTCAGTTATCTAATAATATCCTGAAACTGTTATTTTTACTGAATTAGGAGGAACATCCTAAGTAAGAGGAGTTATGAAGTTAATTAGTGAAATTAATATCGATTGGGTTAAACCTTACTTCTCAAATATGGTGAAAGTATAATATTCATATCAATCTTAGGTTGATTTATTTAAATTGGCAAGAATTGAATTCTAATAAAGAGGTAGGGATGCTGTATAAGAAAGAAGATAAAAAAAATTGCATGAATAAGAAAAGTAAAAAGAATAAGAAGAAAAATTAAAATTAGAAAAACACTAATTATACAAAGCTAGATTTGAATAAAGAAAAAAAGTTAAAATGTGAATAGGATAATTTTATTTGATAATGTTTCATTCTTTAAAGATTGATAATCTTTTTTAAACTGATCTCTTATTCTCATGATTCTCATCTAAAACTGATCCATATCTTACGCTACTCTTACGACGCAATTTACTTGCTATTGTTTCATCCAATTTTTCTTCTTCTATTTCTTCCTCTGCAAATATATTGATTCCATTAAACCATTTTGAAGGAAGAGTTCTCACAATTATTGCTACAATCATTCCACCTAAAGCAAATATCCAACAGAATAAATGTTACCATACAGTCAATTCACAAACCACTGCAAATTTACCTCCAAATAGAATAAGTAAATATTGAACTAACACTTCAATAAAATTGATTAACCAAAATAAAAGATTATTGAATAACCCACTAAAAGGATTTAAGGATACTTCATCTAATTTTCTGCAACTGATTGAATTACATATCTGCATCAAGACAAATGTTTAAAAGAACATTGTTAATCTTTAAATTGGTCTATTATCATAATCTTTATTAAATTCAGTATCAAAATCAAAGATACTATTAGGAACGAATAATATTAAACACAATATAACTATTTAATATAAACTTGCTCCAATAACTGTCCTGTACATTATTGAATTAACTATACTTTCTCTTTTACCATAAGGCTTTCTATTTAATAACCTATCACTAGGAGGTTCAGTAGCTAAAGCCAATGATGCAAAAGTATCCATAATCAAATTCACCCATAACATTTAAATACTTGTTAAAGGAGCCTCCTTTGTTACTGCTGCTCCTAATACACTCATAAATAATGCAACAACATTAACAGTTAATTAAAATTATATGAATTTACGTATACAATTATAAATATTTCTACCCCATTTGCATGCTGTTATTATTGAACTAAAATTATCATCTAATAAAATTATATCTGCAGCATCTTTGCAAACATCAGTACCTGTAATACCCATTGCAAATCCTACATCTGCTTTTCTTAATGCTGGAGCATCATTTGTTCCATCTCCTGTCACTGCTATTACATTATCTAGTTATTTCAACCCTGTAGCTAATATAAATTTATCTTCAGGAGTTGCTCTTGCTAATACTTTTAAGTGAACTGCAATCTCTTAAAATTTCTATAGATCTTTTACTTCTTGGACTTCTTCTTTATTCTTAATCACTTTAATAAGCCCTCCTGTTAATTATCTAAACTATGATCCTTCCATTGCTTCATATTCATGTAGTTCACTATCTGCACCTATAATTTTACAATCTCTAGCTATTGCTTTTGCTGTATTAATGTTATCACCTGTTACCATTCTGACTATAATTCCAGATCTATAACATTATTAAATTGCACTAGGAACATCTGGTCTAACAGGATCTTTAATTCCTGCAATATTAATTAGTGTCAAATCACTTAAAAGATATTCTTCAGGAATGGAATCAAAATCATATTCAAGATGATAATTTAATATTTTATATGCATTTCCTAATGTTCTCAGTGCTTAACCTGCATATTCTTCAATTATTGATAATATTTTGCTAGTATCTTGAGGTGTTAATTTTTCTTCTTCACCTTTAGAATTGATATATTTAGTGCATTTTTTCAATACCATTTCAGGGGCTCCTTTACTAAACAAATAAATTTTATTATTATGATGAACAATAGAAATCATCATTTTTCTTTTAGAGTTTAGAGGAATTATTCTTAGAATATTATCAGATGGTCTATAACTGGAAAGTTGATAACCTAACATATCACAAAATTCAATCAAAGCACATTCAGTTTTGTTTCCTATTTACTCAAATTTTCCATTATATCCTTTTTTAGGATAAGCACTAGAATTATAAAGATTACTAGCAGCTAATAGATCTAAATATTGTTTTTCTAGATTTTTAATTTATGGTAGTTAATAATCTTTATAATTAACTTCTTAACAATAAAAAGCATTTAATTACATAGTATTTAAAGTTAAAGTACCAGTTTTATCACTACAAATATTATTAACTCCACCCATAATTTCACAAGATGCTAAAGTTTTAACTAAATTTTATTCATCCTTCATTTTATTAACAGAGAAAGCCAAAGTAATAGTAACTGCTAAAGGTAATCCCTCAGGAACTGCAACAACAATAATTGTAACACCAATCATAAAAAATTGTAATATTTTTTAGAGACAATCCATGTTCCAAACTTAATCCCAAAATGGAAAATCATTTGTTCCATATTCAATAAATAGTCTGATTAAAAGAATAGTAAATGTTAAAATTGCTACAACAACACCAACCTTACCTATTGTTTCAGCTACAGCTTCTAATTTAACTTGTAATGGTGTAGGTGTATTTTCACTTTAACCTAATTTCTTCATTTCATTTTGAACAGTTCGATCTCCGACTAAAAATAACTCTATAATTTTAATTATTACCTTATAGCACTAGCATAACACCTGTTCCTTCATTAACCTTAGTTCCTGATAATAAAAATGGAGATTTGCCATGTGGATCTTTTTAACATACTTCAAATGATGCCTTTGACATTTCATCTGATTCCCCTGTCATAGCTGATTCATCAATCTTAACTTCACTTCCACTTAAATATAATCCTATAATTAAATCAAATCATATATTTACCGTCAACATTGAAAATATCTCCTAATTAAAATAACAATACGTCACCAACCACAATATCCTTATTACTTATCGTTACTACGTTCCCTCCTCTCTTTACTTATACATGTCCTTCATCGAGCTTTGATTATAACTTTGCAAACTGTCTTTCTTTTGCATAATTGTTACCTGCTGTTATTCCGATGATCAAAAATATTGCCAAAAATATTGTCATTCTAAATATTTATCAACTTATTTACCCTTCATACTATCCACCTTCACCTTCAATAATTCCCAAAATTGTTGATACTATTGCTGCTACTATTAAAATTTATAACATTGTATCTCCTAAGCACTCTACAATTAATTTCCACAAAGGTGTTAACTCTTTTATTATTGGTAAATTTGCTCCAAATCTGTTTCTTAAAATACTTGCTTGCTCTTCATCTAATACTCCTTTCTATTTTTCAATATTTTTAATACCTTCAAATCAACCTCAAATATTTTTGAGAATCCTTTCTCTCCTCCTAATTATTCAATTAGTCCTAAAGAAACACCATCTCTAATATTGTCAAGCTTGAACAAATTTCGGAAATCTCCATCTTCTCCTTAACGCACTAACTCAGAATCTGAGTTTTTTTCTATGAGATTCACTCTACTCATTTATTATAAATTTTAATATAACTTAATAACATTTTTTAACATATATTCTTCAATATTCAAAATATAGATTGTTTTATTGAAAAATCATTTCTTTTTATATTTCATTTTATTTATTAATTCCTGTCATATCATTATCATTCATTCATCATTATAAAATTTTTAATTGTATAACATTACTAATATGATATAAAATAATTATATGATTATCTTTCTTATATTATTTATCCTTCAATTTCCTTTATTATTTTTTTTTTTCAACTTCTATAAGTAATCAGAAATCAGTTCAAATAGTTTATCTCTTGCTCAAAAAACAAAATGATAATCCATTGCAAATCTTATATGTTTATATCAATACTCATAAAAAAATTTAATTTTGTTTTATCTATGTGACATATTTTAGAAAATATATTTGAAACAAATCAATAATAGAGGTTAACTTCTAAATCAAAATTAATTATATTCTAAGATTTATCAATTATTATTGACTTTAATTAAGTGAATCATACATAAAATGAACTTGATATATCATTAAAAGCCCAAGTTTTATTTCTATAATTATTAAATAATATACTAAGAATTTAGAAAATTTTTTGGATATCTGCTCTGCTTAAGAATCACTGATTTAGTATGATACTTCTTTTACTTAATTTTATAAACTTATTATTAATTTTTATAACTAATGTGGATTGAATTATAAAATGAATGAATTGAATACATATTTTATCTAATAAATCTTCTAAAGAAAAACTCTTTATAATAAAGTTTTTATAGATTAAACTTTTTAGAGTCTGAAAGCCAAAAAAAGTTCAAGAAAACCCTTGAATACTATTTGGACATGAGCCATTGCTATTAAAATGAAGGATTTTTGATAAAGTTTCCTTATCTTTTTCTTTTTCATTTTTGCTGAATCCAATAGGATAGCTAATGTAAGACAAATAATTCCCAAAAAAACAACCATATTAGATTTAAATGTTTAATCTTCTCTAATAAATCCTAAAAGAACTGTGATTTGGATTGTAATTAATTTTTTTATTCTTGAAGTGGAAAAAGCCTTACATTATAAAATTGAAGTTAAAGCTAAAAAGAAAAGTAAAGAATAAAAATATATTAAAGTAATAGTTAATCTAACTCTGTTACATAAGAGTTTACATTTCCAATTATAGTATCCTTTGAATAATTTTTTAGAAACATTTTTAAATTCAATAATGATTAAACAAAATCACAATATTTTTTTTTCTTTTTGCAATATACAAGATACTAGATTAAAATACAATATGGGTAAAAATTTTTTTTTTTAATTTAAAGCTTCAGGATATTTATAAAGAATATTTTAATACCTTGATGATATTATTTTATTTGAATTTATTAAAATTATTTTAATCTCATTTATATTAGGAAAATCATTTTTCATAATGAATATTTTAATTTTTAATGGCTAAAGTTCAAGTAAATTCTTAATTTACATTTAATTTAATGCCTATTATTCTAAAGTTGTAGATGTCTTACTTAAAAAAATGAATAAAAAAAAAGCTTTATATGAAGTTTAAATTAATATCAAATCACAAAAATCCTTGGAGTAATGGAAATAATGAACATGTATTTTTAGAACACTTAATTTTAAAATTAAAGATAAAACTAATAGTACAGAATAAACTCACTTTCAAGTTGCTGAAAATTGCAATATTTTGCCATATTTTTAACTTTAACTTTGATATATTTCAAATATTTTAAGGTTTCATATTAGTTTTATATTCTTAAATTTTAAAATATTTTTAGAATAAAATTTTAAAACCCTCTAAAAGTATTTCAAATGATGCTTAGAATTAGAATTAAAAACTTTTCTTAACAATTATTTTGGTTGTCAAAATTTACATAAATTTTTGACTTTTCAAATTAAGTACATTGAAATTACTATCTTCATTTATTTTAATTCCTAAAATACTAATCAAAAAGTAAACACTTTAAAATTTTATTTTTCCATAGCATTTAATATAACGAGCTATTAAATATTAATTTTATAAATTAATGAACAGATTAAGCAATATAAAATCAGAATATGACCAACTTACAAAACATGTAAATTATATTAATCATACTAAAATAGCACTCATCTCTTGATAGATCGAAAGAAAGAAACCGTNAAGTTAAAGCTAAAAAGAAAAGTAAAGAATAAAAATATATTAAAGTAATAGTTAATCTAACTCTGTTACATAAGAGTTTACATTTCCAATTATAGTATCCTTTGAATAATTTTTTAGAAACATTTTTAAATTCAATAATGATTAAACAAAATCACAATATTTTTTTTTCTTTTTGCAATATACAAGATACTAGATTAAAATACAATATGGGTAAAAATTTTTTTTTTTAATTTAAAGCTTCAGGATATTTATAAAGAATATTTTAATACCTTGATGATATTATTTTATTTGAATTTATTAAAATTATTTTAATCTCATTTATATTAGGAAAATCATTTTTCATAATGAATATTTTAATTTTTAATGGCTAAAGTTCAAGTAAATTCTTAATTTACATTTAATTTAATGCCTATTATTCTAAAGTTGTAGATGTCTTACTTAAAAAAATGAATAAAAAAAAAGCTTTATATGAAGTTTAAATTAATATCAAATCACAAAAATCCTTGGAGTAATGGAAATAATGAACATGTATTTTTAGAACACTTAATTTTAAAATTAAAGATAAAACTAATAGTACAGAATAAACTCACTTTCAAGTTGCTGAAAATTGCAATATTTTGCCATATTTTTAACTTTAACTTTGATATATTTCAAATATTTTAAGGTTTCATATTAGTTTTATATTCTTAAATTTTAAAATATTTTTAGAATAAAATTTTAAAACCCTCTAAAAGTATTTCAAATGATGCTTAGAATTAGAATTAAAAACTTTTCTTAACAATTATTTTGGTTGTCAAAATTTACATAAATTTTTGACTTTTCAAATTAAGTACATTGAAATTATCTTCATTTATTTTAATTCCTAAAATACTAATCAAAAAGTAAACACTTTAAAATTTTATTTTTCCATAGCATTTAATATAACGAGCTATTAAATATTAATTTTATAAATTAATGAACAGATTAAGCAATATAAAATCAGAATATGACCAACTTACAAAACATGTAAATTATATTAATCATACTAAAATAGCACTCATCTCTTGATAGATCGAAAGAAAGAAACCGTACTCCAAAAGTTAAATGTTGTTCAAACCAATATTTATTGAATTCCTCGACAAAATAAAACCTCAACAAATCCTACAATAGTAATTAAAAAGTCCATTCAAAACTACCATCAAAAGCAACCTCTAACATCAAATAGAAATTATTATATGAAAGTATATACATAATTATTATCTCTAAATAATAGTGCTTAGAGGATCTCATTCATAATTCTCGTAAAGTTACCTAACAAGTATTATTTAAGATAAAATTGTTAATAAGCCAAAAAAATGTCATACTACCGATGATACATTAAGTTTTACATTACCAGAAAAAGAATTTAATAATAAAGCACCTTTTCTATAAATAGATATCTTTATTGCTGAAAAATGTAAAAAACATTAAGACTCAATCACTATTGCTAAATTTTAAGAGCTATTAGAATAACTTGAATTAAAGGAAATTGAATTAAAATTAAATGTTTTTTCCAATCTCAAAACTTTATTCTTAATATTGGCTAAATAAATTTAATCGAAATTGGCATCTTATAAGAATGAAATTATTAAATTGCAAAATTCAAATACTGAATTACAATAATAATAAAAAATCCTGTAAGATAAAATTACAGAATAAAAATAAATTACAATTAAGACTGAAGAAACACTTAATTCTCTTCTTTTTACACTTCGATATACAAATTTAAATAATCCTTAATTTATTGAAAAGCATAAAGATTAAGCTGAAACTTAGAAATATCAATTAGAATACAAAAATATAGAAGAAAATATTTCAATAATGTCTGAAGAGTCAGCCCCATTTGGAAAATTTTATAATTATTATATTAAAAAAGAATAGGATCCTTAAAATAAAAGAACATTAGGATTGACACTAAATTTAAATTCATTAAAAAATCCATAAACTGCTCCTATAGGATATTAGGAAGAATTTATGGCTAATTTAAATGAATTTAGTGAAAGCTGGAGATAATAAGCTATTAAAGAATAGAGATTTTGAAATCTTCAATTATTTTTGTAGAATCAATTTTGTATAATTTTATAAATAATTTTTTTCATGCCAAGTCTTAATTATTTAATACAATTTCAGATTGATTGATCTATTTTTCTTAAGATTCTTATGCAACTTACTAATCACTACCACTTAAATCGATTCTATATATTAACCCTTCAACTAGTACATTGTTTTTTTATTATCCATTTGAAAATTTAAGTTTGTTTAGGGAACTCCCTAAGGAATCACTTCGGCATGAATGATAATAGAATTTTATGGATTTATTTTTTTGATATCTGGTTTCACTATAAATTCATAAGTGCTTATGCCTTTTTTTATTAGATAAATATGGAATATGAATAATTAGAAAAGTAATATCCAAAATATAAATGAATCTACAATCATAATTATTGAAAGTATGTATTTAATATCGAGATCATTTTCATAATAAAAATGCTTAAACTAAAATGAATTTTGTTACAAACTTTTGAATTTCATTGTCTATTAACAATTTTTCTTACTATGTATTATATAACATTATAATTCTTATATAAACAATCATTGTGTAAAAGAACTGTAACATTGTTGATGTTACCATCATCATAAAAATTTTATAATTTAATTTACCAATGCAATTATTAACCCATTTACAATGATGATCAAAATCTTGACAACATCTATAATAATAAATCTTTGTATAACCTATTGCAATGTTTACAATGTTTTGTATTTTCTTTCACATAAGCTTCACAAATATCACAATATGAATCCAATTTGTAATTTTCATAATTGAAATGTTTTCTTCATATTATTTTTAAAATTACCCTTATCGACGATATTCTACTTGCAATAATAAAAATTCATCAGTAGGACAACTAAGAGTAGTTTTAATACTAGAAAATAAAGAAATTATAGTTAAAAGACCTAATATTATAAAATGTATAGCCTAAATACCAGATGAAACTCTTACTTATTCGTCAAGTAAAGATATTTATAGAAAACAGTTTAAAATATTTGGAAAGTAAAGCAAGTAAGTTAGTGATTAATAGAGCGTTAGAGGTTAACTACATCCATGTCGTAAAATTATATTTTATTACATTATAAAATAAATATCAATATTAAAGATAAACTAAACATATCATTATCAAACTATATAATTTTGATGATTATTGAAGTGTATAATCATATTAATATTAAATATTTGCAAATAAAAATTTCCAATTTTAAAAAGATACACAATAAATTAAAGAATTTTAAATAGTTTTTAAAGTCCTTAGTCTAGTTTTAATATAGCTACTTTAGAAGTTCATTCGAATTTTTGAATAAAATTAGTTATAATCCATATGATAATATAGAAATATGGAAAAAAAAAGAATTAGATTTTAACTAGTTATTTTATAAGAGTTTTAAATCAGATTGTTTTGGATCTATATTGTATTATATTGTATGTAAGAGATATAACTTTTGTTTTTTCTAATAAATTAACTTTTTTTCTGTATTATTTTTTGGGGAGAGAAATTATTTTATATATATACTTAACTTCATAGAGAAATACTGTTTAAGAAATGAAAAATTATAAAGAAATTTTAGTTGAAACAAATGCTTGAAATTAAATAAAAAAAAGCATAAAAACTTACATTTTATTTGTTAAAAATTTGTTCATTTTTTATTACTGGGTATAGAGATATATTTTTAGATAATCTAGTTTAATCTTTAACATAAATTGAGCTTTTTTTAGTAATTCAATTAAATTTTATCATGACCAAATTATTTTATATTAAATTAGAGGAAGAAGTTAAAAAAATTCTAATTCAGAACAGTTTCAGAATAATATTTTTATTATGGAATAAAAAGATTATTCTGTATTTTTGGTTACTTGTGTTGTATGCGAAACTATGGCAGCAAGTCATTAATTTTTTTAATTGTGTATATTTAAATTAAAAATTATTAAACTACTAAATAAACTATTTTATAATATCAAACCTCAAGTATTATACTTCTCTTCAAAAAAATAAATTTCTTATATTATAATATATTTAATTATTTTAGAAAAACATTACTGTTATTGATGAATGATTATTCTTAATTGTTTTATAATAAAGATGACAATACAGATGATTTATTGTTGTCATAAATTTCTTATGAATCATAATTCAAAAGTTAAGAATCATTACCCTAAAGGAAAAAAAGATAAAGTTAGTAAGTTAAATAAAATTAGGTTATTCAAGAGGAAAATTCAAATTCAAAAATAATTGAAAATTAATAATCCAGTTATTTGAAAAATTAACAAGAATCTAAAGAAGTTCAACTATTAAAATTAGCTTCTCATTTGAGATAGCTCCTTTAAAAATAGCAATAAGAATTTTATGAAAAAGAACTTAGCTTTCATTAAAAACTATTAATTTTTTNTAGTCTAGTTTTAATATAGCTACTTTAGAAGTTCATTCGAATTTTTGAATAAAATTAGTTATAATCCATATGATAATATAGAAATATGGAAAAAAAAAGAATTAGATTTTAACTAGTTATTTTATAAGAGTTTTAAATCAGATTGTTTTGGATCTATATTGTATTATATTGTATGTAAGAGATATAACTTTTGTTTTTTCTAATAAATTAACTTTTTTTCTGTATTATTTTTTGGGGAGAGAAATTATTTTATATATATACTTAACTTCATAGAGAAATACTGTTTAAGAAATGAAAAATTATAAAGAAATTTTAGTTGAAACAAATGCTTGAAATTAAATAAAAAAAAGCATAAAAACTTACATTTTATTTGTTAAAAATTTGTTCATTTTTTATTACTGGGTATAGAGATATATTTTTAGATAATCTAGTTTAATCTTTAACATAAATTGAGCTTTTTTTAGTAATTCAATTAAATTTTATCATGACCAAATTATTTTATATTAAATTAGAGGAAGAAGTTAAAAAAATTCTAATTCAGAACAGTTTCAGAATAATATTTTTATTATGGAATAAAAAGATTATTCTGTATTTTTGGTTACTTGTGTTGTATGCGAAACTATGGCAGCAAGTCATTAATTTTTTTAATTGTGTATATTTAAATTAAAAATTATTAAACTACTAAATAAACTATTTTATAATATCAAACCTCAAGTATTATACTTCTCTTCAAAAAAATAAATTTCTTATATTATAATATATTTAATTATTTTAGAAAAACATTACTGTTATTGATGAATGATTATTCTTAATTGTTTTATAATAAAGATGACAATACAGATGATTTATTGTTGTCATAAATTTCTTATGAATCATAATTCAAAAGTTAAGAATCATTACCCTAAAGGAAAAAAAGATAAAGTTAGTAAGTTAAATAAAATTAGGTTATTCAAGAGGAAAATTCAAATTCAAAAATAATTGAAAATTAATAATCCAGTTATTTGAAAAATTAACAAGAATCTAAAGAAGTTCAACTATTAAAATTAGCTTCTCATTTGAGATAGCTCCTTTAAAAATAGCAATAAGAATTTTATGAAAAAGAACTTAGCTTTCATTAAAAACTATTAATTTTTTAATAATAACATGACAGTATGATTTCACTAATGAAAACCAAATATCAAATAATAATAGAAGAACTTTTATAAAAGTTAGCTATGTAACAAACAGAAAATATAAATTTGAAATAACAAATATTTGAAATTTAAGATTAATAGCAAAACTAATTAACTTAAAGGATGAATAAATAGAATGTAATAGAGACAAATAAGGATTCATCATGTTTTTTTACACAAAGATAAACTCATTAAAAATCAAAATTAAATGATTTCTATTAACAAGAAAATGATGATGATGATAAATTACTTCTATTATACAAATAAGAGATTGATAAAGTAAAATAATAGACAGTAGAATTTGAAAGAAAATTTTAGAATGAAAAATAAACTATAAAATAAGAAATTAGTGCTTTAAAAAACTAAAAATTAATGCTGTAGACTTTAATTACTAATAAATAAGTAACAAATTTAAATACAGAAAAATAATACTCTCAAGGAATAAATTCAGAACATAAAATTAATAATTCAAAAAGAGATAGTTAACCTAGAGCATATAGTCATGCTTCTAAAAATTCTTTTGATTTTTGATAACTTATTATGTAAATTTATGTAAAGAAGTAATAATTTTTACTTTAATAATAATGGATTAAGGAGTAAATCATGGATTTTCATTGAGAAAGATTTGTAAATAACGACTTAAGGGTGTATTTGTATCTCTAATTTAAACAAACCCTAATGTCTAGAATTATTTTTTAATCGTAGATTAGAAGACAGTAAAAGTCTTTTCTGCTTATATGAAAATGGCTGAGTAAATTAAACTTTGAAAGCTTAGATTAATGGAATTAGGAGTATGTGCAGTTGAAAAATTGGAATTAGGTAGAAAGCCATTTCTAAAAGATTCATGCTAATTATTTTATTTCTCCAACTTAGGATTCAATATGGAAAGTATTAGATGATTTTAAAGATAAAAAAAATCCATAATATGGTGTTGTGCATTTATTTTTATCAAATGAAAATAGATTAAGCTTTAATGTAAAAATTGCTTAATGTACAGAATGTATATATAAATTTAGGTAATTAATTAATAACAAAAATTGCCTCATTCAAAATAGTGAATTTAGATTTTTCTTGTACATCTGATTAAGTATTCACAATAGAAACCCCTCAAATTCTGAAAAAGGCATTTACTTAATAAAGTAAATTAATTATTAAATATATTTTAGATGAGTAATAATTATTGAAAGATGTTTCATATAAATTGGCTACATTGCTAATTTCATTAATAAATTTTATAGTTTTGAATTTTTATATCATTAAGCAGGAAAAAGAAGCAGGAAAAATAACTGTTATGATAATAGATAGATCATATGATATAGCTACACCATTATTGCATGATTTTTATTATCAATCTATGATTTATGATTTATAGGATATAACAAATGATATATATGAAAATGAAGTTGAAACTAATGGAAAATAAATTAAATAGAAAGTCATATTTAATAAAAATGATGATTTATTCAATAACTATAAGTAAATAAATTATATATAATCCAAGATACAGACATATAATTCAAGTTTTAGATGGAATTCCTGTAGAATTTAAAGAATTCATACATAACAATACTACAGCTAAGGTTCATTAAGGATAAATGAATAATTTAGATTTGAACTAAATGTCAGAAATTGTTAAGACATACATTAATATAATGAATTATTAGGAAAATACACCTTACATATGGTATTAAGAATATTAAATATTTATTAAAGAAACTAATTGAAAAGAGTTGGGCAATCTTTGAAAATAAAGGTCTCAAAGAAATTGCTGAAATTGAATAAAGTTTAGTAACTGGTATAGATGATGCTGGTAAAAGTATTTCAACTACAAAAATATAAAGTTCAGTTACAACTAAATTAAGGATTGAAACATTAGATGAATATGATAAATTAAGATTAATTTTATTAAGTAATTTAGTATTATTATTTAGCATCAATTGGGTTGGAAATGTCAGAAAAAGATAGAAAAATATTAACAGATGAAATAAAAGTTGAACATTAATAAGCTATTTTTAATTTGATATATTTAGGTGTTAATCCTTAAAAAGGAGGTTAAAAAACAGTATATTTTATTAAAATTAATATTTAGTCGAAATCATCAAATAGAATAAATGATGACTTAAAAAAATAAGCTAAACACAAATAAGCAAGTGCTTGTTCTGAATTTTCGAGAAATATTCCTTTGCTTGAAACATTAGTTGAAAGTTATATTGAATCTAATTACAAAAAACCATAGAAATTTGATTCTTTGATTATAAATGAAGATGGTATAGGTAGTAAAGGTAGTGGTAAATTAAATAGAAAAGGAGGACAATCAGCTAGAATGATGATGATAGTGATGAAACTATTAATTGCACTTCTAAATTGGTAAACTATTTTATTATTAAATATATAAATTATTTTTATCGTTGGAGGTATTAGTTACTCTGAAATAAGAAGTTTACTAAGTTACTAAAAAATTACTAGTTCACAAATTACTGTAAAATAATTCATAATTATAAAAGTTGGTTGGTTCAACTAATATAGTGAAACCTAAAGACTTTTGTTAAGGATTTTTAGAAATGAATACTCTTTGAATTATATATTTATAAAATATATATGCATATTTATCTTATTCATTTGTATATTGGGGAACCTCTTGGCTTGACTTGCTAATAGTTTAAATAAAAAATAGTATATACATTATTATTTGGACTCTAATCTTTATCCTTTTCAAAGCAATCATGTGTCCACTTTGCATGATATTAATAATTTCTTTAATCTTATATTTTAATTTATAAAATTTACTTTTTTCATCCCCTTTTTGATCTCTATCTCTGTTATTTCTATCTCGATCATTAAATCTGTTTCTATATTTGTCTCTATTGAAACTATAATTCCTATCATTCCTATCATTCCTATCATTCCTATCATTTCTATCATTCCTATCATTCCTATCATTCCTATCATTTCTATCGTTTCTTTAATTCCTATCATTTCTTTCATTCCTATCATTCCTATCATTTTTATCATTTCTTTCATTTTTATCATTTCGATCATATTCATCATTCCTATCATTTTTTTGACTTCTATCATAATCACGTTTAACTCTCTTATCAAATCTTCTATATGAAGAATTATTATTATATCTACGATAGTTTCCTTAATAATTGTTTCGTCTTTCCACCTTATTAAATCTAAGAACTAATAATCATACTTATTAATCATCAACTTTTTTATCTAAATTAACATTCACATCATTTGTTGTTTATCCCTATTCTTATATTTTATTTATTTGAGGAGGTTTATTTTTTCTCTTTATTGTTTAATCTATTCTAAATTCATAATATATTAAATGAATACTTTTTCAAATATGAATTAGCTTAACTAAAATCTTCATTCTTCCAACCACTTATTAAAATCAACAATAAACTTACAAAAGGTAACTATTCATATGACCTCTTCCTTTTTTTATTATATTTGTATCATATTTTGGTTTTGATTTTGAATTAGACTTTGATTTAGATTTAGATCTTGATCTTGATCTTTAAGTTCTAAACTATCAATATTATTTTACAACTTTTATTATGCCACAATATCTAAATTCACAAAGTTTGAATTACTTTATGAATTTTTTTCCTTCTTTTCTTTTTTCTCTTTTTTTTACTTCTTTTTCCTATCTCCTAATATATTTAATATCAAATATACTTCTAGAGCTACTTGATGAACTTGAATTCTTTCTATGATCTCTTTTGGCTTTTTTCCTAATGTTTTTTAAATTATTTTTTACTTGGAGGATCTATCTGATGAACTTGATTCGGACCTTGTATTGGTACATATACACAATATACCTTTTCATAATTCAGCAATTTTACAAATAAATAAAATATTAATTTATTTTTATAGAGATCTCAGAATATCTTTCAAAACTAATGCACAAAATTATTTTGAAATAAAAAGTAAATCAATTCAAAGTGATTTAAGAAGAATCTAAATTATACTATATAACTATCATATATAATGAAAATATATCAATTAATTCCCTTCATTTAATAAATTTAATTACTTAGAAATATTATAACATAAAATGTCTTAAGCAAAAATTCTAACTAAAAGTGATACAAACAATATATATAAATGGCTTGTTTTAGCTAGCTTTTCTTTAAACTCGTAATAATTATATTAAAAATTAGAATCTCTAATATCTTTATCTTCAGCGCATTGGCTCCAATTTGGTCATCTGTTGCAAAATATTATAATGTCACAGATTATGATCTAAATTGGTTTTCAAGTATGTATTTCATTTCATTATTCACATCAACATTTGGTTTCAACCCATTAATTTTGAAATATTTTGGATATTCACAAATCTTTAGTTGTATTTTTACAACATCAGGACTTTGGATATTATTAATTTCTGGAGGTAATTTTACAATGGGATTATTGTGTTTTTGTCTATTAGGGCTAGGAGAATCTCTTTATTATTAAGTGCCCTTACGTAAAATCAATTTAAATAAATTTAAGATTTATCAAAAATCTGGTTTCCTCATGAAGAACGTGCTCTTACAACATTTATAGGATAATATTCAAGTAATGTTGGAATTTTATTGGCATATATTATTTCATTTGTTTATTTTTATGAAGTGGTAATTTAAGATTGTAATTTTAGATAGATGAAATTGAATTTAAAACAAAATATGAAAATATTATATAATCCAATGCAATTTTTGCATCTTTAGTTTTAGTTTGCAATCTTATTACTCTTAAGAAACCAATAAATTAAAAAGATTCTATTTAAATAAGAGATCCTCTTTGGTTATCAATCAAAAAGATATGTACTGCTGAAGAATCATTATTAGATTTATTATCTTTTTCAGTTTGTAAGACTATAATATAATTTTAGTAATTGGTGTAGGTTGGAGTTATTCAACTCTTTTTAATATTTAGTAATATAGTATTGGATATACAGCAATAGAATTATTTGAAACAAATGTTTGTTATTAAGTTGGGGGAATTTCTATTGCTTCTATTTATACTTGGAAGTTGTATTCTTAATCAAAACATGGACTTTAATAGAGCTATGATAAATACATGAAATTAATAGTTTCAATAGGATTTTGGTCATTAGCCATAGAAATTATTATTTTTGACTAAGTTCCATTTTGGATATTGCAAATTTTAAATTTTTTAATTGGTTGTGGATTTGGAGGATATTATTCAATATTACTTGAATCACTTTAGGAAAAACACTTTCCTGCATAAGAATTAGCGATAGGAAGTGTTCTTTGTGGAGTAGCATGTGTAAACATTTTTTAATTGTAAGATCGCTTCAGTGTTAGTCATAATGATTTTAGGATTACCTGAATTTTAAAAATATGGATTTCAAATTTCTTGTTTTCTAATAATAATGCCTTTTTGTTTTATTGTTGTATTTTACAAAACTTCATTCAAAAGATTTGAATAAGAAGCTTGAACATTTCTTTCTTACAATGATAACAATTTTATATTGTATTTTAATTGCTTAATTAATCTCAATATTTCTATTCAAGATATTACAATATTTTTATGTAACCAATATAATATTGATTGAAAATATTTTATAATAATTTTAGTTATTGATTTTATTATGTTGTTTAAGTGATTTATTTTTAAGGTTTCATATGGTAAAAGAATTAATTTTCATATTTAGCGATTAAAGCTATAATTCTTTTACCTATAATTATGAAACTTATTTGTCTGATTCTTTGTACTTGCCTATTTTAACGAAATATAAAGAAATTAATTTCAGAAATCAATTAATTTATAGTTTATAATGAAAGAGGATAGTAAAACACAAAAAAACAATGAAGGATTTTATTAATGGATTGTTTTGGCAAGTTTTTGCTTGAATTCGTATAATGAATACATATTTTAGAATGTCAAATATCTTTATGTTTACAGGATTATCACCAATTTGGTCTTAAGTGGCCATTTATTATGGTACTACTGACTATGATTTAAATTGGTTTCCAAATATGTACTACATTACTTTAATGTCTGTTTCCTTTCTATTTAATCCTATAATAATTAAATTTTTTGGAATCTCATAAATATTAAGCTGTTGTTTTACTTCATTGGGTTTATGGCTTCTACTTTATGGAAAATAAAATTATTAGTTAGGACTTCTAAGTTTTGCATTTATTGGTTTAGGAGAGGCTTTGTATTACTAAGTTCCTTTACGTAAGAAATTTAATTATGAAAGATTTATCAAAACTTTGGTTCACTCATGATTAAAGAATTATATCCACTTTTATCGCATAGTATTCAAATAATATAGGAATGTTGCTAGGATATACAATTTCATCATCATATTTTTATGAGATTGTACTTATTTATATATAAATAAGGTGGATGAGAATGAATTTAATATACGATTTGAAAATTTCATTTTTTTTAATGCAATATTAGCTACAATAGCTTTGGTATTTAATTTTACGACTTTAAAAACTCCTTCATTGCAACATGATGTTATTGAAATTAGACTCAGTATTTGGGAATCTTTATCAAAAATAATTATGGCTGAAGAAGCTGCATTTGATATTCTTTCTATTTCTTCATGTATATATAATAATATTTTTAGTTATAGGATTAAGTTGGTGTTACACAATGTTATTTGGTACTCAACAATATTATTTGGGTTAAACCTTCCTTTAAGTTACCTAAACTAGTATCTATTTCTAAGTTGGTTAAATAGTAGCAGCTACTTACTGTACTTGGAAATTATAAAAATAATCAAAAGCTGGAATTTAATAAGATTACGATATCTATATTAAAACTGTAATAAGTTTAGGATTTTGGTTACTTGTATTCGAAATTATTTTATTTGAAGATATACCCTTTATAATCTTAATTTTTATTAATTTTTTTATTGGTGCAGGTTTAGGAGGATTATATTCTGTACTATTAGAAGCCTTAATGGAAAAACATTTTCCAGTCCATGAACTAGCAATTGGATCTATCTTTGCTGCAGTTGCTTGTGTAATATTTTATATCTATATAGGCTGTCTCAATAACAATAACAATGACATTAGTTATTCCTAAATTTCTTGAGTATGGATTTCAAATTTCTTGTTATCTAATGATCATACCATTTTGTTATATCGCCGTCTTCTATAAAACTCATTTTAAAAGATTTGAAGCTGAGGCTTGACTTAAAAAATTTGATACTTTAAACTTAAACAATAATTTATAATTAAAAAACCTTATTGAAAATGTTAAATCCAAAATAAAAATTGTTTTCTTTAATTCTCAAAATCATTAATACACTTATTATTAGTTTTTGGCTTGTATACTATTTTTTAATTAATTTTTAATTGTTTAAACATTATATATTTTTAACAAAAAGTCATCAATCAAAGAATTCATTTGAATTTGAAAGTAATTAAATAATTTAAATTGAATAAAACCTATATTAGTAAATAAGAATTAAGAATTTGTTATTTATTATTTATTAAAAATTATAAATAAAATTTGTCAATAATTGTTGATATAATAATACAATATTAAAGATCAAGAATCATGGGTTAATATTAAGCTTTATAAAAAAGCGAAAATAAAATAAAATGAATGAAAATCAAGAAATCATAAAATAAATCCATTAATTATAAATATATCAATTATTCTGCATATCTTTTATTTCAAGCAAAATTGGCCAAATTTATTTCTAAATAGGATGCATTTTATTTAATATAGATAATTATTCAGTTCTCTCATTTAATCTATCTAATTTGGAACATAAGATGAAACTAAATTGAATTTTTCTAATTGTGATAATCTAACTTTCTTATTCATAATTCTACAATTCCCATATCATATTTGTATCACCTTCTCTATTTTATCAGATAAATACTTAGAAAAATAATGATTCTGCCTTAATTTTATTAAAGTTTAAAATGACTTTAGGTAATTTTTATTACATTTTTATGCTTCTTAAAAGCAACTCTAAATGAATTAATACTATTCACATTTATCCTCTCTTATCAACTAATTTAAGCGTTTATTATTTCGAAATTTCTTTTAATTATTAAAAATTTTTTTTGAATATTCCTTTTTTTTATTTAGTTTTACTTTTTTTCTTCTTTAAAAAATCTTATAATAAATAAGAATTTATGACTGTTTTGTATATATATATTTATTTAACCATTTTAATAATTTTAAATATTTTTTGATTGTGATTTATATATTACTTGTATCTTCAATTATTTAATATCCTATTAAATTTTATAAATTGAATATATAATGATTAAAGAGTTAATTGTTTTCTCATTAAAATAAAATTTTAAGATTATATAAAATAGAATTGGAAATCTAAATTTTAAAAAGAGATTAATCATTAATAATATCGATATGGATTTTATATGGTTTATTTGAGAACTCATTTATCTTATTATAAGTAAGTCATTCTTTAAGTGGCACGACATGCTTCGAGTTCAGCCGATGCGAAACATAATTATTCTTGAACTTTGTGATACTTTTCATTCAAATCTTAGAAATTTCTTCTCCAATCTAAGTTTTCATTATGATATGAGTCTTATATTTCTTAATTTTTCATCATGATTATTCGATTTAATCTTTCAATTTCTTTATAAGTTTATTCTAATGCTTGCTTTTAATTACGATTTTCCTCATTTAATTACCTATTAAATTAAGTCATCTATTGTAGTTCATTATATATATTATCTACTTATTTACTTTATTATTATAATGAATTATCCTTGTCTCTAAAAAAATTAATATTTATATTTAATACTCTAAAATTTATGTAAGTACATTGATTTAGCTAACTAATTAATCAATATTTTTTTCTTATTCTCTTAGTTTACTTGTAGAACCAATATTCTCTCTCTAAGTTTATTAAGTCAATTATAATTGTTCTTATAAATAGTAAATAGTTTTTTATTTAGTAATTAATTCATTTCGCAAATCTTCAACTAATTTCTAGATCGCAATAAGTTCTTGAGCTAATTATTTTTAATCATTTTATCTTAGAGCCTATTCATTATCATTTTATCTATTTAGTTGTAAATGATGAAGTCTTTCAATTTCCATACTCATCGTTACAATTTTTTCATTTGATTCTTTCAAAAGATTCTAATATTGTATACTATTTTCCCTAAATTTAATTTCAAGTTCTTATATTCTCAATTTATAATCTTCATTTTATTACCTTAAAAAATTGATATCATTAGTAAATATTTATTCATTTTATACTATTAATGAAATAGCAAAGGTTACCTCTTTAATTGATTTCACATTACAACTACATTTCTAATTAGGAAGATCTTTATCTTTCTTATTAGATCTCATAACGCAAATATTAGACTTCAGCTTTTTCTTAACAAGGTTAAAGAACTTGATTCTCTAAGGAATCAGTTTTAAAAGTAAGATTAGGTGAGAATGGTCTAATTTAACTATTGAGTGCAGGTGTGTTTCCTTTTCTCATTGATCTACTCATTTTAACAGTTAAATATAAATTAATATTAAATAATGTATATAAGTTTCAAATATGAGGAATGGTGAGAATATTTATTTAGTGTATTAATTTAAGATTGCTTTTGATTTTAATTAAATTGATTTAAACAATTTAGATTGGTTTAGAAATCGAAAAAATCTAAATTGATTATTAGTATATATAATTAAAAAAATAAATATAAAAACAATGAGTAATGGATCTGTGAAAGATATTTTGAAAGATAAAAAGAAAGTTAGATTTGTTGCTGAGAGTGCATTTAAATAAGTTGATAAAGATGGTAAATTATAAAAGTTTATAAAAAACAGGTAGTGGATATCTTGAAAGACCAGAACTTGAAGAGGTAATGAATAATGTAGCAGCTGATTTAGGAGTTGAAGTATATATATATATATAAATAATAATTATAGCCTCCAACAAGTGAAGAAATTGATGAAGTATTAAAAGAATTAGATGAGAATGGAGATGGAAAGTTATCAATTGATGAATTTTAAGTTTTAATTGAATAAGTTCTAGAGATGATGGCAAAAGTTGAAGGTTGAATGAATTAAAGATGCACATTTCTTATTAATTTTAATATTCACAGTTTGTTTCTTAAAAAATACAACACAAAATTAGATAGAAAATTTATATATAAGTATATATATTTATTATATTATTCTAAGTCAATACAATTAGAAATTAAGAATAATTTCTAAAAATTAATTAGATTTCATTAAATTTTATTTATATATGATTTTATGATATTATGAATATTTTGAAGTATAAATGTAAATCTTGTAAGAAGGATTTTGATAAAAAAATAAAGATTAATTTTGAAAATGTCTTTCTATCCTGGTTATCCCTATGCAGCACCTTTGACAAGATCAATTGCAGCACCAATGACATATGCTCAACCAGTGTCATATGCACCACCAGTGTCATATGCTCAACCAATGTCATATGCCCCTTAATTATCATATGCAGCCCCTGTCTAATATGCAAGACCTGTCACTTAATCTGTAGTTTAGCCAGTTGTAGCTTAACCTGTAGCTGTTTAACCAGTTTTACAATAATCTGTTATTGCATAACCAGTTGTTCAACAACCAGTCTAACCAGCAATAAAAGGAGAATCTAGAGTTGAATATAGAGAATACTAAAGACCTGTAGTTGAAATGGAAACTGAGACTGTTTAAGTTTAAGTGCCAAAAACAAAATATGTCACAGATTATTATCCTATTGAATATCAAACAGAATACATTCCTAGAACAGTCTATGAATAATAAACAGAATATGTTCCTGTTACTAAAACAGTACCAAGAGTTGAGTATGAAGCAATTGAAAGAGAAGTTTAAAGAGTATACAATTTAATATATAAATTTAGGCTTAATAAGTCGTTGTTTAATAACCTGTCTTACAGTAAGTTGTCTAACAACCAGTTGTTTAATAGGTAGTATAACAACCAGTTGTCTAATAAGTTGTACCTTAACCAGTTGTTTAATCTGTTGTCTAATAACCGTTGTCATATTCATTAGTAAGACCAGCCCCAACATATGCTGCACCTGTAGCTTATTCAAGTGTTGCTCCTGTGGCTTAATATCCAGGTTATTATGGAGGATATAGACCCTTCTGATGGTTATTTTATATTCAACAATAAATATAACATTTATATATCCAATATCATTTAATGACTTACCTGGACTAGCCCGTTTTTTATAATAAACATAATATATAATCACTTTCAAAAATACACTATAAAATATTATTAACTTTCATAATCTAACTATTAATTACTAGAATATCAACTTAATTTAATATTATCATTGATTCATTTCTAATGATTAATTTATATGTTTTCAGACATGGTTAATCCATTTATTAATGTCTTAGAGTTATTTCAGGTCTTCATGAATTTGGTTTAAGTGCTCTAGGCAAATACTAAACATATAATCTAGCATCTAGGACTGATGTTGATTTTGAAATTGCATATATCTCTGATACTAAAAGAACTATTGAAACATTTGAAATGCTTAAATTAGCAGGTAAAATGCCACCAGAAGAAAATTGTATATTTACACCACTTATCAGAGAAAAATGTCAAGGGGATTTTATTATGCAAGAATTCAAAGCATTTCCTGTATATATTTTATTCATTTTTTAGGATGATCCTAATAAAAGAAATTTTACACCATCAAATGGAGAAAGTTGGGAAGATGTTTAAATTAGAGTATCGAAAACCTTTGATTTTCTTGTTCGACGTTATCTCTTTTAACAAAAAAAATCTCAACATAATGATGATGAATATGTCAAGGCATTATTTTAATAATCCTAACATATCAAATCTAAAAAAAATAATATTATATTAATCACTCATTATGGATTTATCAAAGAAATTGTACACTATCTTAAAAAGGCTGACTAATTATAATTAGAATAACCATATTTTGCATAAAATGCTACTCTTTTCACTTTATAATTACATCTTAAAGAAAATTAAAGTTGGTAAGCCAAAATTATCAGTCTCAATAGCTACACTAGACAATACAGACCTTTTATGGATTGATTGTAATTATAGAATATTATATAATCAACATCTATTTTATAAAGTCAAATTTATTTATCATATTTTCTTACTCATTTATTCAACTCTATTAGCTTATTCTCTTAATCTATCTAATTCTCTTTAATCCTCTCTTTTTTCCTACATTCTTAAATCAACCTCCCTCAATTTATTTCTTATTTATTCCCTTCTGTATTCTTCATATTATCTTTAATGTTTTATTGCCTCCTATTGATCAAACCTTTTCTTCAATTTCTAATAAGACTATTATTGATGCATCATCTCTTACTCCTTCTTTACTCTTTAAATCTAACAAATATCAAAACTATTCTATTACCTTTTCATCTTAATCCTATAATTTTAATAAATATTGTTATCTTTTCTCTTCCAATTATTATACATTCATTTTTCTTACCTTTTCTCTATGTTTTGCTCTCATTTCCGCTTACTATTTTACAAATTCATCCTTTGCTCCTGATTCACTCCTTTATTATAATCTATATTATATTTCTTATTCCCTTTCCGCATACTGTCTTTAAAATTCTTCATGCATTAATACCTTCATTTGAGCAGTGTTTCGAATTTTTTCTTATTTCATCTTATTTCTTTCCTCTATAGACATTTATCTTTAGTGTTATTGTTCTTAAAATTTATGTTACTTTTCTGCAATTTTCTCTTCTTTCTTAAAATAATCTTCTCTTAACTTTTTTTGAATTTCTATTTAATTTCTATATGCTTCTCTCTATCTTAATTTTGCAGATTAGGCTCTTTTTTGTGCATTAATTCTTTTTTACTCTTACTAATATTAAAAAAATTCTTATCTTCTAAGTTCTTATTCTTCTTCCTCTTACTTCCTCTAATTATATTCTAGCTCTGCTTATTTTTCTTTCATTTTTCTTTCTCTTTCTAATTTTAATTTCAATTCTTATTACTATTATTCTCTATTTGCTACTTCTGCTTTTCTTTGTTATTCTTCAATCTACTATTATTCAAGTCTTTATTATTCTTTTTAAAAATATTCTTATTATAATTATCTATTTTTCTTTAATTCTTCTAGTTCCTTCAATCTCTTCTATCTAGCAATCGTCTCTTATTTTGCCTAAAATTCTTATTACCTCTATTCTTGTTTTTTCTTTCTTTATTCTTCGTATTACTACATTTTTTCTTACTACTACTAATTTTATTATTCTCGCTTTAACATTAATTCTTATAAATGTTTTTGCCTCATCATTTCCATATATTTTTTCTTTTAAACCTAATCCATAAATTTAGAAGCATTTTAACTACTATTTGGTCTATCCCCTTTAAATTTAACCATATTTGATTCAATTTTTTTTCTTTTTTCTTTTTCAATCAAAGCCTCTCTATCTTTTATTAACATATAAACTTTTTATTATCTTCGATATTCATAATGTTTATAGAAATCATCTAAGTTCTCTTCCTGTAATGATTTTTCTTATTTGAGCATGATCCCCAATTTCTCTTTATTTACACAAAGCAACTCTTCCTAAGTCATTCCTCTTTATTTTAAAACTATATTAGAACGAGGACTATCTATCCGACATCTTTAATCTGCTGGATTGAAATTGATTAGAGATATCATAATAATTAATTAAATTATATTGCTTTGTTTATTGAAATCATTATTGTTTGAATACAAACTCCCATTTTTTTAATTATTATTTATCTTATGGGGGTTTCTATGCGAATTTTGCACTATTTGTAGACTCTACTAAAGAAACATCATTAATAGATATTCTAGATAAAATACTTAAAGTTTCATCAGGTAAAGCCTATTGTTATTACAAATGCAATGTTTAACTACGATTAAGAATTTTAAATGTATCCTTTTAACCACTATTGCTAATACTATTTGTTTTATTATGAGATCGATTTTATTATTATTATTTTTGTTCAGATGCAATAAAACTAGAATTAGATTTAGGCAACTCTTTTATTAAAGAATCATCTATATTAAATTAACCATTTAATCTTAAAAGTTACTATTTAATCCATATTATACTTTTTCCACTTTATTAAGGTAATCGTACAATATCAGGATTACATTATTCAGAACCATTGTTTAACTATTAAAAAAATTGATTCAAAATTTAAATAAATGTGCTTAGTGTATCTTATAAAGCAGACACTTCATCAATTAAACCTTTTCTTGTTGAAATCCATGTATCAAAACCATTTTATTATGATGTTTAAGTTTTTAATGGCATAGTATCATATCTATTTGCATAATTGATTCTATCCTTGCTTCTTAACTATTTTTTATTATATTATTCTAACCTAATCTTTCATTTTCAAAAATTCTAATTCTTTTTTTTTGAACTCACTTTACATCACTTATACTTTATTTTATATCTTAATGACTTTTTAATTTAACTCTTCCTATCTTTTTATCTTAATTAATACCTTCTCTTAAATAAGTTTATCGTTTGTCAATTTATTTGATTTATTCAATTAAGTAATTTGATTTTCAAGTTAACCTATAAGCTTTATTCTATTCAAATATATTAAATAGAATTTTACTTTTATTCTATCTCTTCTTATAATCGTTTAGCTTTCACTTTTAAAGATTCATTATCACTTTTTATTTTGAAAAATTCATCTTCATAATTATTTAAGTTTTTTATTGTTGCTGATTTAAATGTAAACACTGCATGTATTATTTCATATACTTTTGATAAATATAAAGGTATATTAAAGTTGTCCTCAGGAAAAACAGGCAATTCTAAAAGAACACTATTTTAAATTACATTGTTAATTTAAAATTCCATTGAATTATTGAAGCATCTACATCCATTCTAAATCATTTATAAATAAAGCAAATACTTTTAGTTTCACATACAATACAAGATTCTGAAATTTTACACTCACATCTATACTCTTCGATTTCATCAACCATTTTATCTAAGAAGCTTGAAATTTGAAATTTTTCGGAAAAAATGATCTTATTTACATATGAAATCATACACTTTGCTCATAAGTATTTGAAAACATTTTAATAAAAAATAATGAAAAATATTCACTATTTAATCAATAGTATAAATAATTAGAATGAATAAGAAGAACTTATATTACAAGAACTTACAAACTTAGAACTAGCAACCAAAATTCTTATTATAAATTATATATAATGGAAAATTTAATTATAATTTTTCCAGCCTAAGTTTAAAGACACAGAAAAAAAAAAAACACATAAACAAATGAATAAATTGAAGTTATTTGCTTTGCATTATAATTTATGGCAAATATAATGGCTCATAAAAAAATGACAGCTCATTTATTAGAAAACAAGAAAATTATACATTACAAAGAAGGTTTTGATGGAAACATAAGCAAATATGATGAATATTTTTTAAGGAAATTACAAGTATAGATGTTGTCAGATACAACCATTTTATTGATGCAAATTTAAATTATTTAGCCTCATCTAAATATCTTGAACTCCTGTAAAGTAATGTTATTATTATATTCTATAGAAATTAGATCCCATTTTTAATTATGTACTCTCATAAATAAATTAAAATTACTAAGATATTATCTTTTATACAGAAAATGGTTCAATTATGGTAAAAAATTTGGTATTTCTACCAGACATAAAAAAATTAATTTTAATGCAAAAAGAAAAATTGAATCAATTAATTTAGAAAATTCACGTAATATATGATGATATAGAAAAAAGAATAATGTAAAAAAAAGATAAATTGCTTTCACTTTAATAATTAGATGTTTTTCAAATTGAAATGTTTTTTAAAGAACATTTAATTTTATTAAATTAATTCAAAAATGATAATTACATACCTGAGATAGTATTTTAATAAAAAACCTAAATTGTTTTCATTAGATAATGTGAATTTTTTAATGAATAAATATCTATTGATAATGAAAAACATATAAATAAATAAAGTTTAACTTAAATAGAACTAAAAATAATAAGTAATATTGAAAATCCTGTTTTAAAACAATAATAATATTCAGTTAAATTGTATTACTTAGAAATTAAGCTCGATCCAAATCAGCAATCTCCTAATATTTAAAAATAATTATTGGAAGGATCTTTACTCTAAGAATTTCATCAAAATTTCTCTTCTGAAGAGACAAATAGTCAATAAAAAAAATATTTTGACTAAATGTACTTTCCTTAGGAAGACCCAATGTAAAAAAATGTTTTAAAAGAGCAATTACCTTAAATAGAAATATCAGTAATTAAAAAATTATATGTATTAAAAGATGTAATCCTATATATTCAAGAATAACTAAAATTGCTCTAAAAATCTAATTTTAAAGGAAAATTATCAGTTCTTTTGATGATTAGATTTTGTGATGACTTGGGATTTAGACCTGTTTTAATTTTACAAAAAAAAGAAAAAAAACACATAGATATTGAAGAAAATAGAAAATTTTGCAATAAAATAATCTAAAATTTCATTAATTTACTTTTTTTTTAAAATAAGAATCGACAAAAAGTGGAACCAATAGATGATATATGTGGTGAATTTCTGAGAAATCTATAATATACATAATTAGAGCATTTTCCAAACTATGTAGTTAAATTGGAAAAATTAATTCTTTTAATTAATTAATTATATAGCGTAAACTTTTGATTTACAATAATTGAGTAGTTTATTTATTATACATTTTTGTTATATTATTTTGGAATTATAAAATTATAAAAATAAAATAATTAATAGTTAATGAGGAAATATAAATTTGTTTTTAATTTTAGATCGATTTTGTTGTTAGAATAAAGATAGTAGTATATACTGAAGAATAATGTAAAATAGAAGATCCATTTAAAGAAAATTATGTGTATATAGTAATACCATTAAAATTCTTTGTAATATGTGAGAATAAAAATTGAGAATGCGGGAATTAAATTATAGGTTGAAAGTTTTTTTAATTCTTCATTAAATTTAAATAACATATAAATCGATTTAATTTGAAAAATAGTAGAAAATCTACTTCTACCTTATATTCTTAATAATCTCCATCATAAGCCATTTTTATAATTAATAGAATTAATAGCAATTTTGCAAATTGAAAATATGCTCAATTCTTTAAAACATACTAAGATAATAATTTTTTTTAATTCTTCCATCTAGTAGTTTTACTTCTCCTATAAAGGTTCCAATATTCAAATAGTTTTTAATGGTTAATTTTTATAAATTTCATTACAATGATCTTATTACTAATATTATCATGAAAATAGAATTAAATATTATCATCATCATTGATATGTTCCTCATGATTGATTTCATTGTGACTTTAAGATAATTATTATTTTTGCAATGTTGCTCTAGAGTTGTAGTAAAATATTCTTAATCACATTTCTTCTATGCAATTTAAAAAATAAATTTTTATTTAAATAACTACTCTTTTTATTTATTCTTCATTTTTCTAATAATTATTTTTTGAGTAGGGATCTTTAACTATTAAATGTTTAATCTAAATAAAATCTAGCAATTGCTAAAACTGAGGTGAATTCTATTTTAATTTTGTATAAATTTGATGAGAGTAGTAATTAGTATGATTTTAAAGATTGAATTTTAGTATATGAATATATTTTTTGATATTTATCCTTTACGGATAATATATGAATTTAATTTAATATTGATTTTTAGATACAAATCTATATATCACAATAATTAATTAGATTGAAATTGTTTATTTAATTTTGTATTAAAATATCTTAGTAGATTTAATTTGGAAGTAGAAATTTATATTGAAAAATTTTGTTGTATTATTGGATTAAGAATACATATTACCAATTATTTAAAATATAATTCAGAATTCATCAATTAAATTAATTTATTAGGGATGGTTGAAAAATCTACTATGCGATGGTTGTGTGCTATTTGTACTTGTTGTTGGTGGTTCAGTTATTATGGCTTTTTGAATAATTGTGTTAGAGGATGTTAAATTTGCATAGATGGTATATTGGTTAATTTATTTATTCAAAGTTTTTGATGCAACTGTCTCTGCAGTTTGGAAGGGCATATTTTGTATATTTATGTGTTGTTGTTTTGGGTTTGAATGTATGACATGTGTATTGTGTATCTACACATGTATTGAATTATTTAATGATCCATGTTAAAGATATTAAGCTGAAGATTCATGGATCAATGCATTTTGGCAGTTGGTATATCTAAAGGATCTAGAAATGGAAGGAACAGTTAGAGAAAAGCTTAAAGAGATATTTGCTAAATGATAAAATGAATAATATATATAATGGATTGCATGTTCATTCATATTTTCACTTTTTTTAAATATAAAAGAAATCCTAAAAAGCTATTGAGATAAATTATAAAAACAATGTAATCTATCAATCGCATCTCTATACTAAACTCATTTTAATTTGTATTACTATTAAAACTAAGCTTGTTTCATAGTTACAGGATTACATCTTTCATAATCTGTTGAAAATTTGTTTTTCTAATTCATAGTAGATTAAACAAATGGCAGCATCTGTTTAAGTAATTTTAGACTAAAATTTTAATAAAAATATGCTCCAGCACAAAAGCAAGATAATATCATATTAATTATATGCAGAATCATATTACTATTTGTATTAATTAGAACAAACTAATAACATGCTGATCCAGCTGATATCAATATTGGAGAAATCCCTAATAATTTGAGAGTAGAATCTTTTAAATTTCTATTTATAGTTGGAGGATAAGAACATCTTCTTAATAATTTGCATGCCCAAAAATAAAGACAAAACCTACATCATCATTCCATAAGGGAAAATGCAAATATAAAACATACTCATCAAAATACTCTTATAAATAGTTGAATATTTATCGGCTATTCTATAATCTGGTCCTTCAAATAATTCATGTGTTTATTATTGTGTGAGTACTATCTATCTTTTATCCTATTCCTTTAGTAATTAATTTTATTTAATCATTTTTATAACATATCATGGATCTAATATTTCTAACATTTGCAAAATTATTAAATTGTAAATTGCCTAAAAATATAAAAAATAGACTGACTGTTAAATTATTCTAAATAAAATCAGTAAATATAAACAATCCAAAAGGAACTAAAGCTGTCTTAAGGAATTGCATGATTGTTTGAGTTACCATTACACTTCTAGTCTCTTTTGTATAAGTTGTATGTTTCTCATATTTTGATGTAATTTTTATGAGCATCTCTAAAATTTAATTAATAATCAAGATAGCCAAAGCACATAAACCTGACAATAAATATTTCACATAAAATGTATTGCTACTTTATGCTTGGTTCTAAGTATATGAAATTCCATAGACTATGAATGCTCCTATAAGTACAACAAAGAAATTTAAACTAAAAACCATTAATCTCTTACATCTTTTTTCGGAATGACTGGTATTAAAATTTTACCATATTATATCTAATGGTTCTGGTGCTCTCCTGATATAAACTCGTTAATCATTTATAAATTTCCATTTTTATTTATCATAATTAAAATAATTGAGTAATTGATGGCAACATCCAAAATAATCCATTATTACTCCATACCATTTATTTAAATTGCATTTTTCTAAAATTTGATCAACACCACTTTCTTCTTGTAATGTTACTAAAACATAATCTGTTCTTTGATATAAATTATTAAATGTGAGAAATCTATTTATCTTATACTTATATTTCAAGCATGATTTAATTTACTATGTTACTTTTTTTTTCTGACTTCCTCTGGGTGAGTCATCAAAGCATAAATCTTTTACTATTCTTGTAATTTTTAATTTTTTTTTCTTATCATTCATATAATCTTAAATATTTAAAGGATGTATTATCTTGACTATTGATGATGGATTCACATTGAAATGATTCTGAAAGTATTATTGAATCTATTATTTTTCATGATTATAAGGATAATTTTTAATAATAAAGTAAAATCACGTGGTGAACTATTTATAGAGAAATGAATAAATTTTTGTTAAAACCTTTTAATTAAAATAAGGCCTGTTGTTACTAAGAATGTTCCTTGAAAGGCTAAAACAGCTTAAATATTTAATTAATATTCAGTTTTATTAACAGTATAAGCAACTCTTATAAAATGATAACATCCTTATAGTTCATTTTCTTGATTATCCATTAAACTTAAATGATATTCTTTGTAACAGAGATTAGATGTAGTAATTATATTATAAATTCCAACAAGCATGAAGATTAGGAGTAATAGAATTGAATATAATTTAATGGATCAAAGGAATTGCTTCTCCTAAAATAAATGAAATTTCTTATTAGAATTACCTAAAAATTGTAGCTGTATAATATCTTCACACAATCCTATAGGTATTTTATTAATTGACATATTGCAACATGGACAATATTCTTATTAGTTTTAAATTTGATATCCAACTTATTTGGCTTTACCATGTTCATATACTAATTCTAGTTAAATTATGGATTGTGTAATTACTGAAATCAGGAGGCAGAGCAAATGGGTTGTATTAATTGTTATAATTCATTAAAATAATATATCCCAAATCCACCAATCAAATGAGAGTTTTGATAGTTTTTGTATGCCAATTTTTGAGTAACATTTTTTAATATTAAAAATGGCAAGAACTAAATAAACTGCAAGAAAGAGCACTGCTGGTAATAAAAAACCAACTAAACATTTGGCAACAAAAGCTGCTAGAAAAACTGCTCCAGCTGTAGGTGCTGCTGGAGGTTTAAAAAAACCACACAAATTTAGACCTGGAACTGTTGCTTTAAGAGAAATTCGTAAATATCAAAAATCAACTGAATTGTTGATCAGAAAATTGCCATTCTAAAGATTAGTTAGAGAAATTGCTCATGAATTCTAAAAAGAACTTAGATTCTAAAGTTCTGCTGTCTTAGCTCTCCAAGAAGCTGCTGAAGCCTACCTTGTTGGATTATTTGAAGACACAAACTTATGTGCAATCCATGCTAGAAGAGTCACAATTATGTCAAGAGACATTCAATTAGCCAGAAGAATTAGAGGAGAAAGATTCTGATATTTTTAACACAGAAAATTATTATATAACATTTCGAAAATCTTTATATATATATACATATATATATTCATTCTTTCATTTTTAATCAACATCTTCAAATTCCAATTTGAATTTTTTTCATTCTATCAAAATTCTTAAAAATTTTCATTAGCCTTTTTGAAATTATCAATATATCAATTCTAAACACTTTATAGATCATTCAAATCAAAAAACCATTCAAATTTTCTCAATTTTAATTATTAAAGATTAAATAAGTTCTATCTTTAATTAATAAGTAATATATATCAAAATATATGTATTTTGAATGTCCATGCTCCTTTCGAATGGAATTAGAACATCAACATCAAATAATTTAGCATATAGATTTTTGTTAACAATTTAATACGGACAGTCCTTTATGCAATATGTATAAGAGAAGCAATGTTGATGAGATACCAATTGAACAATTAGTTACTTTTTTATATGATTTAAAATTATAAGTAGAAAGAATAGAAAATGTTTTAAAAAGACGTATAATTCTTCTATAATATTTAAATAGGCAGCTATAAAAATTAAACAAAGTCAATTATTAATGATCTAAATTTTGATCATTATGCTAAATATACATCAAATTCCAAAATAAAATTAAATAGTTCTCAAGTAAAGAATAATGGAGTTACATTCAGAATTAATACAAACAATATATCTGGTCTAAAATAGAAAAATTAAATAGTAGAAGAAATTTAAAATAATTAATTACCTCCTACCTCAACTCTCTCACCTGAAAAATTAGAAAATGAGTAAGACAAAAATAACAATATCATTTATTAATCAAATATATTAATAGAAGAACCATAAAAAAAACTTAGTTTATAACAAGAAGATTAAAAAGTAGCATGTGAAGGTTGTAGAAAACCTTTTTATTTTAATTAAGATTTTGAAAAATTATGGTTTTTAGAAGAGTGTTCACATGTAATTTGTAAATAATGTATTTTACGTATGGCATAGGAAAAATATATTGATAATGATGGTAAAATTATGTGTCAAGAAATTGGATGTATAGCTAGAATTAATTAATTTGAATTAAAATAAATATTAGGTAATGATAAATTTAATGATTTGGATAAAAAACTAGCACTTAAAAATTAAAATATAGTTGAATGCATAAAATGTAAATCATAATTCTCTTTTGAAAAAGGGAATCCATAAGAATAAGTTAAAGATTAGTAAGGTAAAAGTATTAATGGTGAGGCATTAATAAGTTATGCTAATAATAGATTTATATGTAAATAATGTAAAACAGAATAATGTAGATAATGCAATGCTACTCCTTTTCATATAGGAATGACATGTTAATAACATAAAATTAATTTAAAAGCAAATAAATGTATTCTTTGTGATTTTCCTTGTGATGGAAAAGTTTGTAATTAAGAAGATTGCTAAAACAGAATAAAAAGATTATGTTAGAAAACTTTAAATTGTGGTCATTCTTGTAATGGAGTTTAGGGTGAAGAATGTTTTTGTTTGCTTTGTTCTAATTAAGATCCAGATAATTATTGTAATATGTGTTTTACTGAAGCTTTAAAAAGTGCACCATGCATTAAAATAGAATGTGGTCATATATTTCATGAAGAATGTATTATGAAAAAATTAGATGCTAAATGGAATGGTCCTAGAATTTTTTTTCAATTTTGTTCATGTCCTTTATGTAAGAAATGGTTGAATGTTAAACATAAAGAAATAGAAACAAGATTAAATTAGATTCTGAAATTAAAATTATAAGTAATGGATTTATGTTTAGAAAGATTAGAAATAGAAGGATTGAAATAAGCTAAAGAATTAACAGATCCTAAAAGTTAATTTTATTAAAACCCTCAAGAATTTGCAATGGATAAATTTTGTTTTTATGAATGTTTTAATTGTAAAAAACCTTATTTTGGAGGTATAAAGAATTGTTAAGCAATTGATTAAAACAATGATAGAGCTTAATTTAAAAAGGAAGATTTAATATGTTCAAGTTGTTGTCCAATTTCATTTGAAGCTAATTGTAATAAACATGGTGATAAATATATTGAATTTAAATGTCGATTCTGTTGTTCTGTTGCTGTATGGTTTTGTGGGTATATTTAAAAGATATATTTTTAGAGGAACAACTCATTACTGTGAACCATGTCATAGTGGAAGAAATCCTAATATGAATAAGCCTTGTCCTGGACCAGAAAAATGTCCATTACGTGTTAATCATAAACCAAATGGTCAGGAAAATGCTTTAGGATGTGCACTTTGCCGTTCTTAAAGGTTTGATGATTTAATTAAAAAAAACTGATACCTATAATTCATATTTAGTCTAAAATTGTTTTAATTTCATATAAATTGAAACATATCTATTCATTTTAAAAAATAATATGTTATAAATTTGAATGATGATTAATAACATTAATTATGATATTAATAACAAAACTTAAACATTATGTATTACATAGGAGTTGAAATTCATAAATTTATTGTATTATAATTTTTGTTTTACTTGAACTAGCATTTTATCTCTTAATAGGAAAAAAAAATATTGAAAGTAAAATGTAGAGTGAATCCTAGATTGATTAATTCTTAAGTTTTATTAATTAAATATGCGTTCGAATTATGCAACAAATACAGAGAACGGATCTGCAGCTAAGCCATAATAATATTTCGAAGGTAATAGAAAAGGAGAAGTAAATGAATTGAAAATGTATCAATATATTCATTGAATATAGATTGGTAAAGAATACTTTAAATGAAAAGGATGATAAAAAGAAAAGAGAAGTAGTAAAAAAGGTGATTGCGTATATGACATTGGGTATTATAGAATTGTAGATTAGGAATCGATGTATCTAAATTATTTCCTGAAATGTGTATGGCATCTTATACAAATGATTTGGTATAAAAAAAAATGATATATTTATATCTAACAACATATGCTGAATAGAATAAAGATATGGCATTTATGGCTATAAGTACATTTTAAAAAGATTGTAAACACAATGATCCAAAGATTAGAGGTTTTGCATTGAGAAATTTATGTTCACTTAGATTTAGTGGTGCAATAGAATTTTTGATGCCAGCAATTAAAGAAGCTTTATCAGATATTGATGCATATGTTAGAAAAACAGCTATAATGGGATGTGTGAAAGTATTTTATATGCAACCAGAGTAATTAAACAATATAGAGGATTCATTATATAAAATGATAAGTGATAATGATCCACTAGTTATAATCAATGCAATTCATGCATTAAATGAAATTTTAGCATCTGAAGGTGGAATGGCATTATCAAAAAAAATGGTTGATTATTTATTAGGAAGATTGAAAGAATTTAATGAATGGGGATAGGCAACCATTTTAGATGAGTTAGCTAAATATTCTCCAAAAGATGATAAAGAAATGTTTAACATCATGAATTTATTAGAAGAGAGATTAAAACATTCTTGTTCTGCAATTGTCTTAGGAGTCATAAAGGTCTTTATGAATTTCACTAAAAATAAACCTCAAATTTATGAATAAGTTATAACTAGAGTTAAACTACCTTTAGTAACCTTAGCATCTATTAGTGAAGGTAATTTTGAAATTATGTACACGATTTTGTGTCATATAAAATATATTACATCTAAAGGATATAATTCTGTATTTGCATCTGATTATAAATCATTTTATTGCAGAGTTGATGAACCAACTTATATAAAATTACTAAAACTTGAAATTCTATCATTAATCGCATGTGACTTTAATTTAGGAGACATGTTAAATGAATTAGGAGAATATGTAACTGATGTCGATTAGGAGATTTCTAAAAAATCAATCTAAGCTTTAGGATCTATTGCTATTAGATTACCTGATTTAGCTACTGCAATAGTAAAACAATTATCTTCTTTTGTAACACTCTAAGATTATATAACGAATGAAGTAATTCTTGTGTTTAGGGATATTTTAAGAAAAGATCCTAAACACATTAAAGATTGTTTAGAAATCATTTAATCAGATAATATTACAGATTCTAATTCAAAAATAGCTTTAATTTATATTTTAGGCCAATTTGGATAACAAATACCTTTAGCTCCTTATATATTAGAAACTTATATAGGGGCATCAGAATCTGTAGATTTAAAATAAACTCTTTTAACATCTTGTCTGAAAGTATTTTTTGTTAGAGCACCAGAAATGCATTAAGTTTTAGGTAAGTTATTCTATTCAATTATAAAAAATGAAAATGAAGATATTGATTTAAAGGATAGAGCAGCTTTCTATTATAGAGCATTACATTCAAATCCTAATGAAGTTAAATAACTTTGGCAATATAGTATCAAAGTTGATAAATTCCTAGAAGAGACTATCATTAATAAAGAAGCTCTTTTATTTGAATTCAATTCTTTATCTGTTATTTATGAGAAAAATGTTAATAAATTTATCAAACCAATGGAATACTTCAATAATCTTAGAAATAAAGAATTATAAGATCTTAATTAAGAATAATAACAAACCAAAACAAATACAATTTAAGAATAAACCTCTGATGTTATTGAGAATCCACAATCTTAACCTTACCATTAAACTAATGATTTGCTTGAAATTTCAGATTAATCTCAATAATAATAAGCCTATCTTAGTATAGATAGCTTTATAGTCAATTATTCAATAGATGCTGATAATTTTGAAAATATGTGGACTAATTTAAATGATGGGTAATCAATTAATTATTTATTATTTTAGTGCAACTTTCACAAGAATGTTAGTTCGAAATGATATTGCAAATGAAGCTTCTATGGAATAATTATTTAAATAATATAGACTATATAATATAGCTGCAGGAGAAGAAGATAATGTCCTAAAAATGTATTTCTATGGATCACATTAATGTTAAGTTTTTTTTGAATTTGAGATCAATAAGAATCTTAGTACGGTTATATTAAATACAAGATCTGAAATTGAAGATCAAGCTTATTTAGCTTCTAAATATGTTGAAGATTTTCTTAAATAAGTCCGTTTAATAGAATGAAAATATTATTATATACATAAATATATTAGAGTCATATTTAATGAAACAATATATAATTTAACTAAATTGATGTACATCTATATTGGAATTGCATTTTTGCTCATTTTATTATATTCCTTAGTGATTAAACCCTTTATCTAGCTACTACTAATCAAAATTAAATTCGGAAACTAAGCCAAAATGATTTTCTTTCCAATTTTTGGAGATATTGTAGAAATAGAAGGATCGTACAAAAAATATAATGATCATTACGCATCAATTAAAAAATATTTTAAAGAGAATAAAGATTTAAAATTTCTACTCTTAAATATATTCAATATTCCATTCATTTTTATTGGAGATCCTGAAATGATAAAATAAATCCATACAAATCATGATAGTTTCCGAAAAATAGATTTTTTAAATAACAAGTACTACTTATTGAAATATCAAGTTCACGTCTAATGGGATAAGGATTATTATTTTAATATGGTTAACAGTGGAAAAATTAAAGAAAATTATTAGGAAGACCATTTGATTTTGATAAATTAAAAGCACGAATTCCAATGATGAATTAAGTAGTTAAATTGAAATTGGCTAATAATAATTATTAAAATCCTTTAGATTTAACAAGATCTATAGCAGGAGAAGTTGTAATTTAAACCTTTTTTGGTAAGGAGGCAGAAAATGCACAACTTAATGGAAGGGAAGCTTAATCTGAAATTGTCGAATTGTTCAATGATATAACAGAAGCCATTTATGGATCTTTTTATGGTTTTCTTAAATGGATGATTATAGGTGAAAAATAATGGAAAATATTACCGAATAAAAAAGAAAGAAACATAAATAGGAGAATTGAAGAACTTAATATTTTTGCAAGAAATGTAATTGATAATAGGATTACTAAAATTTAAAAGGAAGGTTTTAAAAAAAATCAAGAGGATTTCGATTTTTTGGATATTCATTTGTAAGAATTATTAGATGAAAAAAATACTACTGGAATTACTAAAGAAGAAATAATATCTTAATTTATAACTTTATTTTTCGCTGGGACAGATACTACTTCTAGTGTTGCTGCAATGTGTTTATTTTATTTAGCTTAATATCCAGAAATTCATTAGGAATTACTTAAAGAAATTTAAACAGTAATTGGAGATGGTGATGTTCTTGATATTCATCTTAATAAATTATAAGAATTAAATTCATTTATTTTGGAAGTTTTAAGAGTTAGAAATCCAGCTAGTGGTCCCTTAGTTAGAGTTGCTAATTAAGATATGCTGATAAAAGATTTACATATTAAAAAAGGATGGATTCTCATGCCAGCTAATTTTGTTTAATAATAAAACGATAAATACTTTTAAAATTATGAAGATTTTGATCATAAAAGATTTCTAAAAACTTAAGTAGTAAAAAATGATAATGGTTATGTTAATATTCCATTTTCTGCAGGACCTAGAAATTGTATTGGACAAGTAATTTCATAATCATAAAATTTTAGCATATGGCTATGATGGAAATAAAAGTCATATTATGTCATATTATAAGGAATTTTAAGGTTACTCCAGTACCTGAGAAAATGAAGAATTTGAAATGGAAGGCTAAATTTTTATATTTCCATGAACCTTTAGATTGCATCCAATTAATCAGAAATTGAAATTGGAAAAAATGATTAAGCATCTAAAATATAAATATAAATTTGAATTTATATTTTTATTGCAATTAAAAAAAATTTAATTAATAAAAATATTTGAACAAAAAGTAATTACAATCAATATATTTAATACATACTTACTAGTTTTGTGAGTTTTTATTTTAAAAGGAAACAAATATAATACAGTTTTATATTTTAATTTAATTTTAATATAAATTATGTCACTTTAAAGGGAGAACACAATAATAAAAGAAAATAGGTTAAAACGAATTCAAAAGTTATTTATTGCAAGAAGTTTAGCTATAAATGAACCTTAAACTTAAAGTGATAGAAATATTTTCTAAGAAATCAATGATGAATATAATATTGATAAAGGTCCAAAATACAATGAAAAGGGTGAAATAATAAAACACTCTATTTTAGGAAAACCAGATTGGTTCAATAAAACAAAGTATGGTAAAAAATAAGCATAATTCGATGAATTTAATCTTCGATAACTTCCATAAAAATCATAAACAAGAATTGATTAAGATTAAAAATCTATGGCAAAGAGTGATATAAAAAGTTTATAAAAAGGTGGAGGCTCTGGAAAATTCAAAAAAGATAAGAGAGATTAATTAACAACTAAAACTTAATTGCTTGAAGAATTAGATAAGATTAAAGATAGAATAGAAATGAATAAAGAAATAGAGTTAAGAAAACTTAAGTATTTATAAAAAATTAAGTTTAGAGAACTATAACCTGTTGTTAGATCTAATATTACAAAATAAGAAAGAGTAATGGATAAACATGATAAGATGGAATAATACTGGAATGATTTTACTTATTAATAAGCAAATCAATTAAGTAGATTTCCTTCTGATTGTCAATTAATATAAGCTGAAAATTATAGAACAAGATTAGAAGCAGCAGCCGCTTTTGATGCACTTAAAACAGATTATGAAAGATTTGGTCCAAGAGTTTGGTAAATGACTTTAAGAAAACCTGATCAATCAAATGAAACCTTAATGAAATTGAAGGATACATAAATTATTGTAGAAAATGAAAGAAAATATGATTTTATTGTGGTAATTCATAATAAAGATTATTTAGGGATCGGATTTGCCTTATGCATTTACAGAATCATCAGTATGTGGACATAAGGGAGGTATAGAATATTATAGAAAACCAAATTTTTTGCCAGATAGTGGTCAATTAACAATTTCCAGTAGATTTAGAAAATCAACAGATTCTGAAATGAATTAAAGTTCTCTTCCATTTAAAAGTTTTAGAAGTGAAGAATATTTAATGAAAAAAATTGAAAAACAAAAAAGTTAATTCAGCTAATCTCATATGTTATCAATTGATAAAACTGATGGATATGATTAATTAATAATATTAGGAAAGAGTTAATATGAAGTAGAGAAATAAATGTTACTTAATGATGGAACAGATAATACAGGAGTTTATCGTAAAAATATTGAAAAGATACCAGAAGAATTAACTAAAGAATAAATTTATGAATAGAATTTTACTGGAACATAAAGATTAATTTTGCCATAGATTTATAAGAGTCAAATGTCTAAGATTAAAAGATAAGGATCTGTAACTAGCAGAAGTTAAGATTCAAGAAGTAGTATGGATTTTTAAACAGAAAATTAAACAGTTATATAATGAATAGAAAGATTTTGATTTTTTATTTAACATGATTAATATACTTATTTTATATTAAGCTTTTTCATTTTTTCTTATTTCCTCCTTTAGCTTAAGCAGCTGGTTTTCCTCCAGCATTATTCTTTCTTAAAGCTTTTAATTAGGTACTGAGGAGTGCACTTCTCTATTATTATTATTAATAATAGCATTACTCTCTTTCTGAGAATCATAACTCTAAATCTATCAAAATCTGTTAATTTAGCTCTTAAAGCTTTCTTGGCAACTTTCTTGGCAGCAAGTGTATTTTGATATTAAGCAATTGGGTCATTCTTTTTAATTGCCTTAGTAATCACACCAGTTCTAGCACCTCTTGTAGCACCTTTAAGATTGAATTTGGTAAGTGTTAATCTTCTAATTGGAATTACCTATCTTTAAACTCCTGTGGTTGGTCCATCAATAAGGACTCTCTTATCATTCAGAATTTCAACTATTGTAGCCAATTTACCTTCTTATGGACCATAGTTGATCTTTACAACTCTTCCAACTTCAACAAACTTTGTAAGTACCTAAAAATATTAATCGATGTTCTTACCATCTCTAATAAAACAAATTTTTTTTATTATTTAAAAATCCTTTTAATCTTTTTAAAAAGAGATGTTATACAAATATCATATATATTAATTAATTATATTCATTCATAATAAGTCTTCCCCTCTTAACCTAATCATATAGAATAATTCTGAAATTCAATTTATTTGTTTATATATATTATATATATATATGCATTCAATATAATTTAATAATATTCATATATAAATAATATATATGATAGTTCATATAGTAAAAAATCATAGCTTATAATGGCTATTTATTAATTATTTTTCTGAATATTTAATTCTTTATTCTGTTTAAATATTTTACAACTTTTAAAAATTTTCAATTCTATTCATTTAATAGAAATGAATTATAGTTTGATTAGTAAAGTATAATTTAAATTAATTTCTCTTTGAATAGAGTTCTGTTGTTTATTATTGTAAGTAATTAACAAAAATTATTATTATTTATTCTAAAATTATAATGGCAAATACTAAGCCAAATATGAGACCTTTAAGGCCTAACTTTAATATAAAAAATACTTCTTAAGTTTCAGAATAAGAGCCTCCTTAACCAACACTTGAACTTAGAGAATAGAGAGCTCCAGAACCAAAAATGAATTTAAGGCCTTTTGTACGTCCGCCTAGTTCAAAAAAAGATGATGTTCAACAATCATAATAGTTTTAAGAATCAATTATGGAATCGAAAGTGGATGAGTAAAAAAGTACATAATAAAGTAACAGTTTCGACTTAAATTAAAAGGAAGAACACCAGTAAATGGATTTAGAAAATTCAATTTACAATCTAATGCACCTGTTTAATAAAATGAAGACATCCCAAATGTAGCATAATAATATTAAGGTCCAGCAATAAATCTATTTGCAAATAAAGAAAAAATTCAATAAGAAGTCAGTCAAATAAAATAAAAAGAATTAAGATAAATGGTGCAAGTATAAATGAAGTAAAGACCTTTAAATGCACCAGAAATGAACTTATTTTCAGGGAAAGAATCTGTAGATGGTTCAGATGCATTTAAAAAGATGAAACCTATAAAACCAACAAATAAATAAGAGCCAATAACTAAAGATACTATAAAAGTAGCAGAACTATTGGAAAATAAGATTCAGTTTTAAGCTCCTTTAGAAGAATAATAGATTGAACCTAAAAAGATTCCTAGAACAAGAGTTAAACAAGCTGTTTAGGAATAAATTGATATAGAATAGTTAAATAATTAGTAATAAAATGTAATCCAATAAACATAAGAAGTTAAGTTGGATAAAACTTAAAAAGATATGAATAAAAATATAGGTAAGAAAGGTGGAAAGNTAATAATATTCATATATAAATAATATATATGATAGTTCATATAGTAAAAAATCATAGCTTATAATGGCTATTTATTAATTATTTTTCTGAATATTTAATTCTTTATTCTGTTTAAATATTTTACAACTTTTAAAAATTTTCAATTCTATTCATTTAATAGAAATGAATTATAGTTTGATTAGTAAAGTATAATTTAAATTAATTTCTCTTTGAATAGAGTTCTGTTGTTTATTATTGTAAGTAATTAACAAAAATTATTATTATTTATTCTAAAATTATAATGGCAAATACTAAGCCAAATATGAGACCTTTAAGGCCTAACTTTAATATAAAAAATACTTCTTAAGTTTCAGAATAAGAGCCTCCTTAACCAACACTTGAACTTAGAGAATAGAGAGCTCCAGAACCAAAAATGAATTTAAGGCCTTTTGTACGTCCGCCTAGTTCAAAAAAAGATGATGTTCAACAATCATAATAGTTTTAAGAATCAATTATGGAATCGAAAGTGGATGAGTAAAAAAGTACATAATAAAGTAACAGTTTCGACTTAAATTAAAAGGAAGAACACCAGTAAATGGATTTAGAAAATTCAATTTACAATCTAATGCACCTGTTTAATAAAATGAAGACATCCCAAATGTAGCATAATAATATTAAGGTCCAGCAATAAATCTATTTGCAAATAAAGAAAAAATTCAATAAGAAGTCAGTCAAATAAAATAAAAAGAATTAAGATAAATGGTGCAAGTATAAATGAAGTAAAGACCTTTAAATGCACCAGAAATGAACTTATTTTCAGGGAAAGAATCTGTAGATGGTTCAGATGCATTTAAAAAGATGAAACCTATAAAACCAACAAATAAATAAGAGCCAATAACTAAAGATACTATAAAAGTAGCAGAACTATTGGAAAATAAGATTCAGTTTTAAGCTCCTTTAGAAGAATAATAGATTGAACCTAAAAAGATTCCTAGAACAAGAGTTAAACAAGCTGTTTAGGAATAAATTGATATAGAATAGTTAAATAATTAGTAATAAAATGTAATCCAATAAACATAAGAAGTTAAGTTGGATAAAACTTAAAAAGATATGAATAAAAATATAGGTAAGAAAGGTGGAAAGACTTAATCAATTTAAAACTAATAGTAATAAAATGAATAACCAGAGGAAACTAACATATAATTAGCATAAACAAAAGAAATAATGCAAAACCAATAATAAAACGCTATGACAATTGATGACTTTAAAGAAAGAGTAATATGCATTAATTATTGAATAGACAATTTAATTTAACATGAGTACTACAAAAAACATTGTATAAGGTAAGTAGGAGGAATAAAAATAAAGAGCCAAGGATTTGTAATAATTAATTACATTAGAAGTAGATGATTATAGCAATTAATTAGTAATTTAACCTAGAAGTATTAAAAATATTATTATTTTTTTTAGCTGAATATGAAACATATCTCAATCATATAAAAGCTAATATCATTAGAAATTCTTGTGATTAAGCATTTGATGATAGATTAACAATAGAAACTTAAACAGATGATTTTTAAACCAATGATTTTGGAGGACAATGTCCTGAAGATTATAATAGAACATTTCTTGCACATAAATAATAATATTAAAAAGATAATCGTTTATGTGAGTTTATTGAATAAGCATGTGAAATTTTTGAAGAAATTCTTAATACTGGATATAGAAATTAAGATTAAATTCATTCAGAATAATAAAATTATACATTTCCTAATCAAATAAAAAATGCATTTAAATGCAAATGCTTAAATATTGTAGCTCATTAAATAAATAATAATTAATTAGAATTTTTTGAAACATATTATATTGAAAATGATAAATTTAAGTGGATGAATGGTTCAATAATAATTTAATACCCTTAAAATCTACTATATTATATTCCTTCAAAAGTAACATGTTTAATTTGTGAATAAAATCTACTGATTTGTGGAAATTCAGATGGATAAATAGCTGGATGGAGTATTAATGATATTGGTTAAACGAATAAATAAACAAATAAAATTAAAGAATTATTGTAGAATGAATTTAAGGTAAAAAGTTTAAATTTTGCATCGGAATGGAATTTATCAATACTTGATTAATTTAGTGATACTAATATAAATTAGTTATCTTAAATACAACAAATAACACACAATTAATTTGTCAAATTGATTTTTGAGATAGTTGTGATGGATATTTTTGGAAATATATAAATTTGGGAAGTTTAAGATTTGAAATATAATGAATAAGAAAAGTTGTATGTAGATTTAGGAATAAAATCTAAAAAGAAATTAGTATTATTAAATACAATAAATAAGAATCTTACTAAGATTTATAGTAGTATGATAATGGATATTGATACGTATTATTATGAATAATTTAATTTATAGTATTTTGATCTGTGGACCTACAAAAGTTATTAACATTTCTTAATTAAAATCATATTATAATGATTCTGATACCCAACCATATGTTGTTAGTAATATTTATTATAATTATTTTTGTGTTGGTTATGTGGATGGACATATTGCGTAAGATAATTAATAATAATTGATAGATTATTTAATAAAGAGTTTACAAAATCAATATGGTAATTGAGGATTGGTTTAAAGAAGATTATTTGGATTAGAATACTTTCAGATGGTTTAATAGGTGCAATAGATAGTGAATCGAATTTATATGTATATTGTGTAAAAGATGATTCTCAAATGATTGGCAAATAATTAGTTTTTGAAGATCATTGGAGATTTAATTATGCTTAGTATTTGTGAATAATTAAATGTAAGCTAAAATGGTAAAGAGTTGACAATAATTGGAAAAGATAAAAAAAATGAATTACAATTGATTAAAGAGAGTTTGGAATTATAAGGAAGCAAATGTGAGATTTTCGATAACATTTATTAGGATTATTATGGATAATGAAAAATATATAAATAAAATTATTAAATAGATATGTCTAGAGCAAACAAATAGGTTGAGTTATAGCCAGCTCCAAACAAGAAAGTTTAAGCACCTGCAAAACCATAAAAGCCAAAGGAGAATTATTTGACTCCAGAAGAAATCAATGATTTAAGAGTAAAAAGTGTTGTAACTATAAAAAAGGAAACATTTGATTTATTTGATGATGATAAGAGTGGCACAATAGATGCACATGAGATTAAAAAGGTGCTTGAAGATTTAGGAGTAGATGCTAGAAATAAGTTTGTGTATCAAATGGTTTAAGACTTGGAGAAGTATTTTTTTCACATCTTAAAATTAGTTTTGGAGGCTCAATCGATTTTGATACTTTTGTTAATATTATTTCAGATAGATTGGGAAATAATAAAACAAGAGAAGGCGCATTCAAATTGTTCCAAATTTATGATCCTGAAGATACTGGGTTTTTATTTGATCATATTTTAGATTCATTGATTTTACTAATCTTAAACGTGTGGCAAAGGAATTGGGTGAAACCCTCAATGATGATGAATTGCATGAAATGATCCATCATATTCATATTCTTAGAAAAACAGAAAGCCCAGAATAAATCTCATTTGAGGAGTTTTACGAAATCATCACAGCTCCAAGAAGATATTGAGAAAAATAAAATAATATATATTAAATCATCATAAATAAGCATATAAAATATATCTCTATTTAAAAATCATTCAAATTTTAATGATTAAAAAAATTATACTTATTATTATTCAATATTCTAATAATAAACTATTTATTATCAAAATAATTATTATTATACAATAATTAGAAATTAAATTATCAAATTTATATTATCATAAATTCAATCCCATTTTAAACCTTTGCAAACAGATGAATTCATCTTAGAACAAATTAATTTCCCAAAATCTTCTTTTAATTTATCTATCTATCCATTTATCGCTATAGAAGGAACAAAGCTTAAATCTGGAGTTTTCATTCTATTTCTATATAAAAGCTCTATTCCTTAAGGTCCATTTGCACAAGCTTTAACCTATAGTTTTTGTTATACACTCCCTATACATTTATCTATTTCCTTATCAAAAAACTCTTCTCCAGATTATTCTTTGAAGAAGCATCTCACAAACTTTGTACTCTCAACTTAATTTTTTTATAAATTGAGACCGCATGCTAAAATCATATTTCCATAACATTCTTTTTCATTATTCTAACAATTAGTAATGTAAGTATTTGGCTCATGATGACCTTTTGGATTTTTTTTTCCAGATGGTATAAATTCAACTTTGGCTATTTAATCTAATGATTCGATTGTTTGATCAGATATCATCTTCATTGATTTTAATGTATCAGAGCAGAGTGATTCTATATATATTTTAACATCTGGTATATCCTATGAATTTGCAATAGTCAAAGTTAGTGTAATGAACATAAAGGTAATATTAATCATGAGAAAATAATATCAATTTTGTGATTCTACAATTCCATCTGATTAAAAATATAAATTTCGATTTGTCAGATTTTGTGGAGATCCATCAAATTAAACTATTTATGGTGAATTCCCTCCTTAAGGTGAACTATCCAATTCTATTTTACACTAAGTTCTAAATGGAGAAGATGATAATTGAAGAAAAGGTAAATCTCTATAAGTTTAAGAAGGTGGATTTTCCTTAGATTATATTACTTCTTATATTTTAGTCTCTTTTGTTTCTCGATTTCTATTACTTTTCACTTCCAATAATTCTATTATTTCATTTTCTAGTAAACCTTATCTACAAACAGGACAATTAGCTTATTTTGTTGTCCTTTAATAATATAAATATTAGAATACCAATCTATCAAACATTATTCATGAAAATAATGTTTACAAGGTGTTAGACAATATTTTTCTTTTAATTCAAATTATAATAAGCAAACTGAACAGGTTTCCTATTTCATCTTAGAATCTATTTTTTATGTTGGTATGTATTTCTTTAAAACTTTTCTATCCAAAGCAGGTTAAATTTGAGTTAGTTTTTTATATTAACGTCTAAAATGACAAAGTATTATTATAAAAAGAATTAAACCAAAGATTACAATAGATATTAATAACATTATAGCCCAAAATGGAAATTCTTGATCTTAAAAAGCAGTTCTGTATATAATTATAATAAGTACGTAATGGTAATAGTAATTTCTTGAATTTAAGTTGGATTGAAATTATAAAAACCAATTATATAAATACTATTTGAACTTTTTTTCGAATGGGATAATGAAATAAGATTTTCATCATTATCAGAATCCAAAACAATAAAGTCTTAAAAAAATGTTGGAAGAGTAGTTGTATTAATTTTATCAAATGAAATGATTGAAACACCAAATTACAATTTTCCATTTTCAACTATAATCTAAAAATTTATTATTGAGAAATTACTTCATAATTATCATCATCAAGAATAGCATATGCATAAAACCATGTATTGTTTTGAATTGATATTGTTACTGCAAATTCCTTGTAAATTTATTAAATTGAAAGACTACAGTTCTATCCGTAATAAGGAAATTAACAAGGTAAGGAAATGTGTTATTACTAAAATTAAAAATAGATTTACAGCTTCATGCAGACTTAAATTAAAATGCATCGTTTTATTTAAGTTTTTTTGATTTTAAAAGTAATCAAGAACATTACAACTAACTTTTATAGTAATAGCATCAGTTGACTAAAAATAAACCTTCTGAATATCAGCTTTAATGGAATATGCTAATGTATCATTATAAATTTAGTTGTTTACGATGACTTAAAGCAAAGGTAAGCAATAATTATTTTTTGGAATTTATGTTAATATCATGGAGAGTAAATAAGTTTTTGAACTATTCAAATCAGTGTGTTAAATTTGTAATTCATCAGTAACATATTAAGTATTAAAGTTAGCTAAAACAAAGGTGAAGCATAATAAAAATATCATAAAAATTAATGTATAGAAATTTATTGAAATTACGCTATGGATTTCAAGCATGTATAAATATAGATCATAAACATAATAGAAGCAACATAATTAACTCCAATAAAGATGACAGTTAGAGAAGCAATAAATCTTGCAATGGATGAAGAGTTAGCTAATGATCCAAATGTATTTTTGATAGGTAGAAGATTGAAAGTAATACTTTAGGTGAGGAAGTAGGACAATTTTAAGGAGCATATAAAGTATCTAAAGGACTGTTTTAAAAGTATGGAGGTGATAGAATAATTGATACACCAATAACCGAAGCTGGATTTACAGGAATTTCAGTAGGTGCTGCACTTTATGGATTGAAACCAATAGTTGAATTTATGACTTGGAATTTTGCAATGCAAGCAATAGATCATATAATAAATTCTGCAGCAAAAGCTCATTATATGAGTGCTGGTGATTAGAAAGCATCTATAGTATTTAGAGGGATTAATGGGTAAAAAATGAATAATATGATTAAGAGCAACTGCATATGTAGCAGCTTAACATTCTCAATGTTTTGCTTCATGGTATAGTAATGTACCAGGATTAGTAGTACTAGCACCTTTTGATTGTGATGATGCAAAATCATTATTAAAAGCAGCAATTCGTAATCCAAACCCAGTTGTGTTTTTGGAGAATGAAATTTTATATAGTGAATCATATGAATTATCAGCTGAAGCCAGAGATCCAAATTATATTGCTCCTATTGGAAAAGCTAAGATTATGAGAAAAGGTGAACATGTTACAATTGTAGCATTCTCTAAAATGGTTGAATATTCTCTTAGAGCTGCAGAATAACTATTTCGTGAAGGAATTAGTTGTGAAGTTATTAATTTAAGAAGTTTAAGACCATTAGATAGACATACTATTATTGAAAGTGTTAAAAAAACAGGAAGAGTTGTTTGTGTTGAAGAAGGATGGCCATAATCTGGAATTGGAGCTGAAATTACAGCACTTATTATGGAAGAAGGAGCTTTTAAATATTTAGATGCTCCTGTTTAAAGAGTTACTGGAGTTGAAATACCTACACCTTATGCTTTTAATTTAGAAGCTATGGCATTTCCTAAAACAGAACAAATTATTGATGCTGTCTTAAACGTATTAAAAGGAGCTCGTTGATTTATTAAATTATAAAATGAATTAATTTATAAGTCTTTAATAAAGTGATATCCTTTATTTAAAATATTTTGGAAATAATTCCAATCTTAAAGACAAAGTCATTAAAAATTAAAAAATCAAAAGTTATCACTAAGATTTCTGATAGTCTAATCATCCCTATCAAATATACTAATAGGATTTCTCTTTTAAAATATTTTACAGAAAAATAGCTGTATATTTTCTATGAAAGGAGATCAATAATTTTAATTATGACAATCTATTTTATAATTCTGTTTGTATTAAAAATTAAATCGAAAATATTTCCATGTTATCAAATAAATAAGAAAATAAAATATTATGTGATCCCAAAAATTAAAGATTTTTTAAGATGCAACTCTAAAAGGCTTCCACAAATTTATAACAATCTCGTAAGAATATTTATTAAACTTTAAAAAATAAAATAGATTTATATGTTAAGTTTTAAAATCTTTTTGATGCCATCAATAATTTAGCTAATATTTCTGAAATTAATTTTAGACTCATTAATTAACAATAAAAACAACACAAAATATTTAACAAGGAATAATCGTAAATTTATATTAAAGATTGCTTCAATTATTAGTGACACTTTGTTGCTTGAAGATCTTATTTAACAACTTCAATGATTTTTTAATATTNCTGCATATGTAGCAGCTTAACATTCTCAATGTTTTGCTTCATGGTATAGTAATGTACCAGGATTAGTAGTACTAGCACCTTTTGATTGTGATGATGCAAAATCATTATTAAAAGCAGCAATTCGTAATCCAAACCCAGTTGTGTTTTTGGAGAATGAAATTTTATATAGTGAATCATATGAATTATCAGCTGAAGCCAGAGATCCAAATTATATTGCTCCTATTGGAAAAGCTAAGATTATGAGAAAAGGTGAACATGTTACAATTGTAGCATTCTCTAAAATGGTTGAATATTCTCTTAGAGCTGCAGAATAACTATTTCGTGAAGGAATTAGTTGTGAAGTTATTAATTTAAGAAGTTTAAGACCATTAGATAGACATACTATTATTGAAAGTGTTAAAAAAACAGGAAGAGTTGTTTGTGTTGAAGAAGGATGGCCATAATCTGGAATTGGAGCTGAAATTACAGCACTTATTATGGAAGAAGGAGCTTTTAAATATTTAGATGCTCCTGTTTAAAGAGTTACTGGAGTTGAAATACCTACACCTTATGCTTTTAATTTAGAAGCTATGGCATTTCCTAAAACAGAACAAATTATTGATGCTGTCTTAAACGTATTAAAAGGAGCTCGTTGATTTATTAAATTATAAAATGAATTAATTTATAAGTCTTTAATAAAGTGATATCCTTTATTTAAAATATTTTGGAAATAATTCCAATCTTAAAGACAAAGTCATTAAAAATTAAAAAATCAAAAGTTATCACTAAGATTTCTGATAGTCTAATCATCCCTATCAAATATACTAATAGGATTTCTCTTTTAAAATATTTTACAGAAAAATAGCTGTATATTTTCTATGAAAGGAGATCAATAATTTTAATTATGACAATCTATTTTATAATTCTGTTTGTATTAAAAATTAAATCGAAAATATTTCCATGTTATCAAATAAATAAGAAAATAAAATATTATGTGATCCCAAAAATTAAAGATTTTTTAAGATGCAACTCTAAAAGGCTTCCACAAATTTATAACAATCTCGTAAGAATATTTATTAAACTTTAAAAAATAAAATAGATTTATATGTTAAGTTTTAAAATCTTTTTGATGCCATCAATAATTTAGCTAATATTTCTGAAATTAATTTTAGACTCATTAATTAACAATAAAAACAACACAAAATATTTAACAAGGAATAATCGTAAATTTATATTAAAGATTGCTTCAATTATTAGTGACACTTTGTTGCTTGAAGATCTTATTTAACAACTTCAATGATTTTTTAATATTAGAAATTAAAATCACTCCATAATTATTTCAATATATATTGTTCATGATAGAAATTTTATAATTACAAAATTAGCTTTAAATTATTAAATTTTTCCACTTTTTTTCAAGCCTTAATAATTCTTTTATAATTGGAAATTTTATAATGAAAAGATCAGGAAAATTTGTTGAAATTGTTAGTCGAAAATTAATTTATTAATATACAATAATTGATTGAGAATAGAAACTTCTCAATAAAATTGAAGATTGCATATCATCCATAAGATGATTTAATAAAATTGAGAAATTATTATGATTTACTCAAATGAAATATTAAATATAAAAATGAATAAATTGATTCCAGCAATAGTCTCAGATATTGATGGAGTATTGATTAGAGGAAAGTCAACCGTTACAAATTCAGATATAGTAGTTAAGGAATTATTGAATTGTCATTATACAAATGGGGAAAAACATAATATTCGTATTCCCTTCTACTTATTAACAAATGGAGGAGGATGCACAGAATTGTAGAAAGCTAATTCTTTAAACAAAATTATGGGTACAGATTTTAAAAGCCATCATGTTTTTCTAAATTACACTCCTCTAAGACCAATAATGAATGAATACTAGAATAAATTAATTTTAATTTGTGGAGCTGGTAAACTCACAGAGATAGCAAAGGATTGTGAATTAAAATATTTTTACACAATAGATGAATATTCAGCATTATTTGATTAAGTTCCTTTTAAAGAATATGAAACTGAAACTATTAAACAATATGAGGCTGATATCAAATAAAGGAACATGGATTTGATTAAAAATAAATAAATTGAAGCAATATTTATAGTTTTTGATCCGATTAAATGGGAAGAAAGTATATAGACAATTACAAAATTGGTGTAAGAAAATAACAATTTACCAATTTATGTAGTCAATAATGATATTACGTATGCTGATAATTTTAAGTTACCAAGATTGGCATTTGGAACATTTACAAATGCACTGATATCTATTTTAAAAAAAGAGCATAATATATTTCCAAATATCATATATTATGGAAAACCATCTATAAATACATTCAAATATGTACAAACCTATATAAATGAAAAACATGAAAACATAGGTAATATTTATATGATTGGGGATAATCCTGCAAGTGATATAAGAGGAGCAAATTAAATTGGATGGCCATCTATTTTAGTGAGAAGTGGAGTATTTAGAGGTAGTGAAAATGATGTATAAGACCCTGGAAAATATGTTGTAGAAGATTTAATGGATGCATATAATAAGATATTGTAATTAGAAGGATTAAAAGTTGTTTAATGATATTTTTAACTATAAAAATTTAAAAATGGGTGCTAATTCTTCCTAGGGTGAGAAATTTGTGTAAGAATTCTAAAAATAATGTGTAAAAGTGAGAGAATTAAAAGATTTACGTTTTGGAGATGTTTAGATTTATAGAACACAATAGAATACCTACATAATGGTAAAAAGTATCTGGTGCAATAATTCATCAGAGTATGAAACATCTATTAGTAATATAAAATTGATTAGTTTAGGTAATTGTGAGTAGAGATCTAAGATTTAGCATTAAAATTTAGTCAAACTGTTAGGGTTTCATTCAAATTCATAAAATTAATGGTGTGGAGATTTTTCAAAAATTACAGTATATTTGGAATTCTTCGATTACACATTAGAAAAGTCAATTGAAACAAGAAGACAAACTAATCAATACTTTACAGAAGCTGAATTATGGAAAATGTTATTTACAATTGCTAAGTTGGGAATTTATCTTGAAGAATAAAATAAAGTTCTTGGAGATATTAGACCTTGCAATATTTAATTATCAGATGATTTAAAAATGGCTGTAATTATTCTAATTAACTAATTTAAGGAATTAGGTATATTGAAACCAGATTAAACAGGTTATTAAAGATAAATAAATAATTAAGAAGTAGCATATTTAAGTCCAGAATAATTATATTCATTTAACAATCCGTCAAATACTGCTAAATCAGATGTCTATTCTTTGGGAGTTACTATGTTAGAATGTTCAACTCTGATTAGTGGGAAGAATCTATATAAGTCTAATAGAATTGATGGCAATCTTCTATAGTAGTTATTAGAAACTGTAAGACAACTTGAATATTCAAATCCCTGGTATAGAATGGTGAGAGAGTTATTAAAAGAATAACCAGATGAAAGACCTTCTTATTAAGATATTTATGTAATTTCAATATTGATAATCAGGATGCCCTCAAATAATTTGAAGTCCAGATTTTAAATCTATAGCCCTTTTCACTTATATATTAACAGCCTTAACCACCGTAATAATCTATTTCACCATACAGACCCTCATATTAACAATACTCATAATCCTTACCACCTCAACATTAATAATAATAATAATACCCTTAAAGTTAAATCCCTATCTAATTCTAATAATAATTCCAATAATAATAACCATAATAATAAGTTATTTAACCATAATAATAATAATAATAATAATAAGTTATTTAACCATAATAATTACATTCTTTACCTTAATAACCATCTTATTAATATTAATAATAAGTTCTTCCACAACACCAACCAATACTAGCATCTTAATTACCATAATAATAGACTTAATAATAACCTATTCCATAATCATAATTCCCTCCATAACAATAGTCTTATATGTATTCATATTAGTAACAACCTTATTTAAATGAATTAGCAAATGCTTAATCTAATTATTTCGTATAACAACCAGTTCATCATTTACCTTAATAAATTGAATAATCTCCATATCATACATTATAATCACCATAAAATATGACATCAACAATGTATTATCAAGAGGAAGAATAAGGAGATGGATTAAATGAAATCGATAGAAAGATTCAATAGGCATTAAAAATGACTCGGGATACTGAAAAGAGAAATAAATAAACACCGAATTACTATTGACATAATTATTATGATATGATAAATCATTAGTTATATAAATTGATGTTATTTCCTCAAATTTCTTATTTTAAATTATTAAAATAATTTTTAATAACATAAATATATTTTTAATTATAAATCACTATAATTTAATAAATTCAATAATTATTATTTGTATAAATATTTTTGAACCTTCTATTATTTAAATAAAGTAATATTACTAGAAAACCTCAAATACTAATTGAAAAAAGATTAATTTTGGTTGATATTTGCTTTTATAAATAATTACAATTCCATTATAAAAGGATTGTTTAAAATGGAATGAAAGTAAAATAAAATAGATAAAACACTCAAAACTTATTTGGACTATATACTTTGTTGCAAATGAACCATTAAACCTATAAATAATAAAATTGGGTTGAATATTGAAATAAAATCATAGTTTTGAAGCGTAGATGATAAATTTATTTATAAAAAATTTCTATTATCATATAGGTTGACAAATATAACGATTTTGTAGTTGAGAAACAATCATAGTAAAGATAGATTGAATGGTTGAATATATTTTTTTATAAAATTTATTGATCTAATGAACGCTTGCGTCATAATGAAAGATAATACCTCATTCTTAATCACATACATTTGACTCTAAGGTTCACAAAAATAAATATATAATGAGCTATTCTACCACAGATGAGAGATTGATGGATTCACCTAAAAGAACAGAAAGTACAGATATCTAATCTGACAGTTAAAAATTTAAGAAAGGATTCAATCCAACATTTCTAGGAATTTAATAAACATCAAAAGTCACTGTACTTAATTAAGTAAATTTTAGGTGTCTAGGAGATATCTTGATACTAAAACACATGGAGTTTAATTATATTTTTAGGAATTTACTCCTTAATTAGTAGATGCTTAAATAATCATAGTTCATGGATTTGGTGAGCATTCAGGAAATTATCAATAAGTAAATTCAAATTTGATTCATTCTAGTTGACAGATTGTTTTCTTTCTAATAATTTTAAAGTTTATCTTTATGACTAAAGAGGATTTGGTTATTCTGGAGGTATAAGAGGACAAGCAACAGTTGAATAAATGCACATGGATTTAGACACTGTTTTACAAATAGTAGATAGATCAGTTCCTTTATTTATATTTTGCCATGCTCTTGGTGCTTCTATGGTAATTAGTTTTTGTTTAATGAATCCTTCATTTCAATTTTAAGGATTGATTTGTAGTAATGCATAATTAAGAGTACCAGCAAAATATGGTAAATTTAAGATGCTCACACTTAAACTAATGACTAAGCTATGTCCTGATCTTTAGGTTAATACATATCACAATTTATCTTATGCTTCTAAAAATAATCATCATATAAGAAAACTTGCAACTGATCATCTAATGCATCCTTATATGAGTATCTAATTTGCATATAATGTACTATTGTTTTAACAATTTATATTGCCAAATGCAACTAAATTCAAAATCCCTATTCTATTATTACATGGAAAAGAAGACAAAGTTGCATCACATTTAGATTCACTTGATTTTTATAGACTCATTTAATCTAAAGAAAAAACACTCAAAATATTTGAATAAGGATTTCATGAATTACATAATGATTCTGAATGGTCTAAGATGAAAGTACTGATAACTTAATGGTGTACAAAAATGTTAAGTAAAGATATCAAAATGTCTTTTATGAGAGAACACAATTATGGAGTTGTTGTTAAATTTTATAGAAGCAAAATTAGAATATTTTTAACGATTCTTCTAATTTTATTTAGAAAGTATTCAATTTATAAATTCTATTAGAAAATATGCATGTCTAAAAACGAGTACTAAAGTCAGTATCTTATTATTTATAGAACTACTTCTAAGAGTTTTCGTTTCTAATTGAAGAATGTAAAGTTTTATATATACTAATTAATATATTATGAAAAATAACAGATAAAATTTTATAGATTTGATTATTCATCTTCTCGATTTGGAGGAACAAATAGAAAACACTAAAATTCATATGACATCTAATGAATATTTTACACTTTATAGAGCATTTTAAATAGTTGATGAACAAAATACAAATTAAATAACGCTTGATGCAATTTCAAAATTAATTTCTAAACCGACAGAACAATGTGCATTATTGATTGATTATTACTCAGAATTTAAAGATATAAAGTTATCTTTTGCAAATTTTATGAATTTATGTTTGCCTAGAAGTAAACCGCAATTAAGAGCATAATTAACAAAAAAACTCTAAAAAACAATAGGTTCACCTGAAGAATAAGAATTAATAAAATAACATTTATCAATTCTAATAGCAAGTGAAATTTATTTTTTATTATAAATGAAATAATATCCAATAGAAATTGAGGGGTTGTTAGAGTACCCATTCAAATAGAAAGATTTAAATTAATTAGTAAGTGATTTTGGTTATAAAATAAATACAGAAGCAATTTGGAGAAGATTAGATTTTGATTAGAATGGAGTTGTTACATATGAAGATATGAAGAAATTATTTAAAGAATTAGATTAAAATATAGAGATTAATGAAAAAGAGTTAGATAAAGATTAATTGAGAAATAAGGATATAAAATTGGAATGGATAAACAATAAATCATGTCCATATCATTCATATACTAAAAAATTCAGAAAGGGAATTCATAACTTTTAAGAATTTGAGAAATAAAAAAGTATTTTAAGGTAAGAATATTAATTAGTTTAGATAATATGAATGGAAATAGATAAGAAGTCTACTATATTTAATAAAGGAGCACAGTTAAATATATTAATAGATAGATTAATTGTTATAGAAATTAAATAAATTTGATAGTTTGAAATTGTTTGAATTATTAAGTATAAATGATAGATTAGAATATTAATATTTGTAAAATAAGATATAAGATATAGTGGGATAAGAATTTATGTTAGATTATTCTGATGTAGATTAATTGATGAATTTCTTTGGTGGATAGAACTATGAAGAGTTTAAACAATCATTATAATGTAGTAGGATTTTGGAGAGAAAGCAACCAATAAATATGAATGTTTTGAAGATGCTGTTTATAAAATTGATTTTGTTATTGCAATTAAGTAGATATTTGAAATAATAATACAAAAAGAAAGCTTTAATATAAAACAAAGACTTGTTGAATGAATTTGGAGAATTCTCTCAATCTAATGTATTGATAATGGCAAGAAGGGCAGAGATAGAATTAAGTTTGGAAGAAGTAAATCAGTTTTTTAAAGGTTAAGAGGTTATGGAAGTTAGGAATGTTATGAGTTTTTTGAAATGATTTATAATATATAAAATTATGGAAGAAATTGTGACTGGAGAAGATGACATTGAGCCGTAATTTAAATTCATTGTGCATACAAGAACAATGTAATATCACATTTCAGTGATGAAAAAGAGAATAGAGCTTGTTTCTATTAATAGCATAGATTAAATTTAAGTTCCATTAAACATTCATTAAACTATCTATTGGTTGTATAATGAAGGACGGGAAACAGCTTTTGGATTGAAATAAGGAGATCTAATTAATTATTACTATGGAGATGAGAGTGATCTATCTCATTTTCGTTTATTGATAGGATGTAAAATATCATTTGGAACATTTAAATAAGATTATTTGGTTGGTGATTTATTGGGAAAAGGCACATTTTCAAAAGTATGAGTTCTTCTATGATCAGGTCAATAAAATAACAAATTTAAGGGATGGTAAAGACTATGCTTTAAAGAAAATCAAATTACGTAATGAGGCTCATTTAAAGAATATTGAAATTGAAGTTGCTATTTTGCATTAGTTAAATCATTAAGGAATCATCAAGTTATATGATGTTTATAGATTAAATGAAAAGACTTATGGCTTAATTACTGAATTAGTCATAGGATAATCACTTGACTCTATTATTAATAAACAAAAAGTAAGGTTATAAATAATGCTATTAGTAAAAAAAGAGCAAATTGGAAGAACGAGATATTTAAATGATTCTAAAATAAACTCTTTAAATAATTGATTACTTACATTAGAATAAGATAATTCATAGAGATATTAAACCATAACATATGATATTATGTTAAAATAAAATCATAAAGATTCTAGATTTTGGTTTAAGTTCTAATGAGAATCAAATTTCTTGTAATTGTGGTACTCCTGGTTATATGCCACCAGAATCGTTTCGAGAACATTCAGTATACACGTAAAAAGGGGATATCTTTAGTTTGGGAGTTGTTTTTTATAAGTTATTGAATAGAGGTGTAAGTTGTTTTGATGCAAATACACTCGAATCAGTAATGAGTAAAAATAGACGTTGCACGATTGAATATCAAATTAATGGATATTCACCTCAAGCACTGGTACATTTATGAAATGAATTCTAAGCATTTGTTAAAATAAATGCTTCAAAAAGATCCAGTCTTGAGAATTAATTCGCACGATGCACTGAATCATACTTATTTCACTGTCCTCCGAGAATCCCATAATCTTTAAGAAGATAAAGGAAATATTTATGTTTACTAAGCTCATCCTAGGCCATCCCATCTATCTAGAACAAACAGTGGTGAGTTAGAGAAAACTTCAAAATGATTGTAAATTTCTATAAAATATATGTTCATGATATATTTTCAATTCTTTAAATTTGTTAAGTTTCATTTCTTTTTTATATTCTGTAGAAAGTCAGGAGTATCAGGTTGTATTTTTGTTTTCAATTGCATAGAATTAAAATGAGTTTAAGAGTGACTCACATTTATTGAAGGAGTAGCTTACTCATTCAAAGTGCATTTATATTTTTTGCTTGTTGCACACCCCATAAGGTATTATTTTAAGATAAAATAAACAATAAATCTTCTTAAGACAATTTAATAATACTTAGCTTGAATTTTTATTATTTGATTATATATCAATAGATAATCATTTTTATTTTTTATAATGTTAACATATACTGTCACCATTGATGATTATCAAACTATTGATGATAAAGTATATTATTAGATCAACATTTTTTGTTCAGAAGGTCATAAAAAGATTTCCAAAAGATATTCAGACTTGAAAGCTTTAAATGATAAAATAATCGATAAAAATTCTAACTTTAAACTTCATTTAAATCTTCCCTTATTTCCAGGTCGAAAGATTTTTGGAAGAACCAAAAATTCTGTTGCTGGAATTAAATAAAGAGTAATTTATGAGTTCTATCTAGGGCAAAGAATTATAGTAATATTTAGAAGGCATTTTAAATATTAAATAATTACAATCATTTAAATCCATTAAAGAGTTACTTCCTCAGCAATAATTATATTAAGAATCTCTTTAATTAACTAATAGTGGAGAATATGATAAAGAAGTTTGTTGGTTATAAATGGATGAGTTAAAGAGATCTTTTTTGGAAAGACAAGAAATTAAATAGCCTAAGAATATTAAATCTAAAAGTAAATCTAGTTTTAATACTACTGGATATGTTTAAAGATATCATTTTAGCATAGATGATTATTTAATTTAGGAAGACGTTGTTTTATATACAATAACTTTAACTGATACTAAAAAGACAACAAATTATAAATTTATTTCAAGATATAGTGATTTGAGAGAATATCATATTATGCTATAAAAAGAAAATTTAAAAGTTGAATTGCCAGTTTATCCAAAAAGAAAGATCATATCATAAACAAATGAAAATCCATTATTTATTCGAGAAAGGTTAGAACTTTTATAGAAATATTTAAATGATATATTTTCAATTAAAGAATTAGTTTAAAGTGAGCCATTACAATATTTAATAACAAAAATTAAATTAGAAGGCCAACCAATTAGAATAGGCCCGATTCAACAAAAATAATAAATTTTTACAAGCTCGATTTTATATGAGAGCCAAGAGAATATTCCTGAAAGAAAAAGCTCCTTTTGAAATTTATCTAATCTATAATGTTTATTGCTTTTTCTTTTTATTTAATTAAATATTAATTAATATATAAAATAAAATGGTAAATAGTAATAACTTCCAATATTAAATAAAATTAGAATTATATAAATCGTAATAAGAATAAAATAGTATATAACAAGATGTTGAATAAAAATGATGTACTAAATAATAATTATTTCAGACTCTTAATTTTGATTTTACTAAATCCCATAATCTAGGATAATCTTTTTTTCCTCTTTTAACTTCGAAATCTATGACAACTCCCATAGCTCTATATCTATCTAATAAAGGATGTGTTTTTTCATCATATTCCTTCATTCTTTATTCAATAACCTAAATATAATTTTGATTATTATACTTCTTTTTTATCATCATCTCTAACCACTAATTTACCACCACATGCATCACAAATACCTTCTTTCTTTGGATTTAATGGTTCCATAACATAACCATCTCTATTAATATCACAAACATTAAAAGCAGTTCCACAAGAAACACATGTACGACGACTTATTATATATTTTTTTAAAATATTACGCAGCTAATTTTTCAAGTAAAATATCTGCTCTTAAAGTTACATTAACAACAACATTTGTAGGTAAAATCTTTTCATATAAGTCTAATTATCTCAATGTTCTTGGAAATCCATCTAAAATCACTCCTTTTGTTGACTCCGGCTCTTTTAACTTTTCTTGTAAAATATTCATCACAATTTCATCTGATACAAGACCACCTTTTGCTACGATATCTTTAATTGTAACAATTAATTTTGGATCAAATGATTTAGAGGTATTACCTTTCAAAATCTTACGAATTTCATCTCCTGTTGATATGTGGTTAAATTTAGTATCATTAATCAATAATTTTGCAAAAGTACCTTTGCCAACCTATTTTAATAAACTTTTATTACTCCTGGAGCACCAAATAAAACAAGGAATTATTATCCTGGCTTAGCAATACTAGTTGCATATCTTATTAAGAGATTTTTCATATCTAATATATATATATTTATTTAATGAAATAATCACTTTTTGCTTAGCGTATGAAGTTAAAAAAAGAAATCCAATAATAATAAGATCCTATTCCTTTCCCTTAAACATTCAAAGTTGATATTCCAACTTAACCTAATCGTGCCTAATTTCATGGATTAAGTGAATAAGAATATTAAAAAATTGATGAAGAAAATCTTAAAGCAATTAAAGAAATGAATTAAGAATAAGTATTAGAATTATAAAAGTAAATCAGAGAATCATTAGGTGATAATTTATGTAAAATGTTTGAAACTGGAGACATTTACTAAGTCAAACAATAAAAATAAATGCAACTTGAAATTAACTAAAACATAAGTAAAAACACTGAAGTTTTTAGTAAACTTATTGATGAAGATTAAATTATAATCTCTTAAATACAAGAACTTATTAAATCTCCAGAAATGAGTAGTGTCAAATTGGCACTTTAAAAAATTGATTAAGTTATTAAACCTAAAAATGTACTTTAACTTGAATCTATCAATATAAGTGATTATTTGATATCAGTTGGAAAATCAACTAATATTTCAGTATCATTATTTGCTTTTGATTTACTTTATTCTTATTGGACATAAATAGTACCTAATTGTTGGAATCCTATCTATAATCTAAAAGAAACTAAATAAATTGAAGATCTTTATATTGATTTACCTTAAATGATTAATTAATTATAACATCATCTTCCTTATTCAAAAGCTTTAGATTTATTAAGAATAAGAAACATTCTATCCTAATCTAATACTAAATATATTATTGAATAAGAATCAATTTTGAACATAGAATGTAAACTTAAATCCATTATTTTACTTTCAAAATTTGATGAACTATAAAAAATTGATTTTATTTCTTAAGATTTTTCACAATTTATTCTTGAAATCATTTTCTATTATTACCATTATTTAATTGATTCATAATGCAATATCATCATTAGTGAATTATCCAAAACCTCTAATTCAAATCTTAAATTGGCCATATTCTAATTATATTAATCAAGATTTAATTGTAAATTAATTCATGACAAATTATAACTTAACATCCAGAAACCTAATATTAATCAAGATATTTAAATTTATGAAATAGTCCCTTTTCAATCTGTTATTGCATCATTATATGATTCATTTAATTTAGCTATTTTCTCAGGTCAGGATGTTGTGATTTGCCTAAAATAAATAGTTTCTTTAATTTTTGATATAAGATATCTAGCTAAATCTATTATATCTAGAAAATAAAGGAAAATTCATAAATGGAGATTATTAGATATTTTAAGAAATGTTTTTTAAGATCTATTTAAAAATGAAGCTAATAAAAGAACATCTATAAAAGATAATAATGAAAAGTTTTAACTATTAGAATTGATTAGATAGCAGTTAAAAATTGAATTTCATTTAAAAGATTAAAAAGAATTAATTTTTGAAGCAAGTTTATATTTAGGACTTTCTTAGTTTCTGAGTCAACATGAATATTAATTAGAATCTGTTTAATAATATATTGATTGTTTTAATGACATTGATTTTGAGATCAAATCAGAATTTGTTCTTTTAAAACTATACAAACTACTAATATCTAATAAAGAATTACCAAAAGGATTAATAAATTTATACAAATTTTTGTTAAATAAAATAAATCTTAAAGAATTAGCTGCCCTATTAAATAAAAATGTTTCTTATTTTGAAAAATTACTCTAAAAATGTTAATATGATTCATATTATAATTAAACTTACGTGAACATATTATTTTTGTTTATTAGCCCTCATTTTAATCCTGATTTTCACAATTTACTATTTTAGGAATTCTAATGTACTCCTATTTTACAATATCTATCATATGATATTTATCTTGAACATTTGAATTTCTTTACAATAAAACCAAGCAAAGGACTAGAGATCTATAGATAAAACGTTTTAGATATAAACTGTTAAAATTAATTTATTTAATAATGGTAAGCAGAATTAAGTTAATGGTGATTTTTCATTTATATAAATATATATTCAGAATTTAAATTTCCATTTTAAAGTTTATTTTTTTTATTAATGATATTAAAATATGCCAATATAACAATTCTTTAAACTTTCGATCTCTAAAATTATTGTTAGCTATGAAGATTATAAGAATTGTATTTTTTTTCATTTCTAATAGTATTTTAAATAATAGACATATAATTATATTATTTTAATGTCAAAAGAGAAATTTTTATAAACTTTTTAGAGTTTCTGATTCATTATAAACTTTCATGTTCAATATTGTCTGAAATGATTGAATAATACCTATAAAAAATTTAACTTGTACTTCTATAATAATTAAGCTATTCTAAATATTTTTTTTTAATTATTAATTGAATTAATTTAAATAGATTTAAATTTTTGAATTACTTTAAATTGTTTTAGATCATTAAATGCATATCCAACTAATACGTATTAAAAAAGGTATTTAAATTATCAATGTGTTTTTAAATAGTTAATTATCCATCAAGATTAATTATTTTTATGTCTTTTATAAACAGTTTATCTTAATTTATAAGTTAATTTAGATTTTTATAGCAAAATTTAATAGTACTTATAGTATTTTTTTGATTAATTAATTAAACCATGAGAAGAAAATCATTTTTTTAATTTAATAATTCCCAAGTGGTTTTATAATTAAAAAAACAAAAAATATATTTTGAGTATTGATATTATTCTAATGCTTAAAGAATATAAATGTATATCTTAGTTAAATGAAATTTATTAAACAATAAAAATTTTGGAATCTAATTTTACTTTATAAAAAAGGAGATTTTTAAATTTTAATTTTAATCAAAATGGATAAAAAATTTAGACTTAGTGGTAATAAGGGCTTAGAATTTTATTATTTTATACTTAAATTTGTAAATTATAAAGCATCTTGATTAGAAATTAAGTAAAATATTTATATTTTAAATTTTATTACGATTTAAAATTAAAGATTTACTAAAAGAATTCAAAAAAAAATAATAAATGAAAAATTGTATAATATTGAATTAAAGTCATGAAAAGCAGTCAAGAAATACATCACTTTCATCATTAGGTTCCTAATTTATAAAAGTATCATAGTTACTTCTTAGAATACGTAAATATTTCTTTCATTAATGTATGAATAATTTTTGCTTATAATTTCATGAACAAAATATTACTCGTCCTAGAATAATGAATAGATATATTACATCATCATTTCCAGCCCATTCTTATCCTCTCCAAACATATACTTAAAGTACTTATTAATTAATTTCTTTAATTAAAATGAATAATTAAGATTAATCCAAATCTTCTAGATCAAATATCAATAAATAATCATCTGAATTAGGATAGATATAAAACGCTTTTTTTTCAACATGAGTTTCTTCTACCCTATCAGAACTATATAATTATATATTTGATTCTTTTTCTTTATTAAATTCATTTTCATCAACTTCTTCATACCATTAATCCCATTCTCTTATTTTTTAACAAATAATTGCTGGTTTTCCAACAATACCCCATAAACCCCAAAAAATATCTGATTCATTTTCAGCTTCCATTAAAATAGGTTATATATTAGGTGCTTTTTCAAATTATTTCAAAAATTTAGTATAATCAAGTGCATATTGAATGAATCTATGATATAAAATTGAAATACTTTTCTGTTTTATTGCATTAAGGTCCAATCCATAAGTATAAATCATGTTCTGTAAGTACTAAAAAGACTCCTCTACTATCAAATGTTCTCAAAACTTTACCAGAATATAATTAATCCATTAACATTCTACATACAATACTCTAAGGTCCACTAACTCCTCTTCCAACTGCAAATACTCTTGGAGCAATAGGTATACTATCATATGATGCTTATAAACGCTTTTAAAATAATAACAATTAAACAGTAAATCCCATATTTGGGGATGCTACTCCTCTATTCTTCTTTATTATATCAAATGCTTAAGAATATGTAATTTATTGAGATATAATTAAATAAGCAATACATAAAGAAACTGATCTTGATACTCCTTATACACAATGAATCAATACTTTTCCATTATTCTTCTTTGCATTTTCTATAATACCTATAACTTCATAAAAAATGCATTCAATATTTTCAGTTTTAGAATCTTTTAAATAATAAGTCTAATAAAAGAAATCATCAGGATATTTATTTTTACATACATCACCTGCACAATTTACTACATGAGTAACACCTATTTATTTTAAGACTTCTTTATTATATGCTATCTATTCACCTCCAACATATAAAAAATTAGGTATTACAGATGAACATTATTCTGCAAAATGTTAAATTTTTAGTTTTTTTCTGTCAGTATCTCTAATATCAAAATTAAATCCATTTGAATCTTCCTATTCTATATCTTAATATGTAGTATCATCTCTTTATAATTTCAAACTTGCTAATGGTAGTTTCATCGGCTTCACTTTTTCATTTTCATTAAATTCTACACCTTCAATTAATGGAACACCAATAATGACTTCTTGTGATTATGTTTTACAATTTAAATCAAGTTTTGGAATGTTTATTGCAGGTACTTTATTTTTCATTTATGTAGGTAAATTAAATTAAAACGTATTATTATTATTATTATTAAGTATAATTGGCTTCTATTAAGGACTAATATCTTCATATCTATTATTTTCTCTTGAACGACTAGAAATTGGTTTTGAACTTTCTTTAGAAATAGATGGAGATCCTTCAACTGAAATTTCATTTATTTTATTTTTAATTTCATTAGAATTTCTTCTAGGTAATGCTAATTCTTTAAATGCATCTCTAGGTTATGCATCTCTACTAGTTAAAGATTCTCTTAAATTAAATTTTGGCTTTTAAAATATTTTATTGTTATTTGTATTTTGAATTTGTTCATCATTTAAATCAACATGTATAAATTATTTAGCATATGCTTATGTATTTTATTTTTTTGCTAGAAAATCTGCTAATTTAGAGAACTCCTTCTTCTTTTCTGGAATAGGAAATAGAAAATTAAATAAATATACAGTTTCTCTAACTTAATTTTCACCTTCAATATTTGTAGGTAATGATGTTTATGCACTACTTTATAATGTTAATATCGATCCTTTAGATAATTTTTTATTTTTAATAATGCCACCACTAAATAGGATTTCAAGTAATGGGTCTCTTCCTCTATTTAACAAATTTTCTAATTCAAAAGCATTTGATAATGCTGATGCTTTTATTAATGGATTAGCAGTTTTCCCATTCCATACAAATATCATATACTCATAAATATTTGAAGTCGATGGATTTTATTATCTTTAAGGTAACAAAAATGATTCAAGATGACTTTCAGATGCTGCCACTGGTTCTTCTAATCCTCTAGGGGTCAAATTAGAATAAGATTCAACAACACCCCACATCTGATGTGGAAAGTTTGTGAATTGATTATACTCTATATTAATTATACAATTTTACCTTCTTAAGCTTTCTTATATACCAATAATACCAGATAACATTCAGTTGAAAGAAAATTAAAACCACTTGTCTAAATAGTACTTAAATTTATTGGTTCAGATCTAACCTTCTTTAAAGGGTGCTTCTCCTCTTAAAATTTCCAAATCTGATTATTTTGAAATATATATACTTTTAAGTGCTAAGTTATGCTTTCAGGAATGTTACTATCGAATTTAATCTTCTCTAATAATTTCGTATTGAGTTCTAAAATGTCTTCTAAGTTTGAAACATGCTTATCTATACTCAATTTAGATCCCATTATTTATATATATATTATCAATTTTATTTTTTAGAATAATATTTTCAAATATCATTTACACTAAATATCCATTATCTTATCTTTGTAGATTCCTTGTAATAAATATATTTCAATAATATTATTTCTCTAAATTAATTTCATTGTCAATCCATTAACTAAAATTATACAATTTTTTTGAGTGATCTAAGAAAATTGCTTAACTGAAAAGATTTAGCTTTAGATTAAATTAAATTTCAAAAATGATGAAGCTATAAATTTCAATACACAAACTTATTTTTATTATTAATTTTTAATTGATCTTTTAAAAACTATTCATACTCGATATAAAAATGAAATCGATTTATACATCATCTAACTAACAAAATAATAAATTTATTTCATAATTATAAAATTTAAGAATTCATGACATATTCAATCATATATAAAGCATAAGAAGGAATAACTATCTTAATATTGAACTTAACTATCCTAAGCTAAACTATTAAAAAAAGTAATTTGAGGGATCTCAATTACAAGTAAATGCTGCACCCTTTGTATTAACTATTTTATATCTAATTTTTCAAATTTATTTATTTTTAAATCAAAATATTTATATTATATTTATATATAGATTTAATTTTTGTGAATTCTCTAAAATCTCATTTCAAAGAAAGAACAATATACTCGCTTATAATATTTACCATTTGAAGACTGTATAGATTAAATAAAATGAAATATTATTAAATCGATACTTTAAAGATTTTAGGAGTAGAGTCAGTTTACAACTAGATTTTACCGTTTCAATTCATTCAATATTTCTTTGAGAGTCTTTAGTTTTTGTTATAAGAAAAAAATTACTTAGATTTACAGAACAAATTTAATAAGAGATTGAAAAATATATAGATAAATTGAAAAAAAAGATCATTTATTTAAAAAGAATTTTAGAGTTCATAAAAAATACTTAATGGAAAGACATTATTATTATATGAAAAGCGTAGATCAATAAAATTCAGACTTTAAAGAAGCCTTGATTCTTGGATTTCTTGGAGTATAAAAATAAAAAAAAATTTAATTTCCTAAGTAATATTAAATATAATTATATTTGAAAAAAATGAATTATGAGCATAAATTCAAATAAATAATTTCAATAGTCAACCAATTAAAGATTGTTTTCTAAAAGGATTTTTTAGATTTGGAAAACATAATTGCTTTACTTAATTTTCTATTGGATGAGATATTTCACATTTCTTTTTAAAAAATTAATGATTCAAACAAAATGAAGCTGAAGGCCGATGCTTCTTATGTCCTATCATCAAAAGAAGTAGTTATCTTTATTCTGTATTTATGATCTTAGTAGAAACTCTAAATTTATTTAACTTGTTCAAAAGTATTAAATGATCCTTATCTTAATATTCTGAATACAATTTTTAACCTGACAATAGAGAATGAAATATGCTTCCTAAACTATAAATATCAACTAATTCATTATAATCTTCTTAATTTAAAATTTCTGGAGCCATGTATCCAGGTGTACCACATCTAACTAAATTTTAATAACCTAATTCTACAGCAAATCCAAAATCTATGATTTTAATTGATTTTATATTATTTTCCTATTCAAAAACCACATTATCTAATTTTAGATCTCTATGAATAATTCCTAATTTATGCATATGTTTCACTCCCTTAAGTAATTTCTTCATAATCAATTTTATTTCTGTTTATTCTAATTAGTAATTTCTTTTCATTAAATAATTATAAAGAGTTCCTCCTCTGCAGTACTTCATAATAAATATTACTTCTTCTTATTCCTTATAAATTTCATCAATCTCTAGGATATTTTTATGCCTTTAGTAATTAAGTGCCAAAACAATTTTAATTTCCTGCTAGAGTTTTAACTTAAATAAATTATATACTCATACTTATTAATTAATCTTTATTTTCACTTTTTTAATCAATTTTATTTCTCCGGTCTCGACTTGCAAATATTTAGAAATCTAAAATAATAAGTTAAATATAATAATACCTCTAAGTCCTCTTTTTATACTAAACAACTGGTGAATAAATAATCTTTATTAAAGTCAGTGTACAAAGCTTAACCATCAAGTAACTTCTTTAACTGTTTCATCTTATCTGCTGCCCCCAAATAATTCAATGACTTTTAAGCATTCTAAACATAGCAATAATATGAAACTTTAAACCCCAAAATTGCTTTTTCTCTAATCTTAAATATATATTAAATACTAAAATATCCAACTTATTGTAGTTGTAAAGGAACTTAAGTCAATAGATCTCTCTCTTAATTCATATGTAAGTTCATTTTTGTTCTAATTTAATATTTATTTGCCAATCACTAACTTTGAGTTGTACAAACATAAAAGTCTTGGCAAATTGTTTTTTAAATTGCTTACATCGCAAGTAAATATAAGATCTTAAAACATTCTTATTTAAATAATATATAAATTAAGAATCAAGAAAGCTATCTTTATATAAAAATATCTTATGCAAAACTTAAACAATGATAATATATTATTAGTATTTTGGAAAAAAAATTTATATATGTCTATTTTTTCAAATTATTTATGTTGTTCATAATGATACATAAAAATATTTTAGAACTTGTCTAATGGTTTTGTAGAATAAAATAATAATTGAAACAGATGAAAATCTAAACTATTTTTAATTTCAAGTTTTTCTTCATTTTATTAAAAAATATTTTCTGCTTTTAAAATCCAAAAATTAATGTTAAGTCGCAAAATATTAAATCATAATGAGATGTGCGAATTCAAAATATTTAACAGAGAGAAACTTGATAGCAAAGTAGAAACATAAAATTTATTTAATTCAAGGATTAATTAATTAATTTGTAATTATATATTATATTATATTTTTTATTTAAGATAAATTCAAAATAAAATTAAAAATTAATAAATGAGAGAAATGATTGTTATATATCATAAATATCTGTTAGAATAAATTTTTTTTTGTTATATATTCCAAAATTTCTAAACTCATTCATTCCTACATCAAAGCTTTAAATTATAAACGGAATATAATAATAATATAACAATTATAAGAGTTTTGTCCTAACCATTTAAATTTATTGATCATAAAGAAATCGTTTTCTTCTTCTAAATAAATTAAAAATGAAAATTAGATTTAATTTTGAGAGTTTTAAATTTATAAAAAACTAAAAAACAAAATTAGTTATTCAATTTAAAATTTTTTCTCAAATCCAAAATTATTTTAAAAACCTTCATAAAATATTAATCTTTTGGATAAACTTTTTAAATTAAATTTATTATTCAATTTTATCTAGTTTTATGGATATTAACTTTTAAATTAGGTTTAGATTCATGTTCATTAATATGTGTGTTAAAAAATCTTCAATAAAGAACTCAAAATATAAATTTTAATTGAGGGATTTAGAAGATGAAATCAATAAAATTTTTGTTGTTAATTTAAATTAATTCTAACTTCAATTATTATAATAAAGATTTTATTAATTTTTGTTATAAATTGAATCCTGGAGGAGTTATATATTTTTCTTTTTTTAAGAAACAAAAACTGAAACTAAATGAAAATAAATATATAAATAAGTATAAATTAATAGTAAAGAAAACTAGTGTAATTTTCATTATTATAGTTGAATAAAAAAATAACAAAAAAGTAATTAACTCATGATTTGTTAAATATAGGAAATATAGAAATCAATAACTTCGAATAGATATAATTGAAAATGTGAAATAATAATTGTGAGGCATAAAATCATTCATCTTTATTCTATTTTTTTGATATGGTGAGAATTTCTTGCCTTACAGATTTATTGTAAATTTTTGGGTGTCTGGTATTAGTGAGTAAATCGGGTTGGTTTGAGTTTGTATGAAATAATTGATTGTAAATGTTATCTTACATAGCCTTTCTGATAGAAATAGATGGGATAGGTTCATTAGATGTTTTAAATGTATAACGATAGTCTTTGAGATGAAGTTCTTCTTTATCAAATTTTCTAGATATATCTCCTAAGACCTCGAAACCATCGATATAAACATCAGTATAAAATTGAGTTTCTGTAGATTTAGAATTAACAGTGGTGAGAAAACCTTTTTCAGTCTTCCATTTATCTTTAGACTGAATTTTCCAAGTAGGAAAATAGACCATAGACATATCTTTAGCAGTATCGTCTATTATACTTTTATTATATTAATTAGCTTGATGAGCTTGATCTTTTCTTAATTTAGGTTTGTTTTAACAAGTCCATTGAGGTCCTTCTAAAGCTTAAATTCTTTCTCGTAATTTAATTTTGGGCCCCTCGGTATATAATTCTCGAGGTAAATGTGATTGTGTGAAATCCTCAACAATATATTGTATTCTTTGATTGTTGTTGAGAAATCTAAATAGAATAAATAGTAATACTTGGATAATGTAATAGGTTTAGCTGTTTCTGTAGGTTATTTAGGAGTAGGATAAAGTCCATTAAGGAGGCCTATAATAGAGATGATAAAAACATACAATTAGCAAAGGTAGGGTTGAGAGATTGAATGAAATGTTATCGACGATCATTGAATGAGTTGTTAAGTATAACATTTGATTTTTTGGTTGATTTTGGATTTGAGAGAGAGGCAGTTCTTTTCTTTTGTTGGAAGTAATTATTCATGAAAATAAAATAAAAATGGCATATGAAAATTGTGTAGTTTGCGGGAAAAGATAAGAAGGTTTATATAAATTGTTACCTCATTTTCGATCAAGACAACCAAACAAATACATTCATAAGATGTGTCTAATGTTATTTAGTTCAGATTGGAATCGTAGAGTTGCTGTGAATGAAAAATTGTATTATAGTGATTACAGAAGACATTGTGGAATATGTGGTAAACGAAATAAGCCATAAGTAATTAGATGTGCACATAGGTATAAAGTTTAATTATGAAATCCAGTTCATGTAGAAAAAGATTTCATTTAGATTGCTTAAAGAATCCTGTTATCTAAATAAACTCAAATTAAAGGAATCATTATCCAAGATTAGATGTTTATTGTCCTGAACATTCTCTCGATTTAATTAAAACTAATAATTTAGATGAGTGTGTAGAATCCATATTTAATGAACATCTCTTAAATTAAGAATAAGAACCTGGACAAATTTAGAAGAGCAAACATAAAAAAAAACATAAGAAAAAGAGTTCTCGATCAAGGTCAAGATCTCATAAGAAATCAAGACGACGATCAAGCAGTTATGGTAGATTTAGTAATAGTCAAAGTTCTAAATCATCAAAATCACTACTCAAAAATACACCAAATGTTAAAGATCCTAGTTTGATAAAAATACCTGAAAGTTAGATTACTGATGATATGATAAGAAATCTTTAAAAAATTGGAACATAAGGACTTATTGATAATGATGAACCTATAATTGAACCTTTACCTTTTGTAGTGATGCATTCATAACCAATCAAAGTATAATAGGAGATTGACAAATAAATTATTTATCCATAAATTTAAAGACCAATTACTGAAGATCCTGAATTTCCATATACAGAAAGAGAAAATAAAAGAGATTAATCCATTTTAAAGTGGTGGGATAAAATAGAAGAAATCTACTTTAAAGGAGAAGAAAAATTACCACTTACAAAAAATGAAGAATTTAAGAATCCATTTATGTGGTGGTTTAATCAAGGATTAGATGAAGAACTATTAAATTATGCAGATTAATTAAATATTGGTATTTATTATCAAATTTATTATATATTCATAGAACCAATCATACAGTTGAGGTATTAATGTAGAGGAAGCATAAATGTTTTATTTAGATGCTCACAAGCTTAGTATTAGTACACTAATTGTAAAAATCTTTTAGTTTCATTCGATATAGTTTTACCGAACATGTTGGCAAAGCTACACCCAAAGGATTACTGAAGACAAACATACAATTGTATAGATATTTATAAGAAACAGTTGACATTCCTACATATTCTGATAAAGATATTGTTGGCAAAGATCTAATTTATTTAGAAAATTGCGAATTAAATAAATAGGAATATTTTAACTGTTTTGAATTGGAACAATAAATTAAAGAAGTCCAATCTTAACTAGAATCTCAATTAGACATTGAAAGTGACACTGTTTAATAATTTGATATTGTTTACCATATCTTGAATAAAGAATTAAATCCTATTGTTTAATAAAATAACTAATTCAGAGAATAAATCAATTCTTAAATTACAGATTACAATTTTAAAATATAAAAAACAGAATAACAATTACTTATTGATTTACTTAGATGGTCATAAATTGTAAAAGCATTTATCAATGGATACAAAGACAAAACTGAAGATGTTTTGAATTCATTTTTTCCTTGTTAATTGACACTATCATCCCAATCTTCTTAAAAAGCATAATAAAAAAAAAAGAAAATTCATTCTAAAGAAAATACTCAACCTTTAGATACTGATTGCAAAATCTGTTTTGATTATCATTATACAGATTTTAATCCAGTTATCTATTGTGGTAAATGTTCAACATCCTTTCATAAGAATTGTTATGGTCTTACAGGATCTCTTGATGAAGATGATGTTATATGTGATGCTTGTTATTATGAATCTTCCAAATTAAATTAATTTAGAAGAGGTATTTCTATAATCATTAAAAGGTGCTGCAAAATGTAGAATTTGTAAAAAATTAGGACTTCCTTAAAAATATATAAGAAACTCCTTTTATCATGTTTCTTGTTTACTTTTAACCAACTAAGTTATTTTATCAGATGGTGCCTATGATGTTAGATATAGAAAGAATGATATTAAACAATTCTGTAAAGATAATGAATCAAGCACTCCATAATGTGCTGTTTGTGGAGATTCAAAAGGTTCAAAAACAATTTAATTTTAGGCTTTAGATTTATGTGTTCGGGTGGTGAAACAATACCATGTAAACATGCTTTCCATCCAATCTGTGCTTATTTACATGGTTTAACCATTGATATTGAAAGTGAAGACCTTGAACAATGTTGCAAAGCTCTTAGGTTTGCTCAATTAAATGTGCATATCAAATGTGTCTTACATTGTAATAAAACTTTGTAAGAATTGGTTTAGTAAACTTACTACAGGTATTCCAATTTAATCTTATCATTCTAGGAGATTTGCACTGAATTATGAACAAACTGCCAAATGTGGAGGAGAAGACATTTTTATTGCAGAATTCAAGAAAACCAAAGGATATAGGTAACTAATTTAAGCAAACTCTTAAGATATCTCTCGCTCAAGTTACCCATATCAAGAAATGACAATTTATAATAATTTATTAATTAAAATGGTACACCAACCCAACAGATGTGAGTAGTAATTTCATTTTAAAATATTAAATATTCGATGAAGAAAGCTATTAACTATTCTACTTAAGATGATCTAATTATCATTCTTTATAATATCCAAATCATTATCATATTCGAAAAGTGTACCCCCACCATAATATTTTCATCCTTAACATTTGTCATATTTATTCAACCTTAAAACGCTTTGAATTAATAACTATTTATTATTTATTGTGGTTAATCTCAATTTAATATAATTTTTAATCTATATATTATTAAATTGGATGCTTGACTTAAAAATAATTTATATATTAATATTCTTTTACTCCTTAAGAATCTTTATTTATAAATGATGATAATTTCACATATTTAATCAACCAAATGACACTCATCAAATAAATCCTTTTGATTCTTATAAAAATAGTTAATAGTTAAAATATAAAAATTAAACAATATTTTTGTCATACTTTATATCCAAAAAGGCACGCCATAGTTAATGAGAAAGATAACAATCACTCAAGATAAATTATTCAAAACTGAAATATATTGAAGCAAAAATAATTAATATTGGATACCACCTAAAATTAAATTGACTTTATAGGGAAAACAGAACTTATTGATTATTTTAATTAAAGTGTCAAAAGAACATTTAATAAAAATTTACTTTTTTTATTAAAATAATCACTTAATTAATTTATTATTGATCCATCTTCCTTCAACTAATTTTTGATTTTATGTATGGAATAGCCCAAATCCATTAATGTAATCTTTAAAAAATTAGCCACAAAATTTTTCTCCATTAGACAAATAGAGAGTTCCTTGACCTTCTTTATTGTCATCATTAAACTCTCCTTCATATTTGGTCCAAAAACTAAATTAAACAAAAGAGTTACTCTTCAATATGATCAAAATCTTAATAATTGAATGGTTCATTTAATTAAGATGTTATTTCATTATATAAAACTCCATAACCTTGAAATTTATCTTAATTCCATGAACCTTTATAAGCTGGATTACCATTTGAGTAATAAAGTGTACCTATATTAATTTTAATGAATATATATACCATAACCATGCATATGATTGAACTACCAATTTCCATCATAATATCCTCCATCTTTATAATAAAATATGCCTTGGCCATGTCTCATTCCATTGAATTTATATCCATGGTATTTAGAACCATCTTGATATTATTCATTAACAAATATTTCTCCTTATGAAGAAAATCCTGAAATATGAGGTTATTATTAAGGCAAATCAAATGGAAGTGAAAATTATTATTATGATTCCTTGACATTGATATCACTTAGTTTTAATTAAAAATTTTTATTAACATGTTAATCAGTATGATCTTGTAATGGCAAATTTTAAGATCTATTTGTAAAATTTTCATCATTTTCATTAGTGTCAGTATTCTCATCATATTTTGATGGTTGTGAAAATTATTCTGAATAAACAATTTATTGAATAAAATCACAATTATCAGATAAATTAGGTTAAACAGCATCTTCCTACATTCTACTTGCCATGGTGGAATTAGTGTGTGATTACTCTGTAATAATTTCTCTTAGAGAAGGTTTTTTAGCATTAGATTTTGAACTTTTGATTTCTTTCATTATAGGTAGAGTTTACTATTGATAAGAAGGATTTGATTAATGCTAGTAAACTTACTAAGACTAAATAGTGCTTTTTTACTGGTCTTATGAACCAAACTATCTAAGTTATTATTTAAAATTATTAATGGACGCTGATTCTTAATATTTTTAGTCTAATAATTTTGATAAGTCAATAAAATCAGGTCTTTAGGTTTCTTAGATCTATAACATACATTGAATGACTTCAAATAATTAGGGTTATACAACATTGTTTAATTAATGTAATTTGGTTAATAGAACTTCTTCTACCAAATATAATTATTTGTAGCAATCATTCATTGGAGTTTTCAAAATGCTCTATAACATGTACATTCCAAGAATAAATACGTCACTTTTGTATGGATTATGTTGAGGTTGAAATTCCTTTTATCTTAGAGCTAATGCTTGTAATGGTGATACAAAAACATCATTTACTTTATTATTTTAAAAGAGTTGCTAAAAATTAGTAGATTATTCATAAAGCGAAGGAATACATATTTTAGGAGGTAAATATAATGTTTTTGATGATATATGTTCGTGTGATATGGATTTATTTTATAAGTCTTCTAAAGCTCTAACATATCCAAACAAAACCGCCCAATAATCTTAGGAAGCCAATTATGTTGCAGCCAATTAGGAAGTTGGATGTTCAATCAATATGTATATTTTAAAAAATTAACTACACACTTGTTGATCTTAAGTAGTATAGATATCAATAATCTTAAGAATGTTTTGATTTTGAATTAATTATTGCTTATTTTCAAATTACTTTTTGTTTTTCTTAAAAAGTGTTTCATCTGTATAAGTATACTCTTTCAAAATAAGCTTCACTTTTGGATTTGATTTATTAACGAGAACAGTGCAATCTCCAAATTCTAGATTAATTGATTAAAATACACTCATCTCTAGTTTTTGTTGGTTGATATTCGCAATACAATTATGCTAACTTTGTAGATTCTTAGCTATTATTATTTCCCATTCAAAATTAACGAATATTTAATAATAATGATTACAATTCTTAAGAATACTTTAATAATTTATCTTGGACTTTTGGGTCTGAGCACAATTGGATCCCTTTTCATATGCTTAGATCAAGAATATCAATAGCAATGTCCATCACATGTTGTGTCAATTTTATCTGATCTGTCAGTCATTCCAATTGTAAATGAAGCCAGAATAATGTTAATTCCATTTATTAAAGAATTACCTCCTCAATGGATTAGTGTTTTAATTTGGAGTTCATTAATGATGACAAGTGCATTACTAATATCAATTATGTATTTAGCTGCGTAAAGAATTTAAAAAAATATTAAGGAAGTTCACTTATAATATGTTGGTGAATTTAGTTAAATTTTTAGTTATACTTATTTTGTTTTCACTTATCTTTGCCTGGATGATGAACATTTAAGAGATGCCATAAAAATTACAATATTATTTGAGGTACTTATAATTATTCTAATAATGAAATATAATATTAATAATTAATGAGATCACTTTCTTAAGTTTGTATCACTGAAAACTCAGAAAAAATTGAAAAATTTATATTCAAGCAAAATAAACCAATAACTTTTAAATCAGATTCTTTAGCAATAACAAAGAGATATAGTCAATAAGCTTTGGTTATTGTATCAGATTCTCCTTCAAAAAAACAAAAAACTTGTAGTAGTGAAATTCCATTGAGTAATGGGAAAATGTACTTGAAAGATGGAAAGATTTTATTTTTGAAGCAAAGACTACCAAAATTGGAATTACCATAAACAAAATGTAAATTTGACCCAAAAACAGAAATTCTGAAATGGATACAAAAAAATAAGATTATTTCTCCAACAAAAAAGAGAATTACATTCAAGGCAATAAAAGAATCAAATGGATAAAACAGAAAATCATTAATATTCTGATTATAATTAATTAACTACATAATAAGTATATTAAGAGATCTCTTTTTATTGGATATAAATTTGTAATTATTCATGAACAGTTAAATATTAATAGAATAAGAATGTAAATTTAATGCTCATTTTAATTGTATATGTTAAATAAATGTGATAATATTCGATCAATTATTATTTTATATAATTTATTATTAAATGGATTATTACAAGATTTTAGAAATTAATCGTGATGCTTCAGCTTCGGAAGTAGCAAAAGCTTACAATAAACTTTCATTAAAATGGCATCCAAAATTGAGTAAGTTTGATTAAAATACAACTTATCATCATTTTTGCCTAATATCAGAAGCCTACGAAGTATTATCAGATCGTAATAATTAATAAGTAATTTAGCTATCAAAAGGACATTTTATGATAAGTATGGTGAAGAGAAGTTGAAAGAAGGTTTCTTTGCTAATGGAAGTAATGAATTTCATGATTAAAATAGACCTGAAGGGCGGTTACAGTTTTGCAGGGAATCCTGAAGAAATATTTGAAAAGTTTTTTGGGACATCAAATCCATTTGCTTAACTTATAGGTAATTATATATAATAAAACATTTAGATACTGATGGATCAGAAAATCACGGCACTCTTTTTAGCCATGCTTTTGGAGGATAGAATTTCCCTGGAATTCCAGGACCTTAAGATCTTGAAATTTAAGTAGAGTGTACTTTACATGAATTGTATAATGGTTGTGCAAAAACTGTTTCATATTAGAGATAAGTGCTTAATAAAGATGGAATTACTACTCGTTAAATTATGGAAACTAAGTAATAAATTTGAATTGATATCTTTTAGGGAAATTAAAATTGATAGGGGTATTGAAACTGGATAAAAGATAGTATATAAGGAATTAGGAAATGAAGCTGCAGGATTTAAGTCTTCTGATCTAATTTTTTTAATAAAAGAAACTCCACATCCAACTTTTAAAAGAAAAGGTAATGATCTCTTATATATTGCAAAAATTAATTTGGCAAATGCTATTGCTGCAGATCCAATATAAATTGTAACTTTAGACAATAGAAAATTACAAGTGCCTGTAGATTAAATCATTAGGTATGACAATATATTAAATATTAGTCCTAAATATGTGAAGATGATTGAGAACGAAGGAATGCCTGTTTTTTAATTAGATGAAGTTAAAGTATGAAGTTTCATTTATTTTAGGATTTTGGTAAACCATATACATTTGGAAACTTGTACATTAGATTTGATATTCAATTCCCTGAAGATCTAACAGAAAGTTAAAAAAATAGAATCAAAGATATTCTGTTAGAAGGTTAATAATGATTTATATTAATTATCATTATCATCATTTTTAAATTACTCTTTACAAAGTTTTTATTTAAATAATTCTTCTTCTGTCTTATTTAATTGATTAAATTAAATTTAAATATTATTTCAAAAACATTATATGTTTTAATAACGTCATCAAAAGTGGAGAAGTTATAGTTTAGCAAGTGATTAGCGATAACCTCCTGTAATAAGATCTATGAAAGATGACAAAGTTTTGGGAGTCTTATGTTATGGTGGATTTTAATTAAAAATTCTCCGTAGTAGTGTTGATAGTCTAAATTTGATTAAGCCTTGTTAATTGTAAACGATATAAAAAACAAAGTTCAAATTAGAAAAAGTTAAATAATAAACTAAATTACCCAAATTAATCAAGCTTAGATAAATTTAAAGTCAAGAATTCAGTCCATGGTGAATGATATTTTTTTTATTTATCATTTTATGATAACAACTACTCGTTTCTAATTGTAAATAAATTAAGCAAGAGAGTTTATTATAATTGATGATGCCTTATTTAAAGATAGTATATTACTTTTGCTTCTGATATTTAGTAATTTAAGCTTAAAATTTGAAAATTCTGGATCTCTAAAGTAAATTGTTTAAATATTTCATTTTAATGATTTATTAATTGGAATATAAAATCTGTTAAAATATTTCATAATAATTATCAATTTATTTGGAATAAAATGTGGAATAGTAGACTATTTGAATCATATTAAAGACACAAAAAAGATAAAGAGGAAATAATATGCAATAAATCAAATCTTTGATTCTTCCTTAAACTCCAATTAAATAGAAATTTCTATTATAAGTAATTTAGAGAAGAACTATGAATAATTAATTATGAATCTAATAGAGGATGGTACCAAGAAGCTTTAAAAAGAAATTTTACATAAAGATATTTAAAATAAAAAAAAAACAATAAAGGAGGAAAAAATAGAATGAAAAATAAAAAAAATTTTATCCTTTAGGATACCAAGATTAATTAGTAATGGAGGATCTGTTATTAATATATTAAATATTGAAGAGTTTGAACCTAAAGTCAATATTTTTGATGTGATAGTTTCTTCTATATAATTTTTTTTATAATTAAATAATAATAGCTTTAGGAATAAAAATTCTTAAAGCAAAATAAAAATATAAAATATCTCAATACTCGTCTAATGTGTCTTTAGTATCTAATTGAACCATATATCGGACCCTTACTTTGGTCTCATCATAAACAATATATTCATTGTGTTAGAGTTAAAAACGAATTTGATTACCATTTTTATCTTTTTTCTTCGGTAATTGATATTCTATGCATTATCCAACAGGTACTTTGCATCCGTTTGCTAAAACAACTGATTATTTATAATCAGGACCTCTTCTACCACATCCCTTGACTGACTAATATTATTCTAAATTTATTATTAATAATAAAATTACTGTCTAAATTAGAAATATATTCAGCGTTATAAAGATTCTTTGATTTTCCAACAGCTACTTCACATAATAACATGTATCTATATCTCTGAATTTCATCTTGCTCATCCTTCTAATTATTTCGCTGTCTGTTGTAATATCCATTTTATTACAACAACCCATTATATTGATTGTAATAAAGAGACCAATCTTCAGTATATGCAAATGATTTTTAGAACATATCAGCAAAATAAATACCTTTACCAAACATGGCTCCAGTGTTAAATGCCCATGGAGGTGCAACTAATTTATATTGATTAATATTAATACCTCTTAATCCTTAAGCTAGAATTCCCATAAAATTAGAAATCTTTGAACCATGCCATAATAACATTCTCTTATATTATTTGTTATGTTCAAATCTCTCAGCTTCTCCTCTTCGTTCCACTGCAAATATATTTGAAATCTTAGTTTTCTAAGATGAATTTATATATTAAGCTATCAACTTAAATTCAGGATGCTCTTATGGTAGAGTAACTACTCTAACATTAAGTGCATTGAAACAATAAGTTAATGGATTTATTGTTTGTTTCATTAAATGAGCACCTAATAAAATCTTTGATGTAATCTCAAAGTTAAGTAATGTTTCTATTAACAACAATTTTTGATTTATTGCTTCTACTGAATCTAATGGAGGAATAGGCTCTGTTTGCTATTCTTTAGTTGGAACTAATTCATAAAATCTACTTGATTTATCACTTATTTCAGTAAATATATTTTGAATCTTCTTAATATCAAGATCTCCTTTTTGTCTAAGTTTCTGTAAATCTTCTACACAATCTGTTAATTCATTTAAAATAGCTTTAGCTGCTTCTAATTGTTTTCTATCTAATCTTTCAATAGGCATAGAGTCTAAATCGACATGGAATTATTCTAAATCCTTATTGTACAATTTAACCTAAACAAATTGCAGCATAAATCTTTTGATTGCTTTGTCTAAATTACTCTGTTAATAAGGACTTTTCTTACTGAAATCAAATGGAGTAAGTAAAGTTTTGAAATTCTTTACGTTCTTGAAATTTATCAATTAATATTTTCCTGGTTTTTTTACAAATGGTACTTCTCCAGTTTACACTTTTCTCCAATCATTTCCTCCTGTTTTATTTTGGAATATCTTATTAAATTCTTTAATAGCTTCCTCTGCATTTTCAAAAGGAGTCAATTGATGTTATCCATCTGTTCCTATTCTTCCCCATTTTGTTAATAGAATAAATACATTTCTATTGATTTCATGCAAGACTTACATCTTATAAAATACATTTTCTGAGTAGATACCATTACCTATATCAACTTTAGTCATTAATAATGAATATGGGCCAGATTCTTTATCTATCCACACTTCAACCTTACCTGATTCTTGACCTGCAGGATCTACAATTTTTTTTCTATCTTATTTTGAATCGTCTAATTATTCTCCATTTAAGTCTAAGAATTTCTAAGCATCTGTTTCAACATCAATTTCTTCTTCTACCCATTAAGCTTAAGAAATAACACTTGTAGGAAGTCTAGGTTATTTTTATTTCTTGCCTTCTTTAGCATTTAATTTTTTAAGAACTTCTGCCATAGTTCCTGAATCTTGATCATTTGCATAGTCTAAAGGAGTTCTTCCTTAATTATCAGGTTAATTAATATTAAATTATTTTGCTAACAATTCTAACATCTAAATATTTTCATAAGAACCAAATTCAAGAGGTTATACAACATAATGAATTGGTGTTCTGCTTTAGGAATCTTAAGAGTGTATATCTTTATTAAATTTAGGATGATTCAAAACAAAATTTACTAATTTCATTGAATTTATCCTAATAGCTAACATTAGAGAAGTTTCTCCAGATTCTGTCTTTTCATTTATATCACATCCAGCTTCTGTAAATTTAGTTAATATAATTTCATCTTCCAAATGGAATTCTTAAATTAAAAACAAAATTGGAGTTATGGTATAATCTTTTTCTTTAACTTTGAACTTAACATTTAAATTTGTATTCTAATCCTTCCAACATTATAGTTCTACATCAGAAACTAAAGCTTTATAGTTTTCTTACAATCTAATTGAAAATGGAGTATTCTTATCATTATTGTAAATATTTGGATCGCAATTAGATTACAATAAATATTGAATCATTCCATAAAAATCATTTTAAGCAGCATAATGTAGTGGAGTATTGTTTTGATCATCTTTAGCATTTTTATCAACTAATCTGCTTGCTAATTCTTCAGCAATCATTAATGCTATTTCATCTGTACATTTCCTACCTTTAATTGAAAATATATGGAAAAGATTTTATTTATTTTAATTTTTTCTCTAAACTACTTCATCATCTTTTACTTTCATCAACAAAGTACGAACTAGCTTAAATTATTCTTCCATTATTGCATCTTCAATCGCTCTTTGTAAATCATATCCATCAGAAATCAATAAGTATGCAACACCTTACCATCCTTATTTGATTGCTAATTTAAAATATGAATAAGTTCCAACTGGGAATTTATTTGATTATAATAAATAAATTCTATTAGATTTTTTTTATTATTAATAAGAGCCTGAACCTTTTGCTTTTTTAGATGCTTTAACAGCAGCTATCTTTTTATTTTTGGTAGATCCATAAAGTCCATTATTAAAATCTTCATCTTCTTATTCATCTTATTCATCTGAGTCAGTCTAAAATTCATTATCCTCTTATTCTATTGCCTAAACTTTTTAAATTCTTTCCTTCCTCTATTTCTTTTCTTCTTATCTAATCTTCTTATAATCAACAATTGTTGCAAATCTATTTACATCTGCTTTGTTATCTATAAGCATTGTGCAGAAGTTAGAGTGACCACATAAAAATGCCAAAGCCAACGGAGTATTGCCATATTTATCAGGCACATCTATTGGTGCTTTCATTTTTATCATATATCTTCCTGATATTACACTGCCTCTCATAGCAGCATAATGAAGTGGAGATCTCTAATGTATATCAACACAATCAACTTCACAATGTTTATCAGCTAAAACAGATGAAACAGTTTCAAAAGGATCAATTTCTCTAAAATCATTATCATAAGTCATCTTTGTAAATGCATAAAAGAGAGGAGTTCTCTTAAAGATATCAAGAGCATTAGTGTTTGCTCCATTCTTAATTAAAAGATGTTCCATCTCAAAACTGGCATCAGCTTAAGAATTTGATGAATTAATAGCATGATGTAAAGCAGTTCTTTTTGATTTATCAGGGAAGCTAGGATCAGCTTTAAATTTGGTCAAAAGAGTTGCAACCACTTTAACATTATTTGATTTTACCCAACTTTATAATGGTACGACATCATCTTCATTCAAATTATTAACGCTGCCACCATTTGAAATTAAAAGATCTAAAATTCCATCAAAAACAATGCTATATCTGCATGCAATGATGCTAGTAGGAGTATTTGATTGTTCATCTTTTACATTAACATTAATTTTTTTAATTACATATTCTAAAAATGTTTAACTTGTTTCATTTTCTCTTCCACAAATTTAATGTGCATCACAGGAATTTGCAAATAGATGTATTGGATATATATTTTATAAAGCAACTTCAGTCAAGGATATATCTTTGATATTATAAATTCCTTGAAGGAATGATACACTATGATAGTTTTTGAAAATAAAGTGAGCAATAGTATAGCCTCCTTCATCTACATATGGATGATCTTCTTTTTCTTATTCACCTTCTTTTTGTTCTCTAAATTATTTTCTCTTTATAATTGTTGAATTAGGATCAGCCCCCAAATTGATGAATAATTGATACAAATTAAGTACTGTATCCTATAAATTTAAAGACTCTTGTTTAGCTTCATTTTACAAGATTTCAACTTAATCGTTGTTTAAAAAGACAATGACTGGTTTGTTTTTATGATAGAATGTTTTTGAGTGATATTATTCCTTAGTTGTTACTGAATTAGCTTAAGCTTTTGAAAAAACATTTGTTTACTCAAATAATCCTTAGCCAAGTAAATTTTTTTTATTTTAATTATTATCTTCATCTTCTTCATCTTCATATTCTTCATTTTCTTCTTCATCATAATCTCCAGAATGTTATTCATCTTCTTCATTTTCTTCATCTTCATTATTATTATCATCTTGATTATCTTCCTCTTCTTCATTCTCACCATCTTCTTCTGCTCCTTCTTCTTCCTCACCATCTTCTTCCTATTCTTCATCTTCATCTTCTTCATTTTCATCATCATCTTGATTTTAGTTCTTCTTTTCATTTTCATCATTATTTTTTAATTTTTTTTCTTAATTTATTCTTTCCTCCTCTTAAAGTATTTCTTTTAATTTCTCTTCAAATAACTTTTGTTATAATAAAGAAACTTTTTTATTATAAATTTCAGTATGTTATGTTTGAGCTATACTGGTATATTCAGAGATCAGATAAAGTAATGGATTCCATCCATTCTCATCATATTAATTAACAAAAGTTGGATCAATAGTTTTAATTATATCTTTTAAGATAGTAAATCCTTTTACATTTAAAAATAATCTACATTCTATTAATTTATGTAAAATATTTCTATCTCTTTTATCAACATAATTAACAGTAGGAGTAGATAATTTCATTAATAATTCTGAAACTTTGAAATTTTAACTCATTAAAGATTGTATAAATGGAGTCTATCCATTAGTATCTTAGATATTAACATCTGAACCTGCATTGATTAAGAGTTCAATCATTTCATGAACTAATTTCTCATAATTATTTTTAATATCTCTTCTTTCTGCTTTGCTCATTTCGTTCCATTTATTATAATATTATTTAGCATCTTTTCTTGACAATAAAACAGCATAATGTAAAGGAGTCTTTTCTTATAGATCTGAAATTTTAACATCTGCATTTTTTTCTAAGATTAGATATTTAATATATTCAAAAGTATCAACTGTAAATTTGCTTAAACTAGATGAAACTAAAGTTCTTCCTTCATCATCTTTACAGTTAACATCTGTAGTTGGATAACTTAACAATTTTTTTACAATACTTAAATGATTTTTCTATAAGGCTACTGATAATGGTGTCAATTTCCAAGAATTTGGTAAATTTTAATCAGCTCCAGCTTTCATAAGTTCTTCAATACATTCTGGAAATCCATATGCTGCTGCATAATGAAGAGGAGTATTTTTAGAGCTGTCTGGTTAATCATATTCAGCACCATGATAAAGTAACAAAGATAGAATCTTGACATTACCATTACGAGCAGCTAAAACACAAGAAGATCTTCCATATTTATCTTTAGCTAATACTTTTGCACCTTATTCAATTAAATACTTAGCAAGTTCATAATGACCATAAGCACATGCTATATTTAATGGAGTCATTCTATTTTATCCTGTTTAATTAATTTTTGCTCCTTATTTTAAAAGAACCTTAACAGTTTCTAAATGTCCTCCTTAACAAGCAACATGAATAGCTGCATTACCATCTCTATTTTTTCCATCAATATTATTTGAAGCTAGAATCTAAACATTATGTGTTCTACCAAATTCAGCTGCCAAAATTAAAGGTGTATTCTTATTTCTATCTCCCTCTCTTACATCTATACTATTTTCCATTAAATATTTTAAACATGCGGAAGTTTAAGATACTGCAGCATAATGTACAGGTTTTCTATGAATTTCATCTAAAATATTATATTCTTATGATATATCCAATAATTTTTAAAGACAAGAATGATTTGGATTTATAGCTGCACAATGAATTGGAGTTATTAAATAATTTCCACCTGATTTTTTAGTTGCTGATGGTTTCTTTATATTGCCTATACGACTTGCACTTGTATAATTCAAAACATCCACATGAACTTAATTAAATCCATACATATGACCTTTATCCATTGCCATCTATACTAAATAACCAGCTGTCTTCCAATTTCCACTCCTAACTGCTATAGCTATCAAATTATAGTATTATTGTTCATTTCCCAATTAAGCCATCATTAAACCAAAAAACTCTGGATTACTTTCTATTTCCATTAATCTCTCTAATATTGCATCTGTCAAACTATCATCTTAATCCAAATCATAAACCAAAGCATTGTTTCCTTCTCTACCTCCTCTACCTAAAGCAACTTTTCTAGTTCGAGATCCATAAGCATATTAATTATTATATCCTGTATTAATTTCTTTTAAAGAACAACTAGGAGTACTTCCCAATTTTAATTTACCTATTGATTTTATAAATTAAAGTAACATAGCTTTATCTTACCTTTAAAATATTAGTTCAATAGCATTAATTTCATTTTCAGGACCCCAACTTTAAAAAATATTACTAATTTTCTAAGAATTAGCAAAAATGTCTTCTAACAATTTAATATTTCCTGTTTTAGCAGCTCTAATTAATTCATTATTATTCATCATTATACTAGAATAATCAACAAATTTTGAAGATGTTCCTTCGAATTATTCACTAATTTATCTTATTTCTCTATAATTTGGATTAACTTTCCCTTTAACAAATTTTGTTGGTTAAGCAGGTTAAGATTTAGATTTCTTTCCATTTGCCTTACTAACTTTCTTTTTTTATTCAACTGATTAAGATTAAACTTCATTATCTTCAACATCTTCATCTTCTTCAAATTTTTGCTTTATTTAAGCTCTACCTCTCTTAACTTATTTCTTTTAAGGTGGTAATTCTTCAAGTTTTTCTTTTTGTGAATTTAATGTTTATCTTGTAACTCTTTTCTTTTTTTACTCCTAATTATTTTCTTCTTCTTCTTCAGAATGTTCTTCACTTTTTTCTTACTTTACTTATTTACTTCCTTTTTTATTATTTTTAGTCTACTTTTAAATTTACTTTTTGGTAATCGATTATTTTTTTGGTGGCTCCTCTTCTGATGATTCCTGTTCAACACTATCTTCTGATTCATCTTTCTTTTTCATATTTTTCTTCACTACTTATTTTTGAGTTTATCCTTTTACTACTTATTTGGTTCCTTTCTTTATTGTATATTTTTTTGGTGCTTCTTCTTCTTCACTTTCACTTTCAGAACTTACCTATTTCTTCTACTACTTAGTATTGGCGGGAACTTACTTAGTGCTCTTTGCTATCTCTTATAAAGTATCTTAAGGAAATATAAAAGAAGTCACTGTTGATTTACTCCTTGGATTTTGTTTTGTGGATTTTACTTCAACATCTTCCACAATTTTACTAAAATTAATATATTTTTTCTTACGTTCTTTCCTTCACTGATAATAGTGCCTCTTATGACTCTTTGTATACTACTTTACCATCCTTTTACTTCTCTTACTACTCCAGTCTTACTACTCTTAATTATGATTTATGATCATTAGTTTTTAGATCTTCTACTACTTTAAAAAAGACTGCTTTGCCTTTCTCACTCTATCCAAGAATCTAATCCTTTTTGAATTAATATGCATAACTTGGTTCAACCTTTTATCCACGAGTTTTCATTTATGTTAATTATGAAATTAAATTAAAAAAATCTGATGGATTTATGATTAAATTTTATATGGGGTATATTAATTAAAATATTTTTAAAATAAATAAATAAATAAATAATCAATTCTCAATTAATTTTTTCTAAACTTATACATTCTATTTAACTTCTTAATTCTTTCACATCCTCTTATATATTATCGAAAGTAGGATTATGATGTGCATACTCAAAGTTTATTGGACTATATTCATTTAAAATTCGTCTCTAATGAAAAGGTGATATATCTTAAGAATGTACCCCATCAAATTATTTTGAATCGAAAGAATCCAATCCTTATATTAAATTGATTGAAGGTTGAATTCTATTTGAAGGAGTGCAATTCTAAATATTATTAAATGACTCATTTTTTAAAGAATCATTTTTTGTATGATCATTTTCCTCCTTTATTGATTAAATTGTTTCAAGAGGTTAATAAATTTAAATTGGAGGAGGAATATGAGGCTATTCAGATATAGATGAATCTACATCAATATCTTCATCATCTGATTTTTCTTCTAACATACTTACTCTCTTTATATATGAGTAAAATCTATTCTTCACTTAATTTTCCTATTTAATTTGAACATATTAATACTGGTCTTCTATCTAACATCTTTGAGATTTCACTCCACTTTGGCCCATAAATTCTATACTATTCTAAAATTATTTTATCCTCTTGAACTGTAAATTTCGAACGATTAATCTCAGGGTCCAAATTATTTAAAAATCTCTCTCTTATTTATTTACTTGAACGTCCCTCCATGAAACCTTCTATAACCTTCCAATTTCTGCCATATTATTATACAAGTTCTAACACTCTTTTGTCTTCTTAATCTGTCCATTGCTTACGCAATTTCGTCTAATTATCTATAACTTTTAAAAACTACCTTATTAGGATTGATTCTCTTCCATCTCTATTGACATTAACTTAAATTTCTTCCAGGAATCTCATCACAAATCTATCTCCAATTTCCATTATACTTCCTATGCAAATCAAGAAGTAATGTGTCTTCATTAGGTTTCCAAAATTTTCCATACCTTCTTTCAGATGAACTAGAATCTGAGTCTTTACTTTACTTTCTAATAGATTTATTGATTGATGGTGATCTTTATATGAATTAAATATATACTTTGAATTTCCTCTCAAGCTACTCATATTTTTAATTATTTTAATCACTATTCAACAATCATAGATTTTGAATTAAATCTTTACGAGTAAACAATATTATATAAAATGTCATCAAAATTAAATCATATTAATTATCTAAACTATGGAAGGATTAACAATCGATTATGCTATTTCTAAAGTCTTTTGACTGGTTAAAGATACATTTAGACATTTGTTTTCAATTTCCTTGTAGATGAACATAATAATTATAGTCATTGTTGCTGTTGTTCTAGGACTTAAAACTTTTTTAAAATCATTACGGAGAAATAGAATAGAACAATATTTATAAAAAATTTTCGATGATTGGAAAACTTTCTCCTTTAATTAATTACAATCTATTATTGTTTAATTAAAATTGAGTCAAAAAACTTAGACTTATTTTTTGTCATACTAGGAAAATTTTATGAAGGAACATCTTTTAGATGCTCGAATGAATTTATTGTAAAATCATTACTTGTATCAACACCCTCTTCTATATGGATATTCTATGTATTCAAAATTAATGGATATAATATCTCATGTTATTTCTTTTTTATTTTCTTTAAAATTATTTGCCAGTGCTTCTTACTCTTTAATTTATTAAACTATAAAAACATCAACTTTTTTTGAGTCCCTTTAAAAAAATAGTTTCTTTTCCCTATTGTTAATAAATACAACTTTTTCTATGCTATGTTTCTTTCACTTCTATAATTAATTAAGAATATTTAGTATTTTTTATTACTGCATCTATTGAGATTATTCTCTTGTTTAAAGTTCTTCTTTAGTTCCTTTCCGAATAGACAGAGATTTTTTTGTAAATTTTCGAATCTATTCAAAAATCTTTAATTATGTGGCACACTTAAATTTCGTTTCACCCTTTAAAGACACAATTTTTATATAACACATTCTTCATTTATGCTTGTTTGTATTTTCTAATTTATTTTAAGAGGTTCAAAGGGAATTTATAATTAAGGTTTTCTTTATTTAATATTTTGCATTATTATATTTAATCACACAAACAAATCATCGTTCTAATATTATTATTGAAAGGTTCTCTCAAAAGATTATGAACAAAATGAATTTATATTACTTTTGATATTGTTCTAAATACTGGAAAATGAGCAAATAAGCATTATGGATAAGGGCAATTATGGTGGCTTTTTAATTAAGAACAATAATAAATATAATTAAAAACTAATGTTCCTGAATTCTAAGATTATTTGACTACAAAGTATTTTGATAATCGCTCAGCTAATAATTTATGTCAGAATTTATAGAACCATTATTCAAACCAAAATAAATATTTAAAGTTTGATCAGGCAAATCTCTAGCATATTCTAAACTATCCTCTACATAAACTTGTAATTATTTTGAATCGATTATGTTATATTTTTGCTTATATTTCTTTAGTAAAGCTTTTCGAAATGATGAGCTTTGGATTTATTAGCTTAGCAAAGTTAATCAAAACACTCATTGTTATGTCAAGTCGATTATTATATTAATTAAAAAAAAATTGATAATTATGTTAAACAAACTTAAAACTTTTAAGAAATATTGTGTTATTATAAAATCAACATTAATTCTTATAATTAATTTTTCTAACAAGTATATAATATAATCTATAAAGATAGGAATTCATTAGTATTATAAGAAAAATCTTATTGATGATAAAATTTTAAAAGAAACATTGCCTTATTTTGTAAAAAATATAAGTTCAAATAAAGAAGAAAAAGATAATATTATTAAATTAGAATNTGAAGGAACATCTTTTAGATGCTCGAATGAATTTATTGTAAAATCATTACTTGTATCAACACCCTCTTCTATATGGATATTCTATGTATTCAAAATTAATGGATATAATATCTCATGTTATTTCTTTTTTATTTTCTTTAAAATTATTTGCCAGTGCTTCTTACTCTTTAATTTATTAAACTATAAAAACATCAACTTTTTTTGAGTCCCTTTAAAAAAATAGTTTCTTTTCCCTATTGTTAATAAATACAACTTTTTCTATGCTATGTTTCTTTCACTTCTATAATTAATTAAGAATATTTAGTATTTTTTATTACTGCATCTATTGAGATTATTCTCTTGTTTAAAGTTCTTCTTTAGTTCCTTTCCGAATAGACAGAGATTTTTTTGTAAATTTTCGAATCTATTCAAAAATCTTTAATTATGTGGCACACTTAAATTTCGTTTCACCCTTTAAAGACACAATTTTTATATAACACATTCTTCATTTATGCTTGTTTGTATTTTCTAATTTATTTTAAGAGGTTCAAAGGGAATTTATAATTAAGGTTTTCTTTATTTAATATTTTGCATTATTATATTTAATCACACAAACAAATCATCGTTCTAATATTATTATTGAAAGGTTCTCTCAAAAGATTATGAACAAAATGAATTTATATTACTTTTGATATTGTTCTAAATACTGGAAAATGAGCAAATAAGCATTATGGATAAGGGCAATTATGGTGGCTTTTTAATTAAGAACAATAATAAATATAATTAAAAACTAATGTTCCTGAATTCTAAGATTATTTGACTACAAAGTATTTTGATAATCGCTCAGCTAATAATTTATGTCAGAATTTATAGAACCATTATTCAAACCAAAATAAATATTTAAAGTTTGATCAGGCAAATCTCTAGCATATTCTAAACTATCCTCTACATAAACTTGTAATTATTTTGAATCGATTATGTTATATTTTTGCTTATATTTCTTTAGTAAAGCTTTTCGAAATGATGAGCTTTGGATTTATTAGCTTAGCAAAGTTAATCAAAACACTCATTGTTATGTCAAGTCGATTATTATATTAATTAAAAAAAAATTGATAATTATGTTAAACAAACTTAAAACTTTTAAGAAATATTGTGTTATTATAAAATCAACATTAATTCTTATAATTAATTTTTCTAACAAGTATATAATATAATCTATAAAGATAGGAATTCATTAGTATTATAAGAAAAATCTTATTGATGATAAAATTTTAAAAGAAACATTGCCTTATTTTGTAAAAAATATAAGTTCAAATAAAGAAGAAAAAGATAATATTATTAAATTAGAATTTGATGGAACAAAATTGTATACCTTGTTTCTTAGATTATAATACTTTAGAATCTTTTATTGTTATTTAAAATTATAATTAACCAGTTTATTGAAACTAAATAATTAATTAGAATTATTTGAAATCATAATATTTAGATATTTTTAGTAATTTTATAAATATTTGACAGAAAATTATTAACTAAAGTTGATTTATTATAGAAATAGAATCAAATTAAAGAGATTAGATTAAGCTTTTCTAATCTATATTCTAAATATATATCAAAATAAATAGAAAAATTTTGAAACAATAGAAATTTTAATCTATATTATAAAATAAATGAAATCATTATTAATCTGCCCACCTCGCTGAATCTAATTCATCAAATTTAACTAATAATTCAGGCTAATCAACATCGTCATCTTATATTTAATCATGAACATCTTATATATTAAGAAATAAGCTTTTGACTTAATTAGGAACTTAATCAATCTTTATGCTATTTGAATTTTGATTTACTATTTCATTTCCTACATTATCATTGGTAGCCCAAAAATTTGTAATATTTTTTTTTAATGGTCCTTTAACTTGTTATTAATGGATATTGAAACTAGGTTTCTTTTTTATTTTATCTAATCTCCTAGGTATAGGTAACTAGCTATATTTTTCTTCTTCCTATATAGAGAGCAACTATTCATTTTTAGTTAGTTAAATGATTTCATCATTTTCGTAATTTTTAACAAAAATTTGACTCGTATCTTAAATCAAAAAATCCATATTGACTGCTTTTTATTGGATATCTTTTTAAATGATGATTTTTGTTTGATCTTCACTTTCACGATCAGAAAAAGAGTTTTTTTCTGTGATCTCTATTTTATTTGACTGTTCAATGATATTTTAGGAATATATACAATTTTCTTAAATTTTTTATTGGCTGAGTTATAAAGTAGAGCCTTTTTGTTCTATTTCTGAATGATTAATGATATCTTCATTATCAGGTGTTCGTACAGGTTGATTATCATCCTTAGATTTATAGATAGGTTTATCAGGTTCTTGAGTTTCAGGATGAGATTGATCTTTTTTCTATTTCATTTCTAAAGAAGGGTTTTACACATTTTATAAATCAGGAAGATTGATTATAAATAGATTGGAATAATAAGGTGTACGTTGTCTTTATACAATACTTTTTCCACTTGATCTAAATCTGATCGCTTCAAAATAGTTTAACCATAACATATATATTTCATTTGATTAAGCCACTAAAACTATATATTTTTCTGCTAAATAAATTGTAAATCCAAATGCTTCTTTCCACTCTACTCCTTAATTAGAAAGAGCGTAATGTGGTTTATCAGAAACTGACTGTACTTCCTAAAATGAATAGCAAAAGTACTTCAAATGGAATATATGTGATATCATTAAGTGAGTATCTTTCTTTATTGGAATAATAGAGTGATATTTCAAGGAGATTTAAAGTAAAATAGCGTTTGTTGTAATCTTAAAAAATTCTTGAGAAGTCTGGAAGTGGTTTCATCTTTTTAAACCAATCAGATATTTAAGGTTTAAGAGTTGAAGTGTANGATTTATTATAGAAATAGAATCAAATTAAAGAGATTAGATTAAGCTTTTCTAATCTATATTCTAAATATATATCAAAATAAATAGAAAAATTTTGAAACAATAGAAATTTTAATCTATATTATAAAATAAATGAAATCATTATTAATCTGCCCACCTCGCTGAATCTAATTCATCAAATTTAACTAATAATTCAGGCTAATCAACATCGTCATCTTATATTTAATCATGAACATCTTATATATTAAGAAATAAGCTTTTGACTTAATTAGGAACTTAATCAATCTTTATGCTATTTGAATTTTGATTTACTATTTCATTTCCTACATTATCATTGGTAGCCCAAAAATTTGTAATATTTTTTTTTAATGGTCCTTTAACTTGTTATTAATGGATATTGAAACTAGGTTTCTTTTTTATTTTATCTAATCTCCTAGGTATAGGTAACTAGCTATATTTTTCTTCTTCCTATATAGAGAGCAACTATTCATTTTTAGTTAGTTAAATGATTTCATCATTTTCGTAATTTTTAACAAAAATTTGACTCGTATCTTAAATCAAAAAATCCATATTGACTGCTTTTTATTGGATATCTTTTTAAATGATGATTTTTGTTTGATCTTCACTTTCACGATCAGAAAAAGAGTTTTTTTCTGTGATCTCTATTTTATTTGACTGTTCAATGATATTTTAGGAATATATACAATTTTCTTAAATTTTTTATTGGCTGAGTTATAAAGTAGAGCCTTTTTGTTCTATTTCTGAATGATTAATGATATCTTCATTATCAGGTGTTCGTACAGGTTGATTATCATCCTTAGATTTATAGATAGGTTTATCAGGTTCTTGAGTTTCAGGATGAGATTGATCTTTTTTCTATTTCATTTCTAAAGAAGGGTTTTACACATTTTATAAATCAGGAAGATTGATTATAAATAGATTGGAATAATAAGGTGTACGTTGTCTTTATACAATACTTTTTCCACTTGATCTAAATCTGATCGCTTCAAAATAGTTTAACCATAACATATATATTTCATTTGATTAAGCCACTAAAACTATATATTTTTCTGCTAAATAAATTGTAAATCCAAATGCTTCTTTCCACTCTACTCCTTAATTAGAAAGAGCGTAATGTGGTTTATCAGAAACTGACTGTACTTCCTAAAATGAATAGCAAAAGTACTTCAAATGGAATATATGTGATATCATTAAGTGAGTATCTTTCTTTATTGGAATAATAGAGTGATATTTCAAGGAGATTTAAAGTAAAATAGCGTTTGTTGTAATCTTAAAAAATTCTTGAGAAGTCTGGAAGTGGTTTCATCTTTTTAAACCAATCAGATATTTAAGGTTTAAGAGTTGAAGTGTATCGTTAGTCAATAATAAATTTGGAATGTACTAGGTCCCTTTAAGTTCTTTCCAAATATTTTATTTTTTTGGACATTCTTTAATAAGTAATATAGATTAAAACACTTATGTATAATTGTAATACTATTTGATTAATTATTGTAATTATTCATTTATGAAGATCTATAAATCCTTTGCATTTGACTAAAATATTCCATAGACAGATTATGAGAAATATATAAATCCTGATGACCTACTAAATGAGAGTTTTGAAGAATTGAAAGGGGAGTTCAAGAATTATAGAACAAAGAAAGGAAGAGACATAATAAAATAAGAGATGGAAATGAGAAAATAACTGTAATTGAAGAGTATATTTATAATTTTAATAGTAGGGAAAAAAAATTAATCTGGGTTGGTTGTCTAACAAAAAAAGCATGAGGAGCAAGATAATTAAAAAGACATGCTTGGGAATATAGGATTGTTAATTCGATAATAAGAGAGAAAATGCAAATAAATAAAAAAAGAAGTGCAGTCGCGTACATAATTGAATATAGACATGCAGCAAACTTTGGTTAGGATTATACAACGATGAAACAGAAAATCCAGTAATATATTTATGGGGACAATTTAGGAAGACTGATGTTACAAAATAACCAATATTCAGTTAAGAAGACTTTGCAAAGTTGATTTAAAGAGAGGATGAAGATGAATTGATTTAAACTTAAACAAGAATAATGCATAAACCTAGAGAGTTTAAATATATATAATAATATTAGGTGTTTTAAGTCTCGATTTATAGAAAAATAAATACCAATGTATAAAAATATGGAGTAATCTTCAGAAATAGATTCTAAAAAGTAAATGGATAGTAAAATATTAACAAAATCAAATAAAACAATTAAACAGTTTAAAAATTAGTTAATAAAATAGATTTGGTTTATAATAATCTCGAGAATCGCCTTCAAATGCAATGTTTGATGGTGATGCTAAACGTATATCGAAATCATGTCTCTATAAGACATGGTTGAAAGGAGAAGAAGCATAAAATAAGAAATTAAAAAAGCCAAGAAGAACAGAGTCTTATCATAAGGCAGCTGCTTAAAGAGAAGAAATTAAAAGTTAATTGAAGGAAAGAGCATAAGTGGCATTTAAAAGGTATGAAAGTATGGGAAAGAGTATAAAATATATATTAAAATTTTAAGCATGGGAAAAATTTGGGGTGTTTTCATAGGATATTTTGGATTTTAGAATGTAAACATTAAAAGAGGCAAAGATCTAAAGATTGTAATAATTTTAAATAAAAAAGATTGCTTGAATAATAAGAACATGATCTTAAGAAAGTGGATTAAAATGAGTAATAAAAATTTGAATTATTTTTTAAAGGTAGAGAGATACTGATATGTTAACTCGATTAGTAAAAGTGATAACTAAACCTAATTCTGATAATAAAGAAGAGGTTAAAACAAACTTTGAATATCATGAACAAAGATTAAAGGATATGAGAACAAGGACTAGATAAATTTAGAGAGCTGGATTTTGAATAATAATATTTATTATTTATATAATATATAATGCTATAGCGATAAAAACATGAACTTAAAGAATAATACTAAGACAGAAAGAAAATATATGAGTTAGTCTTAAAGAAGAATGCCAATAGAGCAACTGTTATGAGTAATATATATGTGAATATAAAATATATGGGAAACAAATATCCAAAAGAATTAGAAGATGAATTGAATTAATATATAGCATAGTTATGAAAATTTGAGTTATAAATTAAATCTTTTTTTTTAAAAAGTATAATGATCATCTAGGTGGGTCACCTTAATGGATAGGTGAAAACATACAATTTAGCAGACTAGAGTACTGCAGCAGAATTAATGAATGTTTTGAACTCTGAATTAGCATGTGAAGTTCAATTGGTTTAATCTGGAGAATTAGTGAATGCATCATCAATATTGGCAGGAGAAAGAATTTATTATGTTACAGTTGATGCAGAAGGAGGTAAGAAAAAGAAGAAAAAGAAGAAGAATTTTGCCAAGCCCAAAAAGAAGAAGCACAGACACCGAAAGGTTAAGTTGGCTACCCTTAAATTATACAATGTTGATAATAAGGGAGTTGTTTAAAGATCTCATAAATAATGTCCTTAATGTCCATAAGGTGTTTATATGGCTAAACATTATGACAGACATTATTGTGGTCTATGTCATTAAACCTTTAGAATGGATGAAGCTACAGTAAACATAAACAATATATTTTAAGATTAAAGCCAATTTAGAAGCAATCAAAAAATAACAAGCTGCCAAAGCTGCTGCTGCTGCCGCTGCTGCTCCAGCTGGTGGGGCTGCCGATAAAGGAGCTGCAGGAGGCAAAAAAGGAAAGAAGAAGTGAAATATATTATCTAGTATATTAATAAAGAATTTAATTAATCAATCAATCTTAAAACTAAATCAACACTAGATTCAATTATCAACTAAATACCATCTAATTATTCATTTATCTTTATTATTTTAGATTTTTGCATCAACTCTAAATTTATTATATACAAAAGTATCACTCATATTTCACAATATATTATTATTAATTTAATATTATGAATTTAATATATTAATGTTAATAATCAAATATTTCATGCATATGTTATTCAATTTTAGTTGGATATGCTCTTATAATTACATTAATAGCTATTTAAGCTATCAGCAGATTACTGAAGTCTTCAACTAGTATTTAAGAATTAAATCCTATGATTTTATGCATAATATAATCTCTATTACATATTATTTAATATGCTTTTATTGAAAATAACAAACTACAAATAATAACACTCTATTTTTAAATCCTTATTTTTACTTCAATATCCTTTTTATTTGCTTAACTATGCTATAAGGTGAAGAGTGGAGCACTTTTTTTGAAAAGTTATAAAATCTTTAAAATTCTACAATTTATTTTTTATGGAATTATTTTAATCTTTTAAATACTAGCTTTAATTTTATCAACTCATGATTCATGTGATAGGTAATTGTTAATTCAAAAAAATTAGTTACTACTATCTTAGTATAATTTTAATTATAGTTTAGTAGATTACATCAACAACGATTACAACTTATTTTGGAATTTAATTGCTCAATAAATTGCAAAAAGTGAGTTAATACATTTAATGTAAAACTATGAATCCGAAAGCGTATTAATTAAATATAATTTAAGTGTCTATGATTCATACGCAAACTTGTCTATGTGTAATCCAAGAGCTACTATTTTAGAGCCAAGAGAATTGATTTAGACAAAAAAACAAATAATAATTGTACTCTGGCTAATGCTAATCACTATTCTATTTTATATATCATTTATATTAATTGCTGTTTTAATATTCAAAAGAGTGATATGCGAACATTAAAAAAATAATAATGGGGAAAACTTTTTAATTTTAGTTTATGGAATAATATAGATGACTCCCTGTTGGGTGATACCTTTTGCTTTTGGTTTTATCCCTTAAGTATAATGTTAAGGATAAGATAATAATGATTTATTAATAATTTTAGATAAATCTTAAGCAAAATCAAAAGATTCGATATAAGTTTGAATTTATATCATATTTATGTAACTATTTAAAACAAACAAATAATTTAATAAGCATATAAAATAAATTTCATAATTTCTATAAAAATTCTTCTATGATAAATAAAATAAATAATCATAAAAAATATCAAATCAAATATTTATAAAGATCTTCCATTCTCCCAAAAATTGATTTGTTAAATTTATATAGAAATTAGAAAATAGAAGATTATAATTAATGAATATTTAGATAATATTAAAATGTTTAATTAATAATAATTTAAAAAATTCTAGTTCGAAAAATGAATTAGAAATGTTTTTATACTTGGTTCCAATTATTATTAAAAAGAGATTAAGCTATTGTATTAGATTAATCTAATTGGCTTGCATTTGTTAGTGAAGTTTTGGATGTTATTTGTGGCTTTTAGATTGATAGCATTAATTAGGAAGGTGATATATTTTAAAGGCAACAAATTTAATCAATAATTGAATTATTCTAAAAGCTAATCTCAATTCTAAAAAACTTTGATGATTCAAGCATTAATGAATTATTGAAGTTTATATTTTTAGTATTTCTAATTTATAATTCAAAAGGTATGTAGGGATATTCCAGAAATAGAATAACTGACTTTATAAATTGATGAATAGGATCAATATTAGATATTTAAATAAATAAATCTTGCAGATAATCAAATTATGCAATTAAGCTTTTCTAAATATGAACTTCTCTAATTAATCGAACATGTTGAAGAAAAGTATAAATAAACCAAGGAATAATTGGAATAAATTACACCATAATTTCAAAAAGCAGAAGAAAACCTTAAAAAATCAATCATTGCAAAAGAGGAAGAAAATAAAATACTCAAGAAATGTAAATTTGTTTAATATTTAATTTAAGAAATTGAAGAATTAATTGGAGAAATTGATCAATTAAATATAATCAATGCTGATTTAAAAATCAATTTAAATTAAATTCATATGTAAAAGCAATCTAATCCTGATCAAAGTTAGTTGTTGTAATATTTATAAAGGTAAATTCATAAGAAAATTATTTAGATAACATAGTGTGATAGAGGAATAAGAGCGTGAATTGGAAGAATTACGTAAGATTTTTTCAAAAAAACAAATGAATAATATATTTTAAGATAAAGAAAATTATAATAATATTTAGACATTAGAAAATAAAGTATTTCTATATACAGAAAAATTAAGGGAATTAAATTAATAATTATAGGCTCAAAGAACCGATGTGGTAAGATTAGAAATTGAAAAATCTTTTTAAGAGAAATAATATTATGAAAAGTTAGAATAAAAAGATTAAGAAATAAAAAAACTTAAATTAGAGATAGATGAAATATAGAAGCAAAATTAAAAAATGTAATATGAATTAACTGCTCGATCAAAGATTATTTCATTTCATTCTCAATCATCTAAATAAATATTAGCTCAGGAACTTTAGGATAGTCAACTGAAGACTCAAAATTTAGAAAAGAATTTTTCTGATCTAATATAAGGAAATCCTGTTTATTAGGCTTAAATTGAAGAATAATATTTAGCAGATAAAGAATAATATAATTAAATAATTGAAAATTTAATGACAGATTTAAAGAATTATGAATAACTGAATTATGACCTTAAAAGAGAAAATAATTAAATTTAATAAAATTACTAACATTTATTAAAGATTAAATATGAAACAAATTTGAGCCCAAAAATAAAGAAAATTGAACTTTAAAATGAATTGCTAAAAAAGATAGTTGATGCATTTATTTTAACAAATTAATAAAGTTGAATTTGATATATAATAAATAATTTTAAACTAATTATAAAAAATTGAAAGATAAAACTTAATTATGAAATAAATTTAAGATTTGTCTGTGGCTGTTAAATGGCAGTTGTGTTGGTCAAAACTAAGAAATTATCAAATAGAAAACTGAAAATTAAAAGTACACAATTTTAATAAAGTATATCAAAATAATTAATATTCTAATTTAACGAAAAACGCACATTTTTTTTGTGTTATTCTAAAGTGAGAAGTTTAAGATAAAATTCATTAATATGAGTTAATAATTTTAAGTTAAAGGGACAAAATCTACTTATATAATATATGATAAGGTATTAGGAAAAGGGGCTTATGGTGTTGTATTATTGGCATAGGATATAAATTTTGGTAATCAACTAGCTGCTAAGATAGTAAGAAAACAAATTAATTATTTAAGATAAGCAAGAAATCCCTCAGTTAAATAGACATAGTGAACTTAAGAAATGAAATAAACATCTAATCAAATTTGTATCATCCTAACATTGTTACGATGATTGATGCTTTTGAAGATAACGAATATTTATATATGTTACTTGAATATTGTAATGGAGGTTGTCTATTTACAAAAATTCAATTAAGTGGACCACTTAGAGAAGATAAAGCTTATAAATATTTCATTCAAATAGTATAGGCTGTATAATATTTACATTAAAAGAATGTCTTACATCGAGACATAAAAGTAAGATATTTTTATATAGTAGTTATCAAACCTACTAATAAATTAAGAAGACCAAATCAAATTAGCAGATTTTACATGGAGTACATCACTTTAAATGGGATATGTTGCTCCTTAAATTTGTGGTACTTTAGAATATATGCCTCCAGAAGTTATTCAAAATGGATTCTAAAATGAAAAATTAGATATTTGGAGTTTAGGAATAGTACTATATGTAATTTATACATTTTTATCATTTAAGGAAATGCTACATAATGATTTTCCATAAAATGGACTAATTTTTATTCGAAATGGTATAAGTAAAGAATGTAAATCATTAATGAAACAAATGTTAGAAGTTGATACTTATAAAAGACCTTCAACTTCAGAAGTGTTATCCAGTTAATGGGTCAAAAAATTTTAGAGAAATAACGGGCTAATAGTAAATACTTGTAGAAGTCTTTCAGGATTAACAGATAAATTAGGATCTCCTCGAAAAATACCTTTATTAGGTTCTCCATTAGGATCACCATTAAGAACTGTCATTGGTTCCCCTTTTGGATCACCAATAACATCTCCTTTAAATACTTCCTAACAGAAATGCTTTGGATCAAAAAATGTTGCTAAATAGATTTTAAGCACTCATAAACTTTCCTGAGTTTTAACTTATATCTTTTTGTATTCATTCCAAAAATTTTTAATTTTTTTTTGATTTAGTATAATACTCAATTATAATATATATTTTATAGAAATATATAATCTAAATTAAACAACCACGTTATAATATTATCGTTTTTCTATTTATATTCATATTCCATTTTTAGTTTAAATCACTCAATAGTTAAGTTATATAAATACTATCTACTTCAAATTTATTGGTTCAACTTGAAATAATTTATAACTCTATACACAACTACTATGACAAAATAAAAGAACTTTATCTTATAAAAATATATTTGAATTCCTAAATATTAATACTTAAGAGAGCATAAATTTCATGGAGAGATTCTTATATAAATATATCATCCTATCTTTTTACTTTTTATGATTACTTAATTATATGAGAATGTTCCTCCATTTTTAAATATTGTTTTTACCAACACTTAATGTTCTTCTTTGTACAAAGCCTTATATCTTAAATTTTCCTTCTCTAATTCCCCTTTGCTTAGATATAATAATTCTTAATTAACTCTAATTATTTAAAATAAATATTTCTACTAAAAGTAGAATATGAAAATGAATGATTTTTTAGATTAAGTAACAGCATAAAAAACAGAATGATTCATTTAAAATAATACAATAATTAACAAATAACCTTAAAAAATCATTAATAAGTCCAATAATGATTGTAATTACTAAAAAGAATAAATCAGAAATCTTTAGATAGGTGTTAAATAAAGGAGGAAAGCTCTTAATAAATCAGATGATATAAAATCTATATTAAATTTATTTAGAATTTAAGTCTTTATCATTTATAAATTTAGAGTAAATAATTATATAAAAACAAATGTGAATTAATACACTAGAGACAATCTTTTCAATAATAAAAATTAACTCTTTTTTTATTTAATATTAATAGTTTATTCCTCAAATTAGTTGAATGGGATCCTTTAAAAAAATGAAATAACCTAACCTACTAAGATTACTCAATATATTTAAGATGAAGATGATATGTTTATAGAGTTTTTTATTTATAGTCAAAATACAAAATTCATTGGTATAAATAAAATAATTGAAAGATTTCTGAATGAGAAGAAGAAAATCATTGATATTTCTTAAAAATTAAAAAATAGGTATCCCAATTATAAAATTTAAATAGTTGAGTTGATGCTCATTTACCAAAGTATTAAAATGTAGAAAATTAGTAGTTGATTAAAGAAATCCTAATATAACTTTAACATCATTTTTAAGATATATCTTCAATCCTTTATCATTAAAATATATTCATATAGATTAAATTTAAAAAATTTTTGGTAAAATTTTAATAAAGCCTTATAACTACATGATTAATAATATTTTATGAGGCCATCCTAAATTTGTTAATTATATAATTTTTAAGTTTTTGATAATTTAAATAATGAAAAAATAATTTAAATGAGGGAAGAAAAGAGTAATTAATAATTAAAAATTATTTTTTAGATTAGCAAGAAATTTTATTTTAAATTATTGATATTATAATGACTTATTTAAAAAAGATAATGATGAACTAATAAAATTTTATTTAAAGTTTGAATTGAATGTTTATAGAAGTATAATTGATATAATTTTGAAAATCATTAATAAGATTATTTAGATAATAAATAATGTAAATAGGAAACAAAGTTTTTGTTTTTACTTAACATGATTTCTAAAAATGTTTTGTAGTGAATTTAAATCCTCCATTAGGTTAAGGCCATGATGCAAGAGTGTATTTAGCAATGCACAAGAAAACAGGAGAAATTTTTGCTTTGAAAGTTTTAACTAATTTATCACAAGATCATATCATAAATCTCTAGGTTTTTTTACATTTTATTTAGCGAACGAAATTCAAATACTAAAATGCATTGATAATCCTGGAACAGTTTTATTGAAGGGGCATAGTGAGGATTATACTTGTGTTCTTTTGGAGTATATGCCTAATGACTCCTTTTTAAAGATCTTAAAAAAAGGTCCTTTTTCATTTCCATTAGCAAAAACTTTAGCTGTTTCTCTAATAAAAGTTTTAGGAACTCTTCATAAGGCTGGAATAGCTCATTGTGATATAAAACCAGAAAATATTTTGATTGCTGCTGATTATAATTTAAAACTGTGTGATTTTGGATTTGCAAGATTATCAAATTAAAATTTAAGACCTGTTGGAGGAACTCCTGGTTATACTGCACCTGAATTATATGTAAATTAAGCAATGAATTTATTTAAATGTGATATATTTGCATTAGGAGTAGTATTATTTATAATTGCTATGGGATTCCCACCATTTTAAACAAATGATCCAAATTCAAGAGATGGTTGGTGGGCATTAATATTTAATAAACAATTTGATATATTTTGGAATAAATGCGAAAGTTTTAGATAATTACAATTTTCTAAAGAATTTAAGAATTTAATAATGTCTATGTTAGAAAGTGATCCTGATAGAAGGATATCCTTAGATTAATTAGTAGAACATGATTTCTTAAAGGATGGTGCTTCTGAAGAGGAAGTCTTAATGGAAATAGAGAGGAGAGTTAGATATGATTAACAGTAATGAATATCATTAGAAACATATTAAAAGATTTAATTCATTTTAAATAATGTTTCCTATTTTGGTTATGTTATTTTTATAATTGTATTCCAAATTTGGATTCAGTAATTTTAAATATAAAAATATTTAAGGTAACTCTTAGAAGGGAACTTATAATCTAAGGTTTAAATAATGAAGGTATAAATAAATATTTGTGTAAATATAATCTTATAATATGTCAATGAATACACATAACTAATGATTATTAAATTATTATTATATGTAAAGAATTCATAAACCAATTACCATATCTTAACCTATACTTCAAAGAATAGAGAGTACTAGATCAGATTGTTCTGTTGATGATGATCTTAGTTTTATTGAATCTCTTAGAGCTGAAGCTCAAAATCCTATGATTAAGAATTTTATGGGTTTGGATAGCCTTGTTGATGATACAAAAGATTTAGAAGAATTCCTTAATTCACTTGATTGAAACCAATTATGACAGGGAAAATGCTAAGGAGGCATCACCTTGTTTTTGACTGATTATAATAAAACATAAACTCAAAAACATTCTTCAAAATCTTTCTAAAAAACTTCAAACAAATTATTCCTTATGAAGAAGAATCAATAGATTATAAATTATCTATTTTAATATTCAATGAATAACTCTAAGCTCTACTTAATCATAATACAAACTTTTTTTGTAATTCAAAGATCCTTCTAATATTTGAATCCAAAAGAATAAGAACATTTATTCCTTGAATCCTTATCATTATCTATTATGAACTCCAAGAAACTATATTAGTTCTCTGTTATTCATCATAAATTGATATATATTGAAAATGATGCATACGTTTTTTGACAATTTATTTCAATAATTATCTCAGAGAGATCAATACCTAATTTTAACTTTTCAAGGATTTCAAGTAATATTAATTAAAAGTATTAGAGAAACTTAGAACTCTACATTTTCTAGAGAATTCTTTACTATTATATTTTTATAATTAAAAAATTACCATTTAAAATATAAAAAATTTTAAAAATAAATTTCTGAATGGCATAGATCATCTATTTGAAAGATGATTAAAGTAATTCTTATAGTTTAATATTCATATATAATAATGATGTATAATATATAATTCGATAATCAATCTTAATAATCATCATCTACCAATGAGGAAGTCTTATATTAGGTTTCCTATTTAACAGTTTAATCATCTTTTTCTTCTTATTTGATTAATCCAATTTTTTCTCCATCTTTTTCAAGACAAATCTATTTTTTAACAAATTTAGGTTTGACAATAGATTGAATTTATTTTGGTTATGATTAGACAACAACTTATTTAAGATGCTAAGTAACACTTTGCATAGTTTTATCACTAATAATGAATTATTAAAATTACTCTTTATCATTAGTATCAGACAATCGCTTAACTTTGAATTATTCTTTATATTCTTTTGATTTTTCCCATTCTTCTTATAATTCAAGAGCATCTAAATCATAAAAGAGTTATTTAAGTAACATATCAGGAGTAAATTAAGTTTATCTTTTATTGAGTTAATGAGTATCATCAATAGCATCAAGAATGTCCATTTCTTTTTTTGAATCATGTGTTTTATTTTCTAAAAATTTCATGGAATCTCCTTATTCTTCATTGGCTCTCATTTATTTAAGAACTTCTTCAGCTGCTTTTGCATCTCTATATGGATCATAATTTCTAGTTCCTCCGCCCTCAACAATATAATCATGATTTCTAGGATCAGTTTTAAATGTAATTTCAGCATAACAATAACTAATATAGAATTCTAATTGAATACGTGCATTTAAAGTAAAATCTATGAATTAGAATTCCCAAATAGTTTTCTGTCCATACAGTCTCTTTTCTCATATTGAATTTAGTTCCAATATAGAGATAATTACCACAATGATTACATTTAACAGTCATTGGAAGCATATTTCGAACATTATCTTATTTACCTTTTGGACGATGATTATTTGGTAATAACTTTGGATCAAAATCAGGAGGATAATATTTAACTAAAACTTTTCTTTCTGCCATTAAATAATAATAATTAATGATAGAGATCAATAAAATTAGTAAGATAACATAAGGTGATTCTTCTTAGAATAAACTAAATTAGAATTAAATGAATAATTCACTTAAGAGTAATAATGATGAAGAGTAGAAGAACTTTTTAAAATTATAAGCAATACTATAATAATCAAAAACTAAAAATGATAAAAACATAAAATCTAATACAATTAATAAAAGTTCATAAAAAGGTATTCCTGAATTAAAAATAAAAGACCACAATGGGTCGAAGCAAAATAATAATGTGATAATTAAGAAAAATGATGAATAGAAAAAATAAATAAAAGACCTTGTTTAAAAATAAAAAGATGATAATAAACATCATCAATAATCAGATATAAGCAAATTTGAAAAAATAAAAAAGCATATTAAAATTAATAATTCCACTTCTATACAATAAGTAACAAAATAGAAAGAAGATAAAGATTCTTCTTATTAGCCTTTGAAAATAAATAGGTCTGTAACGAAGATAGAAGGGGTAATTTAAAAAGATGAATAAGAAATAAAAGAGAATTTTAATGATATAATAATTTAAAAGAAAAATCCTCAGAATAATATATAAAAGTAAGATGCAATAAAGAAAGATTAGAAGTAAGAGGTGACACAGAAGTAGTAAATAGATTAATCAAAGAAGATTTAATCTTAAATGGTAGGATAGTAACTAATAAGTAGTAGTAAAGATGTAGGAAATCAAAAATTAATAGAATTATTAAATTCAACTAATTAAAATAAGAAGAAACAAAATAATAAAGAGAAACAGAAGTAAGAATAATAGAAGATGAAGGAATAGAATAAATAGATGAATAATTCTTTAAAAAAGGATAAAATAAAAGAGTTGTAAAATTAAAAATAAAAACCCTTTTCAATAAAACCTTAGATAAAAGATTTAAGTATTTAGAAATAGAATAAGTAAAAGAATTAAGTAAATGATGATTATGATTTGAATGATTCATTTATAAATGATTCAGATAGCGTGGATATGGAAGAGTTTGATCCAAATGAAGTGGTAACAGAATTGAAGAAGTTGTAAAGGTATTTTTTTAAGTTTAAGAGAGTAGAAAGAAGGAGAGAAGAAAGTAAAGTGATGAAGATGATGATATAGAGGAAGTAGGTTTCGCTGTAATGTAAATAGAGGAAAAGAAGTCTAGAGTTATTGGTATAATAGATGATTACAGAGAAGAGAAATATATTAAGAAAGAAATAAAAAGAGAAAAGAAATAAAAGAAAAAGTTGATGGAAATAAAAAGTAAATAGGATAATAAAATAAATGAAACGTAGTAGTAGTGATTGTTGTAGATTATATTTTTATAATGATATAAATAATAAATACGGATTATTTAGCATGATAAATATAATAAAAAATTGTTCATCATTTAGTTATTGCTTTGACAATATCCATAACAAATTCTGGTTTTCTACCTACAACTTTAGGAGATCCAAAGATGTCATCATCATCTCTTTCTTCAAACGACATGACATAGACATGAGTTTGGTTTCTAAGGAAAATGAGATTAATAATTACTATTAATTGAAAATCATATTTCCCTTGTGTCCTCCAATTATCCATAATTCATTTCCATTACCCATTGTATCTGCAGCACAATAACATCTTGGAATCGGGATAGTTCCATGTATTTTAGGTTTTGTCCTTAAATGTTAGATAAAATAAAATACCAAAGCAAGGTTTCTGGATTGAAATGATAGAGATCTCCGAGAATGTCATTTGAATGTTCACCTCTTCCACCATAGATAAATAAATGACCAGCTAAAGCACTTCCCAAATGTCCATGTCTTGGAGATGGTGGTTCTCCTTTCATAATTGGAGTTAAGTTAGCCCAACTAGCTTCTTTTGAGAAATCTAAAATCCATAAATCATTAAAATTTGGGGTATAATGTCCTTCAGGTAAAGATTATCCTCCAAATACATAAAGTTTATCTTTAATTTAAGTAGCTGAATGTGCAGATCTAGGAGGTGGTTTAAGAGCATGTTCATCAAGATCATAACTATTTATAATAATAATAATAAATACTGTGTCCACATCATTGTAGTTAAATCAAGGCAATAAAGATCATTATAAATTTTTTAGACTTCAAGATCATGACTACAATAATATCCACCAAAGTATATAAGTGATTGATAATTGGATAGCAAAGTAAGAGAAGCTTTCTCTCTAGGAGAAGGTAATTATCCTTTTGGTTTGCTTTGAATCCATGTTTTAGATGTAGTGTTATAAACATAATAATCATCAAAGATTTTATCAGAGTTGAGTCCTCCATAATAGATTATTTTATTGCCATATTTAATTGCACTAGATGTATATTATATTTTAGATACTTATGAAATGCTCTTGGATCTGGAATAGGTCCTTTAGTATCTTCTATAATTCTGAGTTCTTTAGTTCTAGGATTAAGAATATGAAGATCGTTTTTAAAGTTATGACCTGTTCCTCTTCCACCAAAGATATAAAATTCATTTCCAATTCCTGTCATAGTCAAACCATGAATTCTTTCATATTTCTTTTGTATTTAATATTGTGTAAAATAAACATTGTCATAATTTTATGGATGATAATGCTATTATTTCCTATTCACATGAAGTATATTATTTTTAGATGAGTAATTATTATCTATTGTAGGTAAGGTTTCATCATAAACATATTATCCAGCAATAAGAAATTTATATTAATATGAACCAGGAGCAAGATGTAAATATGCATAATTAATGTATTTTTTAGCGAAACCTAAAAATTTCCTATTTAATTTAATTGGTTGTTTCCATTCATCCCAAGAACCCATAACAAACATTTCATTCCAATCAAGATATGTACGCACCTTTACTTTCATTAAGTCTTACTATAATTCATAAGCTTCTCTTTACTTTATAGTTTTATCTAAATTTAAAATCTTCATCTGAATGTGGCTCTTGATCATCAGAACTGTCAACTTAAATCAACTTTCTTGGAACAACCTCTAACTATAAATTAATTATGTTATCTTAATACCCAATTATTATAAGTCCCAAAATTATTATCAATAACATCTGTATTTGGATCATGCTTCCAAACACCATCAACATTAAATTTATATTAATGTACACCTGGAGGTAATGGTGGATTAATCTCTGCTTATAAGAAACTATTGTATTACAATATAATTTACAAAGGAGGCTACTTTGATTTCATCATTGGATACCCTACTTAAAAATGACTCCATGATCCATACAGTATTACTACATTACCTTCATATTTCCATTCTATCACTGTAGAGTTTACTGCACATTCCTAATCTTCGTGAAGATTACCACATTATTTGCAATAACTTGATAGCATATTAAATTATTGCTAATATAATTAATTGTATTCACTAAAATAATAGGCATATGTATTGAATTATTAAAATTATTTAATTTTGTTAGTTTATTTTTATATATAATCAATCTCAGATCATTTATATAGAACTTACCATGTAATTATTCTATTATATTATGTATGTATAATCATCTCAATATATAATTAACATTATCAGAAATAATTACAATCAATATTTAATTTGAATTTAGGATAATACCGCGTATTTAATTATCCTAAAAATAAAAGCGAGGGTGAATTTTAAATTCAATAAATAAAATGGAGAAGAAGTTTGTTATAGTCTCTCTAGAAGGAAATGTTGGCGCTGGTAAATCTACTTTATTTGAAATCTTGAGATAAGAATTTCCTAAAGCTATTTTCTTAATGGAACCTTTAGAATAATGGTAAAAAGTACATGGTAACCCTAACCTAAACATCCTGGAGAAGTACTATTCTGATATTTAACGTTGGGGATTTACTTTTTAAATTTATGCTTATCAATCAAGATTGATGGCATGGGATAGATAATTACATGCTGTTTTAAAATAATAAAAATTATAACAGATTGATAATAATTAGTTCTCTTCTCCATCTACAAATGCTGATGATGATGAACCTATCTTAGTATTTACTGAGAGAAGTATTGAAAGTGCTAGAGAATTATTTTTCAAATTATGTTATAATGATGGAACAATCAATGAACTTGAATATCATATTTATGAAGAGTTTTATGAATGGTTAATGGAACATTATAAATAATATTTAGTTGATTGTGTTATTTATGTTAATACTCCACCTGAAATGTGTTTAGAACGATTAACACGTAGAGGAAGATAAGAAGAAGCTTGTGTTCCTTTTGATTATTTGAAAAAATTACATTAAAGACATGAAGATTGGTTATCTGATAATACTAATAAATTTAAAATCATCAATATTGATGCTACCTAAAATTATGTTAAGGATTTAAAAGTAAGAGAAGCCGTTCGTAGATAATTAATTGATGAAATATCCACTTTGATTGATTGATTAATAAAGTATACTAATTATCAAACATTTATTTATTTTAAATTTACATGAAGAAAATTATTTAAGAGAACTTATCTATAGAAGAAGCTAAAACTCTTTGGAAATATCTTGATGATGCCTGTTATCTTATTGCTGAACATTAAAGTATTTCAAAATAATTATATTTACTAGCTAAGTAACTATCCTATTAGGAATTGTATTAACATGCTTACAAATTGATTCTCAATAAGTTTGGAGACCTTGCCTATACTAATTTGTAAATCTCTATTCAAAATATTGTTGAAAAACTTACTTATCCCCTTAGTATTAGTAATGATGATTAATTATTAAATGATTTCGTTAAAGCCTATGAAGAAGTTCAACATTTTAGTAAATTATTAGCTGGTATATTACTTTACATGGTATTTTCATATTAAATTATTCTCTAGGAAAAAACATATATACTCTAGAAATCTCTTAAAACTATCAAGACTATTTGTAATGAAAGTTTTAAATCTAAATGTTTCGAAAAAGATCAAAATCTAGCAACAAAATTACTCAATTGTTTCCTTACTCAAATGCGCAATGATAGAAATTCTTAAGTTATAGAACATTTTAAATTAAAAAATGCATTATAAATACTAGTAAATATTTTAGTTCACTCTAGATTGACATCAATCAAGAACAGCAAATTAAAAACAAAGAATATAACTACACTATTGATTACAGAACTAATGAAGATTTCTATAAATATTTTCTAGAACGAAAACTAATTCAAGATTCAAACCGCTATTTTAAAGATGAGAGCTAATTAAATATTAGCAAAATGACTATTGAAGAATATATTCTTTTTGTTGAAAAAAGATATAAGAATGAAGTCGAAAGAGTTGAAAGTTGCATTCCTAAAGTTTCACATCAAAAAGTCTTAGATAGTTTTATCAAAAATTATATTACCTACAATGCAACATAAATCTCTTAAGGCATCTAAGATTTTATTGAAAATGAAAAAACAACTGTTTTAATAAAGTTATTCTAATTATTTGTAAAAAGTGAAGAATTTGATTTATTTATAAAAACTTTATCGTAGATCATTGTTGTCGATTTACAATTACTAAATTAGAATGATAATACTCTTTAAGGATTCATAAAATTATATGAAAAGATATTCTCTTTGTATGATAAAATAGCATAATATGGAAGTAATGAACATCAATATAAATTACACAAAGCAATAAAAAGTAATATTAAAATTTTTAACATTAGATACTTTTGAGTAAGTAATTAATAAAGATACTTATATAATGTTTGAATTGAATAAGTACTTTGATTACATAATGAGGAAAGAGACATTAAGAGATGATGAAAAAAAGGTACTAATTGATAAAGGATTCCTAATATTTAAATTAGTATAATCGAAAGACGAATTCGAATAAATTTATAGAAAATATCTATGTCATAGATTATTAGATCAAGCTTATTGTTCTTTGGAAATAGAAAATGAGCTAATTAAGAAATTAAGATTAGAATGTGGCTCAGTTTTAACACACAAGATGGAAATCATGTTTAGTGATTTATAGAGAAGCAGTGAAGATAGTTAAAAGTTTAGACAGATATTATCGTAAAGTTAAAAAGATGCAATTGACTTAGACATTTTAGTTTTAACTTCTGAATAATGGCCTATTTCAGAACCTTAATCAATTATAGTCCATTAAGAATTTCAATTTTGGCAATAAAAATTCATCTAATATTATTAATCTAAGAATTCAAAGAGAAAATTAACATTCAATTTTGGATTAGGTTCTGTAAATTTAAAAGCCACTTTTGATTAAAATTGCAAAAAGGATTTTGTATGTTCTGTTTTATAAGCTACAATTTTGATGTATTTTAATAAACAACGTGTATATAAAGTCGATGAATTAATTAAATTAACCAATACTGACAAAGAAATCATGTAAAATGAATTGGAAAATCTGTTATAATTAAAATTATTAATTTAAAATGAGGATGAAAATACTTTACAATTAAATTATAAATTTCAACATCGAAGTTATAAAATCAAGGTGTAACAAAAAAAACCACAAGCTTGGGCTTTAGGTTCAAAAACAAAAGTTAAATAGTAGGAATTTTAAATAGATTAAAAAGAGATAGTAATAGATAGAAAAGTATATTTGGAATCTTTGATAGTAAGAGTACTTAAGACTAAAAAGTAATTAGATCATAAAGATTTATTCAAATATATTGACAAAGATGCTAAAAGTAGACATTTTCCAATTGAAATACCTTTCTTTAAAGAATGCATAGAAAATTTAATTCAAAAAGAATATTTAATCAGATAAGAAGGTTAATTAGATACATATATCTATAAAGCATGATTAATGTCATTTATAAATTAATATAAAATTGCTCTATAATTACTAATAAAATGAGTAATAATACATTTATTTGAGATAAATTTTAATTTACATCTATTTATTTCTTTTTTCTTAATTCTTTTAAAGGGGCATTAAGAGAACGGTTGTTCAGAGTTGAAGTAATATTAATTGAAAACATATAATTTTTAATATTGTATATTGTTGGATCCTTTAAATAGAAATAAATAAATGGAATCTATTGAAAAAATAAACTATTATTTTAGTTAAATTTTTGTAATTCAGAAATGAAAATTAATATAGAATTAATATATCAGAGTAAAAATAACAATAATTAGTAATTTATATATATATACATATAAGTTGGTTCATTATATGTTACAGGCTATGTATTCATCTGTTTTTCTTGCCTTATTTTTCTAGAAATTATTTTAACATTCTTTAAAGATTAATTCAAATTCTGTATTATTATTATCTTTTAAACTAGTATTTGTAACTTGAGTTGTTTAAGTTTGTTTTGCATCAAAACTATAATTGATGTCTTTAAATTTTTGAACTTTAACATATTTCTTTTAAGGAGAACTAAATTTTGATTATGGTAGGCTATTATGCATAACCAATAAAGAATCTTGTAACTATTACCTCTCTTTATTTGGAGTATCGATATTTTATAAACTCTTCTCTTAACTAAATTTAGAGTAAATCTTCATTTCATTTTATGTAGGTAATTAAGTATTCTATCCAAAATCAGCTGAAATATTGCATACTGGATCTTTATTAAGTTATTATGATTCAGCAAATGAAAATGTTCTTTTTTTTGGTGCTTATTTTATAGTTGATTAAAGTTCGTCATGTTTTGGAGATTGAATATAAGAACTAAAGATATTTGAGTATTTATTTTCAGTTATGCTTTAAAAATATTCAGGTGGAACAATATTATAAATTGGATTCTAACTAATGTAAATACTAAATTATAATACAATTATGTATTATCATAGGATGCAGATGACTAATGTGTATCAATTCTTAAAGCATCATTGAATAGTGTTTTAGATTCTTTTAAATTACAAACATATTCCTCAATTTTTAGCATTTATCAGTTAAAAAAAAAAAATCGATTATATTCAAAAAGAATGATGAGATTTTATATATAATAATAATAATATATATTAAATACATAACAATCAATAATGACATCTATAAAAGCAGTTTTAATTATTAGAGTAGCCGATCATTAATTGCTCTTTTCTAAATCATATAACAAGAAGAACGTAAAATAAAATTTGAAAATATTTAGATTGATTAAGATTATCAAATAATTTTAGAACATATGTCATAAATAAACCCAAGAGCAGAAGAAAGAGTTACTCTCAAAACTGCTAATGGAGTTTGGAGATATAAACTTGATGATAACAAAATAGCTTATGCGTGTATCTATTCTTTTCTACATTAGTACTTTCTACTGAAAGTTATCCTGATAGATAAATTCATGCAATGATTAGAGTAAAATATATTCTTAATTTTAAGGAAATTGAAAAAGAATTAAAAAAAATGCCTGAGTATTTTGATTCTTAACCAAATGATGTTGAAAAATATGCTAAAATATGGATGAAGTAATTACATGAGAAATATGATAATCTTGCTGGAGTTGATAAAGTATAATATTTATATACAAATAATAAGGTATATGCAGCTTAATAGAATGTGGAATAAGTACAAATAGTTATGGAAGAAAATATACATAAAATGATAAATAATGGTTAACAACTTGATGTAATAATTTAAAAAAAATCTACTTATAGAATTTAGATGAAAAAGCAGAATAAATGAGAGTTTAATCAAAACAATTTCATCAACAATCACATGAACTTGCTAAAATCATGTATTGGAGGAACATGAAACTTAAAATTCTTATTGGTCTAATTGTTTTAGCCGTACTCCTTTATATTATTGTCCCATTAGCTATAAATGCTTCAAATTGAATTATTATTTTTGTATCAATATAAAATCTAATGGTTATTATTATAGAGATTGTATATCATTAAATTACTCACTTTTAATCTTTTATATCAAAAAATATCATTTATGATCCCCAATGATTAATTTAAATATATATATGAATTTATCTTATTTCATTATAAATACATAAATCCTTAGAATACCTATGACAATAATAATAAGAAATTCTTATACTAGAAAAAATAATCAAAAAATATCTGATACCTAAAACTAAATAAAAAATTGAAACAGAACTATGTATCTCATGAAAAAAAACTTTAAATGGGGTATAAATAAAAGTTCCTTCAACTTTAAAGGAACTCTTATAAAGTCAAAAAATTAATGAAAAAGCTACAAGAAAAGAGCGCTGTTTGAATATAAGAAATACCTTGAATTTTATTACAATTTTTGAATTAGAAAAAAAATTTTTAGAGAAAATAAAATAATTTCAGAAGAGTTAAGTTATGTTGATAATCCCTCAATTAGTTAGAAGAATTATAAAAAAAAGAAATTTGAAATTATATAAATAAAAAATAGATAATTTATAAAAGAAAACATTTAGAACAACAGTAAAAAATAACTTAACTCAGTTTATAATTGAAAGTAAAAGAGTAAAATGACTAATGAATGTAATAATTAGAATAATACATTTCTGATTATATAAAAAATATTAGTGATTTAAAAAGTTTAACCGAATCTTTATAAAATAAAGGGTATATATTAATAACAATAAAAATAAAAACAAAAGAAAACTTAAAAATTTTTAAATCAAATTTTAAAAAATTCGAAACAAGATTGAGATATTTAAAATAGCTGACCAATTTTTTGAAAAAGAATTAAATATGACAGAAAATTAAAACCAAATAACTAACATATCATTCTGAAATTTATTATCTCTCTAAAAAAAATAGTTTTTTAAAATAACTATTTATTTAAATTTTTGATCTACTTCTTAAATATAATAAGGCTGTTCATGTAGATATAAAAGAAGAAAATAAAATTTCATTTTTTAAATATTGTGGTCTATAAATGGAAAAAAAAGCTACCGTAATTTAGGGTAGGAGTGATTTTATAATAAGTTCGCATTGTTACACAAGCATAATACCTAGCCCAAATATTAATAATTCCTGTCGATTCTGACCAAAAATAATGATTATTTTATGTTTCCTTAGCTGCTTTAAGAATTAAAGAAATATAGTTATTAAATTCATTCATTTCTATTGAAAATGGAGTTTATTTTTTTTCATCCTTAAAATAAGTAAAATTTTTAAAATTTACTCAGAGCTCATTATAAAAGATTCTAAATAATAATTATTTTATTATAAACATTTTATTTGTTGAAAAATAATCTTATAGTTTTTTCAAACGATAAATGCCATTTAAATTATTTTTGCCTTAATAAATTAATTTGTTTCTTAATCAAGGAAACAATCTTTTATTTGTTAAATAACTTTCTTTTACTCTTATAAATCTCTGAAATATAGTTCTCAATATTCTATAAAGCTGAATCTTTAATCATAGATTTGAATTTTCGTTAAAATAATTTTTAAGTGTTGTATTAAACATAAATAAAAGAAAGTAATTTTTTCCTAAATTTGAAATAAGATGAAAGAAATGGTCCCAAAGATTTTAATCTAGGCAAAGTTAAAACTTTGGAGCTTACATTTATTTTTAGAACACATTTTATGCTAATTTAATAGTTGATGCTTTTAAACTCTTTGTATATTATTCTAAACTTTTTAATGAAGAGATTCAGGTTTCAAAAATTCTTAACATTAAGTATCATTTTTGAATAATTCTCTTAAGAAATGGAAATTCAAATCGAGGTATCCTTAAAAATATCTTTCCCAAGCATCTTCATTTTAAGAAATTTCATCTTGAACCTTATTTGGTTTTCGTTAAAATTAAAGAAACCCAAAGTATAAATCATTTCTATTTTATAACAAATAATGAATTGGAGTGAATGTATTTTTATTGCTGCTATCCCTTAGTTTAAATCAAGAATAAAATACACAACCCTTTTTTGGTCTTTTTTAAATAATTATAAAGGTTTAAAAGATGATAGATTGTCAATAATTCATTTTTATTATCATTAAATCCTGGACAATCAAAAAAATGTATATTATCTAATAATTCTCCTTTTATAATAGTGATTTAACTAACAAACCCTTCTCAAATTTAAAATTTGGATTAAAATCCTTATTTTACTGTTTAATTATCTTAGGTAGATCAGGATTATTACTATAGTTATTTTTGGTTTGGTTATCAATTATCTTATTGAAATATTCTAAGATTAAAGGATAGATAAGATCTTTTTACATTTTGCAGAATAATAAGTGATTAAAAAAGTATAATCCTCAATATATAATTTAAAAAGATGATTTTAATGTTATGGAGTATAATAATTAATGGATGAATTAGTTAATTGAATTAATAAAAAATACTAATACATAAATTATTTAATTGAATTAATAATAAATATATTTTCATTCTTTTTTGAATTCATAAACAGATGAAAGTAGTTTTTATTCTCTAGATCTCTCTACTTTTTCTCTTTATAATCTTTCTTTTCTTAATTTTTCTCTTTCATATTATTTTTGCTTCTTTCTTTTTTCCTCCAATTCTGAATCATCACTACCCAATAATTCTCTAAGTTATTCTCCAAGTTTCTATAATTTTTTCTATTTTTTCTTTTAAGCTTTAATTTCAGCTTTATCTTTAATTATTTCTTCCTTCTTTTCTTTATTTATATCTTCTTCTTTCTTAGCTTCTATTTATGAAATTAAAGTTTCTTCTTAATATTTTTTACTCAAATCCAATATCTGATAATAACTATCTTTTTTCTCTTTGAATGATTACAATTATTATTTAACATTTTGTTGTAATTAAGTTTATTATTAATTTTATCTTTATTGTATATACCATGGTTTAACTTAATCATATTATCCTAAGAATTTAGTACTCAAATCAAATGGCTTATCTTTAAAGAATTCTTTCTCTAATTCAATTTTAGCTTATGTATTTTCTTTTTAAATAAGATATTTTTCTTCCTCCTTAAATAAATTAATATGTTATTAGGCTTCCAAAATTTCTCTTAATTCAGCATCTAAATTAAAATATATATAAGTTATACTGATTTTAGATTCAGGTTATTTTTTTTAACTTTAACTTCTACTTCTACTTTTACTATTACTTTAACTAGCACTTCTACTAGGAGTATGAGATGCATCTCTTCTTTTCTACTTTAACTTTTGTATTCTATTTTAAGCTTATTCTTTATGTTCCTTTCTTTTTTCCTTTTAAATTCTTTCTCTATCTTTCCTTTTATCTCTTTCTACTATATTTCTATTCTCCATATTATAGACATTCCATTTTTTCTAAGGTAGAATGTTTAATCCTCCATGACCTCCCATTTTTATATAAATATATATAAATTATAATTTTAAGTATCAATTATTATCATCTTCATACATCTCATCATAAAGTCCATCATATGAATTCACTCCTGGCATTAATCGAGATTATATTTCCTTCTCTCTATATTTCTTAGACTTTGATGCATTCTCAGGTCCTGTCATTCTGCTTAAATAATACATCACTTTTGTAGTAATTTCTATTTTCTTCTCTTTTTCTGATTCTCTAGTTATCGTTTATTAATTAGAACAACTCGAATCTTAATGTTATAATGATGGTAATCTCACCCTTATTTTTGGTCTCATTAATTCCATCAATAAATCTTCTGATTTCTCTTATGCTTTAAAAGGTTACAATTATTTTGCTTTATATTTTGTTGGTACTCTATAAATATTTGCAAATTGATGTTCTTTCTTTGGAATTGATCGAGAATATTAAGGAGAATTCAAAACGCTTAATAATATAGGGTTCATTTTTTATAACTTAATAGTAATACTAATTACTAATACTACTATAACGAATATTAATACTACTAATAATACCATTACTATTACTAATACTAATATATTCAAAAATCAAAGATCAAACTTTTTCTTTTAAATTTATTTTTACATCTTACTTATTATTATTTCCATTTTAAATACATCCTAATTATGTTTAATCATTTAAATCAAATAATTATTAATTATAATCTTTCTTTGAACTTATTTATCAATTCTCAATTCTATCATATAAATAAATCCATTTGCATCTTAAATATTCATATTTCAATTACCTTTAAAAATGAGTGACTCTTAAATTAAAAAGAAATCTGTTATACTGTAAAATCAATTCTATGAGCAACCTTATTTGAATAACAATCAACTATATAACACTCTCTGTCGGATTAAAATAATAAATATTAGATTTCATCTTCTTTTTTTAAATTTCTAAACTAAAATGAAAATTATTCAATATTATCCTTTTTAAATTCATTAAATTATAGAGATGCAATTTCTTATCCTTTTTTGCACAGTCCAAAATTCTTTCTTGATTCATTAATTGCAATACATATTACAGGATTTCCACATTTGAATATATTTAAAACAGTTCTTTGTTTATTTCTCCATCCTTTCATGCAGTAAATAGAAAATTTCAATGACTAGCCATCTAACCTATTTTTCAATTATATTATTCTAATCAAGCAAGTTTAATTCTCCTTCTAATATCATATACCTTTATCAATTCTTTAGAACCTCCAATAAATAAATATCATCCATTTTGATATATTGCTTTTATTAAAGACTCAATTTTTTAATTAATAATTCTTTTGATGTTGGATATTAATCTATAAAGATGAAAACTGATCATTCAATAAAAAACCTAACAATTTTCTATCATATGTCTACACATTAATATTAATTTCCATTTTAATTTATTTATTTATAAATAGATTATTCATAATATTTTATTATTCTCTTCGAATCTCTTTATAAAATTGATAAATAGAAATAATAAAAATTAGATTATAATTTATTATTACTAATCTTACTCTAATTAAATATACTATTATAATTTATATTGAGAAATACTGGATCAATAGATTAGTAACACTACATTTGATAATATGATTTATAAATAATTGAAAGTCTTTCTGAAATCATTATTATTTAAAGTATGTTCTTAAAATCTTTGATTTTTATTTTACTTTGTAAATCAATTTAAATAACCTATATTCTATGCATAACCATTCATATAATTTCATTTATTAATTTAAATAATAAACTAAGTTTTTATGTTTATTTAGTTTTCTTCTATACTTATAAATATTTGTTTTTATATAACGAACACATTCAAATTATTAAAATAAATTTAAATAATTAGTATTGATGGACACTAGATAATCAGAACACTCTAGAGGCAAGTCATAGACTTAAATCAAATTACGTAATCCATTCGAACTACTTATAAGTAATATTACTTTTAATATATAGAAATAATCAGATTACCAAATGTTTGTAATAAATGTGGACATATTACTAGAATGAAAGAAATATCAGATATTCTCGAATAATTTGATACAATGACATCTTAATAAATTGATACAATTAATGAAAAACTAATTCAAAAATCAAACTAAATTTTAGCTGCAAGACAACAATTAGTAAAAGATACAAAAAATGAACTCTAATAATCATTGCAATAACTTATTTAAGTAAGATAGAGTATGGGTTCATCTTTTAATTTTGAAGACAAAGAAAAGTGTTTAGAGCGTGTTTGTGAAGTAATAATCAATTAATATGCATTTTTAGGATATTTTTTGTAATGTTTAAGAATAGATTGAAATCTAAAATTCTCTCTCTGAACTCAATGCTATTATTTAAGAATAATATTAAAAATTTCATCAGTTTCCAAATGAAATTACTGAGATGAATAAATTAGAATATCATGATAATCTTGAAATTAGAGAGAGATTAGATGGAGCTTTGAGAATAAATTAAAGTCATAAAGATATTTTAAAGGAGATCTTGATTAAAATCGGTGAAGAAAATAAGAGTTATACATTTGATATCTAATTACAATTTCGATAGTAGTAATTAGAAATGTTAAATCTTTTATAATGTAATTAAGAATAAATTAAAGAAATTGAAAGACTTGAAGATGAATTAAATGATAAAAAATTAGAATTATAAAAATATGCTATTTTGTTTAGTTAATTTGAAAAGTAAAGTTTTATATTAATTTATTTTAGCCCATTTAAATCAAATAAAATAAGTTCTGAAGAAAGTAGTGCTAGTAATTTTTAATGCATTTAGAAGGAGATCATTTAATAACCATCAATTTAATAAAGTCGTAATGTATTTTAAGACATTAAAAATATTTAATCAAAAAGATTTTCTTAACCTTCTGTAAATGAAAATAATAATATATGCACTTTTCAATCAGAATAATTCTATTCTATAGATTAATCTCATGGAAATTTAAATTAAGAATCATCATAAAAATCATCATAAAATAATAGCAAGTAAATTGAAAACTCAGTTGTAATAAATTAGAGATATGGAAATAGTATATCAAATAAATTTAATAACTCAAAAGCAACTAGCCTAATATCTTAAATAAATTCTTAATAAAATAATATCCCTATTTAAATTATTCCAAACTCTACTAAAAAAATTAGAAATTCTGTTGATACTAATCCTATGATGTCCTAAGAAAGTTTTGAAAATGAAAATTAAAACGATGAAAATTCCCCAAAAATCACTCCTACAAGCAAAACACTACTCTCAAAAGTTCCACCACTTCCAATTGGTAGATAATTAGAGCTTGATTGAATTTTATTCTTAAATTTTATATTTTGATAGCATATTTTTAGTATTAGAGGAATTTTTTGATTTATTTATACAAATTTTTCATAAAAATAAAATAATATTTTTATTATATTTATATTTTTTATAATTCTATCAATGCAAAATTGGAAATTAAAATATAAAACTAAAGGTGGCAATTTAATAGATGATTAATTTTAAAACACAATTGATGCAATTAGAATGTAAGATAATTTATAAGTTTGCTTAATGAAAATACCTAAGATAAATGATTCTTATCATTTTTCTATTATGGAATTAATTCAAAGTTAGAGATATGATAATTTAGTCAATGTCTTGGAAATTTTTGATGAAAATGATTATGCAATTGTTGTTTTGGAATAATGCAGCAATAATTTATTACATTATTTTTAAATTAACAATTATAACTTTACAACTGAATAGATATTTTCATTTATTAAATAGATAACTAAAGGTTATTAATAACTAATAGAAATGTGGGTTCTTCATAGAGATTTAAAACCAGAAAATATTTTTTATATCTAAAGAAATTAGGATATTATATTCAAAGTAAGATTGAAAAAAATAAAAATAGATTGGTGGATATAAATTTGCTAAATTGTTAGATGATCGAGATTAGCCAATTGATGAACATACTTAACTTTATAGTGGGGATGGCTATTGGGCTCCTGAAGCCTGCACAATTAACTATAGTTATAATGCAGATATATTTTCAGTAATAAATATTCATTCACAATTTAGTTTGGATTAATAATACTTCAAATGGCAACAAAAATATAAATTTAGAATATTTAATAACTAAAATAATAAAATTTATTGAACATATGCAAATTAGATAAAATGGATGATAATTTAAAATAATTATTATGTCAGATGATTGTTTATGATCATACAAAAAGATTAAATTGGTCAACTTTGGTAAAATAACTATTTTATACTCCCTAAATCTAAACAACAAAAACAACAAATAAATAATTTGAATTAGGAATCTGTTTAGAAAATGGGTAACCCTGCTATATCAAAATTATTTAAAAATAAATAAAAGATTGTTAGTATTATTTAGCAAATGCAAAAGCAGAACTGGATAATAATCGGTTGTTAAAAGGAATTAATCACCCTAACATCGTAAAAATATATGAAATTTTACATGAACCTGAAAATTCTTGTATTTATTTAATAATGGAACAATGTTAAGGAAGTTTAATGGATCTGTTATAAAATAAAAGTTTCTCATTTGAAGCAATTCTGGATTTGATTGTTTAAATAAATACTGGCTATAAATATTTGGAAGAAAAGAACATTATTCATAGAGATATTAAACCTGAAAATATTTTATATTAATAAACACTTTAAAATAAAATTTAATATAAGGTAGATTTATTTATTTTAAAATAGATTGCTGATTTTGGAATTAGTCGTCGAACTGATAAAGCTTGTACAAAATGTGGTACAATAATATATTCTGCCCCAGAAATTGATGGAAATCATCTTTATACAAATAAATGTGATATCTTCTCAGTAATTCTGAATAATTATTTTTTAGTTAGGTATCCTTCTATATTATGTTACTACAAAAAATTATCCATTCGATATAAATGATAAAACAGGAAAGACAAAATTTTTATAATTATTAAAGGAAAAATAGTCAATCTAGTACATCTATCCAGATAATCTTATACTAGATCCAAGAATTAAAACAATTCTGAATAGAATGATTATTTTTGAGCCTGCGCATAGAATATCTTGGGGAGAATAAATTACCTAATTGGTTTAAACTATCTCACAACCTTAAATACCTTAACCGACTATATAATTTAGACCGCCTATAAAATTTTAACCATCATCATAACCGTCTCCAATTACCTACATGCCATTCCATTCTCAATTTAAATAATAAATTCCAAATAATAATAAAATAAAATACTAAACTCCTCAACAGCAGGTAACTCAAGCACCTTAGAAACCTTAAGTTAAATTACAGAGTCAACCTGATTCTAAGAATAACTCATGCTAAGTTTAATTTATCACTTTTCCTTTTTTTCCTAAGAAACCAATAAGCGTTTAAAATATATTCATTGATAAGGGAGAAACTTAAAGTTAAAAATGACCAAACAATATTATTATAAAAATAATTAAATTAATTGAATAATTTTTATAAAGAAAATTTTATGAAAAAATTAGATATTAAGGTAATTGATAAGCAATTAATGGAAATTTAAATAAATTGAATTTTTACTATAAAAAATTCAGGAAGCACATGGATTTTTCAGTAAATTTTGTTAAAGAAAGTTCTTTTGTGATTATTTTAATAAACTATACAAAAATATATTTATTAATAAAATGTCTGATAACTAATTAACTGACTTGTTACTATATTATGCATATATGGAATAAGAAATAGAGGTTTTGAGGGAAGTACTATGCTCTGAGCCTTATTTCTAACCTTATAGCTTATTCAAATTTATTGATTGTATGAAAGATGAACCAAAAGTACTTTTGATAAATAGTTAGGGATATTTGACAGCATAAGATTTTTCTATTTATTTAAATGAAAGGAAGTTTCCATAAAATTTACCAACTAAAGCTTATATCGAGAATTACAATTAAAATAAAGATCACAAATTAGTATATTCAGAGTAATTGAATAAAAATACATAATAAGGTTTTTGAGAGCAATTTTACCTATATCTAATCCTGAATTAAGAGAAAAGATTACTTAGTAAACACCTTCAGATTAAATGATAATAAGTGAAAGAACTTAATACTTATTTGGAAAATTAATGGAAGCGTATATTTTTATTATACCAATAATTGTAGGGAAATAAAATTAACTATTCAAGCTGAGAATTATAAATAACAGATAGATCCAAATTATTTTGATAAGATTTGTTATTAGAATTTTATATATCATCAAGATTTGTAATGTTACTTCAAATAAAAACATATAAATACTAATTCTCTTGAAATTTAATAAATTTTTAATAGAATTGATTTATTAAATGATGGTAAAATAGACAGAAATGAATGGAATCTATGGATAAATGTTAGACGCTCTGTTTTATAGATAAATTCAAATTCCTACAAATAATCATAGAAATTTAATAATAATAGATATAGCTCAACGAAAAGAAAATAACAGGATCAAACAATGAGTGATTTACTCAGTATATCTAAATAAGGTTTTTATCATTCAACTAAACCTCCTTTGTCAAATATTTCCTATAATACTCCAAAAAAATATTAAAAATAGAAGACTGATCTGAGAGCTTAAATGCATTATTCATTGTTATAAAATAGCAATAAATCATCAAAATAAGATCTAAATTACAAAACAGCTGGTCCTAAAGCAATTACAAGTTTTTATGAAGATGAAATTTAAACACTAAAGAAAACATAATCAGTAGCAAAATATGAAGCATTAGAACCAGTTAATTATTATGTTTAGTTATTTGTAAGTTTGATTTAGTTGATCAAAAAGATTGAACGTCAAAAGATTTTATTGAGCAATCATGATGATTTTTCGTTATATACATCATTTCAAAAATTAGATAAAGGATTTAAAGGAATTTTAATAAAGAGTGATTTAATCTAATTTTGCAAAAACCCATAAGTGATATTAGATCGTTATGGAAAGGATAATAAGATGAGATTTTCAGAATATATTAAATTGATTGAACCGCGAGATCCTCAAGCAGTAGAAATACTTTTAAAAAAAGATTAAAAACATAAGGTACAAATGTTGATACAAACTGAAATATCTTTAAAACTATTATTGGAATTGATTGAATAATTTTAATAGAAGATAAATCAAGCAAAGGATTATTAAAAAAGATAATCATTTGATATTAGTGAAATCTTTTATATGTTAGCTTATGATAGGCAATAAATAACTAATTAAGATGTAAATTATATTAATATATAGATTACTGATTTCTTATAAGCAAATAAATTTTAAACTTTTCCTTTAGATGTTGATTTATTACTGGCCGAATTAGATTTAGATGAGGATGGATAGATAAGTTACAGAGATTTTATTAAAATATTTGGAAAATGATTATAGTATTATAATTATTTATACTAAAATGATGGAGGACTTATTATAAAGTAGAATTCGCAGTCGTAATCATTACTCTCTTCATATGAAATACTAGTCACTCTGCCATTATTAAGGAGGTTAGAACACATTAAAAATACTTTCTCAAAGTCTACAAAAATAATAATAAAGTCAAAAATTAAATCAATTAAATTTACAACGAACTGAGTCTCGTTTCTAATTAATTTAACCTAAGCATATTTAATATATTGGTGTAATCTCTAACTCAATTAAAACAATTAATACAGGTTGTTCTCCAGAAAAGAATTTTGAATCTCCATTAAAAGGAAGACTTAAATAAAGTCGAATACTCAAGACTTCACTTCATAATTCTCGTATAAGTCCTGAAAATAGAATGATTTTTAAATAGCGTTTGAATAAAATTGATGAATCTATTTAATATATTTAAGATAGACATAATTAATTAAATGGAATTAATTCAAATAGTTATAAAAAGATGTGTGAAATGATTAATAAAACTGAATATTTAACTGCAGAACAAAATTAAAGTATTGTAGTTCCTATTATCAAATTAATTAAGTCAGAACCAATTGAAAATAATGAAAATAGTGCCAATCTTGTATAAAAATTGGCAACGTAAACTATATAATGGAGTGAATCTAAAAAAAGATAAAGATCCAAACTTGAATAAAGTGTTTATTACAAGACAAATAAATGGTAAAAAGCAAAATTTTTAATTTTATAAAACTTTTCATCTCGTCACAACAATACATTATATTCTAAAAAATTCATGATTACATAATTGAAAATTCCATATTTAAGACACAATTCAAAATAAATGTTTATGGCTTTAAAATAGAAAAATTATCACTAATTACTTAAACATTTATCCTTTAATAAATGTTTCATTCATGAAGTTGATAATTCTTTGATGACTCCATTACATATATCTTGTTAATAAGGTCTATATGATATAACAAAAATGCTTCTCAGATTTAAGGCTGATGTTAATGCTTTGGACAAGAATAAGAAAACTCCACTTTATTATGCACTTTTTGGTGGTCATACAGAAATAGTGAAAGTAAAAAATTATTTTTAATGTTCAAGATGCTCCTCATTCATGATGCATTTCCTTATTCAGATTCTAATTGCAATTATACTCAATTTTTTCCAAATAAAATAATGAAAGAATTATTTAGAGTGGCCAAAAGAGTATTAAATATTTTTATGACTTTTAGATATTTACACTAATGTTAATTTGTCCAAAAAACAAGAGGAATACTATGAAAGAATATTTAGAAATTAATTTTTTAAATGAATATTCTCTCCCTAAGAATTTGCTTGCTTGAATAATATTTTTTTTAAGAATATATATATATATATAAGCATATTAAATTAACTAATTATTCAACTTAAACTAAGTTTCCTTTGAGCCCAATTTGATAATTTTAGGGTATCATCCCATCTTCATATAATAATTTATTGATACCTAACTTCTTTGGATAAACAATTCAATATGATTATAATAAGACAAATAGAATCTTTTTTAAATAATGTAGCAAGACATGGACCAGCCTTATTAGTAAATCCAGTTTTAAATCCACAATATCCTTCAAAATCTAGCATTCTATTTGTATTCTCCCAAGTCAATTTTATAAGTTTATTCTAATAGAAATAAATAGATTTTTACATTTCTTTAAATAGTAGCTTAATGTTCTTTTTTATTAACTATTTCCATAATTAATGGATCATTAATAATTTACTTACATAAAATGGCTAAATCTTGAGCACTAGAAAAAGATTGATCATTTGATAAACCTAGAAATATTAATAAGAATAACCATGAGGATTATAAAATTAAGTATCATTCATATCAAGTTGTAATGCATATTGATTCATTAAAGAAATAAAAGGTTGAATTCTATATTATAAGGCAATATTAGAAACAGGATCTTTAATAAAGGATGATAAGTTTTCAGCAATTACATTAGCAGCATCATTTCCAGATGGTAACATTAATCCATGTAATAAATCAAATAAAGTAATTCTATCATATGGGTGTAGAAATGCAGAAGTTCCAGAGATTTAAACAGCCTTAAATGTTAAAATGTATACATCATAACTAACATACATAATCTAATATAGATTAATCTTTAGATCTCTAATTAATTATATTGCTACATAGCTTGTCATCAACTTTGTAAGTGAAGCAACCTAGACTCTTTTTTTTGAATTGAAACTCTCTTAATTATTTAATTGATTTACTGTCAAATTTTATCCATTATTACCATTCATAACAATAAAATTTTAAGCTGTCACTAATGGTACTCCATATTTTGAATGAAGATCTGTTTTAGAGAAACTTAATGATCTCTAACTAGATCCTGGTCTATGACGAGAACCACTAGAAGTTCTATTAGGACGATTGCTTTGACTTGATCCTATGCTTCGTACTTGAATCATTGGTTAATCTAAAGCTTTGCTTGACAATCTTTAATTTGGTAGTGGTGGTTTGAACATAAACTATTTACCTTAATAATTTTAATTATTTGAAATTAAACATGCATATTGAAAATCCATTTCTCTCTGTTATACAACCTTAATTTATGCCTTAAAATACTGCACCTTAACCAAATCAATAAAGAAAAGAAATTGGTGATTAAGCTATTTGGACACTCTCATCTGCTAAAACTGGAAATGGAGTTGATCAATTAAGAGATGATAATCCAAATACATTTTGGTAATCTGATGGTACACAACCTCATTACATTACTATTTAATTTCTCAAAAAAATGAGAGTTTAAGAAGTAGCTCTATAGTTAGATTTCAAATAAGATGAAAGTTATACTCCAAATAAATTATCCATCAGAGCAGGAACTAATATTCAAGATATGAAAGTCATTATTTCAATTTATATTAGGAAGTACTTTATATTGAACTCAAAGAACCATATGGATGGTATATATTTCCACTCAAAACTAAACTTCTTAATGGCTTAGAAAAGTAATCAATTATCTCAATTATAAGACCCTATGTGTCAACTATTAATATTCAAGTTGTTGTTTTATAAAATCAGCACAGTGGTAAAGATACTCATATCAGATAAGTAAAAATTTTTGGACCTAGAGAGTAAGATTATTTAAATTTTAATTTTAGGAAGTAGAACTAAGGCTTGAGTTTTCCTGATTTCAAAATGCCAGAAATAACTTAATATGCTTCGATTCGTTGATGATTATTCATTATTATCATTTAATATTTTTTGACTTCAAACTAATTACCTCTATAAATTTATAAAAAATAATGATATCATCTAATTTAAAATCAATTACTTAAACCATATAATTTCTCAATCGTTATTCTTTAAATTATAATGAAAATCAGATAAATAGTTCACTTCCAAAATTAAATGTATTTAAATTAATAATACTTAAAACTTCTTTTCAAGATTGAATTCAATATAATTGAAAAACTCAAATAAATTAAGAATCTAATTGCATATGTTGAATTCTAAAACAATTTATTTATTTTTCTATTTGAATTTGAATTATTTTATGAGAAAGAAAATAATTTTGATTTTATTGTAATTTATATTTATAAACATTTTGAATTATTTAATTATTATAAAAGAAAAATTAAGGTTACCTGATGTTCTTAAAAAGAAAATAAACTTTATAAATCTGTAATTTAAGGATATATTAAATTTAATTATTATAATTAAAAACTGCCATATAAGAATTAAAAAAAAAAAATTTAGTTTTAAAACTAAGAAAAAAGTAATTCCTTAAATTTTTAGATGAGAAAGATAATTAGATATTTTTCTTAATATTCTTGAAAAGAAAGTAAACTATTTAATTAATCTATATTTTTACTTGTTTTACCACTAATAGTACTTTAAAGTATAACAACAATATTCTAACAATAGAAATTGAATTGCTATTTCAAAATTTAAATAAAATTCTTTTTCATCATAGGTTGAATCAACATTATTTTGGTTCATTTTTTTCTAATAAGGATTTGAATTTTGCAGATGATTATTTCCTATCCTCAGAATTAAGTCCTCATAATTAAAAAGAAGAGACTTAAAAGATGAATTATAATTCTTTTGAGGTTGATTTTTAGCTTCGCTTAATTAAACAGGTAAATTTTTCTAATAAATGATGATTAATTTATCTTTAATTATACAAATTAATAAAATTTTTCATAGTTATTTTTAATTATTTTTTAACTGTTTTGTCTTCCGGCTCATTCAATATTATTTTTATTAGAAAATTATATCTTAAATCCAGCTTTCTTTATCATTAAAATAATAATTGACTCCTTTTTAAATATTAAGAATATTATTTTATTAAAATGATTCATACGATCTTAATTTTTTAAATATTAGATAAAATCTGATTTAAGGATAAACTTAATCAATTTTGATTAAACTCTCATTCTGTAAATATTGTATTAAATGATATAGAATAGTCTATAATTCTTAAGTTATTAGAATTCTTCTGAATATAAATCGATATATTATTATTTATATGGGATCAGGAGAAGGAAAAGTCAAGATAAAAAATAGTACAACAGGGTTAGAATATTTATAAAATTTAATCCCAAACGTTGAAGAGTAATTAAGTGTTTAGATTTAAGCTTAGTTAAAATAATAAACTCTAGAAATGCCCAAAATTTCAGAAGAAATGTAAAAAATATTCATATTCTAGATAAAATCTGTACAATTATTTGAAGGAAGTTCATTTTGAATTCGAAAAGTGCTCTCCTGAAGATTATGAATACTTAAATATTTTATCTTAATTTTAGATTAAACTTTTAGAGCCTTCAGAAAGAAAAGGTAAATCTGAAGAGTGGAATGCTGTTCAAAAATTTGAACCGTTAAAAATTGAATACATAAAATCATTAAGACTCTTAGATTTAAACTAATTAGATGGATTAAAATTTGATGATTATATAGAATTTGGTTGGATTGTCAAGTTAATAAAAGGAATTAAAAATTATTGTGTAGTCACAAATAATCTAATATAAAAATTCAAGATAGATAAAGAAATCTAGTGGATTTTATATATTACTATTTGGGAGCACTTCTCATAAAAGCTACATAAATTATCGGAGTAATACTCGTTTTCGAAAATTAATCACGCTTTTGATTAGTATTATTATACAAATTTAAGACCTTACATAAAAGTAGAAACTTTGGGAGCTAAAATATGGGGAGGGTACGTTTAAATTGATAAGGAGTTTGCATTAAATTAAATACTTTAAGGAAGATTAAATAGAAATTCGCATCTTCCCTTGAATAGAATAGCTACAGTTTTCATGGAAATGAACATAGATGTGTATAATTTGTAATTTGCAGGTAGTGATGAGTTTGTTAGACCAAAATTTATTTTTAAATTACAAGAATAAACTAAATAGCTTTATGAAACGAACTTTAATGGTGATTATGAGGATTTTCTATAATTTTGGAAATCAGATAATTAATATATTCTTACTATATTTCCTGAATGGATAGTCGAGAAATATATTAATACAATATTATTCGATTTTATAGAAGATCTCTTTTTGCAATAAATACTTAAACTCAATTTAGATGAATAATAATAAATTAATAATGCATATTTAAAGGAATTCTAAATTATACCTATTTTATTAGATGAAAATCATTTATGTACTTAAGATGTATTTTCTCTATAAAGTCATCTTAATTTTGATTAATTTTTAAGATCTCAATAAGAACCAACAATTAGTATATTAACTAAGAGAGTTTCTAATGAAAAAAAAAATAGTGATATTATAAGAAGCAATATTACAGCTAACAATAGTGGAGTTTTAGTGGATCATTAATTAGTTATGCAATAACTTAATTAAAAATTTATAGGTGAGCAAGATTATTCTGATATTCAATCAGAAAGCAAAAGTTCCAATTTATCATCAACATATCTTTCAAAGTAAATTAAACTAAAGAATTTGAGTTTATAAGAGCTTGAAAAAATTATGTATGAATACGATATAATTAAATTTCCAATTATTTCAAGAATTGAAGCAAGAAATCAAAGAATTAAAATGGAAACTTAAAATATAAGAAGAATTGATGACGAATTTCGTTGTTTATTTAGTTTTGAAAATTAAAATATTGGTACAATATAAAAGAAATAAAAATTTTATGAATCTCTTTTATAAAAAGTGAACAAGGTTCAAAGTTAAATTTCTCAGAAAGATTATTCTAAATCTATAGCTGATATGATCCTTGAAATTTGAAAAATTAAATATGACATAAAGCTCTTTACTAAGAGAATAAAATATTATATATAAAATAAATTAAATCATTAATTATTCAATTTTTATTTTAATAAGTGAAAGTTCTATGTAAAGTAATATCGTAGAAATGGATAAAGATTAATAAAATTTAATCAACCAGGAAATAGCTCAACTTTAATAAAAAATAAATCTAGCAAATAATTGCCAAATATGGCTTGAAGTGTGAACTTTGTTTTTTAGATGAAGAAGATCATTAATAAATAGAGTAGTAATAGAAAAAGAGAGGTTACCTAGAGGTTAGATTAATACCCGCAAAAGTAATTTCAATAACACCGCCCAAAAAATCATATATTGTCTCTTGTGATTATCATTTTTCAAAGATTGAATAAATTGTAGTAGATAAGCTTTATAAACACATCGAGTATAGTGTGAATTAATTAGACATCAAAAAAACAAAGCTTATAAGAATAAGTGCTATAAATTTTCTTGAAGCCATTTAGAAGATTTAAAATAATTATTGTTGTAGAGTACTTAAATGTAGATATTCCAATATAGAGAAATAAATATAAAGGTTAAATTATGATAATTTTACAGAAATTGTTAAGGATGCTTGTGAATAGAAAAAAAAAAATTTATAATTAACAAAAACAAAATTTGAGTTTTATGTTAAAAACTAATAAAAAATGATATTAAGATAACAGTTTTTAATTTATCATTTCTACAAAAGATTGGAAGCAAAAAAATCTTAGATAAATAAGAATTTTATATTGGAACAATCATATGTCGATACACTTTCACAATCAATGTCAATGCCTATAACATCCTAATTGATAAAAGAAAGTTACATTTGAGAAATAATATAAAAATAATATCATCAAGTTATATTCATTTCAATTATATTATTTTCATTTATTTTTAAATTTATTTTTGTTCATTTCATAAAATATATAAAAAATGGTAGATGGCATTGTTGTAAATGAAACTAATTTGAAAATAATCAATAAAATAATCTAAACTTACTATTTTTGCTTTATTTATTGGAATAAATTATAAGATTTGATAAAATCAAAATCAAAATTATAAAAAAAAAAAAATATTCTACTGATCTATCAAATAAATTTTACAATTATAATGACTAAAAATTAAAGATAAGAAAATTATCTAAAAGAAAATAATTGTAATAATTCATGAATTGGAA